TAGCTGGGGAAGAAAGCCATAATAATTTATGATGTTAGTTTACAGGGCAGTATGAAAATTAATCCAAGTATGTTGAAACTGATGGGTCTTTCCTTTTTCTGGGTTTAAGATAAGGCCTCCAGAAGAGCTGGGTACTTAGAGTTCTGCTATAATTTATAGTGAGGAAGTCTGCTTGTGTAGGAAGAAATTTGAATTGTCTGCATTTTAACGATGAAATGATTGCTCCACCCTCACCCCCACCCCTTGCTACTATGGAGTACAGTTTCATACATTAGCCTTGACTGTGTGCACATGCAAGCAGCTCAGTCTGCACATGTGTAGTTATGTAGCACAGTTCTGTGAGTCTATGAGTTGGCAAGTACACCAGTCAGCTGCCTGGCAGGAAAAGGAGACAGAGGGAGCTTCTTCCAGCTCCTTGCTCGCCTTGCTGAGCACCTAATTCCCACAATCACTGAATATCTGAGGCACCTCTTCACGTGTAGTTCCAGCTGCTGGACTGGGCTGCAGAATCACTGGTGCATTCTCTATTTGCAAGTGTGTTTCTTCATTTAACAATGGTTATAAATGTGGATTCATATAGAAATGTGTCCAGTTCTGGGTGCCCCAGTTTAAGGAGGATATTGTGAAGCTGGAACATGTGCAGACGAGGAGAATTGTAGAGTTGAAAGGGACCCCAAGCGTAATCTAATCCAGCCCCCTGTAATGCGGGAATCTCAACTGAAGCATCCATGACAGATGGCCATCCGACCTCTGCTTCAAAATCTCCAAGGAACCTCTCGTGACAGTCTATTCCACCGCCAAATGGCTCTCATTGTCAGAAAGTTCTTTCTGATGTTTAGTTGGACTCTCCCTTCTTGTAACTTGAAGCCATAGGTTCAAGTCCTACCTAAAACAAGCTTGTTCCCTCTTCCATGTGACAGCCCTTGAGATATTTGAAGATGGTTCTCATATCTCCCCTCAGTCTCCTCTTCACCAGGCTAAACATACCCAGCTCCTTCAACCGTTCCTCATAAGGCTTGGTTTCCAGTCCCTTGATCCTCTTGGTTGCCCTCCTCTGCATGTTCCAGCTTGTCAACATCCTTCTTAAATTGTGGTGTCCAGAATTGGACACAGTATTCCAGGTGTGGTCTGGCCAAGGCAGAATAGAGTGGGACTATTACTTCCTTGATCTGGGCATTAGACTTCTATTGATGCCACTGAGAATAGCATTAGGTTTTTGTTGTTGTTTTTTGCTGCTGCATCACGCTGTTGACTCATGTGAATCCTGCAGTCTACTAAGACTCTGAGACCCTTTTCACGTGTACTACTGGTAATCCAGGGGTCCCCCATCTTATATTTGTGCAGCTGGTTCTTTTAGGATATTGTGATTTAATCACACAGATTTACAACAGCCTCCCACTCTGCCAAGATTAAACTCTGCAGAATAAAAGTAGAGTGTATTTTGGAGGCAAAGCAGTCGGGTATCAGTCCTATTGCAGGGATGGGTAACCTATAGACCTTCAGTTAATGTTGGACTCCAACTTTGATCAGCCCTAGCCAGCATGGACTGATAGGAACATCTGGGGGACCATAATTTCCCCACCCCTCTCCTACTGAGAGCAACAGAATTCAAGCACACGGTTTCATTTTGATGACATTTATGTGGACAGATTTGTACGTGGAAGTTTGCATTGAACTTCCAGTGTTATGAGGTGGGACAGGATTTCTTTCCATTTCCCTTCTCCAATAACAGGAACTCTTGAGAGAAAAGCCTTTTGTTGGGTTGGCTAAGAAAATAACTGAAGCCATTTACACTTTACAAGTATATAGATGTAGAATACTGGATGGGAAGCCACCATAAGGGCCGTCCCACCCATGAGGCAAGGTGAGGCAACTACCTCAGGTGTCAAGATCCACAGTGGAAGCAGATATGGCCTCCAAGAAATGCATTGTCTGCTGCTGCCGCCACAGTAGCTGTGACAGCTGTGGTGCACTCCTTGGAAGCTGGATCTGTCATCGTCTTGGTGGAATCCCAAAATGCTGCTTCTGTAGAGGTTCTGTTGCTTCTCTCTTGGAGAATAGGAGGTGCTGCTGGTCCCCCACCCCACCCACCTTGTTCCCAGTGTAGATCTTCACTCACACCATTCAGTGGTTCCTCTTGGGTGCCAAAATGCCTTGAGCCCTGTGTATCTTGTGGCTACATAGGAGGTTTCTGCTCCACCAAATGTTTTCCAGAGCTGGTTTGTGTTTTCCCTCCTAGGAAAATCCCTTCTATTCATATATCCACGTGGGCCTCAGAGCCCACACAGATGATGAAACCATCCCGAGGAAGCAGGACAGAAGTAGAGGCAGAGTTATCCTCAGGGATCTTGGTCATTCCATAGAATCATAGTATTGTGGAGGTGGAAGGGAGCCCAAGGCTCACTTGTATTGCTCTGCCAAGTGATGGGAATAGGTTTATCACCCAGCAACAGCCGATGTGTTGTGAAATGTTTATATGGTTTGTCTGAGAGCTCTTCTGCACATCACTGTGCAATTCGGGCTACAGGTGGGTGTATGTTTCCCCCCCAATGCTCTCCTGTGGAAGAAGCTCATCAGGAAACCCTTTACCTGAAGTGGGTGCAGGAAGGGGTTTTGCTTCCTTTGTCCGAAAGCCTTTCTTAAAAAGCCAACCCCCTCCCCCCCCCGGATTCTGAAAGTGAACACGGCCCAAGAACTCAGGCACCTCACTCCACCACCTCCTGCTCCCTGCACAACTTGTCAAGCAGCTTGCAGAGTCCTGCTTCCGAGCCACACACACTTTCCCCTGGTGCGCTGCAGAATATCAGAGACCGTCTATTTACTCTTTTTAAAAAATCAAAACATTTCCAGTAGAATTTGTTTTAAGAAGAATAATCAGCAAGATGAAAGATTTAAGAAGCTGCTGAACAGAAACATAAACTATAAAAAGTGAATCAAAGAGGGGAAGGCGACCACATTCTGAAATAAAAGAGAGAGAACCTGCTGAGAATCATATCTGGCAAATTAGCAATGCGGTGAACAAGAGGAGTGACAGTTTGTTTCCTCTTCTGAGTCTGATCTCTGGTCACAAGCCACCAAGCCAGTTCCAGCAAGATCGGGGGAGGGACGCACATGGCAGCCCACATGCCGCTTGTTTGGTGTTCCAGAGAGGAGCAAGATAAATGGAAACTCGTTGCAGGGCAGATCAATAATCAGCTGCCCGGACATTTGGAAAGACAAATTGGATTCTCCTTAGGTGGCCTTGCTGAGAGCATTTGCACTGATGCACCCAATACGTTTCCAGCCGTGGAGAATTATCAATGAAATGCATGTTATTCAGATCGTCCCTGAACTTCATGCAAGCCCCCCTCTCCTTCCCCATTCACATCTGTCCCCCCCCCCAGTACATCCGGGGCGGGGTGTGCATCCCAGGGGGCATGGTGAGTGCTGAGCGTCACGGGGGGCGGGGGCCATGATGTCATTCCCCCCCAGATGGTACCCGGGACAGACCACCACCCCACCTTTGTCTGCCAGTGCCTACACAGAGAGAACAGGCCAGCAACTTGTGAGAATTTGATTATGGCTGAGATGCTGCAGGGAGGGAGTCAAACCTTTCACAGAGGGGGGAAAATGGCTGTTCTGTTGGTGGAAGTAAATTCATAATGGGGAAAATGCCAAAGGGAAAGGGAGCCATGATGAAATTTGAGAGGGGGGGGTTGCACTTCCTTTAAAGGAAAAGCAGAAACATCTAGTGATCTGAAAACAGCTCTGGCATATGTCACTTAATTTGGCCTTTTCATGGGCCTCTTTGTTGAGCAAAATCAGTTGAATCTGACTCCACTTATGGATGATGGTCTGCCCTGAAGAACAATGAATGGCTTTGTTCAGAGTACATAAAGCGAGCACACAAAATGAGAAGGGTTTTGTTTTGGAGGAGGCCTTGTTTTGTACTTAACTGATGTGTACAACATAGTTTAGAATTTACATGTGATTTTAAAATTGCTGTAGAATCATGGAATTGTGTCATTAGAAGGGACCATGAGGGCCACCTAGTCTAACCCCCTGCAGTGCAGGGATCTTTTGCCCAATGTGGGGCTCTGAGATGAAGAGTCTCCTTCTCTACTGACTGAGCTCTCCTAGCCTCTTCCACTTCTTGCATTGACCACACAAGCAGCACAAAAAGAAAAGCAAAAGGTGCTTTCTGTGTCATCCATGAGGGTGCCTTTGCGTTTTTTGGGGGGATACTCCAGAGTGAATGCAGATGAATGCTAGACACAGGAATACAAAAGAATACAGATGCAATTAAAATATTGTTGTCCCATACTAGAACAGATTGAAAAGGAGCCAGTTTGTACATATCCTGATAACACTGCAGTGATTAATAGAATGCAGCATGGATTTGTCAATAATAAATTTTGCTAGATTAGTCTCATGTAAGAAGGCTGTGGCATTAAAAAGGTAAAGGTAAAGGTACCTCTGCCCGTACAGGCCAGTCTTGACAGACTCTAGGGTTGTGCACTCATCTCACTCTAGAGGCCGGGAGCCAGCGCTGTCCGCAGACACTTCCGGGTCACGTGGCCAGCGTGACAAGCTGCATCTGGCGAGCCAGCGCAGCACACGGAATGCCGTTTACCTTCCCGCTGATAAGTGGTCCCTATTTATCTACTTGCAGCCGGGGGTGCTTTTGAACTGCTAGGTTGGCAGGTGCTGGGACCGAACGACGGGAGCGCACCCCGCTGCGGGGATTCGAACCGCTGACCATGCGATCGGCAAGTCCTAGGCGCTGAGGTTTTACCCATAGCGCCACCCGCAAAACATTTGATAACGATCCCTAATATTTTGGTTAGCAAACTGATTGAATACGGTCTAGACAATAATATTATCCAGGGGATTTACAGACTGTAATTTCAGACTGTAATCTTTGAATATTCTTGGAGAATGTTTAACGTTCACACAGACTGGAGGTGGGCAAATGTCGTCCCCACCTTCAGAAAAAGGGGGAAAGAAGATCCAGATAACTAGGGATGGCTCAGTCGGTACAGCATGAGACTCTTAACCTCAAGGTCGTGGATTCAAGCCCCACTTTGGGCAAAATATTCCTGCTTTGCAGGGGTTGGACTAGATGGTCCTCATGGTCCCTTCCAACTCCACAATTCTACTCACTTGACCCATTGATACCAGGAAAGGTCTTAGAGCAGATAATTCAACAAGTCAGTCTGTGAGCACTTAGAAAAGGATGCTCTGAGTACTAAAACCCAGCATGCATTTCTCAAAATCCATGCTGGGGTTCCTGCTGCACTTGGAAGGGGGGTGGACTGATGGCTGCCAAGAGCCCTTTCAACTCTACCATATCTCTTTTAAACCAAACCAACAAACAGATTCAGGTGGTTAAATGTCCCTTTGCCATGGGAGAACACATCACCAGTGGGGTATTTTATAACTTTGCATATTTTATTAACCACATGTGAATAATAGTGCAATCCCTTTACATAAAAAATCAGGCTGACAGCATTTTTAATTGATTATACCTCCAAGTCAGTCCAGTTGCCTGGCATTGAAAAGGTTGCCAAAATAATTGCGACTTGGGGAGTCACCCACAAGGGCTAGTCTCCAGCGCAGAGTTTTCTATTGACACAAAGCGCAACTCAGCACAAAGGAATTCAAAGTATGAATTCACTTTTCACATTGTGTTTGAACAGGGAGATCAGGTTTAGCTGATAAGGAGTGAAGAAAATAACACAGCGGTGAAGAGCATTATGCAGCCCATGAATGTGCAAGAGTGAGCTCTTTGCAAAGGGGTGTTTAGGAAGGCCCTCTGCCTGTGCTGCTCACACACATATTTGAAGAACAGGGCAGCAGGCATTTCCCACTTTTGTCTCAGAAGATGGGAAAACCCTGCTGAGTCTTGGACGGAGCATCTTGCTTCCAACCGTGGGCAGCAGCGGGATGATTCGAGAAACCCGCAGGCAGGCGAGTGAGGCAACAGTCTCCGTCTTTCTCTGAAGACACAACTTTTCTCCTCTGGATCTCAGTGCGAGTTGCTTTTCATTCGCCTCGGGCTGGATAGCTTACCGTTTTGTATATATGGTTTAATGGTTGCGTTGTTAACTCACTGTGATTTCAGGAAAGGCGGCATTAAAATATTTCAGATGGTTAAATACGAGGGACAGGCTACTGCCTCTGCTAAATGAAGGTTCATCCTAGCAGCCATCCTAGCCTTGCGCAACCCGATCTCGCAGTGGATTTGCTTAACCCGCTAACCTGCTTTTTATTGATGCAGTTTAAAAAACCTTGCTCTTTCAAGTCCCACTCAGATTTAAACACCGAGTGACTGGGCCATTTATTCCCGCGCCCTGACCAAGTGCCCCACATGTGCCCCACAGGTAGCCCAAGCAATCTTCCCCGTAGTTATTTAAAAAGCTGCCAGCGGCTGCAGCTCTCCCGTCGCCTTTCTCCTCTTCTGCTGCTCCTCTTCTCCTTATCGCTTTAGCTGCTGCTGCTGCTGCTGCCCAGGAAGTTGACTGGGAGGCCAGCGCTCGTGGGGCCATGTGATCGCTGCGCACCGATTAGGTGGTTGGATCTGGTGAGCCCTGGGCGAGGGGAGAGGAGGATGGGAACCCAGCACTGGAAGCATGTGACAGCCACATAGTTTTGCACCACCTTCTAGGACAGGATTTCCACCGAGAAAGAGACCAGAGAGAGGGCTGAGCAGCACCCAGGAAGCAGCAGCAACAGCAGCAACAGCAGCAGCGAGCATTGCAAGGTAACCGCAGCTGCCCAAAGGGCGATCCCCAGGGGGAGAAGCGCACTTGCAACCTGCTGCTTGCCTGGGCAGGCTCCAGGGGGCTTGTTTGCCAGGGGCAAAGGCAGTGAGCGGCAGCCGAGCCAGGACCTGGCGGGCGTTTGCAGGGCTGGCACCTGCCGGCCTGGCTGCCAGGTCGGGGGCAGAGGAAGGACCGGGAGCGAGGGGCAGGAGGAAAGGGCTGTGCATTAGGAGAAGGGCTGAGCTGGAAAGGACGGGGGCATCTCCGCGCGCCTCTCTGCCCGCGCGCCAGGGATACGCGAACTGGCAGCAATAGTTCTGTCACAGTGAAACCAACCTAGAGGAGGGATGGGAGAGTCTGCTGCTGTCCTGTGACACTGAATGCTCTCTGGCGCGCAAAGAGCTTGTGACTTCCTGCTCATGGGGACGCCTCTTCGCCAGAGGCGCCCCGAGGCCGGTTGAAGGTTAATTTGGGAAGCAAGAAGCGCCATGGCTGCACATGGCTGCAGATGACTCCACATGCGCCCTTTCTGGCAAGGCTGCCGACTGGGGTAAAAAGAGCAACTTCCTTGACTTCTTCTTTCCTTCCGGAGATTTAAATGTGGGTTCATTTTTACTGTTGACACATTTCTGGAAAGACACATTTCTAATTTCTTACTGATTTGTTAAATGTAAACTGTTGAAATAAAGCCAATGCAAATCTATAAAAGGGTTCCCCTCCATGGAAACTCCCCTTTCAATAACACTTTATTGAAATATTTATGAAAGTGCTTGAAATAGTTTTGTCCAACAGCGGATCTATCTCGTTTTTGATCAGGAGTCAGGTTTCAGCTCCATGGAAGTTGCAGCAGTATTTGGACAACTCCTTCTGTTTATGGAAAGCTATAGGAGGCCAGTCTAACAAATAGACCCAAAGCCCCAGAAGTTGTTAATGGCAAACAACTCGAATATGCAGATCGCTCTCAACTCCAGCCAAGGGGCTGCAGATTGTTTTCCAGACCTGCAGATCAGATGATGCCCAGAACTCAGTGTCTGGAAACTGGTATGTGGCCAGCTGACTGCAGTTGGGGCTGATTTGCATATTTGTTACTTGTTCTCAATAAATCTAGTCATTTGTCATTAATAATAATAATAATATTTACCTTTTTACCTTTAATCACCACCACCATCATCTGTGGCTATGGCCTTTTGTTAGATTGATTATCTTTAGCATTTATTTTAGATTTCAAATCATATTAACTAGAAGGCCAAGCTTAAGACACGGTGAACGTTTATGCAGAATTTACCACCTGCAATTACAATCATATTCAGTGGTAACTGAGGGTACTCTGAAATTGTGTAAAGAACTGTAATATGCCATGGCTAGAATGATGGGACTGGGTGTCAGAAATCCAGGATCATAGAACTACTTTGCTAGAAAGTTCATTGATATGAATTGGGGAACTTGACCTGATGTACCTATCAGGTTGTTGAGGTGCTAAAGCACTGCTTTGAACTCCTCAGAAGTGTGGCATTACAGTGGTACCTCAGGTTACTGACGCTTCAGGTTACATACGCTTCAGGTTACAGACTCTGCTAACCCAGAAATAGTACCTTGGGTGAAGAACTTTGCTTCAGGATAAGAACAGAAATCATGTGGCGTCAACAGGAGGCCCCATTAGCTAAAGTGGTGCTTCAGGTTAAGAACAGTTTCAGGTTAAGAACGGACCTCCAGAACAAATTAAGTTCTTAACCCGGGGTACCACTGTAAATGAAAATTGCATCTCACGTCTGTGGGGATTGTAGTTTGCTAGGATTCCACAACCCCATTAGAAAAAGTGTCCTTCGCTGTCTGTTGCTGATGCTCAAAAATATCCAACAAGTCCAAACTACTGTTGTTTATCTCCTCCTTGTCATCCCCCCACCCTTTTGGGTGTGACTTCAGGATAGCAGCAAAAAGTGGGAGGTGGGTTGCAATTTATCACAACTTCTGTGTGCCTAATGCACCATTTTAATTCTCCCCTCTGCAGGGGGGTTAGACAAGGAGCCAGCATAATCAACATCACTGTGCAGGTGGACGGAGTCATATTTGACAGAAGCACGTCTGGCCTCTTTCAAAATAACTCCGCAGACCCACCCTCTAGTAGCTGGTCTACAGTCAGCACCCATATCTTTAGGAAGAGGTTTTTGGACTGTAGTTATGGTTTAGCCCGGGGGTGGGTGAGTGTGGAGCTAGTCTGTTAACCTCCAGAGGTTGTTTGACTCCCAACTCCCACCGGTCCTGGCCAGCACAGCATGCTGGGAGTTGGACTCCCAACAATTTCTGGACTCTGTCCCTGGTTTCCTCATGTCCGATCCTAGCAACATTCAAGTATTCTGGAATTTCAACAGAATTTCCCACTAAGTCTTATTTTTGTTCTTTAAGGAGGCATGGCATAAAAAGGATGAGATCCCCTTTGGATGATCACTGTTCTGTTGGAGGGATTTGGTCTCACACCACCATGTTTAGGTTTGCCCAGTTAGCGTGGATTTAAAGCACTGTTGGGCAACAAACTAACTTTTAAAAAAATCATTATTTTTATTATAAGGAAAGTGATGTTCTAGATGGTGAGGGATTATGGTTAATGGAAAGTGGTATAATCTCCACACAAGCAATAAACAGATTGCCTGGAAATGGCCTAAGAGTGACAAATCAGGAGGTTTCTGTTCAGATATCAGCTCCGCCACCCCAGGGCCTTCCTAACATGGGGGTGATACGGAGCTACCTTACAAGATTGGTGTAAGAATGAAGTACTTTGAATGCTCTAAACCACTGTATAAAAGTGAAGTAGTATTATTCACTATCTTCCATGCTTAAGCAAGTAACAAAATGATTGACTTGACCAGGTTTCCAAATATGGGGTGCATTAACTTGTGGAGCTTATAGTGGTAGAGAGAAATTGCAACTGCCTGCTTTCCTTCTGGTGACCTCCAACCTTTCTCATTATTTTGCTTCCAATACCTTGAGCTGCTGAGAGTGGCATGATTATTAATTTGAATCACAGGAGAGAGAGAGCTTAGATTGATGGGTCGCATTGGCAGCAGTGATCTGGAGTCTCCAGTCTCCTCTAGGTTGACCTTGTTCCACCTTTGCAGTTCTGTTGCAGGAGGCCTTTCTGGCAGGGCCAGGTGACTTGGGTGTGCTGGGAATGCCTTGCACACTGCCCTTCCACCTGTAGGCCGCTTGAGTGTCCCCACTCTGACCCTCGCTGGGCTCGTTCCTCTGTGTTAATAGTGGGACGGGGGACTTAAAGCAGAACCATCTTCTCCCATCAGCGCATCACCCAGAAGGAGAAAAGACACATTTTCTGAAGCCACTTTTGAGACCCTTCTCTCTCCACCTCCCTTCCCTTTTAAAGTTCATCACTTTATATCATGTTTCAGGATCCACTTGTCCCTTGCAGTTTCTTTTGACTAGGATAATTGTTCTTTAGAATTGTGTTAAGTCAGTAAGCAACAAGGCATAAATATTAGGCCAAGTCTGCAGAATGTAGGAAGCAATACTTTCTCTTATGTGTGGCTCTGAGATCACCAAGGGTGGGGTGGGGCGGTTAACCATGGGGTGTTCACTCTATTTTGCCTTTGTCAGACCCTGCCTGGAGTCCTGTGTCCAGCTCTGGGCACCACAATTGAAGGAGGATATTGACAAGCTGGAAAGTTTTCAGAGAAAGGAGGCAATACCAGGAGAATCCATCCTGGATTATTTAAACTGAAAGGCTAAAACTAGTCTATCTAAGCTTCTCTTTAAGTTGCAAAGGGATGGCACTCTGCTCACGTGAGGAAGGAAGGATAATAGCTAATAAATATATCCTCTCCTAGCATCTAATTCACATCCCAACATAGGTTATGGGCCAAGATTAGATTATTTTTGAAGTATTTTGGTGAATGCAGCTGAATTCTCTTAAGAAAGAAGAGAGGTCCGAAGCAGAACTCTTTCTTTTGTTTCTTGGTGAGCATATGGTGACTCCATTGTTTCCACTGTGAAGAGAGATTAGTCCCCACTTCCCTCACAGAGCAGTACCAAGGTAGTGAAGATTTTTGGTCTTAAATTTTCCTTTGGAGACTTTGTTCTGGTTTTGGATTTAGCACATTTTTCTCCAACTTTTGAGTTTTGGACATTTCCTCCGTTTTTGAGATGGCTAGTGAGGTTTACTTCAGTGATGCAAGCCTCAAGATGCCCAGATTACCATCAAAATTAGAAACAGAACTATTAGAACCCAAAACTAAGATTTTGTCAAAGATGTATAACTTGCTGTTGAAATGGAATACTCAGGATGAAACGGTGAAATCTGCTATGATTAAATGGGCACAAGATGTTGGACATAACATAATGATGGCTGACTGGGAACAGTTATGGACCACAGGTATGAAGTTTACGGCATGCAATGCCTTAAGAGAGAATATTATGAAAATGATATACAGGTGGTACATAACCCCAGTCAAGCTTGCAAAAATCTACCATTTGCCCGATAACAAATGTTGGAAATGCAAAGAAACTGAAGGTACATTCTTTCACCTTTGGTGGACGTGCCCAAGGATTAAGGTTTTCTGGGAGATGATTTATAATGAATTAAAAAAGGTATTTAAATATACCTTCTTGAAGAAACCAGAGGCCTTTCTCCTGGGCATAGTCGGCCAATCGGTGTTAAAGAAGGACAGAACTTTCTTTATGTATGCTACAACAGCAGCAAGAATACTTATTGCAAAGTATTGGAAGACACAAGACCTACCCACACTGGAAGAATGGCAGATGAAAATGATGGACTACATGGAATTGGCGGAAATGACTGGCAGAATCCGAGACCAGGGAGAAGAGTCGGTGGAAGAAGATTGGAAGAAATTTAAAGACTATTTACAGAAATATTGCAAAATTAATGAATGTTAGAATGATGTTGGATTGAAGTTAAGTGGTTTCTAGCTGTAATGGTATAAAAGAATATGGAAAAATTGGATTTTTAATAGGTAAAAATTTAATGCTATAATATATTAAGATTAAAGATCAGGATAAAATAAGGAGGGAAAGGAATTGCTGAACTAATAAATTGAACTGGAATACAAAAAAGGGAGGCATGAGGAGCTCCGGGAAACAAGTAAATGAAAGATAAGTGACAAAAAGATGGAATTGTTTTTAATTGTGGTTTTTTTTGCATTTTTTCTTTTTTCATGTAATATTGTGAAAACTTTAATAAATATTTATTAAAAAAAAACAAAAAACAGATTACCATCCTTACTCAATGGGGAAAGTATCTGTTGTTAATAGCAAAGAAATACTAGGTGGCATTAAAAGTAAAAGGCCTAAAGGCAATAACAAAGAATCTAGAGCTCCAATCAATGTATGAGAACGGCAGAATAAGCAAGCAAGAGCCACAACTTTAAGCAGCATTTCAGATGCCCAGGTTGTGCATATTAAGGAGACTGATACTGCAGCCCAGATAATTGAGGCTCTGGAACTTTCATATGGATTTGCAAGCAAAAGTTTCCATAGAAAAAGGGATGCGAGATTTGCTGAGGCTCAGGTTGAATTCTAAGGCATATTGTCCCAAATATGTGACTGAGATCTTAACACTTCTTGAGAAACTAGAACTGTCAGAGTACCCAATGCAGGAAGAGCAAAATATCTGCAATTTCCTAGGGTCACTAGAACCCAAATTTGGGACTTTTGCAACTCTAATGGATGGGAAAGAGGACTTGACTTGACTTTCGAAAGATTAATTGCCTGTTTAAGAGAGGAATGTGTACAAAGGAGAGAAGAGTCTCCAGTCAGGAGTGCAAAAGCCAATGGTTCTAGTTATGTGTCTAAGTGTCAAATGAAGGGCAAAGCCATATCTATGAAAGTTGTGTGCTTTAATTGTAATAAAGAAGTACACATAGCAAAAGCAGGGCAAGCAAGGTTCTGGAAACCAAGCCTTATGAGGAACAGTTGAGGGAGTTTGGTTTGTTTAGCCTGGGAAGGAGGAGACAGAGAGGAGGTATAAGAGCCACTTTTAAAGTGTCTCAAGGGCCATGTAAGTCCTAACCGGATTAATTATTATGCTTGCTGAAGCAGGAGGCTCATATTTAACCCCTTTAACTCCTAATGCTCGAAACCTGGAGGTAATGTTAGTTTGTGGGTGGGGAAAACAATCATCCAAAAGTGGATGTAGATCATTTTATACATGTAATTTCAGATGCACATTTATGTTTGTTCAATTGAATTGAATTGAATCAAAATCTTTTGACATTTCCATTTGTGGCGCTTGTTTCACAGCACACTGAAATTATCGGCCATAAGCAGATGGATGAAGGGATGGAGCACTGAAGGCTCCTCAGCCATTAGATCCATCCCTTTCACCTGTGGCCACATGAGAACAGACTGATAGGTATCTACCATATATGTGGTGCTTTCCAGAACAGACACTGCATCTGTCTGCTATACTAAAAAAACAACAACCCCAAGTCTTAAAATCCATCATATTCAGCAAGACTTACTTCTGAGTAGACCTACATAGATTTGAGCATTCTAACTAGAGTTGAAGCCATGGTGAAAATTGAGGCAGAACATTCTTTATTCTGGACGAGTTAATCCAGAACACTCTCAGCTCTGACTCTGCCAGCTGGCAGCAGCCTCCTGAGGGAATGAGTCTCTCCCTTGACTCGAGGGGAATGGACAGCCAAAAGCAACGTCAGCCCAACAGACACGTGTGTTCGCCTCATATTCATACCATGCCTCCAGAGAAGTGCCAGGCGGCTCCTGCTCCTGCCTGGAAGCTTCTTAGCTTCTCCCTATCATTGTTGATACTGAAGAGCACCCCAAAGATCAGGGGGCCCCAGAGCACCATCTGTTGTGTCACAAGAAGCTGCCGGAGCTTTTCTGGAGACAAGCCGTTGAACACAGACAAACATTGCCAATATCTGTGACTGTATGGCTAAGTGCTTCGCAAGGCTCTTCCCGCATCACAAAGCACAGAAATGTCAATGGGAAGCAAAACAGAGGAGGCAAATCATGCTATTTTGATATGAATTCACATTGCAAGCATTCTTCACACATAGGTGGCATGCATGAGAGAAGGGCCGCAGATCAGAAGTAGAGCACCTGCCTTGCATGCAGAAGGTCCCAGGTTCAATCCCCGGCAGGGGAGAGCCACTGCCAGTCAGTGTAGACAGTACTAAGCTAGGTAGAACAAAGGTCTGACTCAGTTCTATGTTCCTATAGGTGGTGTAGTGGCATTGTAATATCTATGGCAGAGATCTGTAATGTCATCCTTAAGAAGACTTCCCTTGGACTCAGAGGGGTTAAACCCAGTGGCAAATATCCCCTTTCTGGGCAAGGTGCTTGAGAAGGTGGTGGTACCCCAGCTTCAGGCATGTCTGAGGAAAACTGATTATTTGGATCCACTCTGTTCCAGTCTGGTTTCAGGCCTGGTCACACCACTGAAATTGCCTTGGTCACCCTGACTGAGGACATTTGTCAGGAGAAAGTTAAGGGGAGTCCAGCCCTGCTCATTCTCCTAGATCTCTCTGCAGCTTTTGGAACTGTGGGCAACTGGAGGATACTTCAGTGGTGCCTCAGGAAGGTGTGGATGGGGGGACACTGTCCTAAAGGGCTCCTAGGAGGCTCCTGGGAATTATCCTGGGGTGTCCCACAAGGCTCCATCTTGGCCTCCATGCTATGCAACATCCAAAGGAAGCCTCTGGGAGCTGTCATTAGGAGATTTGGAGTGAAGTGGTGCTAAAATGCTGGTGACAACCAGTTCCGTCTCTCTGTTCAGACTGAATCAGGAGAGGCAACTGAGGTTTTAGACCACTGCTTGGAGAAGCTGGATGTGGGCCAGTAAACTGAGGCTGAATCCTGGAGAGACAGAGGTATCCCAGCTCCTCATGTCTGTGAGGTGTGGAGGCGGCCTATCCTGAATAGGTTAGCACTCTCCTGGAAGGAGGCTCAGGTAGCCTTGATGGCTTGGAGCTCCAGCTGGTTCACTAGTTATAGCCCCTTTTCGACAGAGATTACTTGGCCACTGTACTCCCTGCTCTGGTAACTCCCAGATGGGATTATTAGAAGGTGCTCTACGTGGTGTTGCTCTTGAAGATGACTTGGAAACTTTGGTTCATCGTAAATGCATTGAGCAGACCAAACTGGGGTGGGATAAGGAGAGAGGGAAAGTTCACTATGGGTAGCGTTCTTGGATATTTATACAGTAAACTGAATATAAGGTGACTGAGCAGCCACCACCTCTCTTACAGGGTGACTTAACAGGGTGTATGTTGCACAGCCTCTCTTTAAGCAGAAAGCACAGGGGTATGCAATATACAGGCCTTCCCTTTGCTTAACAACCATCATAACAGTAGTCATTTTGCTAGGTTAACATAAATATAATCTGATCTTGATTGCATTACTTCTGCAAATAAGTTGTGTGCTGGCTTGTTCACTGGGAAAAAAATGGCAGAAAATCAGCTGACAGTCATGCTGAATTCATTTTCCCTCTCACAAAAGGGAACAGTCTTATACTTACTTGGGTGTTGGCTGAGTGATCCAGTTGTGCGGCTCTGTAAGATCCACTAATGGACTCTAAATCTTATAACCAGGTCATCTTGTCTTTGTAAAAATATACAGTGTCCATGTTTAAATACTTCAGATGCCCAGTGTTGTGTGATAAATGCATGACTTGCACAAATAACATTCACTGGCAAGTAAAGCAATAGACCGCTTACCAGTATCAATTGGGAGCAGGGATTGCAGCCGAGTGGGGCCACCAAAGGTCTGGGAGGCTTTTGGCCTCCTGCATCGCCAATGGATGACGTCAGCTCCTCCATCAGCCGTTAGGGTGCTTGTGTCCCCCCACAAATTTTGAGTTTAAACTGCTTATCAGGGCAAAGCAAGCCAGTCAGGTCAGTCAGGTCTACCAACTGACCATAAACACAGGCTGTGCTGGTACTCTGTGGATCATCTAGTCCAACCCTCTACACTACAGGAATTTCAACCAAAGCATCCATAGCAGATGGCCATCCACCTTCTGCATCAAAACCTCCAGTGAAGAAGAATCCACCACCTCCCAGTCTCTTCCACTGCCAAACAGCCCTTACTGTGAGATGTTTAGTCAGAATCTGCTTTCTTGTAACTTGAAACCATTGGTTAAGGTCCTTCTTTCCAGAGCAGGAGAAAACAAGCTTGCTCCACCTTCCATGTGACAGCCCTTCAGGTATTTGAAGATGGCTATCATACCTCCTCTCAATCTTCTCTTTTCCAGGCTAAACATACTCAGCTCCTTCAAGCTTTCCTCATAATGCTTGGTTTCCAGACCCTTAATCATCTTGATTGCCCTCCTTTGCACATGTTACAACTTGTCAACAGCCTTCTTAAATTGGGGGTGCTCAGAATTGAACACACTCTTCCAGGTGTGCTCTGACCAAGGCAGAATAGATCAGTACTATGACTTCCCTTGATCAGGACACTCAATTTCTGTTGATGCAGCCTAGAATAGCATTCACTCCCCCCCCCTTTTTTTTTTGCTGCTGCTGCATCATCAAACTGTTGACTCATGTCAAGGTTGTGATCCAACAAGACTCCTAGATTCTTTCCACATGTTCTGCTAGTAAGCCAGATGTCCCCCATCTTATGTTTGTGAAGCTGGTTCTTCCTGCCTTAAGTGCAGAACCTAACATTTGTCCCTATTGAATTTCATTTTGTAAGCTTGGACCCAGGTATCCAGTCAGCTAAGGCCATCTTGATCCTGATTCTGTCTTCTACGGCATTAGCTACCCCTCCCAGTTTGGTGTCATCTGCAAATTGGAGATCAGCATCCCCTCAATTCCTTCACCCAAGACATTTATAAAGACGCTGAACAATGGTCCCAAGACAGAACCCTGTGGTAGTATCCTGTGGCACCCCACTTGTCACTTTTTTCCAGGACAATGAGGAACCATTAATGAGTACTCTTTGGGTGTGGTCAGTTAACCAGCTGCAAATCCACCTAACAGTTACCTCATTCAACCCACATTTTACCAATTTCCTCGCAAGAATATCATGGGGGACTTTGTCAAAAGCCTGACTGAAATCAAGATACACTAGGTCCACAGCATTCCCCTGATCCACCAAGCTTGTGACTCCATAAAAAAAAAAGACATGAGATTTGTCTCACATGACTTGTTTTTGAGAAACCCATGCTGGGTCTCACCGCATCCTTTTCTAAGTGCTCACAGAACAGTTAAATTATCTGTTCTGGGCCTTTCCTGGTATTGATGTCAAGCTGACTGATCAGTAGTTGGCTGGGTCTTTCTTTCCTCCGATGGAGACATTTGCCTGCCTCCAGTCTGCAGGGACGTGTCACCTGTTCTCCAAGATTTTTCAAAGGTAATAGGCTCTGAAATTACCAAATTTTTCCATCTATAAGACACCCCCATGTATAAGACGCTTCCTATTTTGGGAGACTCAGATTTAAGACAATGGGGGGAGATGGCCCAGAGTATAAAACACCCCCAAATTTTTGACATTATTTTTTAGGGAAAAACCTAGTCTTATACACGGAAAAATACGGTACATCTGCAAGTTCCAGTAGGACCCTTGGATGCAGCTCATCTGGCCCTGGTGATTTGAATTCATTTAAAGTAGCTAGGTGTTCCCTTACTACCTCTTTTCCAGTCTTAGGCTGCAGCTCCCTCCTTACATCATTTATTCTGTTATCACCAGGTTGGGCATCACTTTCCTTTTGGGTGAAGACAGAAGCAAAGTAGGTGTTGAGCAATTCCGCCTTCTGTCTGTCAACCAGTAGCATTTCTCCATCTTCTCCACACAGAGTACCTACCATCTACTTGTTCTTCCTCTTGCTTGGAACATGGTGGAAGAAACCTTTATTACAGTGGTACCTTGGGTTACATACGCTTCAGGTTACATACGCTTCAGGTTACAGACTCCGCTAACCCAGAAATAGTACCTCAGGTTAAGAACTTTGCTTCAGGATGAGAACAGAAATCACATGGTGGCGGCGCAGCGGCAGTGGGAGGCCCCATTAGCTAAAGTGGTGCTTCAGGTTAAGAACAGTTTCAGGTTAAGAACAAACCTCCAGAACAAATTAAGTTCTTAACCCGAGGTACCACTGTATTATTATTATTAACCTCTTGTGCAAGCCTGAGCTCATTCTGGGCTTTAGCCAGCCTGACTTTCCTGCTGCAACTGTTGGTGTATACTCCTTCTTTGTGATTTCCCCCTTCTTCCACTTTTTATAACTCTGCTGACTTGGAAGCCCCTTATGCAGCCACACCGGTTTCTCTACATTTTTCTTTCTTGTTGGAATTGTCTGCATTTGACTTGGGTCACTTTATCTGCTTTCCCAGTTTAAATGGGCCTTTTCTCTGGTTTGTTATCTAGATGCAGTTATAAATTTAATTCAGACTCATAATGAAGCAATCTTCTATTTCCGTAAACTGAAATGACCTGACATGTATGGTCAGATAAAGGCCCTGTTGTTCATTTTGCCCTTGGAAATGATAGCAGCTCATAAGGAGTGCCTCTGCCTGAATCCGTGCTAAGCAAAGTTGGCCTGCGTGTGTGAGATCAGCAGACTTTCTTGGCAGACCTTTCTGTCTCTTCACTGGCATCCTCCACAAGTTCAGTTTACCGGATAACTTCCTGGAGAAGAAGCAGCTGAACTAGTTTTTTTCCTTCTGGAAAGAAATCTACCCAATGTTAAGTCTGTCCTGTGTATTATTGCCAGTTCCTTCAACTCTGTGGCTCTGTAGAAAGCCCTTCACACTACAGTGTCATTAGCCTTATCCAGTGTGCGTTGCTTGTTTGACAACTGTGCAAAGGTAGGGGATTGCTGGCTGCCTGACGTGCATTTCAGGGCGACGGGAATGCAGTTCTCCCTTCATTTCTCATGATGGCTGCAAACTGTCTTTTGACAAAGTCCACCATGAACTTCTTGCAGAGAAGCTGGTAAAATGTGGGTTGGATGAGGTAACTGTTAGGTGGATTTGTAGCTGGTTGACTGACCAAACCCAAAGAGTAGTCATTAATGGTTCCTCGTCATCCTGGTGAAAAGTGACAAGTAGGGTGCTGCAGGGCTCTGTCCTGGGCCTGTTGTTGTTCAAAGTCTTTATAAATGTCTTGGATGAAGGAATTGAGGGGATGCTCATCTCCAATTTTCAGATGACACCAAACTGGGAGGGGTAGCTAATGCTGCAGAAGACAGAATCAGAATTCAGGCCTTGGTGGATCACAACCTTAACATGAGTCAACTGCAGCAGCAAAAAAAGTGAATGTTATTTTAGGCTGCATCAAGAGAAGTCTACTGTCCAGATCAAGGGAAGTCATAGTCCCACTCTATTCTGTCTTGATCAGACCACACCTGGAGTCCTGTGTCCAGTTGTGGGCGCCACAATTTAAGAAGATGGTGGTGGTAGCCTCATTTAATTTATTTGCGTGTTCAGACCCAGAGACCTCCCCCTTAAATAAAGACACATTTGACTCAAATTTTAGTTTTGGTTTTTGGCAGAATTTAGGCCACAACTTTATTGATTACAGAAAACTGAGTGGTTGCATAGGCTCTGGTTCGACTACCTCCCTACACCCTTGCAGGTAGCACTGACCCAGAGCTCTATCATAGGTAAGCCAAGAGTGAACACCTGGATAGGCGGAAAGCCTGGAAACAGACTCTGTTCACTCCCCTGGACTCAGGCACAGGCACAACTGCCTTTTGGGGTTGACCAAACCAAGTTGAGTCCCTGGATTCCTTTAACGGAATACCCTTCACATAGGGATGGCAAGACCATTCTCCCATCCCTATCACCTGAACCAGTGCCTATCTGCAACCTTACAAGTTGTGATGAATTGCTACACGGCAGGCAAAAACCAAATGGCAACAGCAAATCAGTCAAGTGGGGAAAATTCCTGCCATGCCCCTGTCCCAACGACAGACAACACACGACGGCATAGCAAGGTCAATCGCAAAAATGCCCTAAAATTAGGCGGGTGGGTGAGGTGGGCGGGTGTTCCGATGCATGAGCCGAAAGGGGAAGCTCTGGGACACGTGCAAGGGATTATATAGGTCCCTCGATCTGTTTAGACTGCACCCCATTGGCCAGATTAAACCCAGCAATGAGGGACCTACCAATCGGGTGTTGTGGCTATCCAATAGACCCACCCACAACCAGGAGGTCAGTCTCCAGGTCTCACCACAACACGTGCCCTCTTTTAGGGAGGAAACGATTTATTTTAATGAAACAAATATTATTGGAGAATAATGAGTTCTAACCTGTTTGACACAGTTTACCCGACTTTTGTTCTTGATTTTTAGGTGCTGTTTTCTAAAGATGGGAAGGCGGAAACTGGATCTTTCCAAACTGACAGATGAAGAGGCTGAGCATGTTTGGGAAGTTGTTCAGCGGGACTTCGATCTGCGGAAAAAAGAGGAAGAGCGTTTAGAGTAAGTGGCTAAAACATGAGAATAGGAACTTTGATGATTCTTCAAAAGGGAGGCCTTTAGTATTTGTCATTTTCAAGCTGTTTTCCAGCCAGCTTGAATCACTACTGCTAGACACATGTTGGTGGGGCTACAAAAATGGCTATGGGATAATATAGATAACGTCATCACAGAATTTGTTAATATTTGTAATGATACAGTTTAATTTAAATTTAAAACTTCTTAAATTTAAATAGGAAAATTCTTTTACCACTTACTAGCTGTTGCATGCTAGATCTTATGAAACAGAAAAAGCAGACTTAAATACATGAGATTCAGGAAAAGACAGGCATTTAGTGAATGGCTGGAAAAATATGTACTGTACTTTTGTATTTTGCTTGGTCCATAGATTTATCTTGTAGACTTCTCTAGGAGTTGGTTGGTTGGAAAATGCAGCTTATACAAAAACACTCCATCTTCTCAAAAGTCTCAGTTATGTGCTTCTGAAAGTACAGGTTACAATTTTTACGCATCTCTGGCTCTCTGTTTCAATGTCAGCCTTGACCGCGTGCGGCTGTGATGTCACTTTGGCACAGCAAGGTCAGAGCTACCCTCACAGCTCCCAGAATGCCAATTTAAATTTTTAAAAAGAAAGATCTGTTTTTTCCAGCCCTTGTTGTTTTGGAGATCTATTTAAGAGCCAGGCAGCGAGTGCTTGACAAAGCATCAGGAACAAGTTTAGGAAGAGTCCTTTCCGCGTGGCAGTGAATCATGTCCCATTTCTCATATATCCACGGTGCTGTTAAATTATGAGCATCAATTGCTTTTTTAATCATTCCCCGGAAGAGCACAGGATGCTCACAGTACGTGGCGCTTTCCCTTTCTCTTCAGAACAACCCTGTGAGGTCGGTTAGGCTGAGAGACAACTACCATATTTTTCGCTCTATAAGACGCACCAGACCACAAGACGCACCTAGTTTTTGGAGGAGGAAAACAAGAAAAAGAATATTCTGAATCTCACAAGCCAGAACAGCAAGAGGGATCACTGCGCAGTGAAAGCAGCAATCCCTCTTGCTGTTCTCGCTTCTGGGATAGCTGCGCAGCCTGCATTCGCTCCATAAGACGCACATACATTCCCCCTTACTTTTTAGGAGGGAAAAAGTGAGTCTTATAGAGCAAAAAATACAGTAACTGCTAGTAGTTTTTCCTCAAGTGTTCAAGACTGCCCTGGGATGGATGGAAGGAACATTTCCATGGTATTGTTTTGCAGTATAATTTGAAGTACAGAAATGTATAGTATTTTTCTAGGCACAGAAGAATTGTGAATGCATAGATGTAAAATGGAACCTTTAAGGAGTATATCCACAGCACTGCAGAAACGGTATTCTGGCAGTGGGGAGAACAGCTTAGCTCTGCATAAAATTCTCAAACAGCAACTTTTGAATGCTAGAAGGAAATGAAGAGTTAGAATAGTTATTTTTCTTTCTTTCTTAATCCTTACAACAGGAGTCAGGGCAGAAGGGGGAGCTGCAGGAGAATTGGAGCGGCTTCGTCAGGGTTTTTAGTCCTCTTTAGAATAATTTAGTTTGATGGTTTTTTTACCAGAGAGGACCAGCTGCCATACTGCAAAATTAAAAATAAATCAGTTATACAGTTGGGAGTGCCTGTACCCTGCCTTGAAGAACAGAGGTGAGGATGTGAAAGAGAAGCATGCAGTTGCCATGTTTCTTGGGAAAAGAAGGAAAAATTAATTCACTCCTCTTAAAGGAATTATTTACTTTGAGGGAAGAGGCAGGAAGTGAGTCATCAGATGGATGGCTTCTTTAATGTGTGCACTGACATTCATGGTTTTACAGTATCCATAATGAGAAAAATAAAAACTTTCCTATGTCCATGTACTATGAGTGGTCCAGGAGGAAATGCATTTTTAGACCATTATAACCCTTCTGGGCTTTTGTCAATCTGCTATAACCCTTTCCCTGAGGAGAATTCATTATATTCATTCCAGATTCATTCTCTCAACCTAGATTTCCCAGGAAGGCAGTACAAATTATATTCAAATACCAATAGATCTGTTCTTGCAATCTGGAGAGTTTTTGATCCCAGTAAAATTACACGACCTCCTTTACTTCTACTGTTTTTGTAAATCTTACACCCAATGTTTAGGGCAATCCTCCTTTCCCCCCTTGCTGCCTCCATTGCATCCTCTTCGTACTCCCAAGATGAGATCTTTTGAGTGGTTTGAAACTAATTATACACTAGCCCGGGGGGGGGGGGCGGGGGACACTCAGTGACCTGCTGTGATTAAAAATAAATCAGTTACACAGTCTGGAGTGTCTGGACATGCCTTGAAGAACTCTTTGTATGAGTTTCAGTTGATGCCGCTCCAGGATGTGGAAAAGGCGCTTGGCCAGGATTGTGTGGCCGCTTGGGTGCTTCATGGCTTATACTACCCAGCAAGGAGGTGACGGGGGTGGGCCAAGGAAATGACTATTGCCTTGTTACAAGAGGGGGTGGTTGCAGGCCACCTAACAGGCCACTGGGTGTGGCCGTTCCTGAAAAGAACTTTCCATGGATCTTGAAGATCCAGATCATGACAGACCACTTGCAAATGTTCCCTCTTGGGTGAGCTTCTTAAGCTGGCAATCTGCAGCCAGGCCCTGGCCCTCCAAGATGAGTGATTTTCTGGGCCCAGTTCAATGTGGGTTGAGGCCCACTTTAGGCACTGCAATTGTCTTGGTTGGCCTGTATGATTATGCTTGTCAGGATAGAGACGAGGAGAGTGTAACACTGTTGATGCTTGATCTCTCAGTAGCTTTCGATACCCAAAATCATGGTATCCACCTGGAGCGACTGTCTAAGTTGGGGTGGGCAGCACTGTTGGCAATACAGATGACATGCGACTCTTTTTCTATGGGAGTGGTAATACACTGGTGCTTAGCTGCTCTAAAAGACAGGATAAAGGCTGATAAACTAAAATTCAATCCAGACGTGGCAGAGACACTGTTAGCAGGTGACTGCTGTTCCCCCAGATAAGTAATGTTTACCCAGTCCTGGATGGGGTTGCTCTCTGCTGACAGTTCATGTTAATAGATTGTGGGTACTCTTGCACCCCTTGTTGTCAGGTGGCCTCCATGGTTTGGGGTGCCTTCTAGCAGGTTCTGTAGATTTTTTAGCATCTTATCGCTGCTTTTGGGGGTTGATCATTTTAATGGTGATCAGGCTTACGCTTGTAGGGGGAAGTGAGGTCCCAAATACTGTGTAATCATTTTCAGGGTTTTAGTGGCTAATTGTTTTGCACCTTGCAGGAAGCCATAGGGACATACAAGTGAGCAAAGGCTCACCATGAAAGAGCACCATGTTGGTGCTTGTTGCTAAACTCACACCAACCCGACTCCCCTCTTCGCTGACAGGATCGGAAAGAAACCTCAGAGCACCAGCTTGGCATTGCATGCGGACGAGTGTTTGTGGTTTGATTGTCTCCAAACAAGCCATGAGAGGAGGTAAAGGTTTGTTATTGGCTTCCTCCTGTGGTTTGTCTGGAGAGAAACGAAATGTGATGCTTGTTCCCCTATAGTGCTTCAACGGGGTGGAAATGAAGTCATACTTTGTAACTATAGTTTACTCTGACGTAGGACTTGTCTCTTGTCTCTTTCACCTTCCACTGTTGTTTGTATCTGATCCCTACAGCAGCCTCTACTTTGCTATGCTACTCATGGTCCCGATACCTTGGAATTTAGCCTACCAATTGTGTTCTAATTTGCTGATGCTAACTTTATGGTCCAGCTAAGCCCTAGTGCTAAGAATTTTCTGACCCTAATTCTGCAAAGACTCAGGGACATTTCATGCATTCATTCTCAGTTTAATACTCTCCAGTCAGAGAAAAGGTACTATGGAGATTGAAATGTGTATTATCACTATGTGGGGATTTCTGCTATTGCCACAGTACCCAAAAATGGCTGCAGAGTGGCTGAGCCTATGGTTGCCTGTGGATAGTTAGGTGGTTAGAATTGTTGCATGAACCACTTAGTTCACAAGGGTTCTCCTGCATGTGAGCAGCCAATGCCTCCTGCAATTGCATGGGGATAAGTTTGCATGAGCCATCACTTGTGCAGATACATCACTGCTCTTCTTGTAGTTTGGGGAACTGGGAAAACTGCTGCAAAGCTTTACAGCTCCTCCCCCCCCCCCCCCGTGATTAGAGGGCTACGCCTGGTTGCATGGATGGGAATCTGTGAATTGGCTTGCCTCTAAGTATGTCTAGTAAAAGTTGTTCCTTACCAAGTTCAAGAACTGGAAACAAAGATATTCAGATTGCAAATCTGACTCCAGGAGCAGTGAAAGAATAGAGAACAGCTTTGGAACCTAGAATTGGGCTTGCATGTTGATGAGCTTGATTCAGTGTAATGAGGATTGATCTCTGGTTTTTCCTGACCACTGACTCTGAAAACACTGAAACCAGCTCCCCCAAAGTCTGCCCCTTACGATTTGTAATTGACACAATGCCAAGGCTTGGAACACATGGTTGGGATAAAACATTTACAGCAGGTCCATTAATGCTTTTAAAGCACTTGTATTAATGAAGTGCTGATAAGATAGCTGATATTCTACCATGCAAAAACAAAGATGAATTTATTTACCATGGTTGTTTGGCATTGTTGCTCAGTTTCCAGAGTCCTAATGACGTTGAGGTATGTATACTTTTTTGAGGCAGCAAACTAGTTCCAAACCTTCATGTAAAAATATGATACGAAGGGAGCAGCCGTGCCTGCTTATTCATGGGTCTACCACATGTTAGGCTTAAAGAGGTAGGAGTGATTTTTTTACATCACCAGGGATGTGAAGGTGAGGAGAGCTGAACCCGGCTGCTAGCTCCCCATGCTTTGCCCAAGTAGTTACTCTTCACCCCCAGCTCAGCTCACTTCTGGCATAGGAAGAAAAGTACCTGAAATGATGGAGTACAGAGTCTGGATGGGAGTGAGGTGGAGGCCTACATCTTCTCACCTGCTCTCATTTTGGTGTACAAAGTAGAGCCCCATCTCAGCTTCATACTTGAATGAGAGGTGCCTGCTCTCATCCCACTCAGCTTGGCTTTTGGGACTGCATAATGTGCACGAGGCATTTTCCAATGACAAAAATGATTGATTCATTTAAAACCACTAGGTTAAATTTACTTGGAGTTTATGAATAAGCAGATATGAACAGTGGTAGCTTTTCCACCCACTAGCTCTTGTAGGAGAAAATGTTCCCTTCATTGCCTCAACACCCAGCTGTCTGCCCCCAACACCTTGCTGTTCTGAGTAGGTCCAAATGAATTTGGCCAAAGAAATGAATGAATGAATGAATAATACACTTTTGGAAGGAAATCTGTTACATTTTTGGAAAATCCAAGTTTATAAATACACAACACATAAGCATCACTTCTTGTATCCCTGACGACAAAAGGCCTGCTTCATTGAAGGGTTGGATAGGAATTTCCAAGATGGGGAGCTTGTCACATCCTTGCCATCCCTCTTTGATGTGTTGAACAGTTCCAACAGGGCTGCCCCTTAAGCACTAAAGCGAGTGCCACTCCCATCTTCATCACATCTTCTGCTTAACTGAGAGTGGGCGTGGGGTAGGGAATCATGTGTGGGACTAGGAACAGAGTGAGCAAGGCTCAAGTCCCCACTTAGCCCTTTTGCTGGCGGGGTGTTTTTGGACCAGGCACCATCTCTCAGCCCCATCTGTAGAGGGTGTGGTCAGTGTGGTCCAGTGGCTGGAGTGTTGGACCTGGGTTCAGATTCCCACTGGGCCAGGAAGAATGACTCTGGCTGACCTTGGGGCAGCCACTATCCATCAACCTACCTCATAGGGTTGTGGCGGGGATTAAATGAGGAAGAGAACCATGGATCCCACCTGGAGCTCCTTGGAAGAAAAGGGGCAGGATTTAAGTGCAATAAACACATAAATTCATGAAGAAATTAATAAATGGAGAGGGAGGACTGTGCACACCACTCTCAGCTAAGGGGAAGGGCAGAATAAAAACAAAGTTTCCCATTCAACGCAATGGGATGTAAAAGTGGTTCTGTTTGGCTTCTCAGTGGTGTGGGTCGGTATCCGCTAGCCTCATGTTCTCCAGATGTTTGGGACTGTCACTCCCATCGGCTCCAGCCACCACATCTGGAGGGCACCACATTGGCAAAGGCAGATTTTTGTGTTGAGAAGGTTCTTTGCATACTTTGCTCTGTCTGCACTTCATGGCTGGCTTTCCACCTTTTCTCAAATGCTTATTGGACATTTTGCTATTGTGACAAGAGAGAAAACTGCTGTCCTGTTAGTACTCCTCTGCCCTGTCTTATGCAACCTGCTGTTGCCACACAACTTGGCCTGCCTTTGGGTACTCTGGTGGTGCCCTCAAGCCCTCCATCCCTTTTGGCCTGGGCATCCTTGGGCCCTGCCTCACTTGCTTTTGCCAGCTGAAGAGGTGAGGAGGGTGGCACCCTGGGTTTGAGTCACAACTCTTGCACATCTCCCCTGTCCTGTCCTGGAGTCTTCTCATCTAGGCAAATGCCCAGTGCTGGCATAGGCCCAATGGCTGGGCTAATCTCGTGGACCAAACCAGAACCCCAAACTGTCAGGTCTTCTTAATGCGTCACTTAAGCATTCATGTATACAGAAAAGTTGGCTTTCTGCAAGTCCTAGCTAAGATCAGTATCTTTTTGTCTGTTTCTTTGGAGGTTTCTGTAGCTGGTCACACTCCCAGACACAGCCTTAAATAGGAAGAGAAAACATTTCAAAAAGGTGTGTGTCACTTAATGTACCACAAGAGCATTGCTAATTACTCTCTAGGTGAAAAATTTCCAGCCCTGCCTACATGCCTCCAGGGGCCCATCCTACTAACCAAACATTGCACTTCTTACTTGTAGCCCCAAAGGCAAACAGAGTGCCGTGTCTATTTCTGGTTGCTCTGAAAGCAAACAGAAACCTATCGCACAGCCTGGCAGATCCTGTCCTGCTATAATCCAGTACAAAGGCATTCACTTTGGTTCGAACCTCACCAGAAGGGGTTTTTAGACACCACACAAGGGTGTTCTGCTTGGAGTAGAGTTTCTAGAGTGGTTTTGCTTTCACATTGGCTGCATGTGGATGTCATGATAAACAAATCATAGTTTAGTGTGTCACGTACCAGCCTGTGCAAGTCTTGGGCTTGTTGCTGTCTCCTCTTCTAGCACGGCTGCAAGAAGAAGTTCAAAAGCTTTAGTTTCCATTTTAAATTAACTGCAGTTTTAGCTAAGATTAATAACAGGATTCAGAGCTTAACTATGGCTTGTTGAAACAAGCCACCTTCACAACCCATAGTTTGCAGCAGGGTTGTTCTGTTCTACTCTCAACCTTTCTGATAGTAAAAGCTTTTTGACTCTCCTTCCTTGGAGGTTTTTAAGCAGAGGTTGGACAGCCATCTGTCATGGATGCTTTAGGTGAGATTCCTGCATTGCAGGGGGACTACATGACCCTCTAGGTCCCTTCCAACTTGACAGTCCTCTGAAACAAACCACAGTTGAAATTTGCCACAGGTTAGGCCGACATAGCAAGCCACAGATCAGCATAGGTCCCAGTTTGGCTTGCAAGGCTGTTTTCTCCAAACCCCAAACTATGCCCACGGCCTACAGCTGGTATCCTATGTGGTGTCAGGTGAGATCCAGCTTCCCATCCCTGCCATAATGAAAAGTGAAAGTGAAAGCTTCCAAACATTGCTACACTAGCAGAGGGGAAGGGAGTGAGAAGGTGCGTCAACCAGAGGCTCCAACAAGCTCCTTCTCAGAACTGGGGGGACTCAGGCCCTGCAGGTGAATCCAGCCTCCCTCCAGGACTCTCTGCCCAGCCCTTGGGACCCCCCCCCCACCTAGAGCCTGCTCCTCCCACTCAAGTGCTTTTGCTTATCCTTAAGGGGACCTTGGACTGTGACCATTCCTCTTGTTTGCCCTGGTGTGCAAGTGTCTGTAAACCCCGACTTTTGCATGGTTGGAATGAATCATACCATGCAAAGGTAAGAGCACATCCATTGCTCAGCCACTTTTTGGCTCCGGTCACGCCCACTTTTGACTAGCATGTGTGCTCCAGAAGGTCATCCACAAGAGAATGCGGTCCTTGGATGGAGCAAGGTCCCCCACCCCTGTGATTGTACCCTAGTTTATCATGATGCCCCAATGCAGCCACTTTCTGACAGGTTGAAGCATTTCTGTTTTCAGCTAAGAAGGAAAAAAAATCTGTTGAAGTACCGTGCAAGAGACGGACATTCGTAGGATTGTCACTAACAGCTTTGGTTTTTAAAGAATTATGGAAAGTGAAAGGGTGTCAAAACTGCAAAGCAACTTCTTTATACAGTGGTACCTCGGGTTAAGAACTTAATTCGTTCCGGAGCTCCATTCTTAACCTGAAACTGTTCTTAACCTGAAGCACCACTTAAGCTAATGGGGCCTCCCACTGCTGCCGCGCAGCCGGGGCACGATTTCTGTTCTCATCCTGAAGCAAAGTTCTTAACCTGAGGTACTATTTCTGGGTTAGCGGAGTCTGTAACATGAAGCGTCTGTAACCTGAAGCGTCTGTAACCCGAGGTACCACTGTAGATTATTTTCTTGTTGTGAGCAGGTACCATCTTAATGGTCCCCTGGAGGATGTCCCAGGAGCCATTGGAATGAGAGGTCTGCCCTTGGATTCCTTGCAGGGCTACAATTACAGCAAGGAAATATATGAGACGTACTTTGAGTACTGTACTCTGAATCATACAATTATTATTGCTATTATTGCAGCCAAAACAGTCATGTAGGACAGATTCCCAACCTTCTTAAGAGGACATATGTCTGCTTGTACTTTGAGTGCTTTGATAATATACTGTAGACAGTGATGATGTTGCACCATATTTATTTAATGGAAACCCATAACGTTTTTCTGAGTCATGAAGCTGAACGTTGGGTGTGGGTTTCAACAGAGTTCCATAATGGTTTGCCACTAATCTGGACTCTCTGTTCCTAAACAATCATCACTGGAGCCAAATATATGAAATCAGGCAGAGGCAGATTGGGAGGTTTTCTCCATGAGTTTTACCACCCAGATTCAGAACTCCCCATGTAGTGCTCTCTTAAAGTCCAAGCCATCGGCTCACCACTCACCCTGAAGCAGTGAGAGAGATACATTCAGTGGCCAGAGGGAAATACTAGGTTGTCCTAGCCTTGATAGGTGCAGGTTTGTTACTGGTGAGAATTGGAGGATTGTAGAAGAGCCAGGAGATTTCCAGTTCAGATCCCACCGCTGACACAAATTCACTAGTCCTTTACCCATCAACTTGCTGAGCGTTTGGTTGTTAAGAATTACTCAAACAGTATGTGAAATGTTCTGAACCCCTGAAATGTGCTAAGTATTAACTGAATACAAACATTTGTTGGAGCCTGAACAAACCGTTTTCTCCTGTTGAGTTCTGAACCAGCTTTTAGGGCAGAATCATCCAACTTCTCTTCTGTGCCTTCTGGCTAGATCTTGAAGCCTTTGTTTTTTGCTCAAAGCTTACTTCCTGTATTCAGATGCTAAATACTTCTATTATCATTTTTTCAAAGGGAACTGAAAGGCAAGATTGAAAAAGAAAGCACAAAGCGTGAGCTGCTGTCCGGTCAATCCCACCTCAATGAAACTCATTGCATTCACTGCCTGCAGCCCTTCAAGTTCCTGGTGAACAACAAACGCAAATGCTTAGACTGCCACTTACACACCTGCAAAAATTGTAGCAGCTACAATAAAAAGGAGGAAGGTTGGGTGTGTGATCCTTGCCGTTTATCCAGGTAAGTAGGACAGATTCTTGCTGTTGCTGCAGTTTGTATAGTAGTGGGCCAAAGTAGATGTGAGATTGGGTTCTGTCTGGTACTAGAATTTCTCACAGGTTTCAGTGTTTATCCACCTAGCCCTACAAAGAACACCCGAAATGATTTTATTTTCATTTTTTATTCCTTTGCGTGAACCTTCTTCAAGTTCCACTTAATACTCCAGTATATCCAGAACAGGATTGAACTGGTGTTGGAGGGTTGGGCAGGTGAGTGGTTGCAATAGGGAGGTGCTGCGTTGTCGTTTGACTTTTCTGTTTTCAAAAACAGGTGAAATGAAATGGTCATTGTTTCATTTTTATCCCATCCTTTACCTAGACAGCTCAGGGTAGCTGCACACACCTCTCTTCTTCCCCTAGCCCTGCGGGATAAGTTAGGCCTAGGGACAGGGATTGTTCTAAGGTTAAAGTCCAGCACGTAAGATGCTCTCTTAGCAATTCATTTCACTTCTGCTTTGCTCAATCCCCAGCATCAATTCCCTCAAGCTTCAGGCACTCATCTGCCAGCAATGTGACTTGAGGATGCTTTCTTTAGTTTTCACAACAGGCCTTTATATTTGGGTATTTCCCCCCATTACATTGGTGTGAGGGGAAGCACAGAAGAACACCTGCTGATCCCACCCAGTCCCTCACATCACCCTATAGCATGAACTCCTATAGTAGGGAGCCTTTGGCGCTTGTAAGACCAGCGTGCCGTGTTGCACAAGGAGGCTGCCCAAGTGAAAAAGTTCATGGAAGGAGGTGGAGCACTTGCAGAATCTGTTGTTGCCGAGCACCAATCTTTTCTCTCTCTCATTCCATGAACTTGGTTGCTGAATTCCCTGCTTCCCTCAGAATGTTTTATCCCCAGGCTTGTGTTACCTATGCAGGACACTACGTGTGCCTAGAATAAGGAGCTGGGCTGCATCCATGGCTGGGCCGGCCATGTTCCCCAACAGCCACTCATTGAGCACAGACAACTGAAGAGGAGCCCCTGGACATGAACAGCTGCTCCTGCCAGGGAGCAGTCAATTTGTGGATGGAGAGGCCAGGGCTAATCTGGCTCCATGGCAATGGAAATGTTACCTTTTTGTGTGTTTTGTGTTTGTGTGGTGCAGTCAAAACAGCACTAAAGTCAACAGGTGTGTTTTAATTGATTGAAGGTTTGGGATCATACCTGTGTACATAATCCTTTTTTTTCTCCTACTGGACAGGATTGTGAAGACTGGATCTGTGGAATGGTATTATGAGCATGTGAAATCTCGTTTTAAGCGGTTTGGAAGTGCTAAGGTGATGCGGTCGCTCTACGGAAGGATGACGCATGGACAGAAAATGAATCCTACCTTGCTTGGTATGGCCAGGGGTCTGGGGGGGGGGGTGTCCTCTCAGTATCTTTCTATACAGCACTCTGAAGGTTCCACAGAGTAGTAAAGGTAAAGGTCCAGTCGCAAATGACTCCGGGGTTGCGGCGCTCATCTCGCTTTACTGGCTGAGGGAGCCGGCGTACAGCTTCCGGGTCATGTGGCCAGCATGTCTAAGCCGCTTCTGGCGAACCAGAGCAGTGCACGGAAACGCCATTTACCTTCCCGTCGGAGCGGTACCTATTTATCTACGTGCACGTCAACGTGCTTTTGAACTGCTAGGTTGACAGGAGCAGGGACTGAGCAATGGGAGCTCACCCCATCGCGGGGATTCGAACCACCGACCTTCTGATCGGCAAGCCCAAGAGGCTCTGTGGTTTAAACTGGGTACCAAATTAACTGTCACCACAAATCACAATAATTACATCTGAGTAGCCACAGTCTGTTCCCACACATTTGGAGTGAGTGACGTGGCTCCAAAGTTAGAGAGTGTGGTTTCTCAGCTGGCTTGAATCCCAGCACCTTTGCTTTTAGAAATTAATCACCACTGGTGAGCGGTTTGGAAAAAGTGAATTGCAATGAGCTGTTTGCCCTTTCACTTAATGCTAAAATTAGGGGCACACACTTGGAAGTTAACTGCAGTTGATTTAAAGTTAATCCAGCAACAATTTTTGAAGGCAGAACCATTGGTTACAGTTCCTGGTAGCAACCAATCTAGTGTTTAGGGGTGTCATTAACATTAACTATTGAAAGATCGATGGCAAGTCTTCCTGGAGCATCTGAAGGTGGTCTCTGTTGAAGAAAGTCAAATGAGGCTCTTTAGGAGCTATGCAGGTATCAGGTTCCCCACAGGGAACAAGATGCATAAGACTGGCCGAGCTGCCATCTGTGAAAACACAAAAATTGGTGATTGCCCAGATCTGTTTTAATTTTGCAGGCCAAGTAAAACAAAATGTCCAAATAAGACATTATAGAAACAAAGGCTGGAGATGAACAAAATAATGGTAGTAACAACAACTACTTCTACTTTTACTACTATTTCAAGCAATTGTTGTCAGGTTGTGTATACACTCATTTTTCTGCAGTTTTCAAGTGAACAGTCTTTGCATGTTTTTGTAGTGCTTCTAAAAGTCACAATGGGTGGGAACAATTGGACCAAAGAAATGAATGTGTACCATCACCTGCCAGCGAGTGTAGTATAAAATGACCTCCCATGAAGCTGCTGTTCACCATTTTTTGGGAAACGTAAATGGCACAGCAACCATTACATGCATGTTTTTCCTCACAGAGCAAATGGCAATTTAGGGACTGAATTACTTGGGGGAATGGACCGGACAAAGGGTTGAGATCCACTAATTCCCATTGCTGTGATGCATGTCCAGATTGCCCCAACCCTGGATGAAACTGCAGTTTGCCAAAATTTAAAGAAATGGGAGGTCTGACCACAGATATTTGCCACCTTGCCTCATTTGGCCCTCAGCTGTGAGGGAGATATTTCAGAACACACTTATTGTTGGCATCCATCTGTATCGGGAGACAATGGAAGAAATGCAGACTAAACAGGCCTCTCTGGGCTCATCCACACTTTTGCTTGTCCCTTCCTTTCTAGGCACAGGTCTGAGTGGTTTTTTTGGTTTGTCCTACCACTTTCCCCAGGAAAAGCTCACTGTTGAATCAGAACATCAATCTGCAAAAAAACCAATTGACTTTGGTTCTGATTTAGCAGTGGGACAAGCAGAAGTGTGGAGAAGCTTTCTTTGCCTGACTGTCCTCCAGGCCTGCCTTCTTAAGAAATAGCCAGTGAGCCAGTGTTGCATCTTTAAGGCTGGACATTTCATCCTTAAGTCTTGTGCAAGAAAAGTGAAACCTGATCCCGATACGTTATTCTGCTCATGTGGAAGTTTGTGCAGCCTCATGCTTAAGCAGAATCGCTATAGGTCCTACCTTTTTAGCCTTGTGGAGGACTGCTAATGGTTATTTTCCTTCTGCTTAGAATTCTTTGAACCCAGTCCAATAGATCTGCTCTGCAGCTGGAACATAATGACTTGCTGCCGGCTTTCCTGGGACACATTGACCTCCAGGGTTCATTCCAGTGAAGCATTCTCTAATATGGCCAAAGCTTTCTAATGGCTGAAACATTTGCTTCCGGCTATGAAGCCTTGTTTTGTCTATTTGTCTCTCTATCTTCCTTTTCTATCTGTCAAATACTGATGCAGTAGGCTAGCCCATTGGGAGCCACTGTGTAATGAAGACCTCACAGTTTGTGTTACCAAATGCATCACTGGAAGTTTATTGTCTATGTACTTACGAAGACTCCTTGCTTATCCAAGAACTCTAAAGCAAATTAGAATAAAATATGGAATATATAATGAACAGCATTATTGAAAGTAATATAAAAAACAATAATTCTGGAAGCCTACAAACTTAACAATAATGATATGTTTAGGAGAATCTCAGATTCTTTCTCTCACGCTTGTTAATTCCCCCACCCTCTTTAGACCTGCAAGAGTTTAATGTCTGAAACTGAAGGCACTCTTAACTTTGGAGCACATCTTAACCACTGGGACTTAACTTTGGAATACATGCACATTATCAGGCCTGAAAGTGTGTGCATGTGTGTGCATAATGCATTTTGTTTCTATTGCTCATACTTGCTGAATTGTACCTGGCCAATAGATGGCAGTCTTGGGCAGTCTTGCAGGTTTGTCATGTGAAGGCAAGCTGCCATTTACAACACACTCCATGAGAAGTGACATTTGGAAACCTCTGGCTCATTAAGGAAGAAGGTGTTTCTATGGGTCTTCCTTGTTTTCAGCATGGGATCTTCGGGAATATTTATATCCCTGTTCACTTTTAAAATGACAGCACATTAGTTTTATACAAAATCATACCAAAATCATGCCACGGATGGGGTCATTTACATTAGATCCTCCTTCATTTGACTGATGATATCTGGGGTTTGGGATCATTAATAAGCAGAGATCAATATGGTTAACAGAGCACCCTCTGATTCTGGCATGCTGACAGAGTGGCAGCAGAATCCTCTGCAAAGCAAACCAGGGAAATCCACGCTGCTCTGTTGCCCCTTGGTTATGGGTCTGCTGCAAAAGTTGGTTATAACATATCAGGTGCATTATATTGTACTCATACAAATGGCTTCATGCAGGGCTGAAATTACCACCCTCAGTTCTCCATGCTGTTTTGGCATGGGCTGCATTTCTAGCCTGATGCTGATGTCCTGGGGCCATAGCATCAACCCAGGACCAGGGGAACCCCATGCTGTTGTACGATGGGGAGATGCCTTTCTCATGTTCCACATTTTGGCACTGTGGTGACCCCAGTTATTATTCCACCACATCTTTGTAAGTGTTTGCTAGCAGACCGGGTTATAGGAAAATCCTACAGAGATATAAATATATCTACCCTGTATACATATTACATGTGTCAGTGGATGTTGATTTAAGTGGAAATCAGGCACAAGTAACTGTTTCCTAACAGGAATTGCCGACCTAAACTTGAATTATCCCTAGAAAAGGTAGCTGCTCTCAAAGCCAATACAGCATTTTTTCAGGAACTAACTTGCATGTGACCACAAGCTTGTTGGTTTTCAGTCTAAACTGGGGCTCCAGGCTGATAATAGATGCTATTTTTAATTGTCTTTACCAATTGTACATACATGCTCAAAGGGATAATTATTCAGTCCTACATCAGACTTACTGCAAAATATGTTTTAAAAGTATTTATGTTGCATTTTCCTCTTATTCTAGGTCTTCATGACAGAGTTTATAGCTTGCCAGACATCAACAGTAAGTGGCTTAAAACAAACAAGCAAACCTATACACCCTGCCCCACCAAGAGATGTCAGGATTGAACCTGGAACCTACTGCAGGCAAAACAGATATTCTGCCACGGAGCTATGGTCTGTCAAGGACAGAGGAAGGGGACTAAACTGGCTTTGTCATCCCCATAACATGGGAACAGCAAACATTCAGGCCACAATCTGAGCCACTTACCGTATTTTTCGCTCCATAAGATGCACCTAGTTTTTAGAGGAGGAAAACAAGAAAAAAATATTCTGAACAAAACAGTGGATGTATGATTTTTGTGGTTCTTGCTGTGGCCACAGACATGTGATCTGATGGTGAATTCGGGGTGACCCAATGCAAAAATCCTGAGGATCCATGTGGATCCGTGCTTTGTAACCACATTTTTGCACCATTGCAGCCCCAGGAAACAGTGAGTGCGTGATATTTTTTGGTGCAGGCTGTAGCCATGGACATGCTATGTGATCTGATGGTGAATTTGGGGTGACCCAATGTAAAAATCCTGAGGATCCATGGGCTTTTACCTCCCCCCTCCCAGGCAGCCTCCGCTAGCATCCCTTATCTCTCTTCCGTTCCCACCGATCAGCTGTTTCCTTTCAACACTCCCTTCCCTCTTGTTTGCCTTAGTGTCTTTTCCTTAGCTGGAGCAGTTTTTTGCTCCTCCTTTTCTTCTAATTTCTCTCCTTATTGCTTTAGTCTTCCTGTTTTCCCCCTTTGCAAGTTTGCTCCCCCCTCCCAGGCAGCCTCCTTTATCTCTAGCATCCCTTATCTCTCTCCCCGATTGGCAAACGATCAGCAGCTTTGTTTCAACACCCACTTCCCTCTTTCAAAAAAAGAAAAAGAAAAGAAAAGTGCATGATCTGCTTTTTGCCCCTGGGCAATTTGGCTCCAGGGACCATGCATTCGCTCCATAAGACGCACAGACATATCCCCTTACTTTTTAGGAAGAAAAAAGTGCGTCTTATGGAGCGAAAAATACGGTACTTGGAAGTGAGCTCCATTGAACTTACTTCTGAGTGAAATGCCTAGGATTGAAACAAATGCTGTGCATTCAAAAAATCTATAATAGCAATGATCAGAAATGAGGATAAGGTGGTCTTAGGCTGAGTCAGACCACTGGTGCCTCCTTCAATATGCAACCCTTTCCCAAAATCTCAGAAGCTTTTCCTCATCTTTGGAGGAGCGCCATAGCTCAGCTGTAAGTGCATCTGCTTTGCATGCAGATAATCCCAGGTTCAGGGCCAAGCAGCTCCTGGACTGGCAGAGAGGCCTTCTCAAATGTTGAGCTGCTGCCATGGCTGGACCAATGGTCTGACTCTGTATAAGGCAATTTCCTATATTCCTGTGTCTTTCCTGCTAATACCCTTCCTAGTGGAGATGGCTGACACATTCTGAATGTAAAGCATGCATTCTCCTGCTAAGCTACAGCCACTTCCTGAGTGCACCTTACATGCCTGATTTGACCGACCTGAGGGCCCATCTCTTTGCTGCCCAGGTGACTGCCACTTCTACAGCGGGAATGAGGACAGTGAGGAGGGAGAGGCAGAAGATGCTATCGATGGTGGAGAAGCAGAGTGCTATGCAAGGGTAAGGGCACCTGGGAATGGACTTTCTTCCATGTTAGCACTGAGAACTCGTTTATATATCACGCTGGGCCTTCTTGAATGAAGATATTACTCCTTTTTCTCGGGGAAAAGGCGATCTTTCTGCTTTTGATTTCTGATATAAATCTTATTTCCTGTGGAGTCATTTATTGGAGCCCTCATGCCTCAAGCTGGCTTCTGGGTGATGTTCTCTCATTTCTGTGCTCACAGTCTCTAGGAAGAATCTAAATTAAACCTCTGCATCCACTGAAAATGTAAAAAAAAGGAAACCCACCATTTTGCCCTTCTATAATCATTTGTATGGAGTGTGCAAAAGCTGTTGAAGTATATTAATGAATGACCGACTGTTAGCCAATAAAAGTTGAATGATCTTGAGTCATGGACCCAGTAGGATAGCCTCACCCATATAAATGATTTATTTTAGCAAGAATTGTTATTTAGGTTAGGAAAAAATTCTCACTGAAATGTTAAATCCTCAAATTCAGATCTTTAACTTCAGCTTTGGCATGTCAGTATATGTATAAGGAAATCAACATCTGAATAAATTCCAAATTCAGAGTGCAGAATCCTGGATCTGAATGTTTTTGTCTGAACTTATTTCTGCCCTTTTGGGAGAAGTAAATTGTTTTCAAAGGAGTGTTTGCATGTTTTCTATATAAATCTATAGGGAATAGCCTTCAGCTGCCCCTGTTCCTTATTGACCTGAAAAGCGTCCCATAGGAGAGAACAGCAGGGCTGTACTTGAACTCTGGCATAGAACTAGGAGGAAAATCCCCTGCAGAGCACTGCGTGGAAAGTAGCAAGATGGTTACTAACCTTTCCAAGAGACCTGTGAAAATATTTCACTATCAACTGTATTTACAATGGAATCTGGTTTCTTAAACTCTCTGTGCTTTCTAAGATGCGCAAGACCAAGCGCCTGCTGTCTGTCCATCCCTTTGATTTTGAAATGGACTCGGAATATTCTTCTCAATCTCGCCGGCAGTCTGCGCAACTCTCTCCTGGGAATGAAGGTCTTCAGGTATTACGGTGGTGTGCATGCCTTCCTGCTCGCTTGCATCATCCTTGGCACCTCAGAATTGCTCCCCTCCCTCATTCTTCTCATTTTCTTGACCTTTGCTAGCCCAGCTTGTTGTATAAGCATTTTCGTCTGCCCTGTGAAATGTATTAGTGAAAGCTACAAGTTGGAAATAGGCTAGAAAGTGAGAGAGCAGATTCAGATGTCAGGAGGCTTTTGCTTGTTGTCACTTTCTGACTGTAGCATCAAGCAGTGAGTTGCAATTGTGACTCAGCCTTCACTGATGGAGCACCACAGATTATCACTTCCACCACACGCACACATATATGAGTTTAGATTTTTCCCATGGGGAATTATTTGAAATACAACGGCAGTAAAACAGGTATTACATAGAAAGCTTCATACAGTCCTATTCATGCTTTGGGTAAGCTGTTTAGGATCTCCTTATGTTAACTCAAGCACAACACTTCAGTGTAGACTGTTCATACATTTAACAGCCACCCAACTTTGAGACTGGGACTAGGGCTTGCCGATCAGAAGGTCAGCAGTACGAATCCCCGCGACGGGGTGAGCTCCCGTTGCTCAGTCCCTGCTCCTGCCAACCTAGCAGTTCAAAAGCACGTCAAAGTGCAAGGAGATAAATAGGTGCCACTCCGGCGGGAAGGTAAACGGCGTTTCCGTGCGCTGCTCTGGTTCGCAAGAAGCGGCTTAGTCATGCTGGCCACATGACCCGGAAGCTGTACGCCGGCTCCCTCGGCCAATAAAGCGAGATGAGCGCTGCAACCCCAGAGTTGTCCGCGACTCGACCTAATGGTCAGGGGTCCCTTTACCTTTACCTTTACCTTTGAGATATGAAGTGGGAATTACTATTTTTCATCTTGGCAGCTACCAGACTGACTGTGGCTGCACATTGGAAACCTCCTCCTCCTCCTCTGCAAGCCCTCTCAGAGTTTCCCACTCACCATCGTGATTTGGGGGGCAGTGCATGCAAAAAAAGGATCATTTCGATCAGGTGTGGTATCAATTCACCACATATATAACCAACACTGAGGAAGTGCCCCTCCTCCAGACACTTACCTGTCAATGCCTCCTTGTCGACGCTGATGGGCACTGTTTCTTCTTAGAGCTTTGCGGGATTTCCCGGTGCCAAGGAAGACCCCTCCCAGAGGGAATCAATGATTGCCGAAGCTGACCTGGCGGCAACGTTCCACCACCTCCTGCAGGAGCAGGGGCAGCACCTGCCGGCCCCTGAACAGGAGTTCAGCACCGAAGTTCGGCTGACCGTCAACTCACAGCCTAAAAGCCTCGAGAGAACTCCCAAGGCTGGTAGGTTCTCCTGTAGCCAAACACCTGAGAAAATGCCTTCTCAGCACTGTTTATTTTAAGAAGAGCTAAAATATTAAATGTACAGCCTTTTGTAGATTTCTGTCTTTTAGTGTGAATCTAATTTACATGCAAAAATCACGTATCTCAGAGGATACAGAGGATGACCAGGAATCTCATCCCTAGGAAATGGTTGCAGAGCAACATGGATCTTTCTTGCCGAATCCTTCCTGCCAAAGTGTAACAAATACCACACTAATACGTTATTAAAAATGAGCCCTCTTGCAATGGACTCTGTGAACTTCTTTTGAATTTTCAGATCATTGCTGTAGTTATGATTTATTCTCATTTACATAAAGACCAGGAAGAACATAGTTCTCCAAGAATCAAACATGATTTCTGTAATGATGCTTAGCAACAGCAAACCCTCAGTGCCACCCTGCCAAAATGGTGGAAAAAACAAAATAACCCCCACCCTGCCAATATTATATATAATCAATATATTAAAATAAAAAGGAAAGACGTTTCACTAAAGCCTCTTTCTGAAGACACTTCAGATATTACTTGAAATTATCAGAGTGAGAGAAACAAATTTGTATTATTTGTGTGTTTACACTGGGGAGGGGGTCTTCGTTTTTTGATTTTTTTAAAAATAAAAATTTAAAATCTTTTTAAAATTGCATTTTGAAATGGTTATACTGTTACTGTGAACCATTCCTCTGCTGTGCTATCAGCCACTGAGCTTGCCGAAGAAGAGGGAGGTGTCAGGGCCACAAGGCCTGGGATAAGTTGGTGGCCCCCAGGATAAAGGACAAGCCACGCAGCCCAGACCAAAACTGCCCCTGTGCTTTCCGTACTTCAGACTGTGGGGAACTACATGATGAAATATTCCCTTCATGAAAAAAAATTCCTAAACTGATAGGACAAGAGCAGCTTCCTTTTGGGTCGCGTGCATCATGTTTCCAATGCACAGGAGCTGTTTAATTCACATCATTCTTCCTAATAGCAAAAGTGGCTGGTTAAGGGCCTGTCAGTCTGCAAGTGAAATGGGACCTCCCAAAAATAAGGGTTTGGCACCCAAAAACTTAGGGGAGCACTTCTCCCTAAATTAAAATGTTAATAATAAATTTAAAATAATGTAAGAAGAAGAAGAAGAAGAAGCAAACCACCAAGCCCATCCTAAGAAGGATCTGTGAACCAGTGTGGTGTCGTGGTTAAGAGCAGTGGACTCGTAATCTGGAGAACCTGGTTCGCTTCCCCGCTCCTCCACATTCAGCTGCTGGGTGACCTTGGGCTAGTCACGCTTCTCTGAAGTCTCTCAGCCTCACTCACCTCACAGAGTGTTTGTTGTGGGGGAGGAAGGGAAAGGAGAATGTTAGCCGCTTTGAGACTCCTTTGGGTAGTGATAAAGCGGGATATCAAATCCAAACTCTCCTTCTCCTTCTCCTTCTCCTTCTCCTTCTCCTTCTCCTTCTCCTTCCCCTTCCCCTTCCCCTTCCCCTTCCCCTTCTCCTTCTCCTCCCAGTTTCCTGGCATGTATGTAATGTTGAGTAGTATTTTGTTTTGCAGAGGGGAGAGGAAGCAATGACAGACGGAGTGATACTTGGAGTATAAATTGTAGGGGAATTGGTAAGCCCCTGATAGTTTATACGCTAAGTACAGTGGTACCTCTGGTTGCGGACGGGATCCGTTCCGGAGGCCCATTCGCAACCTGAGCAGAACGCAACCCGCGTCTGCGCAGGCCGCGATTCGCCGCTTCTGCGCATGCGCGTGACGTCATTTTGAGCATCTGCGCATGCGCGAGCGGCGAAACCCGGAAGTAACCCGTTCCGTTACTTCTGCGTCGCCGCAGGATGCAACCTGAAAAGATTTAACCTGAAGCAAACGTAACAAGAGGTATGACTGTATCCTGGAGGGGGATTAGGATGGTGGGGATGGGAGCTGTGAGGTGAAAGAACTCCAGTTCCTGCATTTCCCTTTCCCACTCTCTGGAACTCCCCCCCCCCCCGGCTGAAATGGTGAATGCTAGCAAACCAGCTCCAAGCCTGACCCCAAGCCCAGTTGGAAGAGACCCCAAGTCCTCCCTGCCCCTCCTGAAACCCCCCTCTCCCTCTCCCTCATGGTTCAAGGCTGGCTAGAACTTTGAGGCTGCCACACCAGCAATTGTTGCAGGTCTATAAACTGTACATGCCCCCCCCATGTGGCAGTGCATTCAAATCAGTCTTCCAGTCTTAAATGGTACAGACAAGACAAGTTGGCCCACACAATAAGCTCTTGATCTGGAGTGCATTTCCAAAAGGGCAATTGGAATGAATTCATCGCACAGACCCTCCAAAAGCATAAGCCCAAGCCATCGCCAACAGCCTACAGTTCTGGCAGATGGAAGACCTTCTTTCTTGGCACTTGGGGATGGCACGTTGATTTACGCCTTTTGGCAAGGTGCAGAACGCCATGTAGCAGGACAAAGATATCTCTTCTTCCTAGGCTCACATTGCCCATCAGAGGTTTGCATTTTAAGTAAAAATGTCTATGGAAATGGATCCTAGTCCAGTTACTCTCAGAAGGTTTTGTTGTGCCACAGGGTTCAGTGCTTTACAGTTACTATAAATATCTGGAAAATGTGATTATTGGAAACTAAATTATCCCTAATGTGGTTTCTCTTAACAAGGTAACAAAACGGAAAAGTGCATGGAGCAGAGATTAGACACCTGCAGCCTCTCAAATTCTGCTCAGTGTGTTCCTCATTTGTTGGTTAGGTAATGCTGCTCAGAGTTCAAAGGCCGGCAACAAACCAGGGCTGAGCTACTGTGGAAAATACGGGGACAAAACTCCAGAACTGGTGACAAGAGCCTTCCCCTTGTAGTTGCAGAGGATCTAAGCAAACTTGAGAAGGGTCCCCTAGAGTGTGATGTGTTTGGAGAGTTTTGCATAGGCCACTGAGGGCAGCAGGAATTTCTGTGAGCCTGGTCTCCTGCCTCTTAGCATGGGGCACTGAGGAGCAATGAATGGAGAGGAGTTATTGCCCAGTGGGTGGACTGCGTGCTTCACAGCATAGCAGGGTTTATCTAAGCACTGTTTCCCCAATAAACAATCCCCTCCCTCCCAATCCCCAAAGTGGCTTTTTGCTCCACGAGATAAAACTTTGGGGTACATATAACTTTCTCTTAATAGGTCAAATTGTCAAAGTAGGTGGGGAAAGCACAGGGACAGGGTTAAGCCGCCCCTCACTCTTGTAAACTTTTCAAGAAATAGATAATCTGATCACATATCTCTTTCATCTAGTTTGCCCCTGAAATAATGGCCACACTTTTCACATATTTTGATTTTTCTGGATTGAAAACTGGCAAACAACAAGCACCTGGCTATAGAAATATTCTATTCCTTGCAATTAATTTGCTTCCAGCTTTTGATTTGTTTAGGGAAGTTTTTAATGTCTGATGTTTTATTGTGCTTTTAATTCTGTTGGGAGCTGCCCAGAGAGGCTGGGAAAACCCAGCCAGATGGGCGGGGTATAAATAAATTATTATTATTATTATTATTATTATTATTATTATTATTATTATTTTGTCCCCTGTTTTTGTAAACATATCTAAGGCCAAAGTGAATAAATTGAAACTTCTTCCAGAAAGTTTCAGAAATTAGTAATCTCGCTCAGATTGCCCTGAAACACAAGATTTGAGTTTTGAGTCTATTCCTCTGAATCCCAGCCTTGTTCTGTTCCCAAAGGCAATCCCTGGAATGAGCAGCATCCATCCCAGTACTCAGCTGATCTGGACACTTCTGAGGAAGACATGGAGGGAGCCCAGAAGACCCTTGTCTATCAGCCCCACCACACAAAACGCAGGAGCCGAGCCTCATCCCAGGAGACCGTAAATCCATCTGGAAATCAGGTAAATAAGGAATTGGACACCTTCCTTCGAAACGTCTGCCACTGAAGTAAGCCAAGAGCTGGGATTTAAGGGTGACTCTTGCCTCAGAGTAAGAATCTGTGTCCAGGAGCAAACTAGAAACTAAGGTTGACTGACAGAGAGAACACAAGATTGCAAGAGTCAAATGCCTGCCCAACGAAATGTTTTTATATTTTTCCTGTTCAAGGTTTCAGAGAAAGCACGCTGCAAAACAAGGAAACTTACTTCCCTTCCTCTTTGATGAGTCTAAAAAGGTTTTCACAGAGCATCTTACCCATGTTCAAACATTCATAAATGGACATGAAGTTATAGGCTGTAGCGCTATCCCATTCACCCACTGTTAATCTTGTTGCATTTTATGTTCATTAATTGGTTGAATTTTGGTTCCAAGGCATGTGTTTTAAATGCATAGGATTCAATGGATTTCTTTTGGAGCACAAAACAGAACAACCCCTGTTGATGAGTTGTAAAGTGCTTGAAATCTTACCTGCAGGATCAATGCTGCTTTATCCATCTCTGAAAAGTTGCAAGTAAAAATGTAGCACCATTTTTAATGAAACTACAGGAGGTTACCCACCTTGGTTCTGATTGTCACCCAAACTGGAGATGAGAAGTACAATTTAGAGAAAGCATTCGTGATCTAACTGACCTCTTTCTAGCGTTGTTCTAAGTTTCTGCAACAAGACCAAGAATCTTATGGACTTTTTTTCCCCCTGTAGACCATGGGGCGGGGGGCAACTACTGATCTGAAGCTTCCCAGTTCTTCCACCCCATTGTATAGTTCTCTTTCTCCTTATTTTTACTGGCTTTTTAAAGCTTTTCTATCTCATTCCAGAACAACTGGAAGGATAAATAGTTTAAGAGAAACACATTGATTAAAAAAAAACAACAACCAAAACTATGGCTATACAATTTGGGCGAAATAGGTTTTTACCCCATCTATCCGAAAATAGCTTGGTAAGATTAAAAAGAAATTACTTTCACTGGTTTTCCAGACCAGTAGATTCATTGGTCTTTTGTAAAAAAAAAAAAAAAATTACAAGCCTCCTCCCTGTTCCCCTTTAAGTTTTGAGTAACAGGTATTTTGACAGGTGAGTGGCCCTTCCCATTTATCAAATTTGGCCCACGAAGCAGTTCATGGTAAGGATCTGGCCCATTGGATGGATGGGGTGAACTGCAGAACCCCAATTCATTTACACTCCTGCAACTGAGAGCGTTGAAAGTGCCTACCCAGGTCCTTTAATTATTTCTCTGCAAGTGACATGAGAAGCCAGAATCTCTCCTCCAAGAACATTTCCCCTGGAATCCAACTGTTTATAGCTGAAGTTTTTGGAGGCCGTGAATTGTTAATTATTTTTCCAGTTTTGTTGTTGTTGTTTAGTCGTTTAGTCGTGTCCGACTCTTCGTGACCCCATGGACCAGAGCACGCCAGGCACTCCTGTCTTCCACTGCCTCCCGCAGTTTGGTCAAACCCATATTAGTAGCTTCGAGAACACTATCCAACCATCTCGTCCTCTGCCCTTCTCCTTGTGCCCTCAATCTTTCCCAACATCAGGATCTTTTCCAGGGAGTCTTCTCTTCTCATGAGGTGGCCAAAGTATTGGAGCCTCAGCTTCAGGATCTGTCCTTCCAGTGAGCACTCAGGGCTGATTTCCTTCAGAATGGAGAGGTTTGATCTTCTTGCAGTCCATGGGACTCTCAAGAGTCTCCTCCAGCACCATAATTCAAAAGCATCAATTCTTCAGCGATCAGCCTTCTTTATGGTCCAGCTCTCACTTCCATACATCACTACTGGTTTTTCAAGTTTACAACCAAGCAATTCAATTCATTCAGACATTCAAATCTCAATGAAAGTTTTACTTAAGACTCAGTTCTGTTTCACACTGTGAAAACTTGAGACCAGTTCCAGCATAGCGTCTTATTCATTTGTTTGATTGCATATTAAATGTGTACATCTTAATGCTTATCCACAATTGCTTCCAAGTTCTGAACTGGAATCTGGAGTTCAGAAAAGCCATGAAGACACCTGGGACTTTAAGCCTAGTGTGAACCAAGGCCTAGTGGGGCCAAGGACCAGGGAAAGTACCTCACATCTCCAACAGTTAACATTATACCAATGGGAGTTGTCTTGACTATGGTGGGATTAATCCACTGCCAATATGCCATGGTCCCAATCCTGATCCCCTTTGCTATTTAGAGCTGGTGGGTTACCTTTTTTGGCCTGAGTGCCACATTCATCATTGGACAGCCCTCTGGTGGTTCAGGGGCGACATTTGGTGTGGTCACCTTATTGCAGATATTAATATTGCACAGCTTGAAGCAACTGGATGCATAAAAACCTGACTCCTTTTGGAACAAAACATTGTCTAGACCCACAAATATTGTTCAAAGCTTTACTAACCAGAACTTCTTCAAAACAGGTACAAAAAACATGGAAGATACATCTACATAATACCATAAGACATATGCCCGTCCAAGGCATAGGTTCATCTTCTTAGAAATAAAATAACTTATAACCAGAGCTGACAAACATAGCTCTCTCTCACACACATAGGTTCCATTAGCCTAAGCTCCTGTTACACTTCCTTCTCCCACGGAGCTTGGAAACAAAGAAAAACTCTTCCAAGATGGCGAATTTGCAATTGAATGCCTTCATCAAAGTTAAACCCTCAGTTCATTATCAACTAGTTAGAGCTCAGAGATGCAGCCAGTGTTAGCAAGATACATTCAGACATTCTCAATTTCAGAGTCAATTAAATCATTATACTTACACCTACTCACAACTCTCTCTCTCCCCCCCCCCCCAGCCCTCCACCTTCAGCTGCTCTGGCAGCAATCCCCTCTCCCTACCAACTGATGAGGGAGATGTTCCCCATCTGGCCTCTGGGCTTTCTCTGCCCGCCATACTGACACATCTACTTTATTTTTTCATTTTTGCCACCTCCAGCAAAATCAGTGAGGTCCTTGGCTGGGCCAGACCCTTGGCTCAGGTTTAGTCACCTCAGATTTAGAGTGTATTGGGACGGGGAGATTCACAGAAGTTGGGGCTGTGTTTTGCCCTGTTCAGCTATACTTTTATCTGTGAAGCACAGATGTTATGGCCCACTTTTGCTTCTACTTTCCTGGAAATGAAGCCGCAACATGTTGTCCCAGAACTGGTTCTCATAGTCTACCACTGAATGCTAAGTAACTAATACTGAGGAACAGGCCCTTCCATCTTTGTTACTTTTCTTACTGAGAAACACACTGCATTTTATCTTTCCTCTAACAATTCGGCTCTTCTTTTCTTTTGGCATCATTGATTTTTACAGACATTCCCACCTTTTGAAAGCCATCAATTTCACAGCCTTTTATGGTTTTCTGTTGGCTGCCAATGGCTTCCCCCACACTAGGCATCTTGAAAGTGATCTTACCAGGGCTCTTGGATCAGGGACAAATCTTGGAGCGGGGCATCTAAGCATCAAGAACTCTCTTCAGTGCTTCCTCCAAGTGTCCAAATCACAGCAGAGCTCGGTCACAGTGACTTGTCACTTGCTAGTCTGACTGATGCAACTGAGTTGTTATTTTTCTCTGTAAAATGAGATTTATTATCTCTTTACCCAAGACCCTTGAGCTACTTGGGAAAACACATGTTGATTCTGCAAAAAGTTAATTATACTCAGATACAGTAAGCATTTAGTGTTTGTAACAAAGAAAATGAGCAGATTAAAGCTACTTCTATTCCATAACACTTAGATCTTCTCTTGTCTGAATTTGTTTTATCAAAGTAGCTACTATATGGTGGTCCTCTATAATCAGTAATCTCAGTTACTGAAAAGCTCATTTTGTACTTTTGTATATCTCAATTAGAGTGTTTTGCTATGAAAAGAGCAAATAGTCTTTCACAACGGACATTCCCCATATACCAGGATTCTCGCAACTTCACTTTCCAGCAATGACAACTCGAAGCATTTTTCAATCCAGAGCAGACGCTAGCCAGCTTCTTGTCTGCTTTAGATTAGACTCCCACAGTTGACCTGGATTTGAATTATGGAAAGGGTTCTTGTATTCTCTTGAATACTCGCCACCAGCACCACCTCAAATACAAATTCTGGCCATGACCCAGAAAAGTGGGCAGTTATTTCTTCCTGTTCAAGCCACACACACCATGCCATGTGGAAAACTCCTTTTGAAAAGGATGAGACATTTGAAAGGGACTTGTGCCCTGAGCCAGGCTTGCCCCAGTGCTTGGATGTGCCTAAAAAGAGGGATTTGGATCTGAATTACTGGCATTATAACCAAAGCTGTTATTAGTTTGGGTTTCGCAACAGAAACACACACAATTCTTCAAGAAACTACAGCAGGAATTCACAATGTGCAAATGCAAGGCACATAAACAAATTTCATTTTCACAGAATCATAGAATTGGAATGCAGGAATAAGCAGCGGTCCCATGCAGGGATCGAACCTGCAACCTTGGTGTTATCAGCGCCACCCTCTAACCAACTGAGCTATCCAGGCTGAACTTAACTTGGTGTTATTTTTGTCATATATATTGTTAGCCTTTAGACAGGACACATCTTAAGAGGAATGTTTTTGGCATTAGCATTGCCCTGAGATATTAAGATTCTTAGCATTGAGATTGTTTTAGCAGAGAGGATACGGCATCGTTTATACAGATATAGCACATGTGTCAGAAATGCCGTGCTTTAGTTCCAAATGTTTGTAGTCTGCTTTCGTCATGAACTCGTTAAGCCTCACAATTGGGATTTATTAGGAAAGAGCCAAGCTTTCTTTAGCTGCAGAGATTCAAATACTGAGGTCTAATGAATTGTGCTGAGCTAAGGGGGTAATCCAATTATCCTAGCTACCTAAATGGCTTAGAATTGGCCATGATATAAGAGATAAGGTGAGTGTAACCCTATTATTCCTGCCATGTTCACAGTCGGGGGCAAATTCTGTGCTCTGGAGAGTTGTGCAGTCCCTTTGACCTATGGGAGGATTTAAGTGGAAGCAGAGCACAAGAGCGGGGCTAAGCATGGTTTCCGTTAGAGCCAACTCCAGAATAGAATTTCATTCCTACAGGAAATTCCACTGTGTTTGAAATTTTGTTTCTGCTCCAAGGGAAAACTAGAATATCGGACTCAAAGTTCTGAAGTGTTTCAGTGTAGACAACAAAAATTCATCTGATTTTCTGTCATTGCTCACAGGGGATGTACATTTTGTTTTGTTGTCTGGCAAAATTTTGATATACTTTAAAATTTAAACAGCAATAGGAGAAACACCCTTACATTAGATTGCCTCAACAAATATTTGCCAAACTTAAATTTTAACTAACCAACCTTCTTGGGTAATGCAACCCTCAGCTAGGCCCTTAAAATTTAAATAAATTTGTTAGGGTGGTTATAGCCTCTTCCTCCCAGTCTGTTCGGGGGGGGGGGGACTCCAACCCAGCAGATTTCATGGGAAACTGGGGTGCAGGTGGAGGGACAGTCCCCCCAAATGGCCTCCCCCCTTCCACTGATGGATGCACCTGGGCTCTCCGTCCCTGGAGGCTTTTAAGCAGAGCTTGGCTGGCCACCTGTCCTGGATGCTTTAGCTGAGATTCTTGCATTGGCAGGGGTTGGACTACAGGACCCTCGGGGTCCCTTCCAACTCAAAGATTCTAGGATTCTGTGAAGGGACACCAACCAGATACCAACCTTAGCCTTTGCAACAGAAGACCTTTTGCTATATTTGCTGCGACAGACTCACATGGCAGACTCTGGAATTTGACAGTTTTATCCCGCTTATTACGCAGCTCCCTGGCATAGCCCTTGAAGTGGTTTGCAACAACTTGCAAACAATAAACTGCAATGCAATCTAATAATGCAAACAGCCATTACCTGAATCACAACACATTCGTGCAAAAAACAATTAGCAGCCACATCCATCCTTTGAAGGAGTAGCTGGTAATGAAAGCTAGACAATGATGATGCCAGCTATCTCTTGTGTAATCACAGCAAACCACAAGAGGCACCTCTCCTCTGGATCTCAATGCAAAAGCAAGCAAGTTTAGGTATCTGTTAGTCATTAAGATGCTAGGAGATGCTTACAGGGGTGCCACCTTGATTAAAATGGGGGGGGGCAGGTAAGCGCCGCTCCACATAATTGATCACATGCGCACCATTTGAATGGCAGTGCCCATCAACTTGGGGTGTGTCCCTCTCAACTATTTTACTGGGGGGCAAAGGGACCTCGGCCCCTAGGAGTTGGCCTCTGCACTTCAGAATTGCATGAGGAGCTTCCGACAAAACGTTGCCGCATGGAGTTCTCAGGTGCTTCGGTCCAGCTGACCAGTCATTTGTTTTTCAGATATACTCAGGGTCATTTCTGCTCTCCTTGGTTCCTTACCCCCCACACCCCACCCCACAGCAGTCAAACAGCATTCTGTCCTCAGTCATCTTATTTGATGGGTCCCCCCCCCAGCTTTCTTTCTGAACTTACGCAAACCTTGGGTTTTCCCCAAACTACCTATACCTGCCACTTGTTTGTGGGTGCGGCCCTTTCGGCTACCTAAGAATGGGCTCTTGGAGCAGGAGTCCACTAGCGTTATGTGCCAGGAAATGACAACGCATCATTTGTCTCATCTCTCCTTCGCATCCCTGTGCGTCTCTTCCTCTGTCCTTTCCCAGGATACGCCATTCCTTTTCCTCTCCCAACTGGTTTCCCATTTTCCCTCCTCTCAGCAATTCAGCATTCAGGGCAAAGGGGCAGGGTGTGCCAACACCCTTCACAAACCCGCAACACTCTCTCTTGCACCACGTGAACCTCAGGGGATGCGGCCTTGGTGCGCATGAGGAGGGCTGTGTGAATGACCCTTATATGAACAGGAAAAAGGACCGTGTATTTGGAGGAAAGCTGGGATAGGAATGAAGGAAGGGAAGCACTTCTCATAAGCTCATTTGCTTTAATTGAAAACTGAAAAAGAGCTTTTAAAAATTAGTGGCTAAACTTAGGTGAATAGAATATTCTGACACAAGCTGAACTACAGAGGAGTTTCAGCCCCATGACTGTCATTTCCCACAGCAGATGGAGGAGGAACCGGCCCATCCCAAAAGATCCCCACCAGCATGGACCACCCATTCCCTCTGCCACCCCTCCCCTCATCTCCTCTCCCAACCCACAAGGGGAGATGTCTCTGGTCTTCATTCAGCCCTGGAAAGGGCTTAGAAAAATTAGAGCCAGCAAATCCTAAACTGGAACCATGGCAGAGAGAACTCATATTTCTGATGCCCTTTAATCTGCCACAAAGTCACTTGTGCTAGACTTTACAAAGTATTTGTTTCTCTGGTTTTCCATCTGAGAGATTGCCAGCTTCATCTGGTTAATTTGTCAAAAGATTTGATCAATGTTGTGCTTGCTTCTAGCTGGACTCAGTTGCTGAAAACTCACTTCAGAATTTCATGAAACATTGCCAGGCTGCATATTCAGATCCATTAGAAAATATTTTCAATTAAGGATATGGATTACAGCATTACTTTGACCCTAGCCAATTTTACAATCATCTTTCCCAGTGTGCTTTAATCTGCTATGCAGATCCATATGGTAAAAATTATCCATGAGGGAATTAATAAAAAATGAGGCAATTAATCACAAAAGCATAAGAAGCATAAGAGGCCCTACTGTAAAAGCACTCAGGGGGTCTATTGTCCTATTGTTGTTGTTAAAATTTATATACCGCCCTACAACCCACAGCATTATTTTAGTTATAAATAAAAAGAATCAAGAAATACATAGGCAGCAGTAAATGTGCCCTTCAAGCATTTTTAACCAATGCAAATGAATCACTTCACAAAGTGTGGGCAAAGAGGGGAAACGGCCTCAGTCCACTATACCTGAAGGAGCATCTCCACCCCCATCATTCTGTCCAGACACTGAGGTCCAGCTCCGAGGGCCTTCTGGCAGTTCCCTCACGGCAAGAAGTGAGGTTACAGGGAACCAGGCAGAGGGCCTTCTCAGTAGTGGCACCCGCCCTGTGGAACGCCCTCCCACCAGATGTCAAAGAGAAAAACAACTAGCAGACTTTTAGAAGGCATCTGAAGGCAGCCCTGTTTAGGGAAGCTTTTAATGTTTAATAGACTATTGTATTTTAATATTCTGTTGAAAGCCGCCCAGAGTGGCTGGGGAAACCCAGCCAGATGGGCGGGGTATAAATAATAAATTATTATTATTATTATTATTATTATTATTATTATTATTACTACTACTACTACTACTTAGCCGGATGCCGAAGAGAGCAGTGAGGCATCTGGGCAAACAGATTTGGTGGAGGAAGGCTCACAGTTGGGCTGCAACCACAATAAGCCACCCCTTCCTCATTTCATTTTAAAAAAGCAAAGCAACAGAAACAGAATGAAAGAGAAGGAGAATTATGTTTCCTCACAAGTTAGACAAGGCATTGGCACATAAGTATGAATTATCAATTACACTGATGACACCAATAATAATAATAATAATAATAAGCACCTTCATACAAGTATCCCAGAGCGGCTTACAATATAAAAACACAGAAAGAAATAACATGGTGTTATTTGCCGTATGCTTGAGCCCCAGGCCAACAGAGGAAGTTGCCCTCACAGGGGGCAGTTCCCTCTTTTGTCTCCTGTCCCCCCATCTTGAGAAGGAGAGACCTGCATTCAAACTTCATATAAAACTCAAACTTTGGAAGTTATTGTGAAAGGCAGTTAAACTTGCACAATCTGGACATTCCTCCCTTCCTACTTAACAAATAAAAAACTTTATTGTTCACCTTCCTATGGAACAAGTCCAAGTCCTTGTTATTCCTTCATTCTCCCCTTAAGCCCCCCTTTTAGGCATTATGCATGAAAGTCTGTAGTAATGAAAGATGCAGTTCTTCCACAGCTGGATTTGCGCTACGTAAGCATTGTTTTCATGGTGATCCTGGGAAGAATATGTTAGCACAAAATGGTCGTAATCTGATATAGCAAACTGCAATGTATATTTTCACCAAAAATGCTACTACTCTCCTGCTCTTAAAGCCACCATCCCAGAATTTTGTTGTTAAATAAAATACTAATGTCCTGATCCACCACATTGCTCCTCTGTAGCAGGGGTGTTAGGGAAAGGAAAGGGGGGTGGGGAGGACTTTGAGAAATGAAATAAAACATATGGAAGCCACAAACCATAGAGCAGCTTTCTCCTTTACCACATGTGCCTTGATTGGGGTAACAGATTTGTAGTTTTTGGGAACTTGAGTGTCGAACCCTTGTGTGAAAAGCCTGAAAAAGATTACCTATAAATAATCTGGCGTTGTTGAGTCCAGTAATTTCCACTGCACATTTACGGTGTGATGAAATTTATATTACTCACTTCATTTATCTTCGCAAAAACCTTTTTCCCATTTAGCTCACAAAAGGGTAGCAAGTTAAAGTATACAAGTTTATAACTGATCTGGAACTTAAATCAAGGCTTCCCAGTCTCAGTACATGGTGTATCAGTTCACATGGACAGTCTGCAAGTGCAAAAAAAAAGGAAAAAACAACTCACATTTATCATCTTAAAAAACAAACTCATTTGGGGTTTTCTGGTAACATTACAAGGCTTGTCTTGCTGTTTTTTAACAGATTAAAATTAGCCGTGCTGCTGTTTTTGCTTTTGTTTTATTGCAGTGGCTGGGACTGCAGATCTCCTGATTTCTCCATCTAGGGGCAAAGGTGGCGGAAGCTATTCTGCACTTTCTCTTTAGCTGCTAAGAAAACTGTGGTGGTGGGCTCTATCCTATGCTGTCGTCTTTCCTTTCTCTTAGATTCTTGACCTGAACAAACGCATGTCAGCTGTCGAGCGCATGCTGAACCGTCTTGAGGAGAAGATCCTAGTTCACCCAGATGAGGTAAACTCAGGAAAGAGGACTTCACCCCCCCCCCAGAGGTTGTCCATCCTATTATATCATAAAGGGAGTGTTTTGGATATTGTGGCCGTCAGAGAAGACTAGCATTCACTTCCTTTTGGGAAAGAATGGGTGAATAGTTCATCTCCTTCTTCCTCCATTTGTCTGGTCCTCACACACCTCAATGTGGTCCATGTCAACCATCCACTGGCAAAATGGAAAAATAAGAAGATCAGAAAACCCAGAAAACATTAGTTTCCCATCCTGAGAAAGCACCATGTTGGAAGCTGATCACCTCATTCAGAATTCATCATGGAGCACTCTCCTTTCCAAGAACTTGCCCTGACACAACAAATACCAGCACTGACCTAATAATGCAGTCAGCTGAAAACACTAACTATGTGAATATTGTTGCAAACAGTGCTATTTTTCTAGAAAAAGAGGTGCTGGAACTCACTGTGAACGCCTCCCTTATTCTTTTAGAATGGCAAAGGCGCTGGAATTCAGTTCCAGTGAGTTGTGGCTAGGAAAAAAGCCCTGGGTGTAACAGGTTTCCTCACCCACTTAGGCCTGCTGCATATGGTGCACAGACAGGTTGGTTGCTGCCAAACACTAATCTCATGCGCTGGGTGCTCCAAACCTTTAGAACAGGTGAGCAATTAAAGGCATGCATTGGCCATGTCATGTGAAGTGAGAACTGCCTTGGAGATGTTGTGCGTGACAGAGCCAGCACCCAAGAAGGCTGCAGCTGCTGCAAGTGTAACTTTTCTCTGTGCTTTTAATAGGTGTTTGACACTGTTTTTTGTTAGTGATTTTTTTCAACAGCAGCTATGCTGCCCATTTAATGTACAAGTGGAAGACAACCCCTATTTTATGTCTCCACATTGAAACTACTTAATGGGCAGGTGGCATGGTGTGGTTCTTCTTCATTTCCACACCACCGAGTTAAATGTTCAGTGATGGCAAAAAAACTGGACTTTCTTTCTTTCTTTCTTTCTTTCTTTCTTTCTTTCTTTCTTTTCTGCAAAAGGGAAATGTGTGAGCCCAATTAGGACGCACAGACTGGCTATCATTGCATTCACGTAACAAGAGAGCTCACTCTGTGGTGGCTATGCCACATAGTCATGTATTTATGAAGGCCAGAAAAAGTCCTTGGTCTCTGCAGATTATAATTTATCAGCAAAGGAAAACTTTCTCCCAACATGGCTCAGGTTGCAAAGCTTTCCATAGATAGGAGCTTGTAAATAGGGGGGGGGGGGGGAATGGTGTTTGAAATGATGAGTGTGGCTTAGTCCTTGTTTCCAGGCTTTAGAGCTCATCATTTTCACCTTGTGATGCTTACTAAAGAGGCTGCCACTGACTCCGTGGTGGGGTGGGCAAGAACAAATAAATGTAAGTTCAGAACTTGCCATGGGAAATCAGGTGGGTGGGCAGGCAAGGCATGGGGCTTGGACAGGGATGAAAGCTCTCCAAAGGAAGACTGGCCGGGGGAGGGATGCATGGAGGTAGACAGGTGGACAAGCGAGCAAGCGCCAGCCTGACACCTAGAGGCCCCTTCAGCTGGGCAGCCAAGCTGCTCACTTGCCTGCCTAGTCAGCCTCAGCAGGGAAAGCAATAGAACCCCCAGGTTCAGGGATAGTCTACCTCTGAATACTAGGCAGGGCACCATGTTCTTGTTCTGCTCAAGTGGGAAAATCTCTTGGGTTGGTCCTGAGGCACATTAAAGCATGAACTGGATGGCTGAAGTAAACTGAGTATTGCTGGTCTGACTGTCTGTCTGTCTGTCTGTCTGTTGCTAGCCTCCAGCTCCGGAGTCCCCTACTGATCCTAGCATAGAAGAGAAGGAACTGAGGAGGAAACTAGAAGAGCTGGCAAGAAACATCAGTGACAAAGCTGTTTCTTCTGATGAAGAAGAGGAGGAGAAGGAGGGCAGAATGAAGCAGGAAGGGTCCATACCAGAAATAAGCTCGTCTAGCGATGACCCGCCTACTGATGCCAAGAAGGTATGGTCTTCCTTGCATTTGGCTTTCTTTTCCTTCTGCTTGTTATATTTTATGGAAAGTAGTCTTCATGCATCTAAGCTAACTTGCCTTCTGGTATGATCAGCCTAACTCATCTAGCTAGTTGCTATAACGCAGGTCTTGGGGTGGATTCGAACCGCCTAATTGTGCATCTTGCAGGTGATGATTGCAATCTCTGCTGAAATTGTCCATATGATTGAATGGAGATGATGATTCTGCAAGGGGGGTGGTGGATGATATTCATAATCACCATGTGGGCAATAAGGTTTTTGTAAATCCACCCTTAAGTCCTACTAACAAATAACACTTAGGGTCACACCAGATGTGGCACTGGGAGATTTATGAACATATCTCATAGTGTTTGGATAGCAGTCATGGGGTCTATGGCCCTGGGGTATTTGCATTTAATCTTTCCCTCCACTGAATTTCCCCAGTTTTTGTCCCATTGGGGCAAGCCAGGCAGGTACCATGTGAGGCAGAGGCAGCAGCTTTGAGGGAGGGCCCTAGTTTCATGATTAGAACAGAATGAAGGAAGAGGGTTTGTTTAATTTTATTTATGTATTCATTGAATTTATATCCCACCCTTCCTCCTTGGGATACCCTTCTGATCACTGGATCCTGTGCAATGCCCTCTGTAGCAAAAAGACAGATCTAGGGTATGACCCACAGTATGTTTTGGGTGTGTGATGCATTGAGACAACTGCATGGTTGTCCTGGTGGCCATGAAGTCTTGAGTTGGCCCAGACGAGGCATCAGCATGGATGTCCCTCAGAACAAATGCCCTGGGGTTCTCCAACACTGCACTGAAGACTGCCTCTGCCTCTGGTGGACTGAACACCAAGATCCCTGTTCTGTCTCTGCTTCCCAACATCCAAATACAAACCCTCATGTCAAGCTCCCAGATGGACTGGTCTCCTGGTGACAATGGTGGGGTTTTTATGGATCACTGCCATTCTCCCCCCTTGCTCCTCCAAAATTGACTGATGCCGCACTGAATATCCAGGTGGGCAAAGCTGGGTAAGGTCACCCACCCACCCTGAGCTCACCCAGCTAGGTCTCTGTCATGCACAGCAGATCAGCCACTTCATCCACGATCAGATCTATTGCAGACTGAGCTGGCATTAAGTAACAGCACCATCAGATGGGAGAGCAGACCAACATGGCTACTCCAGTCTCTGTTGGGGGCTGAGCAGGGGCAGCAAGTGTCAAGTGGCTCCATTCTTCTATGGCAATATTGCCTACCCCCCATTCTATACCTCACCGTCCCGAAGACCCTAATAACAGCAGTCCCCTGAACTCCCTCTGACCCAGGCAGATGGTGCTGTTACTGGTTCCCCTCTCTCCCCCAGGACCCCTGCTCAGTCCTGCAACAAGAGAGCTCAAAAATGCATTACCATCCACCAAGCATCCGGCAGATGTATCCATGAATGGGTTCCATGCTCCAGGGGTGTCCATTTTCACTGCCTCAGTTCCATGAGATCTTGCCATTAGCTGCCACCAATCCTCTGGTGGCCGTGGCAGGGGCTGGTGGGGCACCACCCCATGGGATTCGGCCACCCGAGGCGGCTGCTTCAGTCTGCTCTCGTGAGGTCACTATCCCTCAGAACCCCTCTCTCACCCAAGAGGCTGGCTTAAGTGCACAGAAACCATGCTGGTGGTTCCTGGCACTCACTCCGGAATCACATCCATTGTCCTGTGTTGCAGCCCCACTTGGATCCAGGGCCTCCCCAGAACTGCTACTCCACTTTGAAATGCCAAGTGGCATCTCTGATCGCTGGCCTCTTGATACCGCATCTAGTTGCACCCTAAAAGCTGGAATCCTAACAATACTTACTGTGAGCGAAGCCCCATTTGAAACCTGCAGGACTGACTTTTGAAGAGCGACTGGCTGTTTAGTATGTTTACAAACTGGTTCATGCAGATCCTCACTCCATGCATGTTACATATATCGTGTTTCAAGCAAACCGTTAAACTTAATGTCAGCCTGTTATTTTCAGGCATTTGCATGTCGGAGCTCAAGGGTTCTCCAACTTCCCATGACTACATATGAGTAAAACAACTAAGAATCTAATCTTAAACACATCTAATAAATCTATCAAACTCTGTAGGACTTCCTTCTGAGTAAATGTACTCTATAAATTTTCAGCTTTGCCAGATCCATTAGCCTAGGCAGGAATGTTATTCTTCTTAAACTGAAAAGCCTTTGCCAAACAAATGGTTTTTGCCATTGCTAAAACACTGCTCTAAGCCATTACTATCTCCATGCAGTGATTAATGAGGCATTTCCGTCTCTGATTCCAAGAGTCTATGGACCCGTATTGATAGTTTTGGCCAATATGTGTCTGGTTGTAACACATGAAGGACAAGGAAAGATTCAAGTGTAATTTTAAAATGGAGGAGTGTGTGTCTGGCATCTTTGTGAGCACTTTTCCTTTTGAGGGGCTACATTAACACAAAATGCAAAAAGTTGCATTCCTTTGGGTTCCTAATGGCTTCTTTGTCAATCCTGCCCTGTTTGATTGTTTCCGAGTCTCATTCTGCCCCTCTGAATGAACAGTCATAGCACTGATCTTGAGCCAGGTTCTCTATATCACTCTGTGAAAGGCGACTTTCATCTTCATCTAAGAGCAGGAGCGTTTTTTCTCATGAGATCTTTCATGTTGTTCATCAGCAGCTTGTGGGGTTGGGCTAAAAGATCTTCAAAAATGTAGATACTCGGAAGAGAAAATGGTGAGATGCTAATGAGAGGGGTGATTAGTAGATATTTTAGATAGAGTAGTGCCTCCTACAAACACACAAACATCCAATTCAGAAATTGCTCAGATGAACAGAAGTAATTTTTCTTCGTATCTGAACTTAAATTAAAATTAGTGTTTTGAACATCTGAAATATCCCTCATTATCCCCCCTCCCAGGCCACATTGCTGCATTTCAAAGACACAGCAGTATTTTGTACCACCTGGAGCAGGAGTTGAGCTGACCTGGGCATCCAGTTCCATAGTCTTTGCCCAGGTCTAGTATTGCCAACAAGCCCAGATCAAATCTGGCCAGAAAAAAGACTCTGGGGAATGGAAATGTGATCCAGATGAATCCCCAGGAGCCATAATTCCAAACCTGCCAGCAGATTCCAATATATTCTGTAATTTGACAGTGACTCTATTCAATATTAATTCAACATAAAAAATCGCAAGGTACAACCCACCTCGAATTTGCACATCTTTAATTGGAATCATAGAATCCCCTCCAGAAGATGGCGGACGTAGTTCCTAGAGCGCCCCTTCTTAAACATGCCAAGGTGGGCGCAGCATTCATGCTCTGCTTCCTTGGTAGTGTTCAGGATGATGCTGAAGTCTGTACCAGGCAGTTTCGTCTTGCTAGAGGGCCCAGCAGCGTCATATTGAGATCTCTGAAGATTCTTGCAGAGAGCTGAGCAGGGTAGCATACAAAATAAATTCTGAAAAATCATCAGCTTGTAAGGCTTTCTTAATTTATTTATACTTCTACTAGTTTACTTACATTGCATGTTTTGTTTCTGTTGCACTTTCACAAATGAAAGTGAAAAGACAACATTTTTGCAATAGTGAATGACAAACGCAAGCAGTGACTTTGCTGGCAGCAGTTAACCTGCTCTTTACAATTTCTCGGCCATTGTAATATCAGGTAAAGATTTCACTGAGTTTCACATGTATATAGCCATTGTTATACATGACCATTCGTCTCCTACAGAGACCCTGCACACTGCAGTAACAAGCTGGACTTCAAGATCTGGATCAGTGTTTCATTGCATTCATTTCAGACTTCATTACCATCAAAGGCATCTTTTTTTGAATGTGCAGCAGCCACAATCCTGAAATGCGCATGCCGTGTGAAGCATTGTCATTCAAAGCTGGGTTTCACTGAGATGGCTCTAAAGACGGATCACTCTAGTCTTTTTATATTCATCCAGACTTACGAAGTGGAAATATTGCAAAGCTGCTTAGGAAACGTTAGTCAAGCAAAGTACATAAAAACAATTGTACAAATAAGAAATGTGCTCATGAATCACTGTTGACAAACTACAAATGAATACATGCAAACTTCATAGGCAAACGCCACATCAATACACTGTTGAACGCATCAGATCTAAAAAAATAAGATTATTTTTTAAATCTGCAAACCAGCAGAAAAACGAAGATAGCATATTTTGGCAAACCCACCGTAATCTATTTGGGGGTTCTCTTGCTTTCCACCTTCATCATTTTTAATGGACACCAATTAAAAGTCCTAATATTCAGTGTTGCCTACACTAATTTTAATTGCTTTCTGTGCATACATTAGTTGTTCAGCAATTGTATATCGAATTAGCACTCATCATGTAGTGCAGACATGCCTGCTGAGATGCTGTTTCTCTTTTTGCCCTTGGTCCCAACCCCGAGGTTGACCTCAGAAATGGGGGCAGGTCCATGTAGTTTGTGCCCACTAATTGCCATGTACAAGCATCAGAAGGGTTGTTCCTTGGGAAATCTCATCTCCCAACTTGGCCTTTTTTCAGCCATCCCACAGATATTTAGCTTTAGTTAGCATGTTTAGTATTCTGGGCATCAGCCCTAGTGATTTAGCAAGTTTGATCAGCCTCTTGCCAGCCCCCTCCCCTGCCCCCCATTCATGCTGCCCCTCCATTCTCAAGAAGGAAAGTCTTTAGAGATGATGCAGACCTAGGATTGCCATATTTCAAAAAGTGAAAATCCGGACACCAAACTCATTGAGCTTTTTTTGGAATATCTCAATGAAGAAGAAGTTTTTGAGCTATTTTAAAGAAAACTCACCTAAATCTACACTTCCTGGACATATCAGCTATTTCTGCCTGGACACTGCCAAATCCTGGCTATGTCCAGGAAGTTCTGGATGTATGGCAGCCCTGTGCAGACCTAAATTAGGGAGGCTTTGGGCCAATGTAATCATGCACAATTGAGGTTGCACATCCTTTGTACAGGGCCATGTGATAATGCACATACAATCCTGACAACATTTACATCCCCATCATCCAAACCACATGAAGAGATGTGTCTAACATTAGCATCTACTCAGTTCAGCCAGCAAATTGCTCATTTGTGGACAGAATCCTTCTCAGAATCCTTCTCAGAGTCTGAACACCAGCCAGCTGAATGAAGAGCACTTGTGAATAGAGCAGCCATGAACTGTGTTAGGGATCCCAGCAATATCCGAGAGCAGAAGCTGCATGTACAGTCCTAATGATCCATCCTTGTAGTACCGTAAATGGCACAGGTTTCTAAGACACCTGTGGAGCAACAGGTATCTCAAACAGAAAACAGAGGCAAAAGGAATCAACCCCTGATTCAAGTTTCATCTTCATATCACATCTTCCTAAACCTGAAACTGAGGTTATAAACTTCTGTTTCCCTTTGTGCCAGGCAATTAAGAGTGCCTCTGAGATGGGATTTTCCATTTCATTTATAAAAGTGAACACTCCTCTTCAAATACTTATGAGCAGGGTTGAGGCAAGCAAACTCCTGCTTATCTGGATCCTCCTCTTACCTGGATCCTGCAGGCATACGGACCCCCTTCCCCCAGGGCCCCGTCACTTATCTGGGCAGCGAGTGGGTACTCCCACTGGGCTCATTTTCCCCGCTGGGCTTGGGACTAGGACTGCCAGTCCCAGAATCCTCTGCACAGAGTCAAGTTTTCTGTTAATGGATACTTGGACTGGTAACCCCAATCCCATTCCTGTCAGGAAATGATGCTCTGCCTGGGGAGCAACTCCCTGTTCCCTGACCCAAGGTAAGTTTTGGGTGTAACATTATTGACAGTCTGCCTCCCAAGGGTGAAGATAATAAGAGCCTGGCCGGTCCAGCATTCCGTTTCCCACAGTGGCCTCCATGCTAAAGGATGGGGGAAATGTAGACGAAGGGTTTGCTTTCAGAGCCCCATCATTACCACTGCACACAGGGTGCCTGCAGGCCTTCACCCCCATCACTCAGCCCTGAACCCTCTGCAGCCCCACTGCAAGGAGGGCAAATGCCAACGCCTGCCGTGCTAGGCAATGTACGGGTGCATCTGCACGGCCAGCCCAGCTTTCTCTTTGGCAACCCCCCTCTCTGTGAGAGAATCACCCCTTCATAATGGTTACAGTCTTCTCTTGGGAGCACTCCAGGACAAGCAGAAAGCTTATGGATACATTTGGACTATGTTCTGTGTGTGGCTGAACTGTGTGATGTGTCAATTTCAAAAGTACACAATTAAGGAGAAATGTCCGATGTACGGTATCAATATTGTTTTGCTACCCTGACAGTGAAAATTGCATTATGCACAATGACAAGGATCCCTGGGCAGTAGTAACGCATCATCCAGCTTCATCCTTAAGCACTGCCATATATGATGCATCTGAGATTGCAGGGCAGCAGTTGAAGAAGGAGCAAAAAGGGTTTTCTTGTGTGTGTGTGTTTCTTTGTGGCTGATTGGCTGCTCTCCCTGTGCAAAGGTCAGAGGGGGCCGGGTTTCTGTTGAGGCAGGTGATTAGCTGTGGGAGGAGCTTATCAGAGATTGCAGGGCAGCAGTTGAAGAAGGAGCAAAAAAGGGTTTTCTTGTGTGTGTGTGTTTCTTTGTGGCTGATTGGCTGCTCTCCCTGTGCAAAGGTCAGAGGGGGCAGGGTTTCTGTTGAGGCAGGTGATTAGCTGTGGGAGGAGCTTATCAGAGATTGCAGGGCAGCGGCTGAAGGAGGAGCAAAAGGGTTTTCTTGTGTGTGTGTGTTTCTTTGTGGCTGATTGGCTGCTCTCCCTGTGCAAAGGTCAGAGGGGGCAGGGTTTCTGTTGAGGCAGGTGATTAGCTGTGGGAGGAGCTTATCAGAGATTGCTGGGCAGCAGTTGAAGAAGGAGCAAAAAGGGTTTTCTTGTGTGTGTGTGTTTCTTTGTGGCTGATTGGCTGCTCTCCCTGTGCAAAGGTCAGAGGGGGCAGGGTTTCTGTTGAGGCAGGTGATTAGCTGTGGGAGGAGCTTATCAGAGATTGCAGGGCAGCGGCGCGCGCCTAGCGGCGCGCACAGTTTGATCCATCTTTTAGATTTAGGGGAGCTAGTCTCAAACGTTTGTTGGGGAAGACCTACGTTTTTTTTGTGGGGGGAGTTATTTTTCCTGTCTTCACGCTTTTTATGATGGAGGACCACTGTAGCCAACCCCAACGACACGTTCTCAAGATGGAGGGGGAGGGAACAGCTGCAGTTGCCTGCGGTTCCTGCGCAATGCTTGCCATCTTGCCAAAGGTTGCAGGCAGCTTTACCTGCAGCAATTGCATGTTGATTGCCCTCTTAAAAGACAAAGTCCAGCAACTGGAGGAACGTGTAGCTACGCTCCAAAGAATTAGAGAGCTGGAGCTCTTCTTGGAAGCAACAGAGCACACCGTCTCCACCAAGGAGGAGACAGGGGACTCCCCTGAGAAGGACGCTAGTTCACCAACACAGGAGCCAGATATATGGAGAAACGTGACTCAAAGAAGTAGGAGGCCCAGGGTTCGCTCTGATTGTTTAGAAATACACAATCGCTTTGAGGTCCTCTCCCCTAGCATGGAAGACGAAGAGCAGACTCCATTTGAGGATCTCTCCCTCATTACAGTCGATCAGGTATATGAAGACGAGCAGCAAAGTCAGTCCTCAGGGAATGTGCAGGCGACCTTGGAGCGGACAGCTCACGGAAGAACCCCGGCCAAACCTAAGAGGAGGCGTGTAGTGGTGATAGGGGATTCCCTACTGAGGGGAACAGAAGCAGTGATCTGTGGGCCTGACAAGATGTCTCGGGAAGTGTGCTGTCTCCCGGGGCTAAGATCCAAGATGTAACTGAACGACTGCAAGGAATCATAAAACCCACTGACAAATACCCCTTCCTCTTGGTTCATGTGGGAACCAATGACACTGCAAGCAATAGCCTCCAGAAGATCAAAAGAGACTACGAGGCTCTGGGCAGGAAATTGAAGCAATTAAATGCACAAATTGTGATCTCATCTGTCCTCCCAGTTGAACGAGCGTGGCCCAGCGAGAGAGGGAAAATAGTGGAAGTGAACAGCTGGCTTCGCAAATGGTGTAAACAGGAACGGTTTGGATTCTTAGATCACGGACTGCAGTTTCTTGAAGATGGACTTCTGGCAAGCGATGGGCTGCACCTCACAACGGTTGGGAGAAATGTTTTTGCCAAAAATCTCAGAAACCTCATCAGGAGGGCTTTAAACTGACTAATGTGGGGAGGGAGATAGTGCTCCTGAAGGTAGGAGTCTATCAATTGATGAAGATGATCATCCAAATGTCATAGACCAAATGGAGCAAACAGCACACAGACCTAGTGGTGGGAGGAAAAAATCCTTAAATAAGAGTCACGGGGAAATGATTAATGGACTTCAATGTCTGTACACTAATGCGCAAAGCATGGGAAATAAACAAGATGAGCTTGAGCTCTTGGTACAGCAAACTAAATATGACATAATAGGCATCACTGAAACCTGGTGGGATAAGTCCCACGATTGGAATGTAATAATGGGGGGATACAATCTATTTCAGAGAAACAGACCAGACAAGAGAGGAGGAGGAGTGGCGTTATATGTCAGGGATGTGTATACCTGTGAAGAGATCCAAGATTTAGAACCTCAAAGCCAAAGTGAGAGCATTTGGGTCAAAATTAAGGGAGAGAAGAATAACAGTGACCTCATTGTGGGAGTTTACTATAGATCCCCAAGCCAAACGGAGGACATAGATGATGCCTTCCTGGAACAGATGGCCAAGCATGCAAAAGGAGGGAGATAGTAGTAATGGGGGACTTCAATTACCCGGATATTTGTTGGATGTCAAACTCAGCCAAGAGCATAAGGTCAAACAGATTCCTCACTGGCCTTGCAGACAACTTCATTGTCCAGAAAGTGGGAGAAGCAACAAGAGGAACAGCCATTTTAGATCTGGTCCTAACCAATGTTGATGACCTGGTTAGTGGGGTAGAAGTGGAAGGATCATTAGGCGCAAGTGATCATGCTCTTCTGAAGTTTACTATACAGCGGAAAGGAGCAGCCAAGCATACTAGGACTCAATTTCTTGACTTTAAGAAAGCTGACTTCATAAAACTTAGGGAAGTGCTGGGTGAGATCCCATGGACAGTAATACTAAAGGGAAAGGGAGTTCATGATGGCTGGGAGTTTGTTAAGAGGGAGATACTAAAAGCACAACGTCAGGCAATACCAATGAGACGGAAACATGGAAGGTGCCTAAAGAAGCCAGGGTGGCTATCTAAAGAACTTTTAACTGAGTTAAGATTAAAAAAGGATGTGTACAAAAAATGGAAAAGGGGAAACCACCAAAGAGGAATTCAAACAAATAGCCAGCACGTGTAGACACAAAGTCAGAAAAGCTAAAGCACAGAATGAACTCAGGCTTGCTAGAGAGGTTAAAAGCAACAAAAAAGGCTTTTATGGGTATGTCCGTAGCAAAAGGAAGAACAAAGAAACAGTGGGGTCACTCAGAGGAGAAGATGGTGAAATGCAAACAGGGGACACAGAAAGAGCTGAACTCCTCAATGCCTTCTTTGCCTCAGTCTTCTCCGATAAAGAAAACAATGCCCGACCTGAAGAATTTGGAGCAAATGATTCAGCAAAGGAAACACAGCCCAGAATAACTAAGGAGATAGTACAAGAATACTTGGCTAGTTTAGATGTATTCAAGTCTCCAGGGCCAGATGAACTGCATCCAAGAGTATTAAAAGAACTGGCAGATGTGATCTCAGAACCACTGGCAGTCATCTTTGAGAATTCCTGGAGAACAGGCGAAGTCCCGGCAGACTGGAGGAGGGCAAATGTTGTCCCTATTTTCAAAAAGGGGAAAAGAGAGGACCCAAATAATTACCGCCCAGTCAGTCTGACATCAATACCAGGGAAGATTCTGGAGCAGATCATTAAGCAAACAGTCTGTGAGCACCTAGAAAGGAATGCTGTGATCACCAATAGTCAGCATGGATTTCTGAAAAATAAGTCATGTCAGACTAACCTGATCTCGTTTTTGACAGAATTACAAGCCTGGTGGATGAAGGGAACGCAGTGGATGTAGCCTACCTTGATTTCAGCAAGGCATTTGACAAGGTGCCTCATGATATTCTTGTAAAGAAGCTGGTAAAATGTGGTCTTGACTATGCTACCACTCAGTGGATTTGTAACTGGCTGACTGACCGAACCCAAAGGGTGCTCATCAATGGTTCCTCTTCATCCTGGAGAAGAGTGACTAGTGGGGTGCCACAGGGTTCTGTCTTGGGCCCGGTCTTATTCAACATCTTTATCAACGACTTGGATGATGGACTCAAGGGCATCCTGATCAAATTTGCAGATGACACCAAATTGGGAGGGGTGGCTAACACCCCAGAGGGCAGGATCACACTTCAAAACGACCTTGACAGATTAGAGAACTGGGCCAAAACAAACAAGATGAATTTTAACAGGGAGAAATGTAAAGTATTGCACTTGGGCAAAAAAAATGAGAGGCACAAATACAAGATGGGGACACCTGGCTTGAGAGCAGTACATGTGAAAAGGATCTAGGAGTCTTGGTTGACCACAAACTTGACATGAGCCAACAGTGTGACGCGGCAGCTAAAAAGCCAATGCAATTCTGGGCTGCATCAATAGGAGTATAGCATCTAGATCAAGGGAAGTAATAGTGCCACTGTATTCTGCTCTGGTCAGACCTCACCTGGAGTACTGTGTCCAGTTCTGGGCACCACAGTTCAAAAAGGACATTGACAAACTGGAACGTGTCCAGAGGAGGGCAACCAAAATGGTCAAAGGCCTGGAAACGATGCCTTATGAGGAACGGCTAAGAGAGCTGGGCATGTTTAGCCTGGAGAAGAGGAGGTTAAGGGGTGATATGATAGCCATGTTCAAATATATAAAAGGATGTCACATAGAGGAGGGAGAAAGGTTGTTTTCTGCTGCTCCAGAGAAGCGGACACGGAGCAATGGATCCAAACTACAAGAAAGAAGATTCCACCTAAACATTAGGAAGAACTTCCTGACAGTAAGAGCTGTTCGACAGTGGAATTTGCTGCCAAGGAGTGTGGTGGAGTCTCCTTCTTTGGAGGTCTTTAAGCAGAGGCTTGACAACCATATGTCAGGAGTGCTCTGATGGTGTTTCCTGCTTGGCAGGGGGTTGGACTCGATGGCCCTTGTGGTCTCTTCCAACTCTATGATTCTATGATTCTATGATTCTATGATTCTATGACTGTACTTGATGAGCTCTGTGATATAGTCATTTTGCTGAACTGATATGCTTGGTGGCTGCATTGTTTATAATCTGCCGGATTAAAAAGTGGCAACTCTACTTTCTGGTGTTCCTGTTGGTGTCTGCCCAAGTTGGTGAGGTTGGGGAGGAAAGGGGCTTGAAAGGAAAGGGACTGATAAAACAGGCTTCACTTGGGGAGGCACTGTCCGCCATGAGCCGTGTGGCTGGGCAAGAGCCCCGCTCCCTGGGCATGTAGAATCATAGAATCATAGAGTTGGAAGAGACCACAAGGGCCATCGAGTCCAACCCCCTGCCAAGCAGGAAACACCATCAGAGCACTCCTGACATATGGTTGTCAAGCCTCTGCTTAAAGACCTCCAAAGAAGGAGACTCCACCACACTCCTTGGCAGCAAATTCCACTGTCGAACAGCTCTTACTGTCAGGAAGTTCTTCCTAATGTTTAGGTGGAATCTTCTTTCTTGTAGTTTGGATCCATTGCCCCTCCAGGTGCCTTCCCTGCCGGAAGAGCCGTCTCTCAGTGGCAGAGCACAAGCTTTGCAGGCAGAAGGTCCCGGGTTCCATCCTCGGTATCTCCAAGTCAGGCAAAATCACGTTTTACTGCCTGATGCAAAACGGAAATGTGTTGCCCCTCGCCCCATCATTCCCATGCCCCGTTGCTGAAGTCAGCAAGGACTGAGGTATTCTGGCACAAGGCTTTCTGGCATCAGGACAAGTGGGTGGGGTGCTGCCTCCGGCACTTCCACTGCCTGAGGCAGGTGCTTCACCTCCCCTCATGGGCAGGCTGGCTCTGCTCCAGCTCAGCTAAGACTGGGAAGAGCCCTGCTGCAGCTGGTCGGTGCAGTCAGTGTTGAGGTAGATAGAGCAATGGGCTGACAGAGGGCAGCTCCCTTGTTCCTTTCTTCTGAGAGAGCAGCACCCCGTGACAGCTCTGCCATCCACCTTTCGGGAATAGTAGGGGCAGCCCCTTCTATTTCGCCACCTGAGGTGACATGAGAAGGTACCACTATTGCTGCTTCATTTCCTGGGGTCACACAGCCGGCAGTGGCTGTTCCCCGAAGCTGCCACCACGCAATGCTGGTAGCAGCAGGAGCGGGGGGGGGGGGACACACGTGTGGAGTGGCTCCCCCAAGGGATTCCACCGCCCAAGGTGGCTGCTTCCATCTGCCTCATGGGCCAGCCGGCCCTGGAAACATGAGCCTTATTAGATAGGCAGAGTCTCATGGGCTAATGACCTGTGGAACTCAAGATGGCTACAGAAACATTGTTTAATGAGAGAGACCACTTTTTACCTGGGGGTGGGGTGGGGACAGCACAGTGGAGACCTCCAATGAGTAAGTAATCCTTCACAATGCTGCTTGAAATTCAGAAGTGACATTCCAAACATGAATATGATAGTGGCTTCAGTACTGAATTCAAGGCAGCAGAGATGACTACCTTGCCCTGGGCTTCCTAAATCTGAAATCATCTTAATTTGAATATTTTTTGACTGGGGGTGGGGTGCTCATATTCCTCAGTTCTAAAATCAGTTCAGCATGAAGCTTGCAATGCAATCACTGAAATGTCCATTTAATATGCAGATGGTGATGATGGCGCATGTAGAAAGTCAAGATTTGAATGCTGTGGCGACATGCTGAATATGTATTTCAAATGTGTGAATTCACATGGTATAAATCCTATTTCCCCACCCCTCTGCAGTCCTCCATCTCCATAATGATTTGGTTTCCTCTTAGCCCACCTGGCATTGTCCTGAGCAGAAAAGAGAAGTTGCCCCTCATAAAAATTCTTCCCATTGGGCACAGATGCTCCCCAGCATGAAGAGGTTCTCGTGTCTCTAATGGGAGCTCTTCACTAGCATACTGAGGTGCTGCCTTTGTCGCAGCTGCCTTGAGTGAAGCATTATCCCAATCAAAGCATTACGTGGACAGTTCCTCTTGCAGCTAAGAGCCCTGCGGGGACAATGAGGACCCTTTAATTAAAGATCGACATATGTTCCCGCTCTTTGCCTGTCTGCTCTTGCCTCTCATTCCCCCATTTCCACTGCACAGCACAGGGGTTAAAATGCCTCTCTTTGGCTGAGCATAGAGGTTGCAGAGGTCACTGGCTAAGGCTTTGTGTGGCATCACAGCCCAAGCGCTTAAGAGCCATTAACGCCCAAGAAAGAGCCCTGCATGACTCATTGGAGGGATAAAGGCATTAGGAAGAGGGCTCTGTTCTTGGATCTTGAGAAAGAGGTAGGAGGAGTTGCCTCTAACCTATCAAGGACTTGAAAGAAACCTATGAGTCGGATGTGTGTCTTAGGCGGATAAATGAAATAAGGCTGTTTAGTCTGTGCACAAATAATGGACAAGAGTTTTGTCTTTCACCTTATAAATATGTAAATGGGGATTATAAACTAGGAAAGGATCACATGAAGGTGCCAGGAGTTATAGCCATCCCAGTTTGCTGGCCACTAATATATGCTGAAACTGGTGGCAATATGAAAAGGTGTGTGGGGAAAATTCTTATCCATAGAGCAATGCAAGCAGAAAAGGTGGCTGTCTAGTGTAGTGCCATATTTTGCACCCCCAATTTCAATCTCACCTCAGCCAGGAATTTTCTGTGTGACCAGCACCAGACCTACCATTGGGCAGAGTGAAGGGGCCTCTTGTGTGGCTGAGGGGAGAGGAGCGTTCAGAGTTCCCCCAGCCACTCTTCCTGCCGGGTCCCCTGCTAAGCTAGCCTTCAGGTGCAGTGGAAGATGCCTGGCCCATCACCAGTCCCGGAATAAGATTCAGCTCCCAGCCTGGTCAACTTCTGTGGCCCTGCATGGGCGAGTGAGGCAGCTGCTGTTAACCAGGAGGCTGGTGTTCTGAGCCCAGGCAGGGACAGGGTTCCTGCACTGCAGGGGGTTGGACTAGATGACCCTACAATTCTATGGTTCTCTAAGTGATTTACAGAAATGTAATCAGGATGATGCTGATGAGTGCAAAATGTAAAGCTGCACATGCTCACAAGCCGTGCCACCTGGGCTGCCCTGGGTCCTCTAGGAGCAAAATGGCTTGGGCTGACCCTTTGGCTCCCCTAAGAGACTCAACATGCAGAAGAGCTCTGGAAACAACTTCTGATGGGTTGCTTCAGTGTCCTTGCGAAGGGCGAGCCCTGCTAAATCCACCCAAAACCACACAGTGGCTGTCAGTCACAAAGATATGCCACCTCACTCTCCCCGACCCTCACCCTGCACGGTGACATTTTCCTTCCATAGGGGGCTTGCAAGAGGTCCATGACTGTATAAGTTGGCCTGGCGGGGACATAAAAAGAGCCACACATCGTGTTCTGGAGCTTCAGAGGTAGCCTGAAGGGTCACGTCAGATAAGGCTGCTTTCATAGAATCATAGAATCTTAGAGTTGGAAGGGATCCTTGGGATCAACTAGCCCAACCCCTGCAATGCAGGAATCTCAGCCAAAGCATCCCTGACCATCCAACCCCTGCTTAAAAGCCTCTAAGAAAGGAGGGTCCACAAGCTCCCACTGTCTGCTGTTGAACGGCTCTTACTGCGTTACTTTGATGAAGGTCCATACTTCCAAAGCAGCCTGCTTTGGGCTCGGAGGCTGGGCTTCTTCTGAATGCCTCTAGCATTTGTGTTCGTTCACACATAGGAAAGCTGAGCATAAGCAGAGGCAAGTGGAGGCGCTTGCTCAGCAGGCAGCAGGTCCCCAGGGAACTCCTTGGGCAGCCCATCTCCCCACACTCTCCCTTCTGCACTTTCCAGCAGCTCCATCAAGAAACTCAGCAATCTTTCACTTTCTTTCTGTCTCTGCCCTTTCAAAGTCCCAGGCTGCTGTTTTTCACATACACAACCTGCAGAGTCATCTGCTCAGACCCCACTCCTGCAGATGAATTTCCCAGTCAGAGATCTTCTAGGATCGCTAATAAACACTAAGAAGTTTTGCCAGCTCCCTGACTGCTCATTCACAAGCCAGCCAAGTCTTGCAAAGAGCAAAAGGCTACGTTTAGGGCTGTGCACATTATGTGAAAATGGGTGCTTGGCTACTGGATTGTTTTTTTCTTTCAAAACAACAGCTTCAGGGAGATGGGTTTGACACACACACCATGGTCATACCAAAAATCACCAGTCTTGTAGCTACAATTTAACCAATGTCATCTTCCTTGTCAAAGCTTAAGGGCAGGGGGTCATTGGGACCAAGCTGCAGAGAACAGTATTAAATGCCTCCCTCCCAGCTGTTGTGTTAAAAAGAAAACACACATACAATCCTCCCCACCACAAACACACAAATCCTACTGAGTTAAAAGCAAGCAGGCCAAAGTGTTGCTGCTGCTTTGGCGATCCCTCACAGCCGAGTAAGATTGTCTTCCATGAACACGGTCTTAACAGTGAGTCCGTAAGTGACTGTGGAGGCCAATTCTGGATCCACATGTCCTTCCACAAGGGGGACATAGGTTTCCGTGCGGGAGTTGATCACGGTGAGGGTTTGCCAAGTGTGCCTTCCTCTCTTCCATCCTGAGTTTGAGCGTCTTCAAAGTCCATGACTGTTTTCCAATTGGAGCGCTCGCAGGCCAGTGTTTCCCAGTTTAATTGTGTTTTATGACCGCTAGGTGGATACCCCGCTGGGTGTAGTAATCCAGTCATGGAAAAAGGGAGGCGGACTATGTTTAGGGCACCTTTTCAGGGTGAGCAGAGTGGATCCTAAAAAGGGCTGCTCAGTCATGGATACAGCTGCCGAGCTGCTCAACTGCCTTGTTCCTTGAGTCAGAGCGACTGAATCTGTATCCACCACCCATGTGCTGGTTCATGACTAGGGGCTTCCAGATTTCACAGTCCTGCCCCCATTACCATTTGCCGATTACCATGGGACTTTGTTGGGTTTGAGATGGGTTTTTAGAAGACGCCTGTGCGTTAATTTGTTTTGTGTGTGTAGATCAGTGCACACTGACCAACGCACAGTCTTCGCAGTAAGGCTCTATTCTGATGGCCTGAGTAAATCACGACGACCAGTAGTTTCTTATCTGCTGTAGCCTTCATCCGCCTTCATAGCCATTGTAACATACTGCTTGTTATCATCTGCCTGCTCTGCCATTGAGGACTTCTTGCATCATTCTTTGTCTAGCTCCTCCCCTTTGACCTTACTGCCTTGGGTGACCCTGCTGGGAGTACAAGATTCCCGATGGCTTCACTCACAAGGGTTATAGGAATGTGCAAGCCCACTCACCACAGCAAGGTGATGATCCAGCGAGTGAGAGGCCAAAGTGCACCTGTTTGCTGGCCCATAAGGTATTGGAAACCATGTACAGTCATACCTTGGCTCCCGCACGCCACAAACCTGGAAGTGGGTGTTCCAGTTTGCGAACATTTTTCAGAATCTGAACATTCAACATGGCTTCTGATCGAGTGCAGGAAACTCCTGCAGCCAATTGGAAGCCATGTCTTGGTTTTTGAACCATTTTGGGAGTCAAATGGACTCCTGAAACAGATTAAATTCGAGAACCAAGGTACGACTATATATGAAACTATCTTCCATGGGATCTTTGTGAGAAGCAGAAGCAAAGGATCTTCATGTCATTAGCAGGGCTCACTGGTCAGGCACAGCTAATCCAGGGCTTTGGTGGGTTGTGAAGTACACCTTTGACTGTGCCATTCATTCATTTTTTATTATGATCAATAGACCAGAACCAGCAATAAATTTGAGCTGCAAGCAGTAAGGATATTGACTTGAAACTGAGGGGGAAAGAAAGAAATACAACTTAAATCTTAAGCAATAAGTAGATAGCAACAAATAAATCCCATGGAATAAATAAATAGATAGATAAAAAGCTATAAGGACATGTAAATAGAATATTATGGGGTGTAATAAAATACAGCATTTAAAATAGTTGGCATGAAGGCACACACCCCCAGTCACACTGCCATCTCGCTAAGAAGAAAACCTTCAAACCATCCGCTGTTTTATCACCCTCTCTGCCAATGCTAAAAACTTTGCAGCTACCAAAAAGAGAGAAAACCTTATATAGTAAATTGTTGGTCTGCCAGGTAAGGGACCCATCAGGTAACTAAGCAGGTGTCTGAAATGCCAGAGCAGAAGTTGCAAAGCAAACAGGGGCCGATGTGGCACAGTTGCCACCTTCTGTGGCTGCCCGGGCACTGGCTGCCCCTCCGCTTGGAGGCTCAGTGTCATCGCCATGGCCCAGAGCCACTGATAAACCTCCCTATTATTCAGTTCCCTTCTCCAGTTGTCTGAGCTAGTGACCGTGTCTTGTAACCATGAATTTCATGGATTAACACTGCCTTATGTGAAATGACTCTTTATTTTGTCTCTCCGGAATTTGCTCCTAATCAAATTAATTAGACGATCCTAAGTCATGTCAAAGTGCAAGTAGATAAATAGGTATCGCTCCGGCGAGAAGGTAGATGGCGTTTCCGTGCGCTGCTCTGGTTCGCCAGAAGCGGCTTAGTCATGCTGGCCACATGACCCGGAAGCTGTACACCAGCTCCCTTGGCCAATAAAGCGAGATGAGCGCCACAACCCCAGAGTCGTTCGCGACTGGACTTGATGGTCAGGGGTCCCTTTACCTTTACCTTTTTAAGTTCCAATATGAGAGGAAGAAAATAATTTGTCCGTCCACTTTTTCCACATTCTGCCTACTTTGAAAAACCTCTATCCTCTCCCTCCCCTAGTCATCTTCTTTTTCTAACCCCAAAGCCCCGAATTCTTAAGCCTTTTGTCACAAGGAAGATACGTTGACCCCTTGATCATTTGGGCTTCACTGTTTCCAGCTCCGTTATAGCCTTGCCTAGATAGGGCTTATGGGACTGTAGACATTAGTCCAAATGTGGGAGATAATATTTTAAAAATCTGTATCTGGAAGGTGACCTAATATTGTTGGCTCCAGGTGTTTGTTTCTGCGGGGAAAGCATCTGGGCTAGAGAAGAGGCCAAGAGACCGAGGCCATGGTGCCTATCACAGCACAACCACCGACTCGGAGCTCTCTGAACTTGAAGACAAAGTGGCCTTTGCAGTGGCGCAAGTGCAGCACACAGAGAGCGAGGTAATCTTTGGTTTGGGGAAGTCAAAAACTTTCAAAAACAAAAGCAGAAAATTAATCATTATTATTTGTAAATATAGATCACCCTACCTCCTGAAGGAGCTCAGAGTTGCGTACAACATAAAAAAACCTGATAAAACATCCGCAATTCAGTGAGAAGTTACAATATATGAAGCAATATACCCCAAAATGTTGCCTACTTTTGTTGTAGTGGGTCTCCAAGCGGTCATATGTTCCTAGCTCAAATCAGACTTAACTAGTCCCTTTGGCACTTGAAACCCCCTTACGGGATGATTCATGAGGATACAGGGGTGGTGGAAAAGTAATAATTGGTTCTAATAAAAATGTAGTCTCTTCCTGTCATGTCTTACCACTGCCTGCACATGACTTCCATGTTACTGATGTGAAATCAGAGTGAAACCCATAAAACGCATTGATTGAAGCATACTTTTGAGAATGTCTGGTGTTTTATGTCCTGCTTACCTGGACCAGAACTACCTTCATTGGGAAATGACATGGACTGTTTGCTCTCAAGGTATCCGATATAGAATCTCGAATAGCTGCTCTCAGTGCTGCTGGCCTGACTGTTAAACCAGTGGAAAAGTCTAAGAAGAAATCAAGCACCCAGGTGAGTAAACTAGAGTTTTGCAAAGAATGGGAATACTTATTCATGAACTCTGGAAGGAAACCTTTTGGTAAATGTAGTTCAGTTTAAAACCGGTTGGAGGCCATTAGTATTGCAGTAATAAATAAAATTCAGCTGCAATAATGGAATGGTACACTAGCATTTCCCCACAGCTAAATGTGGAAGTGGTCAGGGACTGAGCTTAGAGTCATGGAAGGCTTTCCATAATTGGGTTTCAGTGAAGAAGACACGTTGCCTGTGGACAACACTTTGTTGCTTTCTAGGGTTGTGATTCTAAGCATACTTCCTGGCAGTAGGTCCGATTGCACTTGGTGGGGTTTCAGACCAGGCACGTTCAGTATTATGCTTCACACCTGAGTTCTTAATCATTTCATTTATATGGCTCTTTATAGGGCAACATAAGCAAAAAATGGGTCCCTGCCCTGAGAAGTTCACACTTCAGCTTTCGAGAGGTTTGGGAAGGAAGGCAAGAGCAGAGTAGGAGAAGCATATGCCATTACGTGGACTTAGGCTTTGTTTCCCTTGGGGATAAGGACCAAGGAGTTAAGTCAAGGATATCTTAGTTAAGATGCATTTTGCATTTTGAAAGCAGAAAGGCAACGTCTGAGAGATGTTCTGGGAGGAAGCTATAGGCATAAGAGGCAGCAAAAGAGAATGGGTGGAGAAAGCAGGTTTGTGGACAAAAGTAAAAGCAATTGCTATGAAGTAAACTTTAACAAATATTCATAAGAATACTAATAATACTAATACGTACTACTGTTTGGTGGTTACCGCTCTTATCCACAGCACTGTGAATATTATGTAGGAATCAAGATTTGCCTAAGTTTAATCACCAAAGGACGTAAGCCAAAGGCCCATGTAGTCCAGCCTCATGTTCTTACAGTGACCAGCCAGATACCCATGGGAAGCCTGCAAGACGGACACCAGCACAACAGCCCCTCTCCCTGCTTGCAAGCCCTGAATTCAAGGGCAGGCTGCCTCTGACGCTGGAGACAGAGCAGAGCCACCATGGCGAGTAGCCCCTTCGCTACAAGAGTAGCCCCAGACTCTGCATGCAAGCGCCAGGCACCAGGGCACACTCTTGGAACAGTCTCACTCCTTTTGCGACATTATATAGATACCTCATTTTAGTTTGGCTTTGCACATAGCAGGTGGAGGTGCACAAGCCAGAAGTCAGGTACTCTCTGAACAGGACACCAGCCCGGGGGGGGGGGGGCTGAGGGAGCTGAAAAGGGAGGGGTGAGCCATCTTGACGTAACCTGCCAGTTTCTAGTTGAGGTGTGCTTGCTGGTCTGTTTTTTGCTCTACAGCAAAGCAGAGCAATATGTTTCATTTCTTCCATCCCCAAGGTGTTTATCCTTCAGCCTCCCAGGAACTCTTATAGTTCTCTAGAAGATCAGAGTCCAGACACTCCTGTTGCAGCATCAGCCGGTGACTTCAAAGTGAGTGCACGTGCCTTACGGAGAGGCAAGCAAGACCAGAATCCGTTAGCAATTTTCTGGCCAAGAGATAAATCTGTGTTAGGGGCCCCCACGGGGATTAAACAATGCAAACTGAATAAAACGGAAAAAGTGACAAAACGGGATTATGCTCGGAACAGAACATTGGCATGCGGCTTTGAACCTCTCTCTGTTTGTGCTTTTGTAGGCTGGTTCAAGGGCTTCCCTGGCTTTCTTAAAAACAACAACAACAATGTCTAGCTGCTTGCTGTTGGTCACTGAAGTCCTTTGATTATATAGTCCTGGAACCAGCCATGCCTTTCAGCATGCCACCCATTCTTGGGATTGTGTGTGGCGAAAAAGATGGCTGCCCCCAGGAGACTGTCCCTTACAATGGCCTTGTAAGGAGGGAAAGGTGGCTGTGACCCAAGCAGCCAGATTTTTTAAAAAAGTAAAAAGGAGCCAGGACAGCCTCAGATCATAAGCGCTTTCAAATTTTTGAATTTTTTTAAAAAGGGTATAGATTTAATTTTTAAAATATTTTTTAGAATTTTTTTTTTTTAAAAAACCATTTTGCCTAAAATATCACAATGGATGTTTGCTGGAACTGATATGCAAGGGGCCATATTAGGAGCATCCCATCCATCCCTATCAACCTTGACATAAATATTAAACAGGATAAAAATACGGAACCAAGATAAAAGTATAACTACACAATATATAGGACTGCCAAAAGCCTTAAAAAGGTGCAGGACTGGACCCTTCCTCCTTGGAGTGCCTTCTATATAAGGGTGGGTGTGCTTATGCATGGGGTGGGGGTGTTTGTGTATACCCCCCCCCCATGAAAGAATAGCTGGACATTCCTACCACTCAAACTGCACCCCAGGAACCTCAAAGCAGAAACCTTCCCTTTCCTTAACTATGGAATTGAGTCCCAAGGTCTTAGCAGTACTTCTGTTGGTCTCTTGACACCCAACATTATAAAACTGCAAACAGGACTAGGCTGAACGTAGTTGGGACCCACCATCCCATAGAGGTGAGGGGGTGGGGAGGGGAGAAGAATAGGTTGCTTAACATTCCTAACATCTCTAACTGTGCTCACATGCCATAATATAAATGTTAGGGTGGGATGGGCAAGACACTCCATCAGGTGTGAATGAAGTTTCAGAAAAGCTGTGCTTAAGCTGAGGTAGAAGAGCCGCGATGAATGCTGATCCACACATTGGCTTGTTTGCACTCTAATTAAGTTTGTACTCCTTTTAGGTAATGTCTATGCCACATGTGTTGAGGAGAAAATTCAACACTTCACTTGAAACTGCAAGTAAGACTTGTGCTTATTTACGTATGAAGTAGAGGGAAATGCTTAGTGTTTTGGAGAGGGGGAGTTTTTTGCAGTAAGCCTGGGAATCCCCCGCTTAGGAACGGCTGTCCAAAGTATAGCTAGAGTTCAGTTATTGTCTGTTGGGGGTCTCTGAAGTTGTGGACTCTGATCTGTCCACATACAAAGAAATGTTCTGAGCAACTAAGAAAACCACAAAATCTCTCTCTGAAAGTTAGTCTTTTTACAGGATTGTCTGATAATATAAAACACAAGACAGCTTTAAAAGTATAACTTTCAAAAATTAATCAATTTCCTTGAGAAATTTTGAATTGCTCACAATGAACTAAGAAAAAAAGGAAAACATAAAATCGACAGATTTACAAATTCTTGGCCTGACTTCAAAAATTCTACCTTTCAGATTTCATTCTAAAATGGGCTTATACTGACTTGTAGCCAAGTAAAATTTAAAGTCTTGAGTGGGCTAGGAATGAAATGTTGATACGTCTATCCCTGCCATGAGCCATCTCTTCTCCAGGTTTTCTGTGACTCCCCCCCCCCCAAATTTTTTGGCAACAGTGACTCTTCTTAAAAATTCTAACAAAGTTCAAACCACTGTGTTCAGCTGCCCACCTGCACCTCTGGGTGCCCCATGTTTTTCCCACATTGGTAAAATGCTGCAAATTTTCCAAAAGTAATTTCCTGTGGCAGCTGCACTGCTTCTGAGTTAATTGCCTCTTGCTTCCTTATTCACAGCTCATCTCAGTCACAGCACTGAAGTGGCCAGAGATGTTTTGTCTGTGGTTTTCATAGATCTATAGGCCAGTGTGTTGAACACTTGAAGCACACTGTACACGTGTTTGGTATTATTAAATGCTAATGATAAACCCCTTTTGTAGAAGGGCTGGTGGGGAATGGGAAAAAGCAGTCATTCTCCCACAGAGCCCTAGATCCTTACCATTAAACTTGAATGGTGAAGGAGTGTATTTCATGATCTGGGCTGTGCAATGTCGTTTGTATTGTTCCGGAAGAAGTCACCCAGTCTCGCCCTTAAAGGGCAGAAAGATAAACTGGCTGACTTTTCACTTTGCTTATGCAGATAGAGTGAAAATATAGTCAAAGGAGAGTAGCCTAATCACTCACAGTTTTCAGACTGGAAGGGGAGAGGAGCCACATCTTCCTGCCACTCTCTCCTGGGGGTCGATGATGTACCAAGTAGCTGAGGGAAATATGCAGATAGGAGAAATTGGAAACAGACAGTAGTAAATTGGAAGATTATTTTGGAAGAGATTCAAATGTCTGACTTCATGCATTTGTCTTTAATGGTGCTACAGTCCCATCCCAGAGGGAGTCCTGATGGGATTTTAAAAGCAACAGAACACCCCAGTGTGAACACTATTTATTACCTTTGCATGACATGAATCTGCAAACACAATATTATGGTGTTGCTGCTTTACCCCTTATTTCAGGGAGGCCTATTGGAAAAAATGCGTAAGCTTCTAAGGAACCACACTGAATCGCAGAAGTGTGTGTGTGTGTGTGTGTGTGTGTGTGTGTGTGTATTGCAGGACTCTGCTTTCCCCTTTGGCCCATCCCACCCCCCTGATTTTGTCTTGCTGGCAATACTTTTCTGATTAGAAATCAGACTTCATGACTTTGTGCAAAGGTTTCTGGCAAAATAGTTCCATCCAAAGGCTGATCTCCAACATAGTTCAAATTGACTCCTCCTCCAGCAATAGGACCTCCTCTTTCTTCTCCTCTTTCAACCTTCCAGGTTGTGCAAATCTGCTCCAGAGGAAGGGGAAATCCCACAGCATGAGGGGAAGTTTGTTCCACTCCTAGACAGATCCAGTTAAGTGTCACCCAAAGCATTTATTTGCTGCCACAGCAAGAATAAATGTAGAAATCCAAGTAGCTAAATAATGAACACTTGTACCAGCCCTCTGGTACCATGTTTCAAGTTGCTGATTTAAACAGCTGCAGCAAAATCTTTCCCCCTCCATTTGCAGAATAGTTCAACTGTTTCATACTTCAGACCCAAAGACTTCAAACTACTTCATGTTCAGGTGTTTACTTCTTAAAATATACATGCAGAATCCATGGAAACGAGGTCCCAATTATTGTCCGTGCAAATATGCTGGCACAAGTTCTATATCTGGGCACCATTGATGCCCAAGGTGAGGCATATGTGCCCAAGGTCAAGAAGTGTTGTCAGAATATGTCCCCAGACCACTTGAGTTCTTCTATGGCAGAGTTGCTTTTGTTCATGACTGCATGGTAGATCCGTGTGGACGTGTGCCACCAGAAGGGGTGACCTCACAGCTAGTTTTTGGCCAGCTAGGCTTTTGCAACTTGCTAAAAACCAAGTACAGTGGTACCTCGGGGTAAGAACTTAATTCGTTCTGGAGGCCTGCTCTGTACTTGAAACTGTTCTTAATCTGAGGTAACACTTCAGCTAATGGGGCCTCCTGCTGCCGCCGCTCCCGCTGCCCCTGAAGTGTCTGTAACCTGAAGCGTCTGTAACCTGTGGTACCACTGTATAACTCTTTCAGAACAAGGGGAAACTTTTTTGTGTGTCAAAGCTCATTTTAAAATGACTGGGTGTTTCTTGTTTTGGTCATCGTTACAGTACTCTTTTATGCTATGAATTGTATGTGATTTTTTTTTTTAGTGGTGGATAATAATAATAATAATAATAATAATAATAATTTATTATTTGTACCCCGCCCATCTGGCTGGGTTTCCCCAGCTGCTCTGGGCGGCTTCCATAGAAACAAAAAAACACTGAAATATCATACATTAAAAACTTCCCTGAACAGGGCTGCCTTAAGATGTCTTCTGAATGTCAGGTAGTTGTTTATCGTTTTGACATCTGATGGGAGGGCGTTCCACAGGGCGGGTGCCACTACCGAAAAGGCCCTCTGCCTGGTTCCCTGTAGCTTTGCTTCTCGCAATGAGGGAACAGCCAGAAGGCCCTCGGCGCTGGACCTCAGCGTCCAGGTAGAACAATGGGGGTGGAGACGCTCCTTCAGGTATACTGGGCCGAGGCCGTTTAGGGCTTTAAAGGTCAACACCAGCACTTTGAATTGTGCTCAGAAACGTACTGGGAGCCAATGTAGGTCTTTCAAGACCGGTGTTATGTGGTCTCGGCGGCCGCCCCCCAGTCACCAGTCTAGCTGCCGCATTCTGGATTAGCTGTAGTTTCCGAGTCACCTTCAAAGGTAGCCCCACATAGAGCGCATTGCAGTAGTCCAAGCGGGAGATAACTAGAGCATGCACCACTCTGGCGAGACAGTCCGCGGGCAGGTAGGGTCTCAGCCTGCGTACCAGGTGGAGTTGGTAGACAGCTGCCCTGGATACAGAATTGACCTGTGCCTCCATGGACAGCTGTGAGTCCAAAATGACTCCCAGGCTGCGCACCTGGTCCTTCAGGGGCACAGTTACCCCATTCAGGACCAGGGGTCCTCCACACCAGCCCGCCCCCTGTCCCCCAAAAACAGTACTTCTGTCTTGTCAGGATTCAACTTCAATCCATTAGCCGCCATCCATCCTCCAACCGCCTCCAGGCACTCACACAGGACCTTCACCGCCTTCACTGGTTCTGATTTGAAAGAGAGGTAGAGCTGGGTATCATCTGCATGTTGATGGACACCCAGTCCAAACCCCCTGGTGGTCTCTCCCAGCGGCTTCATATAGATGTTAAAAAGCATGGGGGAGAAGACGGAACCCTGAGGCACCCCACAATAATTGGCTGTATTAAGGAGTTTCATGGTTTAACATGTTGGTGTGGGTTTTAATTGTACTTTTGTGGTTTTATGTTGTAAGTCACTTGGAATACTTCTGCAGATAGACAGACGAGCAGGTAGAGTCCCCCAACATCTGCAACAAGAGTGCAGTTTGTCAGTTCTTGTACTGGTCTACCAGCATAGTCCCATTTTCCCTTTGGAGTGTTCTCCTCAAGGAATGCCTGGACTTGGCTGCAGGTGGTTCCATTTCACCAGAAAACGGCCTGATCATCACACAACATATGTTCTCTCACCTTTGTAGTTCCATGAAGGTTCAGGAGTTTGCAACTAGAGCTCAGAAGTGGGGTTGTGTTCTTGCAAGCATAGTCTTTGCCTGAATGATTCTTATGGTAATAGCATAATGTCATAGGCCCAGTCTGGGCTAGCAAGCAAAAATGTTATGCCACTCACTCTGAGTCATCCATAGTACACTGAAATCTTGTCCTGCTGTTTTATTTACATGTGCCAGATTCACCCTACAGCAGAAATAGGCATGCTTTTTTAAAAAAAGATGGGACTTTGCAAATTTGGCCAGTGCAGTTTTTGAAGTCCTATCTTTGCCCATGTGTAGCACAGACTAGTGGATTGATTACTGGACAGTGTCATGAAAAGTGTGGGTTCAGTGTAGTTAACTAGAGTGTTGGGCTTAAAACAAGTAGATCTGGGATTAAATCCCCACTTAGCCATGAAGGGACGTGGGTGGTGCTGTGGGTAAACCACAGAGCCTAGGACTTGCCGATCAGAAGGTTGGCGGTTCGAATCCTCGTGACGGGGTGAGCTCCCGTTGCTCGGTCTCTGCTCCTGCCAACCTAGCAGTTTGAAAGCACAAAAGTGCGAGTAGATAAATAGGTACCGCTCCTGCAGGAAGGTAAATGGCGTTTCCATGCGCTGCTCTGGTTCTCCAGAAGCGGCTTAGTCATGCTGGCCACATGACCCGAAAGCTGTACGCCAGCTCCCTCGGCTAATAAAGTGAGATGAGCGCTGCAACCCCAGAGTCGGCCACGACTGGACTTAATGGTCAGGGGTCCCTTTACCTTTACCTTTAGCCATGAAGCCACCAAGAGATGACAGACCTTCTCTCAGCCAGACCTCCCTCAAAGTGGGGGATGGGTAAGTCTCAGCATCATTGTTCATGAAAGGGGAATGAAGTCTTCTGTCACTGGACTAGTCTGAGGTTTGAAGTGTTGCTATGTCCTCTGAATCTTAGAAACAGCCACTTATAAACGGGTTCAGCTGTTTCCTTCATTAGGTTTCACAGACAATTAGATTTGATCCATAGTCATTTACACCCGGTCATAAGAGAATGTAAAATGTTAACCACATTGAGTGGTACTTTGGCCTGGTATAAATAACTTCATGCGGTATAAATTGCTATATAAATGTGTCCTGAAATGCTGCCAGCAAGATACATTTTGTGCCCATGTTGTGTCATTCTCCACACCCTGAAATGCCAGCCAGCTCCAAGCTACAGAAACCAAGTCATCTGTGTCCCTCTTTAGCTTGTGCCTGAACTCACTGTGCTCAAAAAAATATTAAGAGCTGATGCACTGAGCTACGAATTGGGGAGTCCTTGCTTCACATCTTACCTCTGCCATGAACCGAGGTGGCCTCAGGAAAGAGACCTTCCTCTCACTCAGCCCCCCCCCCCCAATATGGCAGGAGTCATTCTCACATCACAGAACTGTTCCAAAGATGACAGCAAGATAATGCTTATGAAGCACTTGGCAGCACTGTGCACAGGCTACATGTTAAAATATTTGTATGTATCAGTAATGGAGGGCCACAAAAAGAATTCCAGTGTTGATAAGAGCGAGCGTCTGAAAATGAATAGGAAGTCACAGACTAGTTCAGCTTAGTGTCCTGTGACTAGGGATGGGGAAATCTACCCATCTCGCTTTCCTCCTGTTTCTCATTTTTCCAGGCTTAAGTTCAGTTCTCCTTATTTCCACACCAGTTTGCAGTTTACCGTATTTATTTTTAAGTCCTCGTGAAAATTCATCAGTATTTTAATTTTCAGATTTCTCCTTCCATTACATATTTTTTTGTGCCACCTTACCTAGCATACACACTTTTTGCAGAACAATTTCCCTAATATTTTGCATGTTATTTTCTAAAATATTCATGATTACGCACACCATGTCCCAGTAGGTGCATTTTTTTCACATTACTTGGCTGGAGAACTGCAAGATTCAGAGAAGGGCAAACTTCAAAAGATGGCTGTTCCAATCCATTCCATTCACTTGCTTTTGGGGAAAATGCAAATTTGGTACTTTCCCTTTTAAATGTGGACTGAATCGGACTTCTCCCTCCCCTCCCCCAACTCCCTGTGACTGAATAGACTATGAATCACTCAGTCAGCAAATCTTCTGAATGATGGAGATGTGGAGAAAGCCATCTGACCTGTATGGATAAATGGGCTCCCAGATAGGCCTCCTGTTTTCACACACCTCAAAGGCTTCCTCTAGAAAAGCTCTCTAAAGCAAAACAGTCAGTCACAATGTCCTAACAAACGCCTCTGCCTTCCATTTTTCAAGACAATGCTGAATCATTTGCTCGGAACTCCAATTACAGAGGATCTTTGACACAGCGAAATCCAAATGGAAGAAGCAGGAAAGCAGATCACATCTTTGCGGCAAGTATTTAGAATCCAGCTCATTGCCCTTCTGTAAGCTGAAAGGTAGTAGACTAGCCAGGGACAGCAGAGAGGAGTTAGTGCAGGCCACCCCAAATCGAGATGCAGAAGGAAAACGGAGTTTTGTCTCTTGATCAGAGATTATAAGTATGTAGGCAATTCAAAATGGGAGAGGTACAATCTTTCATGAGTCCAACTCCTGTTAATACGAGAACATGCATATCCTTGAATTATGCAAAACTCCTTATCAGACATAAAACCTCAGCGCCTAGGACTTGGTTCGAATCCCTGCGGCGGGGTGAGCTCCCGTCTTTCGGTCCCAGCTCCTGCCCACCTAGCAGTTCGAAAGCACCCCTAAGTGCAAGTAGATAAATAGGTACCGCTTTATAGCGGGAAGGTAAACAGCGTTTCCGTGTGCTGCGCTGGTGCTGGCTCGCCAGAGCAGCTTCATCACGCTGGCCACGTGACCTGGAAGTGTCTCTGGACAGCGCTGGCCCCCGGCCTCTTAAGTGAGATGGGCGCACAACCCTAGAGTCGGACACGACTGGCCCGTACGGGCAGGGGTACCTTTACCTTTTACCTCATCAGACATTAGACAGAATGAAAAGCAGCTGATTAGAAATTTCACAAAATGAAAGTACCATGACTTTTGGTGACAGCCATATTGCCCAAACGTTTTGTCCTCGACATCTGTGCATTGTTGGGTTCTGCTTTAACCCTTTAACTGTCTTAGTATGGTTCCTTACATTGCCCTGGGGTGCTTCCAACACAAGAAAGATAGCATTGTGGATATCTTTTTTGCTATAACTTTATTAGTGGTAGAACCCTGTTCTGTGAAAAGAGTACACTACAGGCGACTCTCCATTTAGGTGGGGTTACATTCAAACCCCTGTGCACATCAGTGAAATTGCATAAAATGGGGAATCGCCTGTATCAGCTCAGCAGTTGCATGGGGAAGAAGTTCCCCTCATGTCAGCTGTGTAAGCCCCACTGTCCCTCTGGACTCACGTGAGCCAAAGGGACAGCAGGGCCTGCACAGCTAACCAGAACAGCTTACCACCCTGTTTCGTCCCTGCTCACTGAGTATCTCTGAAACGACCACCTTCACACCCTGCAAACAGTGAAATGGGGAATGTGGGTGAACAATTTTGGCCCATCCTCATTGATACCAGAAGGGTTCTCATCAATGTTTTGATACTTTACAGAAGCCTGTGATGACCCATCGCTCTTGAACAGAATGAAGTCTTCTAAGACCTCAACTCAAGATTTCATCCCTTCATTCTATTTTCTTTCTTTTCTTCTTTCCATCTGTTCACCTGCAGTGCTAGATCTACACATTTTCCTTCAGGGGTCAAAAGCCTGCACTGCTCCCTCCCTTTGCCTGAGTCAGGAAACAGGAAAGAAGCAGGTTGGAAAAGAATTCTCTGGGCAACATCCCTTTGAAATTTGGTTCCTACATTCATACTAAGAGCCCAACTTAGTAAAAGGAATTTCTGTTCTAGGATTGACTTAATTACCTGCCCACATCTATTGAACAGGACTCATAGCTAAAATGTTTTTTCTTCATGCACTGCTAAAGTATGCGTCCATATTCTGATCATTTGGGCTGGTGAATGTCATGTCATGTAGGTTTCAGTGGTCAGCACTTCACAGTGCCCTGCAGTAATCAGGAGGGTTTTTTCAAAGGTCTGGAATATGGAACCAGAAGGCAGAATGCTGGGCTTTCACCCTTAGCTGCCTTTCAGTATCAGATGATACAGAACCCCCAGAACAGCACGCAGAGGAGGAGAGGGGGAACATTCTGTCTGGCAAGCCAAAGTGCTTGCTCTGATGGAACATTTGATCGCCTTAGTGCAACGTGGGATTCTTCCCCAAGTGTCCTGTGGTTCCTTGAAGACTAACAAATTTACTATGGCATCATAAATGAACTAGAGCCCATTTTGGAGCCCCATGGCAACGCAGGGCACAAGGAGAGCCTTGCTAGACCAGACCATTTCCCACAGTGGCCAACCAGATGCTCATGGGAAGTCCACCAAAGAGAGCAGGAGCAGCACAGTCCTCTGACCCTCTTCCTCCCCAGTGACTTACACCACAAATACATAGGTTTTTGCCAGCCTTCAAGGTTCACAGAACTCTTTGTTGGTTTTGGCATGCCAACGTCTTGCAGCTCTGCCTCGTTCTGGAATATATTAGGGCTCTGGTGCTTAGCCAGGAGTGCAGGCCGTGGTTGCACAGGCATTAATCAGAGAGGCTTTCTGCTCAAATTTCTCCATGCAAGGCATCTGCCTCTTCAGAGTTGCAGAAATGGTCTGTGCATTTTAAAAAAGTTATGGGGTGGGGGAGAGAGAGATGAGAAACTAAAATGGCAGGAAGTAAAATGGCAGAAACAGTGGAGCAACCATGGCAGAGTGGAAGGTCAGGACTTTTCAAGGTCTGGTCCCTGGTACCTCGTAGACAATACTGGGCAGAGCAGAGGCAAAGATGCTTGTATGATCATGCCATTCCTTCCATGTTATAGTAGCATGTGTCTTTGCAGAGCTTTAGGTGGATAAAGAGCAGGCTTATGAGTAACAGAGCTTAAATGAGATGTGAAAAGAATCCCCTATTCCATATGCTCTAGCAGAGGAATGCAAAATTCTTTCTCCTATTTCTGATAAGCACATTAAGTAGAGGCTCAAGGAAGCACATCTGAATTGCTTCTGAAGGCCAAACATTACAATAGGCAGATACGCTCACAGTTGCAGACCTGACTTCTTCCCTCTGCAAGTTGTCATGATAAATAAGTGATAGGATAGTTAGCTTTCAAGCCTGATTTCAGCTTACTTCTGAGTTGTATAGAATTGTACTGTCTTCTTCAGGTATCCTTTGAATCCTCCTCAGGATAAATCAAATGTTATGACAAACTTGCAAATTTATCCCCAAAGAAATTGGTACCGTGAGCCAAATGACACAATTACATTTCACCCTCACGTAGTCCATCTGGAGTTTCTGTTAAAGTGCATCAAATTCCACATTCGATTCATTTCCATTTTTATTTCTTTTCTTTTACTAAAATCCAAACCTTTTTTTTTTTTACACAACCATACAGTGTCATCCTGAATGTCCAGGATTTATATGGCACCACTCCTATATGACTGGCACTCAGACACATGGAGATACAGGAATGCAATTTTTACCACACTGAGGGGTATACAAAGGACCCTTAAAATGTGTGCACCTGCCTCCTTTGCTTGTAAAGCTTTGCCCTATGAACAAAGCACAGAAAGCGCCAAAGGCTCCTGCTAAGACAGCTCACTGCATCGCTGGCAGGAATCCTCTTATGCTAGGAAGCATTTCCCCCTTGCAGCAGCACCCAGAAATGTGTCTCATTTGCCATCAGCCTTCTAAGTGTCCCACATCCCCTCCAGTGATGTCCATTAGTTTCATGATGCAATCAAAGGCAGAAGTGCGTGCTGCCTTTAGTTCCACGGTTCTTTACCCCAGGGCTATTTTTATCAGATAACGTAGCTGTTGCGCAAAGGACCAGTGGAAGGCGGGGGCAGCAATGACCACCCCCAACCAAAGGCTCCTCACAACTGCTTTACCCATTTAAAGAGAAGCCCTCGGGACAAAAGATGTAAAGAGCATCGCCTCATGTCTCCTTTTGGCCTAAGATAAAACATAGTCATTCTGCTCATCTAAGCCATTGGCCTCTATCCATGTATCTATCATATGTATATGCTAAATCATACAATAAACACTGGCATTGTGTTCCTATTAAGAAATGTTTCCTGCAGTATCTTTTTTTCCTTCCTGATTTCTGGAGGGAGATGGGGAGGGAAGGGCACTTCATGCCTACCAGCTCACACTTACGCCTTAACCAGCTAGTGCTAATAATGTCTTATTAGTAATAAAAAAAAATTAATAAAGGAAACAAAGTTTTGATGCCAAATTGGAAAATGAAGAAATCAGGTCGTGAGAAATATAGTACACCATCCCTTTATATTTCCATCTTGCTTACCACACGGGAGGAAATTATTTCAGGTAGCAGACCAAATACTGTCCAAATCTGATTTGTGAGATTTTGAACCACAGAAGGTTTGTTGTCAAACACAGGTCTTTTAAGCAAAGTAATATACTTTATGTTCTTGAATGGAAAGGCTTGATAGTTTATCAGTGCACAAAACAAAAGAGGCATTTTGTCATAGGTTTTCAGGCCAGCCTACAATGCTATGTAATTCCTAGCATTTCAAAATGGGATGGTGTAAACCTAATAGTGGAAGAGGCTAGGGACTTCCTGAAAAGCCAAGGCTGCATGGGCTGTGCCTTTAAAAGAGTTGTTGCTTCATTACAATTCTTTGCTTGTGTTTGGATGATCTGACATTCCAAGGATGTCTCAGAGAAGATTGGTGCAGTGGGATAAAATGGAGATTCTGCCTTATCTCCTGGAAGCGAACCATATCCAGTCATTTCAGGACTTATCTAAGTTTCTGCACAAAAGTTTTATTTGCTGGGATGTCACTAGAAAATCCTCCCAAGAAATGAAAAAACTCAAAGCAGGGACAGGGCCTTAATGGAGGAAGAGGCTCCTCAGAAGCCCTCAGGAGTACTGGGTGGGCTGCATCTGTAAAGTAAAGGCCCATTAGAGGTTGCTGGGCACCCACACAGTTGATGGGCATTGCCAGCATTTTTTTCCCTGGGGGTACTCAAGGGTACACAATACCGGCACTCCCCCCCCCCCCCCTCATGTTAAAAGTGTGAAACTTACTGTAACAACTTCATGGTTACTGGCACCTTTTTATCTTCTTTTTTTCAAAAAAAGCACATCCGCGAAGGCCCAAAGAGGGCACACGGTGAGTGAGTACACAGAGAGCAAGGTCACCTGGGTGCATGCGAACCATCTCAGACAGTCCACGCCTAACCATACCACCTGGGCCTCACAGCCATTGGGTGTGCATGTGCCGTATCTTGTGATCTATTATGTGGGGAAGGGCTTACCTGCCCCCCCCAATATCTTATTCAAGTTGACACCCCTGGAGTCATTGACAGCTAGGGCTGGCAATCTTAAGTTCAGTTCTCCGCATTTCCACAGCAATTCATGATTTTTTCTCTCTTTAAAAAAAGACCTTGAGAAAATTCACCAGGATTTCTGTACAAATTTATCCTCCAGCACATTGCTTTGTATTTTTCTTATGCAATTTCCCCTATTGTGCGTATTTTGTAAAGCAGTTTCCTCATACAAGCATATTTTTGTATGTTGCCTCCACTGATATATGCATTTTTACAGTGGTGGACTCTGGGCTCTCGGAATGGTGCCGCCGTGTGCAATGCTAGAATTCAGCTTCGCCGCCTCTTGGGCTCCATTCTCCAGCACTGTAGGGGCTCCCTCTGCAAAGTGGCTGGTTACACTACCCTAAAACTGCACTACCCTAAAACTGCCTCTGATTTTTGTGCACAGCATATACATTTTTGCCCTCATAACTTGGCTAGAGAATTCTACTGCAAAATCTGAAGAAGGGTAACTGTTTTTTGGTTTACTTCCTCACCCCCCCAAAGTGCAAACCTGGCAGGTTCACTTTTAAATGCAAACTGAATCCATTTTTTCCTCCACCCCTATAGACAGTGTGGCTGCTTTGCCTGACCCCCAATACCATTGCTTTCCAGGCCAACTCAGTCTTGTTCCTAGCTGCTCTGGGTAGGGATAAATAAAAGTGCCTTTAGTGCCTTTCAAACCAATTTTTGGAAAATCAGGTGCTGCTTTTGGATAAAATAGTATATTTTGAAATGCCTTGGTTAGTTAATTCTGGTATGTTGACACATACATTGCCTGTCCAATCCTTGACACATTACCCTTTTATCTAAAAGTCCCATGTGGGAAACTTGCTATTTGCTTGAAGTCCAGAGGAAGGCCTTCATTACTGGGCAGGGAATATTATGTTTCCTAGTTGCAGCTGCAACCCGCTAGAGAGAGAATAGCTTGATGTACTGTTTGCTCCAGACAACAACCTAAACATTAGCATATGGTTATGGTAAACATCCCTGCAATTCTCTGTGCCCAAAGAGGCCCCCACTGCAACACAGCTAATACAAAACACAAACACCACAAATCCTAAAAACCTAACTTTCATGTCTTATGTAGTACTAAAAACTAAACACGACAGACCTTGGCAATCAAAATCTAAAGTATCCTGAAACCACAAAACACAACTTTGCAAATAGTGGAGAGTTTGTCCAAATGAATCCCAATCATGCAACTGTAACAAAAATGCCACTGAAGTATAATTTATGGGTCTGAAGCAAGCTCCCAGACTTCCCTGTGCAAAACTTGGATTTGGAGACACCCTCAGGTCTCTCAGTTTTCACTGAGGCAATTCTGGTACCAGAGATCAGGCCATCCCAGCTCCCCTCCTGTCCTAGGTTTCATAGCAGCCGCAGGTTTATATTACAGACTAGTGTTCCTTAACCATTTAAACTACGTGTTGTTCTCATCATCTGTCAGCCATCAGAATAAAAGATGCAATATAAATACACTTTTCACTCATACAGCACAAAAACTTACAGCCTGAGGTGGAGAATTATCCACTCCCAAGAATGTTATTCCCTCTGGGCCAGAATTAAACAGGGATATGGTAAATTTGTGCTTCCACTCCAGTAAGTTTTTGCAGAACCAGGAATAAATCCATTGTGTGGCACCAAAACTCTGGAAACCCATGATTCCATAGTGAACACACACACACACACACACACACACCCTGTAGGTGCACAAGCAACTACCAGGCCAGAGAGGAATGGCTGCTTGCATCTTTATATAAGAGGCAAAGACAGGCAGGATGCAAGCAGTGTGTGGTTTGCTGTGCTGTGCACCCCATGGCTGAAGATCAGCCAAGAAGAAGAATGGAGAAAAGATGGCCTTCCCCTCTTCTGATCTCTTTCAGTGCATGCATTGAAATGTAATGGATCATGCTCATGGTTTCCATTGTATTTACAGTGACATGGGAAGCGAACCCTACCATGCAGAGAGGAGCCCAGAAATGGCACGATAGATTTTGTTGTATAATTCCTCTCCCCTCTTGATAGGAATCCCCACAGTTCAATGTAGGGAGTTCTGCAGGCCACAGTCATGTATTCCGAGTTCCTGAGAATGAGGGTCTCTGGCTATACCTCCCATATCCCATCTGCCAATACACTCCTATTGCCTGTTTCTCAGTGGAGTACAAAACAATTTCAAACCATTTTAGATGTGGGTGTTTTTAATCCCTGTTAAAATGTTTTGCTTTATGGTTAATTTATTTACTTTTGCTACTTTGCTGTTTGCCATCCTTGGCTCCTTTGGAATGAAGGCTGAGATAGAAATTTCATCATCACCATCATCAACATCAAGACAAACTGGAACAAAATAATTACACATTTGATTCCAGCATTGCACGGGGTTGGACTGAATGATCCTTGCGGTCCCTTCCTGCTCTACAAATCTATGATTCTATGAAAACAAACAAGGTGTACGAATGCATTCATGCAATTTTGCCCAACTTATTCTAGTTAATCAATGTGAACTAAGTGGTCACACAATATATGGAAGATGACATAGTACACAAAGGCAATTCATTGGCAATGGTCTCCATGTGGACAGAAGGAAGGAACGGGGGAGGGGGGAGCTTTGAACATTTGCAGTTTAATTTTGGAGTACTGGTTTTTAGGCTGCAGTCATATAAAATGTAATGTAGTGCAGTGCACATACACATTCTCACCTGGGAGAAAGTCTGCTTGAACGTGGTGGGATTTACACCAGAGTAGGCATGCTTAGGATTGCCCTGTTAATAACCAAATATGCATTTTGGGTTATTAGAGTACTATACAAAAGCTGAATTCTCAGGTGCAATATAATATGAAGAAGGACCCATCTTTTGCAGCCCATAACATAAGTTGTTATGGGATGATGGGAGGATTATGCTGAGATGCCTTGTTCCAGTCTTGATGATGTCACAGGCAGCCATACATAGACAAAGGGACAGCATAAAAAGGAATAGAGCGACCACCGGCTCTCACCGCGTCACTCACTGAAAAGAGAGCAGAGCAGTGCCACTCTCCATCACTCTAGGAAAAAAGTAAGTATTCCTCTTCAGTTCTGCTTTTCATTGCCTGTTTCAGAAAAAAGTCGGGATGAGTGAGACTAAATAGAAGGCATGCTTTGTGTGGCACCTGTAGCCTCATCAAATAAATTTGGGGAGCGGTCTGAGTAAAATGGCTTTCCAACCCATGCCCACCGTGAGCATTTTCTAACTTTGCTGCTTTGTTGTGTGTATGTGGGCTTGTAATTTCATTTTAAAGTGATAATGGCTTGCTAGGGTAATAAAAACCAAAGGGGTTTCTAGCTAGATCTTCTAACAGCTTACTTTTATTTTCTGAAACCAAAGCTCAGGTATCCCCTTTTTGAGATAAACTAGTGCTGCTCCCAGTAAAACAAAAGAAACAGTAGATGATGCAGTTCAATAATTTAGGATTTTTAAGATTTTCAAGAATAAAATTGTCACTGCAATTATTTTAGGTATATAGCCTAAGATATTGACATAAATGACAATCCACTGGGAGGCAATTATTATGCCAGCTTTCCAGTTGGGAAACTGAGGCTGGGAAGCAGCCAGTGACCCAAAGCCAGTGTGTGAGTTCCATGTCTAAGCTGTGGTTTGATTCAACCTTATTTCCATTTAGGCTTGCTGGTTTTCAGAATGAACAGTTTGCAATGTATTTTGCAGCCAATAAATACAACAACGTGGTTGCTTTTGGCGAGAAGCCTTTAAAGGTCAGGCTATTATGTGAGGATGAACAGGAAATGTGCCAAAATGCATCAGGACTTGGGGAAAGATGCCCCTAGTTCAGCAGGTGCGGTCAGCACATAGGAAAGGAGTTTCCAGACCCAGGAGAGGACCCCTGCGCAACAAGTATGATGCTTAGAAATGGTAGAAAGCGTGGTGCCTTCTGTTGGGTCAAGGCTGCACACAGATCAGTTTTCACAGACCCGACTCACTGTGCTTCCCTGCAACTGAAATCTGCACAGTGGCTCACAATTCCAATCAAATGTTAGCTGAAATGTCTTACCAGTTTAATTTGTATGATAAGTGCTGGGCATTTTTTAAAATTTGGCTACAGTTATCCTGACTACAGTCCTGCAAAACAAATGCATATACATGTGTATATGTGGGAGAAGAGCTTCACACACACAGCCGGAAGTGCCTTTGAACTTTCTGCCTCAGCTTTTTGCACAGCTGAACAGGCAAGCAAACTTTAAACTGAAAAGAGGCTGGCCCAAACACTGAGATGCTGGAGCCATTGCAGTAGAAGTTTCAGAAACATCTCCAGCTCGGCACAGAGTTCTCCCCTTGCACTTTCATGCCATGCTGTAGGACAGCAGCTCTAGCTATGAGCCAGGGCACGTCTGTTTTCTTTCTCTCACCAACAAAGGATTCAGGGAGAGACATAGCAAGAAAAATTGCAGACACCCTGAGAGTTAAAACAATTTGGTTCCTTTTCAAAACACAAATTTACCTTAAGTTCTTTTACTTAAAGACTGCTAGAGAATGATGGCAGTTGTTCTTCCAAAGGTGAAAAACAACTTTTATTAGCTAACAGGCTAATGTAGAGTGAAGGTTAAAATGTCCACATTTTGAAATACTAAATAGGAAATATTGAAAGTAAACAAGCGGCACCCCGATCCAAATATGTGCGTGTGCGCACTGCAGCTGCCCCTCTCCTTTGCCTGCGTCACAACTATGATGTTACATGTGTACATGAGGACTTCGTTCACACAGGAGACCTTTCATGGTTACGCCTCCCGAATCTTCCTCAAAGTTACCTGTCGGCACCAGAAGGTGACGCTTGATGGGATTTGCTTGTGCTGTATGTTGTTGTCTTCTCCCCTCAACTACTTCTTCACCACCCTCCAGATGTTCTGGAAAGCTGAGGTCCTTTGCGGAGGCATTTGTCTCCATGTTGTGTGTGTGTGTGTAACTCTCTTCTTCTGCTGAGGCTTCCCACCTAACAACTTGAGAGCTTCTGATCCCGGCCTATAGGACCAAGTAAATCATTTACTTATTTTCATTTTATCGTACTTACTCTCCAAAGAGCTCCAGGCAGAGCCAGGGACTGGCTCAAGATAAAGCTTTGCCTGAGAGGGATTTGAACATAGGATAGGGCTTCCCACTTTAAACATGTGATGGACTGGGATGTGTAGAGTCGATTTCAGCTTCTGCTGGAGAATTGACAGACTTCTGGGTGATGCCTTTTTTAAAAGAGAGAGCGAGCCCATATTCTTCCTGGATGTCTCGATCAGGTATTGTCTCAATCAGATATGTATGGATAGACAAGGATATTCATTTTCATTCACATTCTCCCTCCCCAACCCCAACCCCCCCCTCACAGACAGAGAGGATTTAGGCATAAAAAGCACCAAATCATGGAAAAAGTAGAAAATTTCTTTTTAAAAAATACTCTGTTATGAGCAGAGTGCACTGCATTGTCAGAGACCCAGACTGCATGAGGAATGCTACTCAAATTCAAGCTCAGGGATGGTGAGGGACTGAGGACAACCTGCTCATGAAGACTTGAGGACGGGACTTGCATGTGCTCACTTTGAGCCTTTGCATGTTCAGGCAAATACCTGAATACAGCTGAATACCTTTCCCTTCCCTTCCCTTCCCTTCCCTTCCCTTCCCTTTTCACATCCCCCACTAATAGTTCTTGAAATGAAAGTTGCAAACCTGTTGTGCATGTTGTAGAGTTTTGTGTTACTGCTGTCGCTCATCCTGAAGCGCACTTTTGAAGGGCACTTCCCTTGCCTGAAACTGATAGACCTTTCCCTTGTGACTGCAGTTGGGGCCCGAGCTTCACCAGGTTCCCCTTACGAGTCACAGAACCTTTGAAGAAGGAAAAGGAAACAGACATGAGGCTCTTCATCATCTGCCTCTTGTGCTTGCTGATGGACTGCCTGCTGCTGCCTGACGCCGAATGCCGAATCCTTGAGCGATCCATGGAAGTCAGAAGTAAGTTCTTGGGTACTGTACGGGGTAGAAGACAAAACTTTTAAAAGCAGCTGTGCTTAAGAGACCCTTTCTGAGGAAGCTGTTTATCACTGTAGCACTGGGAAATGGCCAGTGTCCCCTGCAGTGAGTTAAGGGACATGACAACCACTGATAACTGGATGAGCAGCTAGACCCAAGTGATGGGTGTGCAGCACAATCATCAAACTAGATGAAGTGGAATGTGAACTTTCATAAAGGAGTTCAGCTCAGGATAGAGTTTGCTGATCTGTAACATGCACTTGTGATGAGTCTTGAGGGACTTTGGGAGACAAGAGGAGGGAGCGCCTACAGAAGGTGGAGGGAACCTTTGGACCTCCAACTAGAGGTGGGTGGAACATTTTTGGAAGTTTTGAAGCCAGGGGAGAAAAACATTCCCCCTTCCTGGGTCCCCCCGGCCAGGGAGAGTGGAAATTATTGGTTGGTTTTTCTGATAGCATTCCATATGCATAGAAAGTCACTTTGCTACATGGTGTCCTTCCTTGTGTGCTTCTCTTTCACTCCATTATTCCTGCCACTGCCACTCCTAGCGCACAACCCGCAGGCGTATTAGGCAGGTGTGAAATTAGACAGGTAGAAAAAATGCCATCAGCTCAACAAGGGTAGTCTTGCAAAGAAGCTTTGCTAGTGATGAAAAGCTCACATTGCCTCCCCACAAACAAGTGTGCCAGTGCTTTAGAATATGGCAGAGCAATGCCAGGTATTCTGGTGCAGGAGTGGGAAGGACTTATCTGTTTCCTAGGCTCTCAATACCACCTGGGCTTTGCCTTCCAGATCCAGACATTGATCCTTCCTGGTACACGGGGCGAGGGATCCGACCTGTGGGACGGTTTGGCAGAAGGAGAGCAGCTGGGGAGAATGCTCAGAAAAGTGACCACCGGCCCCAGCAAGCCTGCTTCCCCATAGAAGACAGCGATGAGCAGCTGCAAGATGAATGATGCCTCAGAAGTGAACGGTCTCCTATCCCGACAAGAAAGAACATCGCAATCTCTCCAGAGGCCAAATAAAAAATGTTGGACTTTTTGCCCTGTCTCTTTTATGTCTCATGCCAGAGGAGTAGAGTTCAAGAGCAGGGTTTGGCTGAAGAATTTCCTTAGACTATATCTCTCTACGCCCTCACATTGTATTCCTTTTACTGTCAAATTCATTTTCAGATTTCTTGCACCAGTAAAGGCTGTCCCTTTTGTGAACGACTTTAATGTGCTGCAGAACAACTATCCTTAAACTCCACTCCAAAGCACCCATTTGTTGATGATACAAGTTTTTGTTTCATTTACTTGCTTTTATAGTACCAGAGGTGTACATTCTTGGGACTTAAAAAATGTAAGAGAACAGCTCCCTGCTCCCAGGCTCTCATAGCCCAAAATTTAATACAACAGAGTTAACAGAGTAAGGGATGGGGAAGGAGAGTCAGTTGTAAATAAGGAATTAATATGAATTTCTTTTAAATACATACAGACTTTGACCAGTTAAGACCCAGTCAATATCAACACCATCCTGACCTTAACAGGACACCAAATCTAATATATTCCAAACTGAGCATTGAACCGGGCATCATTAGAAACAGTTTCCACAAAGCTCCAATTTGCTCATAGAAAGAAGGTCTGTGTATGGATGTTCAATGCATAACTGCCCCAGGTGCCCCCACTGAGGGGAGTGACAAAATGGTGGGTGGCACTCACCACAGGGCCTACAGCACGCCCGAGCCATGTGTCTCAGGCTCCCGCAGGCTCCACAATGTCTGCTCACTGCCTCCCCCCAGCTGTAGGGCAGCTGAGGCCCCGGCCCATGTGGCACGTCCCGTCCCTATGGGCACTGCGTGCCCCATCCCTATGGGTGTGGCTTGCCCCGCCCCTGGGTGCACTGCTCCAGGTGCCCAAGAGGCTTCCTCCACCGCTGCAAGGCTCCCCATTTTCAAATTTCATGGAGTCTTCAACACTACCTCTAAAATCAGAAAGGTAGACTGCCGAGCATTGGGGTGGGTGGTCCCCTAGCAGAATCCTCTCCTAACTCAAGAACCCAACACTACAGGCAAACACTCAAGTTTAGTGGACTGTTGGACAGGGACCCCGATCATGGAGGTTTAATCTTGACCAATCATGGCAGCACCCATTCTTCCCACCCATCAAGTTGATGCTGCACTGAGAAAGCCTATCAACAAAGCTGAGAGAAGATATTCCCACCCCCAAAGCCACATCTCTGTCATGCAAGTCCGACTGACATCCTCATCTGGGATTAAGTGGCAGAAGGCAATGGTTTTACTATTCACCAACACTGAAGAGAATTATTCACAAGCTTGACAAATTAGAATAATAGAACCATAGAATTGTAGAATTTGAAGGGACTCCAAGGGTGACAGGTGGCCATCCAAACTTTGCTTAAAAGCCTCCAAGAAAGGAGAGCCCACCACCGCTCATGAAAGTCTGTTCGACTGCTGAACAGCTCTTACTGTCATCATGTTCTTCCTGATGTTTAGTCAGAATCTCCTTTCTTATAATGAAGCCACTGGTTCAGGTCCACAGAAGGAGAAAAAAAGCTTGATCCATCTTCCATGTGGCAGCCCTTTAGATATTGGAAAATAACTATCTTATCTCTTGCGTGCCCAGGCACCCCCCATAAATAATGAGACCTGTTGTATTTGGGTGAAATCAGGCCACACCTTTACTGACTACAGATGTAAGAGGTTTGGCACTGGCACTGGGTAGAACCCCACCCCTTCTAGCCCAACTGCTGGTAGGACCTGGGGAGTGCTGTGACCTAGCCCCCACCAGGGCATCTGGACAGAAGCATCTGCCCTGGATCCCTTTAACAGGATATGCCATTTTCTGTAGGGGAAGGCAGAGTCAACAACCTCTCCTCCAACCAAGACTACGCCTATCCAATGCCTAAACCACCACTCAAGCAAATGCTCACTGCCAAACCACTCACATCTGAAGCCAAGGTCTTAAGCCTCCCACCCGTAAGTCATTTCACACTCCAGACATGTGCACCCATCCTGTTGGAATAAGGCCTCTCAGTTGAAAGCGATACCAGGGTACCGAATCACCCAGCTGCCCAGCAGCAGCACCTTGTGTTTTATGGCTCAATTCCCTTTCTTTCTTTCTTCCTTGCCTTGTTCATGCCTGCCAGCTCATGGTGTTGCCCCTCTGATCACGCCAACACCAACTCTCCAGTAGCTTAGATCCAAGCAGCAACCCTTTGAGATGTAATCAAGTTTAGAGTGATGTGCGTCAGGGCAAACCATCCTAATTTGACATATATGCTCAAGGGATGTGAACTGGCAGTGGCTGACCAGGAATGTGACTCTGGCCCACTTCACTTGTGCCACCGTGGGAAGCAGGTGGCTAGACAGGATAGACCGCTACTTTGGTCTGATCTGGCAGGGATCTTCTCATATTCTTATGAAATGACACAATGCTATTTTTTACTCTTCTGTTTATTCTCTTTATTACATTTGGATACCAAAGAAAAACTATGCAGTACTATGGAAAGCTTTTACAAATAATTTGGAAGTGTGTGTTGCTTTTATGATTTAGCTGCTCTGAGCCCGGCCTCAGCCAGGGAGGGCGGGATACAAATAAAATTTTATTACAGTGGTAACTCAGGTTACAGACACTTCAGGTTGCAGACTCTGCTAACCCAGAAATAGTACCTCGGGTTAAGAACTTTGCTTCAGGCTGAGAACAGAAATTAGCTAAAGTGGTACCTCAGGTTAAGAACAGTTTCAGGTTAAGAACGGACCTCCAGAACAAATTAAGTTCTTAACACGAGGTACCACTGTATTATTATTATTAAAACTTTTTAATGTCTTCTCACAGTGAAAAGGAATGAGGTAGGCACATAAAGCAGAGCAAACCCTCCGGCTTGGAGGAGGAGGAGGCTTCCATTTTTTACTGCAGCAGCAACCCCAGTCACATGGAACAACTAATCTCAGATTGCTTGGCAGCATTTCGTTTGGGGAAAACTTGTTTCTCGCAGATCAACATGTGATTTCTTCCACTGTGTTGATTGAAATGTCTTCTCTTTCTGTTGTTCTTGTTTTAACAATTCATGAGCTTTGTGAGGAAGGGAGAAATGGTTATTTTCCTGTGAAATATAAGATTTACAGCCTTAATTAAAAGTGCACGTTTTTACTTATCTGCTTACATGGAATAACAATTGTCCATGTGCAGCTGTTTCCTCCACCACATCACCAGTTGGTGAGCCTGAACCTGTTTCTGGGTTTCAGAAAGAGTAATGTGACGTCTCTGACCCTTGAAGGTCAAACAGTGGCCTTCAGATGCCCCCTGCCCTTTAAAGGCTGGAAGAGGCAGCTAGAATGGTTGTGGAGTTGATGGCCAAATAATAGATCATTGGCCCAGTTTGCAAGACACAGTAAACCATAGTTAAGAACAAAACTTGGCTTCCATAGGTGGCCTTTTGGGAGAGAAACAAACCCGGTGGATGGCGTGAGAGGCCAGACTATTGCATTTCCCAACAAGGCAGCAGCAGCAGGACCTGAGAGGATGGGAGTGACTGCAGTTCCAGCCATGCCCATCAGCGTGCTGCTCAACCACCTAAAACGAACTGTGTGATTGTTTTGCAAACACGGCTATTATTCTGGAGCAATGATGTTAAACGGTGTGGACATAGAAAGTGGCTTTTCTCATCTATGCAAGAGTCATTTTACAGCCTCCAGCTCCACCTGCTACAATTGTTTCTTACCACTCTTATATGTTGAAGAGAAAGCAGGTGATGTGCTTTGATGGCTGAAGCAGACATAAGATAAAATGAGAACGTGGAACAATTTCTACAGTTGTGCTCTCAGATCACCTTCAGAAGCAATCTGTCTCGCATGCAAGCAAACTGAGCACAGGCTCAAGGCCTTTAGTCTTTCCCTCATCCAGCGGGCAGCAGCAACAGGAACCAAGGATGGAAGAGCCAGGGCTGAACGCCATTCTCAACTACACAACTTTCAGAAGACATCTGAAGGCAGCCCTGTATCGGGAAGTTTTTTTATGTTTGACATTTTATTACGTTCCCACCCTGCACTCAGTTCTCACCTGTGGCTCCTAGAAGCTGTCAGCAGGCAACAGTGACCACACCCCAGGAAATGGCTCCAACAGGACAGCTAAACCAGGTGAGGGCAACCAATAGGTCTCAAACCCTTATTGAGTTAGGGACTTGTCTATCCCCTGCATGCGAAGACAGGCTCTGGTGGATTGAGAGGACGAGACCAAGAGAGGGTCTAATGGTCAAGAGGGTAGTTTCTGCACAATCTGTAGAGGGAAGTGAGGGGTAGATGGGACCTGTCAACCTGGGAAGGTAGCCCATCTAGGAGAAGGAAAACTCCAACCTTAAACCTCTGCTGCCTTGTGGGATATCTTCAGGAGAAGAAAAAGCTAAAGAGTAAACTCTACACAAATCCAGACTGGAGTCACTAAGATGGTTGGATGGTGCCTTGTACGCCTCCTTCTGGCAACTCCTGCAGCCAAGTTGCTCCCGAACATCTTGCTCTGCTTTCCTTTGGACCCCATCAGCGAGGCCAAGACAGGGGTCTTGTCATCTGGGCAGCCCAGGACCTCTAGGCACATGGCCCAAACTTGTGCCCCAGGAGGTCACTTCAGTGCTGCTAACACAGCAGTTTTGACAACATCCCCCAAGATGCACTCCCTTGTCTCTTGGGACATATGGATGCCAACAACGAAACAAGATTAGTACTTGAAAATGAAATAGATTTTACGTTGGGTATTCTATCTTGAGAGAAGCATAAGAGCATAAATCAGAAGGGTAGGCAAAAATTTTGAGAGACAGAGAGCACCTTTTGTTAAATGTTAACTGTGTAAATTAACTTACCCAGAGACACAAAGAGTTCTGTCACTTGGTAATTAGATTTTGCAGAGGTTTCCATGTACTGCAGGTTCTTTGTTTGTGCAAAATCCTTTGCCTCCTGGAGAAACAACGTATCTATGATTTCAAGGAAGTAGACTGTGTGTGTGTGTGTGTGTGTGTGTGTACCGGTATATATATATATATATATATGAAACCCACCTTGAGTTGCGTAGAGGGTGTGGTGTGTGTGTGTGTGTGTGTGTGTGTGTGTGTGTACACAGATATATAGATTCATATTTAATCCTATAACACACCCTCTATGCAACTCAAGGTGGGTTTCTTATTTATTTATTTATTTGCCTTCTTGAGTTAAGTGAGAGTGGTGTTTATTATTAAAAGGCACGGATTTGCAGCAGGTTGGACTAGATGACCCTTGTGACCCTTCCAACTTTACAATTCTACGATTCTGTGATGGGCTGCCACATACATGAGAAACTCCAAGACAGCTATGTGAGATTGAGTGTTTCAGCAGAGGAATGTGTATATATGTATGAGAGGGAGACGGGGGGGAGTGAGAAGGCCTACGTTTGTAAAAGTCATTGGCCTAAATACAAGAATAACGTCTACCTGTAATGTGACCTCCCGTTCAGCAGAAAGGTCCACTTTATTGCCAACCAAAGCTATAATTATTTCATCAGGAAGGAATTCCTTCTCCAGTTCTGCCAGCCACACTTTTGCTTTCTCCAAACTTTCCTGAAAAGACAACTTATATGTAAATAACTGATATACAAGCAATAATGGAGCTATAATTTCTTAAGAGAAATTAGGTTCTGTATTAGTGTGCGAAATGTGTCATGTGCAACCAAACAACATTAAGAAATGTGCTTAGTAATGAAGGATGGGGTTATACTCCCTCTGAAGGAGCAACTATGTAGCTTGGGGGTCCTCCTGGATTCTTTGCTGTCGCTTGAGGCTCAGGTGGCCTCAGTGGTACTGAGTGCCTTCCATCAGCTTCAGCTGGTGGCCCAGCTATGCCCCTATCTGGACAGGGATAGCCTAACTACTGTTGTCTATGCTCTGGTAACCTCAAGGTTAGATTACTGCGTCATGCGGAGGGCTGCCCTTGAAGACTGTGCAGAAACTCCAGCTAGTGCAGAATTCAACGGCCAGGTTGCTCACTGGGGCAAGAAGGTTTGGCTCAACTGCACTAGCTGCCAGTTAGCTTCTGGGTCCAATTCAAAGTGCTGGTTTTGACCTATAAAGCCTTAAGGGGCTCACAGCTGCAATTCCTCAAGGGCAGTCTCTCCCTATATAAACTGACCTGGACTTTGCAATCATCATCTGGGGCCTTTCGTCGTGTGCCTCCCCCATAAGAGGTCCAGAAGATGGCAACACAGGAATGGGCCTTCTCTGCAGTGGCTCCCCATTTGTGGAATGCTCTCCCCAGGCTATGATTCTGTGAACATTTCCATACTGCTAGCAGCCTCTTCCATACATCTCCACAAGCTAAAGGGCTACTTGAGACAATTTTTTGGTAATGAAAGCTGTTCATTTGAGAGGGCTCCTGGAGCAGAACTGAAGGGCAAAGACCATCAGAGGTCACAGCCTTACTTTGCATAAAAATTCATAATTCTCCACAATGTCATCATATTCAGCAAGTTTGACATCCTTCATTTTAAGATGTTTTCTTTGTCAGTAACACTTTCGTGTCTGATTCATACGTTATTGCGTGTGACAACATCAGCCTGGTTGACTTTTCTAGGAGATTTTGATTTACTCTGTTGATATTGTGATTGTTCCAACATGTACCCAAATTGTCCTGGTTTAAGCCACTTTTAAAAAGGTTTTCCAGGACTTGAAGGTACAAAAATGCACCAGAGCAACCTTTTCATACAAATATAGAAAAATATGACAACTTCTCCTTGGAAAATAAAGCACCATTTGGAAATTATGCCAAATTACACATTCAGAAATGGTGAAATGGGAAAAGGGAAGGGAAGGCCTACGCAGAGCATTCCTGCCTTACCTTCCTCGTTATATCATAAACCAGAACGGCAGCATTCGCTGCTCTGTAATAGAGATGGCAGACACTATGGTACTTCTCTTGGCCTGCAGTGTCCCAGATTTCAAGCTTAATTGTGGTGTTATCCAAACTTAGAACCTGCGTGAAGAAGGAACCTAAAAGCAAAAGAGAAATGAATCACTTTCCAGTAGAAGCTGCAGACACAATGGAGATTAGATTTTTGTTAACTAGATGGCCTTACTGGCCGTAAACCAAACCATGGCTTTGCACAAATGCACAAGTGTGAGGGCTCTAAGAAAGGAGATCACAGCTGCTGTGTTCCTCCCCTGGTCCTCCCGTTGCTGAACTGCCATGAGCAAAGTCTTGCTTGGCTTGAGATGTTGTCTGAGCCCAGACTCTTGGCTTGTTTTGCTCCAGACAAACTGTGCAGAGTAAACCTAAGAACAACCCTCAGTTACTAGACAAGTTATTGTTTGGCTGGAGTGAGACAAGCTGCAAGCCCAGGGTTGAATGACATGCTAAGCCAAAACATGGCTTAATGGTGGCAGCACAGCAAGAGGGAGGAGGGCAGCAAAGGCCAGGACCCTGCCCACTGGCACGAGTGCCCTAGACCAAGGCTTGGCTCAGGGCAGCTTGCTAACCAAGCCTCTTGGAACATTTGGTCAGGCTATATAGATATGAATTTTTATGAGTCAACCGCTTAGCCAATTAATAAATAAAGCTATAAATAAAGTCATAACGCTATCAGTGTGAGAGAGAGTGCAGGGATTGCCTCTTTCAGGATGAGAACTGCTTCAGCCATGTGTACATCAATGGAAAACAATGTTCAGGTCTATTGGTTTTTTTCTCATATCCAAATAAATGTGATCAACTGATTTGCACTTCTATCAACTTCCAGACTCACAAAGCAGCTTCAGTAATGTTCTATATTAATCTTTTTCTACTCAAAAGTCAAAATATGGAACTTTGATGTGCAAGTAAGGTTCTGCACCTGCCCAGGCATTGCTTTCTTTTAAAATAACAAGGTGTGCCATGCTTGTTGGGGAACCTTCCTGGTGCCGGCCAGATGCAGAGGGCCCTGTCCACTGGCCAATCGCCAGGGATGATGGGAATTGCATGTAGTCCATCTGGAAGGCACCAGGTTGGGGAAGCCATCCCTGTTAAAAATGAAGTGGTAATAGACTATGCATCCATTCATATTACAGGTGACTTTAATTGTAGAACATGCTGTCTGTCACCTGCATTCCCAAGGTGCACAAGAGTGCAGAAATCAATTTTTATATCAGTATATCAAGCCATCACATAGCTGAGAACCAAAGTCACTATGATGTTGCCCTTCCCAATGAATGAGTCTGCTCAGTGCTTCTGGCACTGCTGTTTCCCATTCCTGCATGTAAGCCACTTTCCCAAGTCTCCTTCCTCAACAGCCCTTCCTAGTTTGTTGCTTCCTTGCACCTAGAATCTCAGAGTTGTGAAGTTGGAAGTGACCGTGAGTGTCATCTAGTTCAACCCCCTGCAATGCTTCCCTCAGCCTCTGTCTATTGCTTCTTTAACCCTGGACTATTTTGAAAGCATGTGAACTCTGCCACAATCACTTCCACGTCCACTTCATTTCCTAGCAATTGGCTGATAAATACTGGGAAGGGCAACTCTGGGCCGCTCTCAATGTCCTCATGACGCCTTGCAGGGAGGGGGCCCAAGTGGTCCCACTTTCAAAATTGCTTGCGTATGTGACATTAACATATGAGAGTGCTGGAGGTGAAATAGTTAAACAGGTTACCCAATCAGAACCCAGGGGGTGGAGTCAGAGGGACTATAAAACCAGCTCTGGGAGGGGCGAAGGGGAGAGTTCGTTAGGAGTTGGGTGGCTGGTTGGAGTGGGAGTGAATTGGGATAGTCTGTGGGCAGGTTGAGTTAGTGTAGCCAAATAAGCCGAGTCAGGAACAGTTAGGAGCTAGGAAGACAAGTAAATATCTGAGAGGTGGTTTAGTGAGTGAGAGCAGGTAGCGGAAGTTATAGGTCTGGATAGGCACCCCATGATTGTAATTGGCCGATACCGTTTATGAAACCACACGCTTGTTAAACTGCAATAAATAAACAGAAGTTTATGTTCCAATTTAACCCTGACTTGACTCAGCATTTACCAGGTAGGGCCTGGGGGGGTGGGGGGTGGCAGTGAGAAATAAAGTGGTGGCACAGGGATCAATAGACGGTGAAACGTCCAGAGACCCTGTGTGAACGCCACAGCGTCTACAAATACACAGACACACCAATAGGTTTTTCCGTGTCTTCTGGCCACGTTCTTCACCTCCTCAGCCGCTGCACTTCAGCAGCTGGGGGGGGGGTGGATAGATGTCAATTAGCCATGCCCCCCCATCACATGATGATGTTCAAGTTGTGCACTGTGTTGCTTTTATCACTGGGTGTCACTCTGTCACTACAGTTGCAAGGAAAGAGATAGTGCTCCATCCCTCTAGGGTGTTCTGTGCATGGTTGCCATGGAGACAATATTTCATAATAAAAATAGCTGAGGCTGTGCCAAAGCAGTTCCTCAGCCAAATGTTCATGACTTGCATCCTTGGCCTTATTCTGAGTAATTTGTAGCATGTCGTTAGGGTCCTACTCAGCACCATTCACTTACAGCCCACGGTAGGCAGAGAGTCCCGGAAGTCCTTCTTCACATAACGATAGGCTAGGCTTGACTTTCCTACAGCTGTGCTTCCCAGAAGAACCACTTTGAAAATGTAAGAATCTTTTAGGGAGGGGACATAAAGGTAGGGTGTGGCCTCCTTGTTCTGCACCCTTCTCTGAGCCATGTCCTGGAGAGAAAAAGGGAAAGGAAAGGGAATGATCTGGCAGCAATAGAGGCTCTGGAACTGAGAGAAAGAGGAGACGAAGCCTCACAACTAGGCTGCAGTAAATGGAAGACTTTGCTGTTGGATAATGACATTTCTCAACCTTTGCACCAAGTACAGTGGTACCTCGGGTTAAGAACTTAATTCGTTCTGGAGGTCTGTTCTTAACCTCAAACTGTTCTTAACCTGAGGTACCACTTTAGCTAATGGGGCCTCCCGCTGCCACCGCTGTGCGATTTCTGTTCTCATCCTGAAGCAAAGTTCTTAACCCGAGGAACTATTTCTGGGTTATCGGAGTCTGTAACCTGAAGCGTCTGTAACCCGAGGTACCACTGTAGTTCCTTTCAGGTGTATTTTCTGCCTCTGAAGAATGCATTATCAAAATGCATGGAGTTTTTTATATTCCACAATTAAGTTTTCCACATGTGGGCACACCTCACACCTCTTTGTTCTGAGTGTTGGCATGCAACCAAGGAAACGGGGGCAACTGGCAGACCCCCAGCTGGCTTCAGCCCACCGGACTGAAGTCCTTGGTGCAGCATCTGCGACTGAGCTTCAGAACCTAGGGCACGCTACTCTGCAGAGTCAACGCTACACAACAGAAGTGGCTACTCTGCAGAATAAACGCTACACAACAGAAGTGGCTACTCTGCAGAATAAACGCTACACAACAGAAGTGGCTACTCTGCAGAGTCAACGCTACACAACAGAAGTGGCTACTCTGCAGAGTCAACGCTACACAACAGAAGTGGCTACTCTGCAGAGTCAACGCTACACAACAGAAGTGGCTACTCTGCAGAGTCAACGCTACACAACAGAAGTGGCTACTCTGCAGAGTCAACGCTACACAACAGAAGTGGCTACTCTGCAGAGTCAACGCTACACAATAGAAGTGGCTACTCTGCAGAGTCAACGCTACACAACAGAAGTGGCTACTCTGCAGAGTCAACGCTACACAACAGAAGTGGCTACTCTGCAGAGTCAACGCTACACAACAGAAGCGGCTACTCTGCAGAATAAACGCTACACAACAGAAGTGGCTACTCTGCAGAGTCAACGCTACACAACAGAAGTGGCTACTCTGCAGAGTCAACGCTACACAACAGAAGTGGCTACTCTGCAGAGTCAACGCTACACAACAGAAGTGGCTACTCTGCAGAGTCAACGCTACACAACAGAAGTGGCTACTCTGCAGAGTCAACGCTACACAACAGAAGTGGCTACTCTGCAGAGTCAACGCTACACAACAGAAGTGGCTACTCTGCAGAATAAATGCTACACAACAGAAGTGGCTACTCTGCAGAATAAATGCTACACAACAGAAGTGGCTACTCTGCAGAGTCAATGCTACACAACAGAAGTGGCTACTCTGCAGAGTCAACGGTACACAACAGAAGTGGCTACTCTGCAGAATAAATGCTACACAACAGAAGTGGCTACTCTGCAGAGTCAACTCTACACAACAGAAGTGGCTACTCTGCAGAGTAAATGCTACACAACAGAAGTGGCTACTCTGCAGAGTCAATGCTACACAACAGAAGTGGCTACTCTGCAGAGTACCGTATTTTTCGCACCATAGGACGCACCGGACAATAGGACGCACCTTGTTTTAGAGGGGGGAGAACAAGAAAAAAAATTCTCCCCCTCTCTGCCCAGCACCCCTTCAGCGAAGTGGCAGGAGGCGTTGCGCAGAGAGAGGGAGAACTTTCCCCCTCTTGTTTTCCCGCTCTAAAACAAGGTGCCGTTTAGGTGCGTTCAGGCGGCTACCTTGGAAGCCTGGAGAGTGAGAGGGGTCGGTGCACACTGACCCCTCTTGCTCTCCAGGCTTCAGGTTCCTTTCGACCTGCTCTTTGGGGCTGGCGGGGGGAAGCCCACCACCAGCCCCAAAGAGCAGGTCAGGGAGCAGTGGAAAGGCGCAGCGGAGAGGCTGCTGCCATAGCCGCGCGTCACCTCTCCAGCCAGGAGAGGGTCGCGGGGCTATGGCGTCTTCGCTCCATAGGACACACACACATTTCCCCTTCATTTTTGAAGGGGAAAAAGTGCGTCCTATAGAGCGAAAAATATGGTAAATGCTACGCAACAGAAGTGGCTGTGTGAGCATATTTACAAGCAGTTTATTCAGCATACATCAGGACAAAAGGGAACATGTCTGATCTCCTTCATGTCCAAAGCAAGACAGCAAAAGCAAAAGCTATACACAAACGGAAATTCCCAGCAAGCTGTGCTGGAGTGTAAACAGACATGTGACACACAACAATCCACACGTCTGTTCTTAAGGTGGAATGGAATATCCCAACACTGAGAGGCACCATGAGGATGGAGTAAAGAAAAGGCCTATTCATGCAACCGATGACATTAAGTATCTCCTGATCAAATAACATAATGATCCAAAGTATGGTGTTACTTTTAAAATGCCATGTAAACTATGATTTCCTTAAATACATTTTTATCTTACTTTTTGATCAATGTGATTTTCTTCCTGGAGTTCATGCACAGCTTCCTCGCCTCTCATGCCTACTTGGCTGAATAAAGTACCCCCCACCCCCGGTTATGTTCCAGCTTGGTTTGGGGGCTTTTTCATTGAGTGTCTATTTACTTGCCTGTTCAAAGCACTTAGATAGTGACAGCTGCTAAAGTGAGTGCTATCAAGGGGGTGCTAGTGTCCTTGTACCTCCACTGCCAACGGTGTGTGACCTCGGATGAGCCCAGAGGATCAGTGCCACTAGCTCATCCACTTGCCTTGCCTTGCTGTCCTTGTGGAAGAAAATACCTCTGACCTGGACAGAGTGAAGCATCTCTTGAGGAAGCTGAGAGACTTGAGTGGGGACCCAGGGACTAGAGAATGGGTTGGGGAGGGTGAATGTCCACAGATCACGGGGCAAGAATAGAAGAAGCAAAAAACTGACATGGCTCTGAAAAGCTGCTAAATCTCAGGGGCTACAATGGAGAGGCAGATGGTGGCAGCTGCTACTGAAGGGGAATCACGTTTTTCTGGGATATCACACTTATTCCCAAATGCTGCAAATAACAGCACAGGTTATTCTTTTCACTTGTGCCCGGACACTGCTCAGTGCCCCCCCCCCCGCTTTTGTGAGTGAAGGTGACAATAAGGGTCTCTTTCTTCAGCTTCAACAAGTTCACCTGAAGGATCACTTTTCTCACATATGCCCACTCACTGCTTCAGACTGCAGAAATAGTCTCTTTTCAAGAGCCACATAATGTTAATTCCACACCTGAAAGTAATCGAACCTTCAGCATGAAGCCATTTACCTTCCTGCCACAGCAGTACCTATTTATCTACTCGCGCTGGTGTGCTTTCGAACTGCTTGGTTGGCAGGAGCTGGGACAGAGCAATGGGAGCTCACCCCATCGCGGGGATTCAAATCACCGACTTTCCAATCGGCAAGCCCAAGAGGCTCAGTAGATTAGACCACAGCGCTACCTGCATCCCTTTTTAATGCACCTGAACTTGGCCACCTCCACTCCACTTCAGCAGTTGGACACATGCCTTTACAGGAAGGTGCAGAAGAGATAAAAGGTCAATTTTATCATACAAAGTATTTATTTTATTTTTTTGAGGAATTGTTCAATCTCCATTCCGAATGTTTCAGAGGGTCACTTCTCCTGGAGCTTAAGCTAGCCTCCAAGTTTCTAACACAGCAATACTTAATAGGATGTAATCTTGCTGAAATTTGAGCCTGAGGAGTAGCAGGTCCAGCACCAGCACTTGGCACCCCAGGGATCCAGGGGGGCCCACCCCCCACGGTGCCTCCAAGCTGCTATTTTAATTTCCTCAATGCTCAGAGTGGCACTATGCTGTGGGAAATTAAAATAGCAGCTCCCCGATATGATTGGTGTGCTGTTGTCACTGCCAGGTGACTGAGGGGGCCCATCAATATAAGGAGAATGAACAACTTCCATCCTGCTAGGATGTGCACATCATAGTGAGCTCATCATTCTCTTTCCATCAAGATGAAGCAATCATTCCTTCTCTTCCTGCCCACATATTCACACATTTCTTAGAAACATTCTGCAAACAGAATTCCTGGGAACTTTGCGTAGTCCACACAACTCAGCAGTGGAAAATCAAGAGGTTGAGCCAAAAAAGTTGAGGCTATTGCTGCAGGTCTGAGGTGAAGAGACTGGTAGTAAAATAGAGGTCTTGGGGCTGAGGAAATCCACCCGGTCAGAAGGTAAGGAGAGCCTTGCCAGGGCCCAGCCATGTGCTAGCGTGAGTCTTCTTTCTCCTGCTTCTGCTCATCCAGCTCCCAAGAGGAAGGACCACCGAGTCAACGTTTCTGCTGGGTCTTCCCCTTCCAGCAACCCCCTCAGCTACAAAAGGAGAAGAGAGGAGCTAGCCTGAAAGCAGGATAGAGGGGAAGGCCTGGAGAACATGACCCAAGAAGCAGCTGCAGCCTGGGACACCTCAGTGGCACCCCAGCACTGGAGGAGGAGAGCAAAGCAAGGGAGTAAGGAAAGGTAGCTCTGGGCCCATTGCAAGGAGGCGGCTGGGGAAGCCTGGGAGGAGCACAACCTGTTGCACTGCCAGGATTGCAATCCTGCACAAGCCACACAACTTGCCAACGTGCAACAATGACAGGGGAGTGGGAGGCATTATTTATCCCAGGCTAACCCTGGGCCAATCCCCAAAGTGGTAAAACTGTCCTATTTAGTAACTATACTGCTTAGCATTTATTACATGTTTGAAGCATATATCTTGTTACAAGCTTTAAAAAGGACCGTGGTCGCATTGCCTCCCATATTGCAAACAGGAAGTTGGGTTAACTGAGTTCAGGTCATAGGGGAGATTTAAGTGAGAACTTCCTGAACTGTAGCTGAGAGGGCTGTCCAGTGGGATCCTTGCACAACAGACCCTCTCCGCCCCCCAAAAAAAGTTTTGTGATAAAGAAAGTGACAGGAAAATGCACAATAAAGTGCAAGACACTTCCTTGATGCCATGTCCTCTAACCTGCCCACAACAAATGCAAATGAATCCTCAGTACACAGCCAACATCATCTAATCTCCCTGCAAACAAATCTCAATGAACAGGTTACCAGGAAGGGCCCTCAGTCTTTAGCTGTTTGATCCTATGGCTATTTATTTGCCCCAAAGGAAATGTTATTGAATTCAGTGGAATGGCAGTCCTTAGGAGTGCTACCCCAGATACTAATAGCCTAGTTGAGATTTGTAGTTTGCAACAGCTTTGGTTGTGGAAATGCTGTCCTAATGCCTGACAGAAATTATCCACACTGAAAGCAAAATAGTTCCTCTTGCAAATTCACCGTGCAAGTCCGTATGGAGCCTGATTATCCCTTGTATATACCTGCTAGTTTTCTAAATGATACAAGACCCATTTTATGTGAGGACTAATCTAACCAGTTTCTCTTTTAGCTGAACATTCACCCACCTCTCATCCAGGCTGTCCATATCAAAGCAAACAAACCTTTCTGGTAGCTGCATGTCACAAGTTATATATTAGCAAGTCCCGTTCCTCTCATGGGTCACTGAGTAACCGTTTTGCTGAGTTTCTTCTACTAAGCATCTGGGTGCTTCTCTCTGAAGATCTTACCTTTCCAAATGTTCCTGCCGTGTTCTCTCCTTTTCAAGATTTCTGCTCATTTACTCGGGGGTGCTGAGGTGGGAGAATGGGCAGCCTCAGCAGTGGCACAACTTAAGAAAGACTTCTCCAGTCAGGGAAGGGCTTTTGCAACTTTCCCAGCCTCCTGCCGCTTTTATCAGCAAGCTGACCCAGAGTTTAAGGTCCACTGATTTCCCTCTTGGACAGTCACCTTCAGAATTGCGCTGTAAAGAATGCAGAGCCATAAAACCTGATGATCCAGGTGAGTTGCAGTTGGCAGGGGGTGTTTCTCACAGGGTGGAGCCCTGCGCAACTCAGTGAACCTCAAGGCAAAACCTCTGCCTGATACCTGTTCCCAGCCATTTCCCACAACTGATTTATAGACCACCTCCTGTTTGGGTTTTCCTTTTTTAAAAAAACTGCAAACACTAGAAATCCAGGGGATAAACCAGAACTACTTATTTTGTTAATTTATTTTAAAAACAAAGAGAGTACCCTCATCATATTATCATATCACAACGTGGTGTTATGGGTCTTTGCACTGACGTTGTAAGGGAGTTTATCCCAGACCCTAAATAAGCACACAAAAAGGCTTCCATGTGTTTTTGATTAAGCCTAGCTTTGTGTACCATTCAAGACCAGAGCGCCTTTTATCTAGCTCCTCGCCGTCTGATCTTACCTGGGCTACGGCCAGCCATTCACCCCATGGCCTCCTCCTCCTCACCCTTCCCTGCAAGGAATGAGTCATTCTTGCCGTCTGCTGAAAGCGTTATGTTAGGAGCCACTTTCTGCAGCCGTGTCAGTCCACTGAGTGACAAAGAGTCTTGCGGCATCTTCAGAAATAACAAATGTTATGGTGCAAGTTGTGATAGCGCCACTGTAAGACTCCACGAGACCCTTCATTGATTAGGAACCAAGTTTTGCCGAAACTTTTACCCACCTAGTTTGTTCTAAAAGTCTTCAAGAAAACTTTTGATAATGCACATCAGATAGAAAAAAATGCAAGAAACAACATTCTGACTAAACATTAGGAAGAGCTTTCTGACGATAACAGCTGTCTGACAGTGGAACAAACTACCTTGGAAAGCAGCAAACCTTCTTCATTGGGTGTTTTTTATATATATAAAGGTTGGCTGTCCATCTGTCATGGATGTTTCAGCTGTGATCCCTGCATTGCAGGGGTGGGACTAGATGACCCTTGGGGTCCCTTCCAACTTCCCAGTTCTATGTCTCAGTGAAAGACAGTGAACATCCAATGGTCAACAGTCTCATGTATTGCACTCTCATTCTGCCTTAGCCGCTTGTTGCATGAAGAACAGGAAGGAAAATGTGGCAAGCATTTCTACAATCCTGGGAACCAACTCCTAGGGCCTGAGGTCCCTTCGACTCTCCCCGATAAAATATTTGAGGGGGCCACTCCCCCCAAGTTGATGGGCATTGTCATTCAACTGAGGTGTGTGCATCAATTATGTGGAGCAGGCCTTACCTGCCCCCCCCCAATATTTTAGTCAAGTTGGCCCCCCTGTCTACAATGGTCATTTCCAATCAAATACAAGCTCAAAAGCTAGCTTGAAAAAGCTGCTGTCTTTTGAAAACAGCAACAGAAAATGCCAAATAGCAAAACTCTGGCAGATTGTTTTCGGATTGCAAAGAAAAGCCCCAGGTCCATCTCCTCAGCCCAGCCACACTTGGCTTATCACTAATCTTGTTTCTTTCTCACTGAATGTATGGTTTTCCCAGCCTCCTTCTCCAGAATCTTTTCTGCTGTGAGCATGCAATTTGCAGCCTTGGGTAAAAAAGCACCTGAAGTTAGAGGCAAGGATTCTCCGGATCTTGTTTTGTGTAGTTTCATTGTGGCTTTCTTTTGTGGTGTCTTATGATCCTGTCCTTTTGTGCCATTCCTCTGTTTATCAGAAGCCATATGTCTCATCCCACGGCTGAGTGTTGGGAGAGGGCAATTTGTCTATGGAATGAAATCTGTGGTGTGCATTTTAATTTCTTCCCTCTGCGCTGAATACTAATTCCCATGATGTCACACAAATGACATTGAGCGGTGCTAGGAGGCAGCCCGGCCTGTCTGTGCCAAGCTGCAGTTGCCTTTCCCAGCTACACCACAGCTGCACTCCCTCCTCCCCTGAAGGAATGACCTATATTTGGTGCTTTGAATTTTTGTCCTCTTCTGGGGCCAACTGCAGCCTGAGCAGAAGGAAGAATCGCAGAAAAGTGGCATTTCCTTCTCCTTTGACACAATGCACATAATCCTGGCATGCTGTGATGTTGCAACATGTGCCCCACTGTTACCCATTTCAAAATGACCAATGCCATGAGGGGAAGATCTACAGAAGCTGCTTCTCGTGTTTGTTTTTAATGCTACAGCAGATCTTGCATGGGGTGTCTACCATTCGTCCGCTGGGTACTTTCTTTTGTGGCGACAGTGCGAAGCATGATGAATTTCAGAAATGGACATGCTCAGATTATAAATTAGCTGGAAGCCAATTCAAGTCACATGGCAACTGTGCTCCCAGCAGTCAGGTTCTGGATTCTCACCTCTTGACCACCCAGTTGGTTTTTACTGCAAGCCTGGTAAACTGAGCTCTGGATTTCAAGGGCTTTATCAAGGCTGTAGTATCAAGGACCCCACGGGCAAATCCTGACCCACTAGGCCCTGGAAAGTCCTAGCCTCCGTGCTTGCTCTGCCATCTAAGCAAGTGCTCTCTTGGATGGTGACATTGACTCAGTGTCTCCTGCCTTTCCCTGGTGGGTTCTTTGGATCTCGGGCCCAGCCTGGCTTTGACTGAAAATCTGCTTCTGGCTCATTTTGACTGATAACCCTCTCTGGAGAGCCAGCGTGGTGTAGTGGTTAAGAGAGGTGGACTCGTAATCTGGTGAACCGGGTTCGCTTCCCCACTCCTCCACATGCAGCTGCTGGGTGACCTTGGGCTAGTCACACTTGAAGTCTCTCAGCCCCACTCACCTCACAGAGTGTTTGTTGTGGGGGAGGAAGGGAAAGGAGAATGTTAGCCGCTTTGAGACTCCTTGGGGTAGTGATAAAGCGGGATATCAAATCCAAACTCTTCTTCTTCTTCTTCTCCCCTGGGTCCTGCACCTGTAACATGGAGCTAGTTATACTAGAGGTTAATTTTTTACAATGTAGTGCAGATCTGGGAGACTGCTGGCCTTCCAGATGTTGTTAGACTCAACAATGCCACCAGCCCCAGCCAGCAACATCTGGAGGGCAAAAGGTTCACTGAGCCCTGGCACAGTGAGTGACGCACTCCCAGACACAAGAGTTCACCAGTAAACAAAAGCAGAACTGGCTAAAGAGCAGGCCCAGATGTTTCTAAAGGCTGTCAGCACATTGTTCTCGAAGTTCAAAAAAATGTTCAGACCTGACAAGCTGCAAGGGGGAGATTCTCTCTCTCTCTCTCTCTCTCTCTCTCTCTCTCTCTCTCTCAATAAATGATCTCCTGTATCTTTAACAGGCACAGAAAATCAGTAGGTGCGGCCTTGCCCATCAGTGGGTTGTCAGAGGCACAGCTTTCTAGGCTTGGCTCCATGCGAAATTCCAGTCCCTGTCCAAGCACTTTTTTTGCCTCGCTGCTTTCCCCAGGAAAACCTGCTCTTTGATGCTGAATTGCGGCACATGGTGATCCAGGTTTTCAGCAATGAAGAAAGGGTTTTTGCAGGAAAGCACCAGGGCAAAAACCAAACCAAGCAAAAACCCACCCACACTCAGACATGGAGCTGTAAAGCCTGAACCTGTGAAAGGAAAAGCATGAAAGGAAACCTGGATGAGCCGTCAGAGTGATTTTTGGAAGATGTAGCCCTACATATAAGTGGAGCTTAGACCAGCAAGTTAGATAACAAACTTGTTCATTTGTATATTTGGGTGTTTTTCCAGTGAATCTGTTTCATGGAAATGGCATATTATTTATTTTATTTCATAAAAACATATACATCGCTTGATTCTAAAACCTCATAGCAGTTTACAAAGCTAAAGCTGTAAAATCAAGAAAAAATCACAACCCAAACCTAATTTAAAGCATACCAAAGTTACAATACTAAAACAGATTAAAGTTATTTCAACTTTCTAAGCATCTGGGTAAAGGTAAAGGGACCCCTGACCATTAGGTCCAGTCGTGAATGACTCTGGGGTTGCGGAGCTCATCTCGCTTTATTGGCTGAGGGAGCCAGCGTACAGCTTCTGGGTCATGTGGCCAGCATGACTAAGCCGTTTCTGGCGAACCAGAGCAGCGTACAGAAACGCTGTTTACCTTCCCACTGGAGTGGTACCTATTTATCTACTTGCACTTTGACGTGTTTTCGTATTGCTAGGTTGGCAGGAGCAGGGACCAAACAACGGGAGCTCACCCCATCGCGGGGATTTGAACCGCCAACCTTCTGATCGGCAAGCCCTAGGCTCTGTGGTTTAGTCCACAGCACCACCCGCATCCCCAAGCATCTGGGTAGGCTTCTCTAAGCAGGAGTATTTTGGGCAGACACCAGAAACAGTACTGTGTAGCTGACTGCTAGATCTCAATAGGCAGGGAGTTCCAAAGTGCAGGTGCTGCCACACTAAATGCCATTTAGTGTAAACTTACTGAACCTCAAAGCTATTATTTGCCTCACCAAAGAAATCTTACAGATTCAGAATTTCATCATTAGGTAAATCGCAACCTGGGGTGAATTCAATAAGGAAAATGAGAATGAGTTAAACACTCCTTCCCCTGCTTCATGGTCCTGATTCAAATCATGTTTCTACTACAGTTTTTTTTCCTTAAAAAAACAACAACAACTGAGACCCCTCTGCTGCGTCTCATACAGTCTGGTCCTTGGGATGATTGTGAACCAGCAATCTTCTTAATTTCCATGTGGGGGGATCTAGAGGGAGAACTGAGGCAGGAATAATCATCAGCATAAGAAATAATTAATTTAACAAACATACTATTAGATACCCAAAGTTGTCAGCTTGGAAGTCTTTTAACTTGAGCTCATTTTGCCAAGTGGACAGTGTCTCCGTTTATTAGGTTCCCTGCCAGGGGGGATGTCAGATCTGCTCATGTGGGCACGGAGCTTTTCTCGGCTCATTTCTGCAGAGACTGTGATGACTTCAGCTCTCTCATTTCCTATTATGTCTTCTTTGCTTTTCAGAATGAGAGCACCCTTTCTTTGTGCCTTCCCATAGGTATGTCTACATAAAAGGGCTATTTTGTTTTTGTCTTTCGCTTGCTGTGTATAGAGATTTACTTAGTTCTCCAAGAATGCTTTTTTTATATAAAAAAAAGGAAACAACAAATAATATGCATTCATGACATGAGCGCACAGCAGTTGAATTGGTTTTTCTTGCCTCAGCTGTGCCTAGGAGGGGATGTGACATTATTGAAGTCTGGTCTTTGAGGCTGATGTGTTCTGATGGCTTGTTCACTGGGACATTAAAATCATTGCCTCTGTCTGTGTGAAATACACAGCAAGGAGAGGGATGGGAACACAGGTCAGAAAAGGATTGTTTGCCCTCCTTTTGTGGTATAGGATGTCACACAGAGAGCTCGGCGTGCCTCCTCTTCCAATGTCACCCCTTCTAGTGAGCTAAAAGACTATGGCAAAATTGGACTATTTGTATTTGGCGATTCAGTGACAAGGATCCAAAGAGTTCCTTTAGGAACACCCAAGGGCTGGTGCAAGCCCAGTGGGATTTTGAGTCCTTTTCCTTCAACACCAGCCCGCCCTTGCTTTCACTGGCCACAAGGCATAGCAGTGGGGCTTAAGAAACAAAAGTTCAAAGCCTCATTGCACATAGAATTTCAATTGCTGGCCAGTATCTTCTTGATGCATAAACAGTGTTTCACAGCCATGCTGAGACTAAAGAATACAGAATTAGAGCAGAGACCACAACACAGACACACTGTCAAGCATCAAAATTGGTTGCAGGAATGATAAATACGTTTGTATTGTTCATAACTTGATGTGCAAAACTGAAAGCTGAACAACCTCACTGTACTAGACCCCAGCATAGGTAAAGGTAAAGGGACCCCTGACCGTTAGGTCCAGTCGCGGACGACTCTGGGGTTGCGGCGCTCATCTCGCTTTACTGGACAAAGGAGCCGGCATACAGCTTCCGGATCATGTAGCCAGCATGACTAAGCTGCTTCTGGCGAACCAGAGCAGTGCACAGAAACGCCGTTTACCTTCCCGTCGGAGTGGTACTTATTTATCTACTTGCACTTTGATGTGCTTTAAAACTGCTAGGTTGGCAGGAGCAGGGACCGAGCAACGGGAGCTCACCCCGTTGCGGGGATTCGAACCGCCGACCTTCTGATCGGCAAGCCCACAGCACCACTCACTGTCCTGAACCCCAGCATACCCAGAGGTAAATCCTGATGGTGCTCACAGCCCCAAGAGCAACACTAGAGAGGAGGCAGACCGTCCAAAAGTTCAAATATCGGTCCAGGTCCAATACAATGAGCAAGGTCCAAAGTCAATCCGCAGAGTCAGGTTCTGCCCTCTGCAGAAGATCCAGGGTTGGAACACCTGGGGTCAGCCCCAAAGTCACAGTCCAGTGAGGTCCCCAAAGCAGCCAAGTTGTGCTCCAGCAGCAGAGAAAGTTGAGAAGACACAGTGCCTCTGCCTTGTTTCTCTTTTTCTTCTGCCTAATCTTATTTGATGTATCTGACTTTGTGCCAGCCGTGCAGCTATGACCCTCACCTGCCCTGAGCCTCATCCAGCTAAGTGACCACAAACCTCATCCCAGAGCTAATGAGCCCTGTGATCTCCACCTGATTCCCTAATAATAATAATAAATTTTATTTATACCCCGCCCTCCCTGGCCACAGCCAGGCTCAGGGCGGCTAAAATCACAGTAAAAACATAATAGGGGGAAAAGCGGGGGACCCCAATTTAAAATACAGGTTAAAATGCAATTTAAAATGCAGCCTCATTTTAAATTAGCTGATAAATCAAGACCATAAGAGGAGGGAAACATAAGACCGAGTCCAATCCAAAGGCCAGGCAGAACAGCTCTGTCTTGCAGGCCCTGCAGAAAGATGTCAAGTCCCGCAGGGCCCTGGTCTCTTGTGACAGAGCGTTCCGCCACGTTGGGGCCAGTGCTGAAAAGGCCCTGGCCCTAGTTGAAACCAATCTAACCTCCTTGAGGCTCGGGACCTCCAAAGTGTTCTTATTTGTGGACCTCAAGGTCCTCCGCTGGGCTGGGTTTCCTTGCCTGCCTCAGTCTCCTGGATGCACTTATTGCTGTTCCCAGCTCCTCAGAGATTGCCGTGTCCCTGGAGATGGGGGCACCTCTGGTTCTAGTGATGTGTCCCCCTCCCCAGGCTCCCCTGGTCCCTGCAGCAGCCTCTCATGTCCTGTAAGTACCTCCTAAGTCCCCAACCTCCCCTTCCCTCTCTTCAGCTTATCCTGATATGTACCAATCACAGCTACACCCCTCACCAGCATCCTTCTCCCTTTCCTTGGTGTCCTCCCAGCTCAGGACACTCAATTTCACTGTTGATCTATTGTTTTTGAAGTGGAACTTGGATCCCAAAGCTGGCAGAATCAAATTCAGAGGGAATTTCCAAGTATCTGGAATCACTTATGCAGCTAATTCCCATTAGCTATACACAAAGGTTCTGTTCACGTAAGACATACATTGTGTGCCACAGATATAGACTGTCTCAGTTTGGGTACCAACTATATAATGCAGAGTGGACAGTACTGTCAAAGATGCATACAGAGAGATTTGTGTTAACAATCAAATTACAAAACTAGTACAGAATAACATGCTGCCACTGTTGGTTCCTCCAGAGCAGAAGGTCCATATCACAATGAAAGATGACTACCTTTTTTTTACTCTTTGTACATAACATGCCAGTCCCAAGACAACCGTCGTAAAAAGGGTTTTCCAGTAATTAGACTCAGCCAATGCCTCCATCAAATTCTGCCTTGGCAGCAGTGCCAAGGTTTGAAATGCTCATCTGCTGTATTTTGTTAGCTGGCAGCCTCCCTCCTCCTTTCTTTCAGAATTCTGAAAATAATTCTGTAGCATCTTATCCTATGGCAATCAGCACTTCTCCTAAATTTTCCAGTTTATCTCTATAAGAAGATAAGATAATCTTAATCCTCGACATTTTCTCTCCTTGTCTCGTGAAGTGCAGAGTATCTTCATTTTGCCAGGGACTGAAGCTGAGTTAGCTCAAGGCAACCTATTATCCAAATAACTGACAACCACATATATGGAGCCAGATCCACAATGCTCTACTGCTTGAACCACAGTATCTCCGACCTAGTTAATTTCTCCAAAAGATGAGGTTTTTATGCAGCAAAGTATCAGTGACAAATGTCTTCCCGTCTTTCATTGAATAAGGGGGCTAGAGGCCCATTAAGTCCGGCCCTTGCCCCAAGGTAGCTTCTTCCATACATCAGTCTCCTAAAGCTCTAATTCAAGTCTCCAGGCAGGCCAGGAGCAGCAGCCAAATAAGTGTGCCATACCAGGAAAGACAAGGAAATGTCCCATATGCAAGATACAGTCAGTGGGGAATTCACAGAATACAGGCAAATGCTGCACTTTTACATTCAGTGAGATAAATAAATAGATATGGCTGTGGTTCCTGCAGGGTTTTATTTTGTACAACCAACAAAATCAGAGAGATCTTGTATCTGAGTGTAGATTTAAAGTAGTTCAAGAGGGCGGGGATCACAACTTGCTCCCAGAGATTTAATGTATATAAAGTGACAGACTGTTCATAAAGCCCACTTTCTGATTTTGGCAGGAGGCGGCGTTGCATTATCTACATGAGAGAGATAAACAATGAGCTGTGTTAGTTTAATATCTCCAGTATGAAAGAAATCAATGGACTCAGTGAAGTCCAACCTGAATGAAATCAAATTTGCTAATAAATTCTAGTTCAGCAATTTTAGAGTTCTTTTTCTTCTTCCTCAAAGTTAGGAGCAAAGTGGCCAGGGACATGGAAAGTTTCTCTTACAGCAAAGCTTTTCTGAATGCTGCTGGTTTTTTAATATTAGATTTTCTGTTCATATATTTTCTGTCCATACATATTTCTGACAAAATATTAATAGCAGCAGTGTAGTGATGTAGAAAGCGTATCACAGGATTTGCCCCCAAATGGTCTGATCTCATCTTTTCTTTTATTGCCTAGCAAGACCAGATTGTTTAGTTTGGCCAATAACTCACATATAGTAACGCTTTGTTCCTTTCATCCGTGAAACTAGGCAAACTGCAAAAAGACACAGTGATGTTTTCAGCCCACCATGCATGGCACACCTGACTTTCTTTCAGATTGTATTTTAGATGAATTCCACTGTGCGATGGATGTGTAATGAATGAAAAAGGAAAATGAATATATATATATATATATATATCTATATATATATATATATATATATATCTATCTCAACTGACTTCTGATTCTCCCACCTTGGTATTATCGTTTGAAGCAGGTCTGCAACAATCTACCAGTGCAGGGTTTCACATAGTAGCAAATATCTGAAAAGATGACCCAAACATAATGTTCTAAATTTAAAGGTTCTATAGCCTTTCACGGCATGGAATATTCTTGTATTCCTTTTGCATCCGGTTCTAGCATAATCAGATACAGCATTATTTCTCAGCAATTATAATATTGCAAACCCATCTGCAGTGTTGCCCCACTCCTACCCCAGGGAACAGAGGCCTCGACAATGATAGGTGGGACACACTGCACAAGACAGCGTCCTGGGATTTAAAACTGGCCACACCTTTTCTTGACTGCAGTTGTAGGCAAGCTTTGTCTCAGGCACTGGGTTTAGCTGTCAGATGGAGGGCCGGCACTTCCCCAGGGTTGTGCCTGGGATTAGGGGGCCTCCTCAAGATGCAGTTCCATGTAGGTGGTCCCCCGAGGCAACAGCCCATCTGCCCCCCCCCCCGCTTGGCTTCTGGACAGAGACTCCCCTCTAACCGGGTACCCTGCAATCACACCGGTTCAGGATGGGCAATGCACCAGTTTACCCCGACCCGATATTAGACTAAGGATTCCACCCAATGGAATCTCTTATCTGCCCAAACTTGTTGCCAGTGGCAGAGGAAGGGGAGTGCGGTGGGGCGATCCGCCTTGGGTGTCATCCCTGGAGGGGTGACATTCGGAGCGCTGCCCACCCGTGACTCCCAAGCTTACCCCAAGCTGTCGGGGGAAGCGGGGAGCTGCGCCACTTTGCCGGTGGCATCCCCCCCTTCCCCCTTCATTTTGACAGCTGGGAGGAGGCTTGGGAGTCGCGGGCGGGCGGTGCGCCAAATGTCTGCCGTCGGTGGCTCGCTCCGCCTTCGTGGGCGGCTTGCTCTGCCCTGGACAGCGCGGGCATCTGCTCCACCGCGGACTGTTGCTTATGAGGAAGACAAAACCTCCAAATGGGGCCAATCTGTCTGCAGGTAAATTCATTCCTGGCTCTGAATACAGCAACCATTAATGAACCATCACAAGGTCTGTTATGCAGTGCAGGGAAGAAAAGGTTAGCATGCAAAATAACCACAGCATGAAGGGAGGGACGGAGAATTGTTTTTCTGCTGTCTGCGACCCCAAATTCAGGTGCACCCGACCTATATAGCTGGGCCCTCTGGCCACTGATTGGCTGATTCAAAACTTGGGGGGGTGGCCATGCTGCCCTCCTTTGTGGCCGACTGGGGGAATTCCCCAGCCGCTGGCCGCACAATGGAGAAGACTTTTGGAGAGGCCTCCGTGGAGTTGAGGGCCTGACGCGACGAGCTACAACTGCTGTCCACCTGGAGACTGGGTAAGCGGCCATTACAGTGCTCCCCAGTTGCTCAAGGTATTTCTAGATGTGGTGCATGAGGCATAATTGGGGCTTTTTTCCAGCCAGAACTTGCTGGAACTCAGTTCCTGCACCTCTTAGGTGGGTGCCATTGCCATTCTAAGAGAACAAGGGAGGTGTTCAGGGTGAGGCATATTTTTAAGTGAGCTCAGTAACGCCCCCTAATGGAAACAGTGGCGTGCTTGTGCTTTGAACCCTGGTTAATTGTCCAGAGAGGAAGGGGATATAAGCAATCCATTGATAACCAGTTAATGTCTTAATTTGACCCTTCTGCTTAATATGAACTTGAAGGTGAGCCAATAGTTAATTGTATTGATTTAGGAATTAGATTTGTTTCTGTGGTATTGTGGCCTAGGGAAACAGAGATCCCGGACATTTGTTCTCATTCTCCCCATTGTTTGCTGCTTCCTCTTCACGCCCTTCTGAAATAATTAGTCAGAAAACAATATCCCTCCCAATGTGGAACACGCGTCAACCTTGCTGGGGGCAAAGAGGAAATTCATGTGGAGGAGGACATCTCTGACGTTTTCTGTGGCTAGTGAGATTCATCCTGTCTCAGTCTGCGTGGCAATAAAATGTCATGAACCATATGCCATATGATGTTTTGAATATGCATTCCAAAAGGCAAGCCTATTGCTATTGATTACATATACAGGACGCTGCATGCTTTTCAGTCAGAAAGCCCCGATGAACTGAAAGCATTCCAGCATCACAGGATGAACCCTTCCTGACGTCCAAGAAGTCCTGCATTTTATTCTCAGGGTTGTAAAATTGCAAGCCGCAACCCAGCTCCAGGAACACGGCATTTCACCGCCTTGTATGTATTATACGCGGTGGGAGGAGAAGACAGCCTTTTGCCTACTTGATTTTTAAAAGATCCTCAGTGTTTTACTGCAGGAGAGGAAGGGAGTGCAAGAACACATCCAAGAAGAAGAAAATGATGGGGTTTTGCCGCAGGAGGGAGGACTAGTATTGTAGTATTTTACTAGTATTCACTATGATTTTGCAGGTCTATCTGAACACTTTTGCAGGACAGCAAGGGAGCACTCAGTGGCCAGGAGAGTAATCAAATGAATTAAAAATAATTATTATTTTTTTAAAATGCTGAAAGGCCACAAAATGACAGACATGGATTGGAGATGTATCTCTCATCCCCAGTTCTGTCTTTAAACTTAAAATCATGGAATCATAGACTCAAAGAGTTGGGAGGGACCCCAAGGGTCATCTAGCCCAACCCCTGAAATGCAGGAATCTCAACTAAAACATCCAAGACAGATGGCTATCCAACCTCTGTTTAAAAGCTCCAAAGACTAATATCTTCTGAGGGGGTGTGTTCCACTGTTAAACAGCTCTTACTGACAGAAAGTTTTTCCTGTTGTTTAGTTGGAATTTCCTTTCTTGTTACAGTGGTACCTCGGGTTACAGACGCTTCAGGTTACAGACGCTTCAGGTTATGCACTCCACTAACCCAGAAATAGTGCTTCAGGTTAAGAACTTTGCTTCAGGATGAAGACAGAAATTGTGCTCTGGCGGCACGGCAGCAGCAGGAGTGGTGCTTCAGGTTAAGAACAGTTTCAGGTTAAGAACGGACCTCCGGAACGAATTAAGTACTTAACCTGAGGTACCACTGTACTTGAAGGCATTGGTTCAGGTCCTCCCCTCTGGGGCAGGAGGAAACAAGTTGGCTCCACCTTCCATGGAGCAGCCCTTGAGACATCTGAAGATGGCTCTCATATCTCCTCTCAGTCTTCTCTTTCCCAGGCTAAACATACCCAGCTCCTTCAACCATTCCTAATCAGGCTTGGTTTCCAGACCCTTGATCATCTTGGTCACCCTCCTCTGCACATGTTCCAGCTTGTCAACATCCTTCTTAAATTGTGGTGCCCAGAACTGGACACAGGACTCCAGGTGCGGTCTGACCAAGGCAGAATAGAGTGGTACTATTACTTACCTTGATCTGGACACATACTTCTGTTGATGCAGCTGAGAATAGCATTAGCCTTTTTTGCTGCTGCATCACACTGTTGACTTGTGCTAAGCTTGTTGTCCCCTAGATCCTTTTCACGTGTACTACTGGTAAGCCAGGTGTCCCCCATCTTATATTTGTACAGCTGCAGTACTTTACACTTGTCCCTATTGGAGTTTATTTTGTTAGCTTGTGCCCGGTTCTCCAATCTGTTAAGGTAATTTTGAATCCCAATTCTGTCTTCTGCAGCATGAGCTACCCCTACCAGTTTGGTGTCATCTGAAAATTTGATGAGCATCCCCTCAATTGCTTCATTTATAAAGATGTTGAACAACAATGGGCCCAGGACAAAACCCTGCAGCACCCCACTTATCACTTTTTCCCAGTATGATGAGAAACCATTAATGAATACGCTTTGGGTTCAGTCAGTCAAACCCGCCTAACAGTTACCGTATTTTTTGCTCTATAAGACTCACTTTTTCCCTCCTAAAAAGTAAGGGGAAATGTGTGTGCGTCTTATGGAGTGAATGCAGGCTGCGCAGCTATCCCAGAAGCCAGAACAGCAAGAGAGATTGCTGCTTTCACTGCGCAGCAATCCCTCTTGCTGTTCTGGCTTCTGAGATTCAGAATATTTTTTTTCTTGTTTTCCTCCTCCAAAAACTAGGTGCGTCTTGTGGTCTGGTGCGTCTTATAGAGCGAAAAATACGGTACCTCATCCAACCCCCATTTCACCAGCTTCCTCACAAGAATATCATGGGGGACTTTGTCAAAATCTTACTGAAATCAAGATACACTATGTTCACACCATTCCCCTGATCCACCAAGCTTGTAACTCCATCAAAAAAAGAAATGAGATTTGTCTGGCATCACTTATTTTTGAGAAACCCATGCTGGGTCTTAGTAAACACAGCATCATTTTATAAGTGCTCACAGGTAGACTGTTACATGCACCCCACCTTTCTTTCTTCTTGAAACTGTCTGCATTTGGGCCTTCAACATTTCACCTTTAAGGACCTTACTTTTTTTTTTTACAGCGTTTGAGTTCCACCAGATAACAGGGAAGTTGAAGTCTGCTGTGAGTACTATATCTCTCTTTTTTGAATGTTTGGTAATCTGCTCTAGGAAGGCATCATCCAAGTCTTCAGTCTGGCTTGGAGGTCTATAGCAGACACAGTAAGGTCACTGTTGTTTCTCTCTCCAACAGTTTTTACCCATATACTGCTTTCAATGCTCCAGGTCATGGATTCTTCACAAGTGTACATCTCCTTTACATATAATACTCCTCCTGATCTCTTCCTGTCTGGTTTATTCCTTTTGAGCAAGTTATACCCCTCAATTCCTACATTCCAGTCATGATTCTTATCCCACCAGATTTCAGTAATGCCTACCAAGTCATATTTGCCACCCTGTATTAAAAGCTCCAATTTGTCTTTCTTGTTTCCCATGCTCAGTGCATTTGTGTAGAGACAACTGAAACCATGAGTCATTCTCTCCAGCTGCTTCTTCCTTGTAGTTACTAGTGTCAATAAGCATATGAATGGGATATAATAAAGTCCTTCACCAAAGATTCCTGAGTAAGATTACGAGATAAAACGAATTGCGTGCCCAGGCAGAGATTCGCCCCCACACCCGACCCCAGACGACACCCGGGTGGAATAATGACTTGTGACAATGTGTTACGGGATTAAAATTGGCCACAACTTTATTAAACTTTCAGATGTAGGAAGACCTTGGCTTAGGCATTGGGTGTTTATCCCTCCCAGTCCCCAGCTGGGGATCTGGGGCACATCAGGGTTAACTACTCTGTCTGGGCATTGGGCTGGCTCTGGAAGACGTATGTTTGAGCAGAGAGCACACACCCCCATTTCACCGCAACACAGGGGAGTGCACTGACAACCTTTTAGTGTATGGCCAGTGACTCCCCTCAACATAGCCCCTTTAACGGGCAACCCTGGGATCGCCACTACAGGGGGGGGGCGTGTGTCACCGCTTCATGCCCCCCCCCCATTTAGGGAAGATAGACCAAAGGATTCCGCCCAAGGCTTGAAACTGCCAAAGTTGTGACGTTTTGCTACAGGGAAGGCGAAACCTGCCAATGCAGGGAAATTCCTTCCTGGTCCTTCAACAGCAACCATCGTTAGACTGTAGCAGCGCCCACATACCTGTAAATAAGAAGTTAACCTGCAATAAAAGGCCTAAAGGAAAGGAGGGTAGGGCGGGCGAAGCTCTGGAGCCGACTGAGAACTCCCATGTAGGCTCCACCCCCTTTTAAGACCCCCTTTTAAGACCCGCTCCCCTGGCTACGCCTCCCCAGTCGCAATTGGTTCTTTGAACTGAGGTTTGGCGGGAACCTCAAGGTTTGCAACTTGGGGACGCCGTCCAGGAGTGCTCGGCCGGGTGTCACGTAGCATGGGGGGTGCTGCTCGCAAGGGGCGCCCTCCATTTGATGTGGAGAGCGGTCATTGTATTCTTATCGATCAATAAACAGGAATCAGAGAGTAGAAGTAATTGGGCAGTTCTCACAATGGAGTGCTGGAAGTAGACCCCCAAAGGATCAGTATTGAGACCTGTACTTTTAAACTTGCTTATAAATGATCCACAGTTAACAGTGGGTATGGGTGGGGGGCACTTGTACATCCCATGGGCATGTGGTCCACCACTGTGTGAACAGGATGCTGGACCAGCTAGGCCTTTGGTCTGATTTGGCGGGACACTTAGGTTTATATGTACTCTAACCAGAGAGAGCTCCATTCACATGCAGAAATTTATTGTGGGAAGGCTTTCTCAGAGACAGTTGTGGTCCGTTTTTGAAATGTATCAACAGGGTCTGTTCAGTAATTCAGAGCCTAATGCCACTATGTGCTTTCCAGTGGTTTTCTAATGAACTGTGTCCCGAAGTAAATATTTTAATGACCCTCCAACATTACCTTATTCTCTTCCTGAATTTCACAGTGGTTTTAATTTAAAGAGCACTTGTTTTGATCCTCTAATCCAGCTGGCCTGCTATTGAGGGAGGAGAGTACAATGATTTTGCCATCTTATATAATTATTTAGTTGATTACTTGGAGCTTGGTTTAGCCAAATGCCTTTCAATGAAGGACAACACAGATTCTGAGCTGGCAAGTACTGCAGTTTATCCTTTCAGGCTCCTGACTGTGTACAATTGATAACCCCGCATTGTTTCCAAGCAAGGAGTGGCAATGGAAAATCTCTATTGATTTCACAGTTCTTGTTTCTCTAGCATATGTGTTCTCACATCAGCAATTACTTTTAATATTTCATAGTATACTCAGTAGCAAGCCTGTTAAGAAAATTAGCACTTAATCATTTAGAAAGAAACATAATTCAGTTTTCATATTGAAATTCAGGAATGTCACATTGAATACAATGACCTCTTTTCAATTAATCTGCCAGACTGAGAAGACCTTTGCCTCTCTTATTAACCTCTGTCCTGTTATCATATTTTGATTTTCTTTTTCACCGTGGGAGTTTGGGCACCTTTTCCTATTGGAAAAGGAAAAGTATGTTGTATTGCATGTTTCCCTATTTGCTCTTGCAGCCAGGACATTAAGGGTCAAAATCTGATTTTTAGAAAATATTTGTTATGGCTCCTAGTTGAACAAATAAAATCATCACTGCACTACTTAACCATTATCGATAGAACTAGTGGGAAGAGCATTGTGGCTGAGCATAGGCAGGGAGAACAGACCTGCAGAAAGGGGGATGTAGAAAGGGGGATGTATGGGACACAATGAGAAGTGAACAGTCTCAGTTCAAGGATTTCTGCTTGTGCAGGTGAACAATCTCTCTCTCTCCTTGCCCTGAGACCCCTGGAATTTCTTCTAGGAGGCCCCTTAACCCTCTCAAGCAGATCTGGAGATGGCACAAATCCTCGCAGTGATGGGTTGTGTTAGCTGGTTACCATCCTAGGTTTCAAGCCTGAACAATATAAAAACCCGTTCTTGTTTCCAACCTTGCAAAATGTTTTGATGTATCCTTTTGTTGCCTCAATAAGGAATGGCATTTATCTAACAATTCCATTCTTTACTACTCTGCCACAAAACAAAAGGATGCAATATATATATATATATATATATATGTACAATATACAATATATAATATACAATATACGTATATATATACGTACAATATACAATATATAATATACAATATACGTAATATACAATATACGTACAATATACAATATACAATATACGTACACATACAATATATATACAGTATGGCTGGGACCAAGACACTTGTGCTTGAAGAAAATCAGGGAAGGAACAGGCCATTATTACATAGTTATAGTATGGAATCCTGCCATTTTGTTACATTTGCTCTAAAAAAATGAGTTGATCGCTGTTTCCACATTAGAGCGCATCTGAATCAGTTCTGGGAGCTCCTGGAATGCCACACCATCAATGGTCCTGATTAGGGGAGTGCCACAATGTACTTTGGTGTTCCTGGACATTCCTTGAGTTTCTGGCTGATGCTTTACATCACTCGAATAGACTTATTTTCATGAAATGAGAAAAAGAAACTGAGAAACATTCTGGCCACCTGTAACATGTACCAGAACCATTTGGTTTGGGATCCTGTTTGCACTTGGCTGATTCTACATTGTAGAAATGGCTTGGGTGCCACCTGCCCATTGCTCCACCCATTCTGGTTATGTCTGAACTCAGAAGAACGTGTGAGGCCCAGCGCTTAGCAGAGTCACAGATTACATGTTTCCAGGATGGCTCCAAAGTACATTCCTGCCACTTGGATCTCTCAGGTTCAACTCGTCGATATTATTGCAGTGGAGTGGAATCACCAAGGAGAGGCAATCTTGCTCGTGTTGAAACCGAAGAACTAGCTGCAATGGCCCATGGCCCTGATCCCTCACTTGAGTGGGCTTGCTGCTCTCTGCTATCCAGCCTCAAAGTGGGTTAAATAGCTGTATGCAAAACTGCAGCTTCTGCTCATGGAGCGTAATGAGTCCAGGAATCAATTCAGATGAAAAGGTAGCTGACATTGACAAGCAAACAAACAAAAAATGGTCACTGTGAACAGGACAGATATGTACATTGGCACAAAGTACTGTATTTTTCGCTCTATAAGACGCACCAGACCACAAGACGCACCTAGTTTTTGGAGGAGGAAAACAAGAAAAAAAACAACCTCAGAAGCCAGAACAACAAGAGGGATCACTGTGCAGAGAAAGCAGTGATCCCTCTTGCTGTTCTGGCTTCTGGGATAGCTGCGCAGCCTGCATTCGCTCCATAAGACACACACACATTTCCCCTTACTTTTTAGGAGGGAAAAAGTGAGTCTTATAGAGCAAAAAATACGGTAAATAAAGGAATCCTTTTTTTTGAAGTGGGGACGACAGCGACCTACATCGCATCGGTTTTCTTGGTGAAAAGCTACACTAACATGCTACACTTGCAATCAGAAACACAGTGAGGTGGGGGCACATTACTATTTATATTATAGAATAGTAATAGTAGAATTATATCATACCTTCTGAATTAAGAATTTCCAACACACTGAAACAATACAAAAACTGGCCAGTAATAGGACTCTCAGAGCAGGATACAATTTTAAAAGAAACACAATAAAATCATTAAAAATGCAGCAGAACCCACAAACATCTAGCAAAGCTGTACTGTACAGTGCCAAGATAAGTAACAATAATAACTGTTTTTCCTGGTTCAGAAAATACATCAAGCTTACCTATCAACAGTGTGACCAGAAATAATATACTCAGTTCATTGGTTTCAATGCCTTGAAATCCTTTAGGAAGCATCCAAAAAGAAACTTCTAGAAATAGTAACTTAGAAATTATACTTAGAATGGTGTCCATTTTCAATCTGCATATATCATCTTTACATTAGCAAGATAGATTTGCCGGAGTGGAAACAGTTAAATAACTAGGTCACTACACTAAGCTATATTGAGTGGTACACAACACCAATAGACAAGCCATGGGATTTAACGAGAATTACACTGATGTTGCACAATTCTGATGAATGTGCATATATTCATCAAAATTGTTTGTTCTCTATCTGTTACTTAAAATTAAACAAAAATAGGACTCCAAATGGTGAAGGAGTAATATTTGGCTAATTGCTGGATCCATCTCCCCAGTCACAGGGAACTCCTGTCTGTGAAGCCTCGTGGCCTGAGGGCAACGGATTGGCTCAGTGGCTTCTTTTTATTTGAAAAAAAATGTCATCAGAATTACGCAAACATCACTGTTGGTTGCATCCCATTTCAAGGAAACCAAAGGATTTGGGAGAAAATAGGTCACATGCACTTCATCCCATGTCACATGATTTCCATCCAGAGGCCAATGAGGGTTTAGACCTCTATGCATTTGAACAAGATAACACTGTAATTTTACCCATTCGCATTTTTCATCTTTTCTCAACGTGGAAAGAGTGACCATCTGTTTGAAACCCACAGCAAACTAAATCATTTCCAAAGCTGCTTTTTTAGAGGTAAGGAGATTTAAAATATTGTTTTGATGGTGTGCAACAGCCGTTCTAAAGACCCTCCAACCCATCTCCTACCCCAGTGTGTGTTAGTGAGACGCATAAAGACAATGATAGATAGCAAGTGAGATGAAGGAGCCCTAAAGTATATCAGATCTGTATTCAAGGGGTTGCGATCCTCTGCACACAGACCTGGGAGGAAGCCCCACTGAACAAAAGTGGGACTTCATTCTGAGTAAATCTGCATAGGATTCCTTTGCATGTGACGTCTCAGAAATGGTCTTGACAGGAAATCTAAAAGGAGCAGAATGGATGGAATGTTTTCTGTTTGAAAGAAAACCAAGGGAAAACCAATGGATTGGGGTGTCTTTTAAGAGAATCTCCAGACATTGTTTTTACTCATATGTGTTTGTTTACTACTATAGGCAGAATTGCATCAAATACCTTGACGTAATAGTGATCATCCAATAATACAGTATGATGATTAAACTTAAATATGACAGAACCTACTTTCTCAATGTGTCATTATGCTCTAGAATGCTCTAGAATACTCACAATTTTGGTAAAAATAAGACGTAGCAAAGAAAACAATACATCTTACAGTTTAGATGGAATCCTATATTTCTTTTAATATTTTATTTAATATACATGTAACATTATATGATCTAATCTCTTATTCCTTCTCTTAAAGTTAGATTTTGTGGAGGGGGGAATATAAATTAATATCAGTTTTAGTTTAGTCCATAAGAGCAGTGTAATGTAAAATAAAACTGCATTAGGGTTTTGATTCCAATTTGATATCTAACATTTCTTTTAATATATCATAAAGCTACATTAAATAAAATATAAATGTGAAATGTGAGTTATACAGATCCCAATGTTAAATAACTTCACAGATATGATATTAAATTTCACAAATCCATTGCATGTAATATTTCTATTCTGGAATTAATTAATGTGCTATAATTATCCTAAAATGAATCATATACCACAAAACAGAAAGCATTTCAATATTCCTAAATAATAATACTATCAGAAGAATGTCACACAAATAATATTGATCTTCATTGTCATACAGGTAAAAAATGTAGTAGAATTTCCATGACATTTCTAATACGAACCTAACATTTTAGATTACAGTGAAATAAATATTTGAAGTACAGCTCCCCAAATTTCATATCAAATGGAAAACGGTACAAGAAATCTAAAAACATGCAGTGCAATTCTAAGCACGTTTACTCAGAAGTAAGTCTCGCTGAGCTCACGGGTGCTATAATACTGCCTTAAGATGTTTACAAGCATAAAAATTTAAAGAATTTTATTCTGAATTGTAAATTGTGCTGAACATTGCCCATTTTTGTAAAATTAAGAGATGGTATGCTTATGATGCAGTCCCCTCCCCAATGAAACCAGAAACATACACTGTAATCCTGAGCGTATTAACTCAGAAGTGTGTCCTATTGAGCTCAATGGCACTTATTCCTAATAAGTGTGCTTAGGATTTAAAACCCAAGAACAAAATGAATATTTGGCAAGTCTTTTAATTAGAAAAGGCTGTGTGTGTGTCCAAAAGTGTGTAAGCACTACTGAAGAGCTGAAACCGCATGTTTTCTGAATTACTGGGATGGAAAATGGCTTCCTTATTATTTCTTAATGGAAACCCAGATATGAAAATTTGTTGTCTAAATAGAATAAAATGTGAAATGTGCATCACTTTGTAGGATGGAATGTGTTTTTCTGCTTCCCTTTTCATTTTCCACCGTGTAGGCAATGACTTTATGAATTCACAAGAGGGAGGATTTCCTAGAGTTAGAGAACACCTATGAAGTATATTCACATTATAAAACTGCCAAAAAGGAGAAATTCATGATTTTTGCATTTTCTCACTGCAGAGTGTAATTATGTTGATGAGGCTTCACTGATTGTTCAGAAAAATCAATGTTACAACATATGTTCAAGAATCAGTCAGTGCAGCCTTGAATAAAGTTAGTGCTAATTATTTCTGTAAAACAAGTTTTGATCATTTGCTTTTGTCAGGTATTATAAACACAGTGTTCTGTCCAAGCCGAGGAAAAGAAATAAGGAATGTAAGCATATTGTGTGTATATATGCCTGTATGCATACATACGTATATAGATATATGTGCACGAATACTTGGACACAAATAACAGTCCATTTATATTTAGATCATTTTAAAATACTGTTAAGTATACATGAGACTAATTTGACAAACAAGACACATAAGTGTCATTTCTGGTTTCTGAAGAGGGCATATGGAGGATGACATCCAGAAATATAGAGAAGCCCACTCTTGAATATGCAAGGTTAAAAGAAACAAAAAAACACACCATTTACTGCATTTATTTTCATTTTGTACTTCTGCAACGATAGCATTTCTGTGCGCATGGGACACATGATGTCTCCCCTACCTCCCTGTGACACACCAGTTCTCTTTCAGCAAGGAAAGTTGTGACTTTGCATGTGTCATGCATTTCTAGGGTGTAGAATGACTTAAGTGTATGTAAAAATAATCACACTTTGTAGAGAACTAGTAAGTTGCTCAGAAATATAGGTAAGAATCCTGAAAGGAATAATGCAGTGGCCTGAAAGTGGATCTCCTCACAAGTGGCAATTTCAGGAGGAAATCGCCCCTCTGCACTGAGCACAGTCGACTCCGTCTGCTGAGCAGTCCAAACACAGCACGAATGCCACTGCCTTGCTCTAGTCTTTGCAACAGCCTTGCAAGACAAACGAGATCATTCAGTGTGGATTTTACCTTTTTAGCAAAAATCTGCGTTACCCAGGAACAAAGACCACAATCCCACACAGAATTAAACTCACTTACATCAATAGGCATTAAAGAGACTTAACTGTGCTTTGGATTGCTCCCATATAATAAGATTCTTTTTTAAAAAACAAAACAAAACCCTTATCTTGATTTTAATTCAGGCTGAGATTTAGGTGAAGTGAAAACAGATCTGGACTGACAGTTTTAGAGCTTGCTGTCAAGGTCAGAATGGAGTGTGCTCAGTTTATGAGGCTTCAGATACTGAAGAGGAGAGAAAGATTTCTGAGATCCATAATCTCTACTGGCAAACATTAGCAATAAGATCATTTCATGAACAAACCCAACACGAATTATTTATATATCTTTTAAGTTCAACATAGTTTCCTTAAACAGCAATTCTTATCTGGTGCATCACTGCTGGATGTCTGAGTTCAATGAAGATTGCTTCCAAGTAAAGGGCTATAGTATTGCAGCCCCTCTCACTTGGATTTTGTTATTTAGTATCTTCCAGCCTTTACGATCCCTTTTGTGATAATCTTTTGCTCGGGGTGAAATCCTAACCCCAGCTGGTCCCCAAGGCGGCTTAATGGAGCACTGCGTCCATAGCCCCACGACACAAACCAATTGGGGCAGAAAGTTGGGAGGGTGGCAGTGACCGCACTGGGCTGCCTTAGCCCCTCCCTCAAAAGGCCCCTCCGTTTCAGGAACTTCTGCTGGCTGCTACCAGTGAGGATCCAGCTGGTGGTGCTTCTCTTTGCTCACTTGTGGAAGCTGGTAGGGTCAGGGGGAGGCCTCAACCCAAGCCAATCGCCCCAGGCCAACGCCAAAAGTGTTTGGATGGTGCACCTAGTTATCGGCATTACAGTGGTACCTCGCAAGACGAATGCCTCGGAAGACGAAAAACTCGCAAGACGAAAGAGTTTTTCGTTTTTTGAGTTGCTTCGCAAGACGAATTTCCCTATGGGCTTGCTTCGCAAGACGAAAATGTCTTGCAAGTTTGTTTCCTTTTTCTTAAAACCGCTTGAAGAGGTGCAGTTGCGACTTGACCGTGCTTCGCAAGACGAAAAATTCGCAAGGCGAAAAAACTCGCAGAACGAATTAATTTCGTCTTGCGAGGCACCACTGTACCTCAATGCATTGCAGGTCCAAGTCTAGGTCCCTATTCAGTCTTGAAGCTCACTGGATGCCTCTGGATGGGCCTAACCCTAGAATCTGAATGGTGGACCATCTACATACTGATGATACTGAACTCATCCTTTCTTGATGAGTTCAACTGCTCCCCAAGCAGTTTGCTCTGGATGTTTAAAAGTGTGTGTGTGTTTCAGTTTGTCTTTGGTTTTTGAGTTTTTCTGCTTGGCTTTTAATCTTTTTATTTAATCTGCTGCTGTTTCAAATTGTATATGGATCCACCCAGTGTTCCAGCCATCGCTCCTTCTTCGTTCTATCACCTTCAACTCTACAGAAAACAAAGGGGTTGACTGACTCTTCCTCATGTCAGCCATGCCAATCATCTATCAATTCCTCCGGTCAACCAAATTTCAATCCCTATCCTGGCAACTATACTCCTCAGACAGGGCACTGTTGAGGGTACTGCATGCCTCAGAGGTGTGTTTAACATGTAGTAGAAACCAGGTTTTTATTGTTCCAGCTCCAGTCCTCTGGAATAGGTTACCAGCTGAAATTAGACTTGTGCCTAGACATGTTTCGGCATTCTTAAAGGACTAGAACTCAGGAAAGCCCAAAGATGCCAGACTTCTATTTTCCCATTCTGGCTCATCCAGTTCCTACCACTGTGCTTTTCTCATCCACCATCAGTGACCCTGGAGTCCAGGTTCCACCTCCAGTTAACAGATTTCAGGTAGCAGGTGCTGGGTATTTTGGAGAGCTCCTGCCAGCCAAATTGGATACCACTGGGCTATGTGGACAAATAATCTGACTTCAAGATGCGCCTAGTTTTTGGAAGAGGAAAACAAGAAAAAAAATATTCTGAATCGCAGAAGCCAGAACAGCAAGAGGGATCGCTGCGCAGTGAAAGCAGAAATCCCTCTTGCTGTTCTGGCTTCTGTGATAGATGCGCAGCCTGCATTCGCTCCATAAGACACACACACATTCCCCCTTACTTTTTAGGAGGGAAAAAGTGAGTCTTATAGAGCAAAAAATACGGTAAGCTCTTTTAAGTGTCTCAACAACGCTTTCCAAAGGATAAGGCTTTTCTGACTGGATAAGTTTTATTTACATTTAAATGATATGCAAAAGAGGGGGGGTAACCAGAGATTTCATTAGATCTAGACACACCCTTCTACTGATGAAAGGATTCTTCTGTTTGTGGAAGGAGCTCAGATCCAGCTCGCACGCAAGGGAGAGGGGAAGGCACTGGAGGAGGAAAGAGGAATCTGTGAAAATCATGCCCACCCCCTTCCACCTGTGGAGGTGTTTCATGACCTGCTAATTTAAACATCTTTTAAACTGCTGACATAAAAAAGATAAATAGACTTTCATTTTATTATCCATGCCGAAAGCTCACTCTAACTTTGCACAAATATCCAGGTCACTGGAGGGAAATATTCTGTATATACACCACCCCCTTTTGTATAAATAAATGCTTTGCATTCTGAAATGCAGAGTCACACTAATCTTTATCACATTTACATAGAACTTGCATTCAAATACTGTACATTTTTAAAAGATTAAAAACAAACAAGGCATGAAATGGGGCCATTAAGATTGCTTTGCTCTTGGACTGAGAGGATTTGAGGGACACGGCTAGATCAAGAGATTGAAAACGAAGGCCGATTATTTGGAAGATATTGCCTGTGGGATTAAAACAAGAGCGATGAATGGATTCAGGCTGAGTGAACAGAGGGAGAATCCCAGATGTGGAGGTCATTGGCTCTTCTATTCCGTTAATACGAAAGCAGTGGCATCGTGTCACATATAAGGAGAATGACTTTAGGTACCGTTTCAGCAGATGAAGACCTAGGAGGTGATAAGCAGCGCAGAATGGTTATTCACACAGCACTTATAAATGGCAGAGAAGTTCCATGATATATATTTAACTCTTATGTCTTAAGATATATAGCGGTACCTCGGGTTAAGAACTTAATTCGTTCTGGAGGTCCGTTCTTAACCTGAAACTGTTCTTAACTTGAGGTACCACTTTAGCTAATGGGGCCTCCTGCTGCCACTGCGCCGCCGCTGCATGATTTCTGTTCTCATCCTGAAGCAAAGTTCTTAACCCGAGGTAATATTTCTGGGTTAGCGGAGTCTGTAACCTGAAGCATATGTAACCCGAGGTACCACTGTACATGGATACCGTAATTGCAGAACATTTAACAATTCCGCAGGAGACACCTTGTACTGTACAGCATGGGAAACCTGAGTCTCTTGAGCTTGTATGTGACTTCCTACACCCATGCAAACACCTTCCCTTCCTTCTTCCTGCTCTTTCAAGGAAGAACATAAAGGATGAGCACAGCTAGCAAACTAAGCAACTATGAGACCAGCAATGCAGCAGGTCTTATTGAGTGGGGAGAGCCTCATGGAGAGAACAATGTCTGTCCGCATCAATGGTTCTAAAAACAGATGTAACTTTAGATTCTCATTAAAATCTGGGCAGTTAATGATGACTTAGGTTGGGAGTTATTATCAGCATGGACTAGCCTACTTTCAGGCATGCAGCTACATGTTTGGGCTTGGATCTGAAACTCCCTTCTGTGTGCAGAAGGTACCTTACTTTCAGAGGAGGGCTTGTTTTGTGTCTTGCATTGCTTGAGAAAAGTAAAATAAAAAACAAAGACAATTTCCTATTTGTTCAACACTTCCTACAAGCAGCTGAATTTCTCCGTAACACTGAAGAGTACCGCACCAACTCTTCTGCTAGAGTTGAGGAAGGGTTTGCAGAACATCATCACTTGTGGTGGGGTTTTCCTTGTGATCATTCATCCCCTGAGGTGCAATATGTGAAAACTGTAGGCAGGAAGAGCACCAAGTTGTCTGCAATACAGAGACAGGAAGGTATGTTTTGGTTCTAAATTTAGGATTGAATATCCTGGCTTTTGCTCATTGCTTTTGCCTTCTGCTGTCTACTTATTCACCCCCTCATCTGGGTTTCTGTATATGGCACCCGGCACAATAGGCTCATGGTTTCAACTGAGACAGAAATGGTAGGAATAGTAATGGCAAAAACTTCTGTTTTAACAATTCTGTTTACAAGGTTTCTGTTGCAAAAACCCAGAAAAATACAATAACTTAAAGAACATATGATTTACTGCATACTTTATTCATATTTTATTATTCACACACAGTTTCCAGTGGGAGGAGGGCCAAACTGGACAGTAACAATACTTGTGAGATGCAGGAACAATGAAGCTAAACTAAAAAACAGAAGTGGAGGTGATGATTGAAAGTAGAAACCCAGCGGCAGGGAAAGACAGCTTAAATCATATTAGCTTTAAGGTAGCCACTTACAAATGCATCACCAAAAAAGAAGACTTACATTTGCCTAAAATGTGCACCTGCTGATTTATACGTACAGTGGTACCTCTGGTTACGAACTTTATTCATTCCGGTCCATTCTTAACCTGAAGCACCACTTTAGCTAATGGGGCCTCCCGCTGCCGCCGGAGCACAATTTCTGTTCTCATCCTGGGACAAAGTTCTTAACCCAAGGTACTACTTCTGGGTTGGTGGAGTCTGTAACTTGAAGTGTTTGTAACCCAAGGTACCACTGTATAGTATAAATCTGGATACAATTGTTATAATTTGATCAGAAATGCAGTGAATATCATCTTACTGGGAAAGATTGTGACAACTGACCAGTTGACCTGTGCGCCTGCCCATGTGCTCTGTAGATGGGCAGATTCCAGGACCCGATTCAGGGCCAGGCAGTCCATCGACAGGAGGGTGCCTCTCCAATAAAGGACTGTCCTCTGAGTCTCTTGCAGACCTTTGCCTTCAATGGACAGAAATTCTCTGTAAAGTAGGACACATGGACACTGACTGCGTCCAATCACTCTTTCCTAACTCAAAAGCATACCCCCCCCCCCCGCTTTCTCACTTGTGCAGAAAGATACGTCTTCTGTCCCGGGGGGGGCTGGGAGCAGTATCTTGAAGACAATTTTGAGACAAAAGGTGGTGGAGAAAAAGGTTAAACAACCTCTCACACTCAATCCGCCAACCAATATTTTTAAGTCAAGAAACTTAAAGGATAACATATAGTTTTGACTGCAGATTCTGTTCACAGCCAATTTTAGATTATACAAAGCCATTGAAAACAATGGGGTCAAGAAGTGTCCCCAAGTCTGTTGAGCTGTGAATGTTGTCTGTCTTCCCTTGTTCAGGTGAAAGAGGACCTGGCTGCAGTCATCTTCCTATACCGGCACAATAGGAGGTCTGTGGTTTTCTTAGCCTCTGGACCCTACAAGTTGTTGAGGGTTGCTAGGAAGTATTTTCGAGTCTTTGTTCTTTTCTATGAGCTCCCCATTTGTATATACAGTACCAACATTGCCATGGAAAACTTTGTTACATTGCAGTTTGGTATCTCACTTCAGGACAGAGCATCAAAACTGAATGACTGGTTGGAGCAGTCTGCTACTGTTTCAAATGATGGAGGAAATATGGAGCCAGCCTTATATTGACCCCATTCTGGGGTGTGTGTGTGTGTGTGTGTGTGTGTGTGTGTGTGTCTGTCTTTGTAGCTACACCTGGAGAGTCTTGCCATGCTGTGAAGCTGTTAAAAACACCAGCACAATAGCTGGCAAAGCTAAAATATTGTTGTACATGAATGTGTTGTGTGAGTAAAAATGCAAATTTATGCTTGAATTGCATAGAGTTAATTTAGCTTCCTAGTGCATGGACGGTGAGCAGACACAGTTCAATGGAGGTTTCCTTTTCCACTGGACCTGACAATAATTGGTCAGATTAAAAGGCTGGGATTTTAGCTTCAGTGAGAAAGAGCAAAAGCACTAAACAGGCAGAGGCACCTGTGGTGGTGGTGGGGTTTCTGGTAGGCATGCTGCAGCCATGGCACATTGGGTAGTTTGGTTACGTATAAAGTAAATATCGTATAAAGCATAGCCTGCCTTTATGACATTCTAGACACTAAGACAGTTACAAAAATGGTGAAAGAACTGTAGCAAAACTCTAGCACATTCAACATTAAGCCTTACCATTCTCTCTCTAAATTAGGCTGCTTTCAAATATATAAACATTACCAGTTTTTAAAATTAGCATAAACTTTAAAACTTAATGTTGCAAATCATCTCTACGCATGAAAACACTATATAGAACACGTGACATAAAATATTGAATAGAATAATGCAAAATGTTATAACCGCACAGCAGCAAAAAGGTCCCTAGGCAATCAAAAATCCTTGCAGTGTTGCTCGCTGGTGAGCGTGGGGTTTCTGAACACAGTTGGTGGTTCTTCTGCATCTGTAACAGTGACACGTGGTAAAGAGTTGCTCTTTAAGGTATGCAAAAAGAGGCATGGTCCAAAGTCAAAGCAAAATGAGAGGCACCTGTCTAACAGTGCGGGGAAACAATTTTTTGCATGCCCAAAGTCAAATACATATTCATGCTAATCTTTCTCAAGAATGATAGATTTGTGTAAATATTTTCTTTAATTAAAAAGACACTTTCATAAAATATCACCCTGATTACAAAAGGAAGAAAAAAAGCAATCCAGGGTAGTCCCAGTCTAGTTTTTGTGGTGCAATTTGCTGCACTTCCATCATTAAGGCTAGCAGGGTAGTCATGCTGAAGACATGGTGCCTGTCGTTTGTTTGTTGCTTTAAATGAAAAAGCAGAGCTGTCAATAATTTAATAGGAAACTAAACCAGTTTATGCCATGGCAAGTTCTTGCTGGGGATAACATTCATCAGGCTCCTCCCCTTCTGCTTTAAAGAGCTTGTAGACATGGGCGCACCCACACAGGAGAAATATAAAGATGGGTACTTAGCTTCTAAGGAACCAAAAACAAAACAAATTGTTTCTGCTAAATATTCACAAAATAGTGGAAAATATGGGGACAATGTGCTACCTTTCATGAATGATGTAAATAGAAGAATTTAGATGTTTTTTCTATATTCTTGTACAACCACTTTCTCCCCAGTTCTGCATACTGCAAGAGATGACCCATAAGTTGTAAGAAACCGTATTTCCTCAGTGCCACAAAGGAAACCCTGCACTTAATGAAAAATATTTGCTTCCTTCATAATAACTTGCAATGAAATAGCCATCTCAAAGACCTGTAGTTAGCTCCCCACCCCACCCCTGTATTTTCTACCCCTTCTTTTCTCTTAGATCTACAACCTTGCCTGGGTTAGTGAGAAAAAGCTATTGCAGGGATATCTGTTGGAAGGATTAATGGGGAGATGGGGTGGGCTTGTTTGATGCCCTATCCCCCTACTTCCATCAGGATTTGCTCATGAGCATGTTCAAGGGCAATGGCGCATGCGCAGTACAACAAAATGAAGGCTGGGTTTGTTTTTTGCCCATATTCCCTATCCAATTTCTATTCAAAAGGTAGACAAGATAAATCAAAATTCTGTAAATCTGAGGATCAGATTCTGATATATGTCATTTAGAACCTACGTAAGCCTGAAATACAAAGAAGGAAAGGCAAAGGTTGTGTTTATTAAGGCAAATCCGCAGTGGTGCAGAATGCTTAGAAACCTGGCTAGAAAAGAGTGTGCTTTCCCTCTCCCTTTGTAGTCAGTGCCCTGAGCGTGGCTCTTCTGCCAAATCAGCAGCAGGAATTGGCTCGTGTCATGCATGTGATTGGACTCATCCAAAGAGAAAGGAAGGCAACTTTAAACCTGCAGCTGTGGGAACCGAGAGGATTTTTCTGAGCCTGGTACGGTTTGTGGGGGAGCGAAGGGGTTAAGAAGTATGGATGGCAAACACAGTGATGTTACTGCAGAGAATCTTTGTTCTCTCCCTGTGAGCCACCTTGCCCTGTAATGCAGGAAATGCACAGCATGGCTATAGCAAGTCACTTTGTACATGCTTTTGATCTGGTGTGCCTGTGGACACATGATTGGGATTGGAAGTCACAGGGAACACACTTGCTCTCACAGAAGATGTACAATTCTGACATTTCCCCTCTAGGGATTAGGGAATTTGATGGCCTGGACATTGGAAATCATTATGCTGGTATTAAAATAGGGCAGGCTGCTGAAAAATGATGTTTATGGGCCACCTGAAAACATTACTGTTAAGGAAAATATGGTAAAGGAAAATAATGCACACTGACTGTGTGGGACTATGACAGGCCCAAGGTCACCCAGTGAGTTTCATGGCTGACCGGGGATTTGAACACTGGTCTCTTACATCCTAGTTTACTAGTCTACTACACTAGTCACCACAAGGTGAACTAGGTGCAGGCTTCTACCATAATAAATGGATTAGTCTTTAAGTTGCACAAGACTCTCTTGTTTTTTCTGCAAGAGACTAATGCAGCTACTCCTTTCAAAATTGTTATCAAGGAAATGTAGCACTAAAAATCTCAGGTTTGATATTTTATTGTCTTTGAAAGAGAATCTGAAGTTTCAACTTCACCAAAAGCAACATGTATTTAGGTTAACCCATTTCAAAAGCATGGAAAGAGCTCAGTAATGGGGAAAACTGCCCTCGGCTATACATGAAGTAGCTGTTTAATGGAGATTTTAAAGCTCAGGCTGAAGAAGCGTTTGCCATTGATGCTTCTCCTACCAGCAGGTTGAACTATATTGCTGAGAGGGGGCCATGCTGGCTTGAAATTCCACTAAATAAGCTTACTAAATGCCCACAAGTTATTCCAAATTGCAGTGCTGAAGCTATCCTAAGAGTTATTCCTGTATGTACATTGTTATTGCAGGGGGGCAGCAATTAGTCAGGTTTAGCTTCCTTTGGAAGGAGCTCACAGAAGGCTTATGGCATCTGTAGTATTTCAGTTTATTTACAAATATACAAACACAGCTTAAACTCTGCAGCCCAAGACAGGAAAAAAGGTAGTACGGCAACACCTGGCTACTTTAAATAAATTCAAATCTCCAGGGGCTGGTAAGCCGCACCCAAGGGTACAAAAGAAGCTTGCGGATGTAATCTCAGAACCTTTGCCCATGATCTTTGAGAATTCTTGGAGAACAAGTGAGGTCCCTACAGACTGGAGGCGAGCAAATGTTGCCCCCATCTTCAAACGGGGGGGGGGGGGGGGGAGAGACCTAGGTAACTTACTGACCGGTGAGCTTGACATTGATACCAGGGAACATACTAGAACAGACAACTCAACAGTCGGTCTGTGAGCATTTAGAAAAAGTTGCTGTGATTACTAAGAGCTAGCATGGGTTTCTCAAAAAGAAGTCAATCAAACAAACAAGTCATGCCAGATATCCATCCATCCATCTCTCTCTCTCTCTCTCTCTCTCTCTGTCTCTCTCTATCTCCTTTCTTTCTCTCTCTCTCTCTCTCTTGGATGGAGTTACAAGCTTGGTGGATCAGGGGAATGCTGTGGACATAGTGTATCTTGATTTCAGTAAGGTTTTTTTTTTACAAAGTCCCCCATTATATTCATACAAGGAAGCTGGTAAAATGTGGGTTGAATGGGCAACTGTTAGGTGGATTTGTAGCTGGTTGACTGAACAAACCCAAAGAATGCTCCTTAATGGTTCCTTGCCATCATGGGAAAAAGTGGCAAGTATTCATCTATCCTTACCTCGTTATTTCTTGTGAGAACCAGGAAGTAGTGGGAGACATTTTGGTCAGTTACTAGGCAACCACCCATATGCCTTTCCTGCTGTTCCTCCTTTCATGGTTATGGGCCTGAAGACTTGCTGGAATGAAGAAGGCTGTAAAATTAAAACTGTGGTGACAACCACAACCGCAACCCACTTAGTAACTGTCCAGGGGCCTATTTACCATGGAGGGTAGGGAGGAGCCAGCTGGGGGACCCATTTGACCCAGTGCTTAGCTCACACTCTCCAACATGTCCCAGAGGGACACCGGAACACACATCTTTCAGGGTCACAATCTCATGTTAGAGCATGGCCCCCCAGAACAGGATGTCCCAATTAAATTGGGGCAGTTGAGGGGTATTTATTATAGGTGTAGCTTATGCATTCTCTAAGCTAGCTGTTAACTCTGCAGTTAGCTCCTTCTGTGGTCCTAAATTGCCTCTTTAAAAGCCCCAGGCAGAAGTGGATCCTCATATGAAAATGCCCCTTTCCTGAAATGTTACATTTTCCAATACTGCTCTGTTAGAGAAATTAGGTTCCCCATCCAGGCTACAGAAACTTGACCATGTGACATTTTCTGTTTCAGCCCTGTTTTTCTGGCACTCACTTCCAATTGCTTCTCTTTGTATCAGGTACGGAAGGTCAATGTTGAACCCATGGTAGTGTCTTGGGCCACTATATTCTACTCCCAGCAAGGGATTATCATTAACCCCAGTTTGTAAACAGATAGGGCCTAAGTGAGTGCAAGCGTAAATCAGTGTGAAGAGAAGTGACCATGTAAAATAGGTTCCTGGAGAATGGTATGAATTTAAACAGGACATTTGAACAAACCATTCAAGGCTAATTCACACATTGCAGTCCTGATGTGGGAAGCCCTGACAGACTTCTTCTGGCCAGTGACCCCACATGGTGACTGCAACAGCTGAGAGAAAGGCGTGGAATAAATGGCCTTGCACTCTGCAATCCTAGTGGAGGCTGGTGCTGCTATGAAGAAAGCTCTCGATGGTTCTCTCTAGGCATTCAGCCTGGACACATAACAGCAAAAATGTGTCAGAGAATAGGGGTGTGCCAGGTTGCCAGGCACATCTGGGCAAACGGACTTATAAGCTGCCTCCATTCTAAACACAAAGCCTGGGCTGGAGTGGGCAAGTCCAGTACATTCAGAAACATAGGGAGGCAATGAAGCGCATGTTCTTGCCTCACCCCCTATGACTTTGTCCCTTGCAAGACTGAACTCCAGCAGAGGGCTAATGCAACCAGGGTGTCCATGGTGAGAGACTCACATAAATTATGGCTCCTTAACATAAAAGTGTTTTCCACAGCCTCTCGTCTGGAGATTAAATATGAGCATTACCCCCACAGTTTTCCAAGATAGATGCCTTTTAAATTTGTGCTACATCGTTTGGGTGACTAAATCTGAATATAGAGAGTGTTTGTCTTTATGCTACATGCATCAAAATGTGGCCTGTTCCAAGTTCCTACTGTAGATTTTCTCTACCTTCCACTCCCCTCGAGGCAAAAAATTATTGTGAAGTCTTCCTGCAGGATTGCAAAGTCCTAATAAGCTCTGTCAGTTTCTGCTAGTCTGGGCCACACACTGGATGATGCGGGTACTGAACTGTTAAATGCAATAAATCAAAGCCGTATTCTCTGTTCCCAAACTCTTCCTTTGATGGGCATATTCAATGGGGCAGCTGAGGCTTCAGCCAAATCCATTTGCCAGCACAGTACAGTAACTGGAACACATCTTATTGATAAAGCATCAGGATCCACAATTGCACCATGCAGACAGTAAAGTCCATGTCCCAAAAACGACAAGGATCTTCTCTAGGTCAGAAGCCATGGTCATAAAATGAATGTACCTCACAGTGTGGTTGTTCACCATTTATGTTTCTTTGACCTTTGACATTCCAGTGCAACTAGTCACCCTTAACTATTCACAACAAGGGCTATTATTTATTATAGCACAAAAACACTGTTAGGTTCATTTTTATAACTCATTTAGATCTTCAGATGTTGAAAAAGATGAATGTTTATAATTGTCAGAATAGAACTGGACATCTTGATCAACACTGAGGGACACACCTGTCACAACATCAGTTTATTGCCCCCATTAGGAATGCTATCAATTTAGCACCCAATTCAAAATGAAGCACTTTTCAACCTAGAGTGGCAATTCCAGACTAAATTGCTGGTGCGGAAGCAACCGCTTTTGTGTTTTAGCTCTTGCTGGGATAATGTATCATACTAAGAAGACATCTTAGGAATTTATATGCTGCCCTCTCAGGATAGCTTACAACAATAATAAAAAACAAATTGAAAATAATGGAGTAAAACAGGTCAATAAAACAAAAACAGCATAAAAACAAATAACACTAATTAGGCAGGAGCAGACTGAAAGGTGTGGAAAAATAAAAAAATGAAAGTCTTCACCTGGCATTGAAGACATGAAGGTAGGTACCAGATGACCATCTCAGAGGAGGAGTGCAACCACGAAGAAGTTATTTTCATCCCTTGCCCCCTCCCACACCTGGAGGCACCTGAATAAGGACCTCCAAAGATATTAAGGTCTGGGTGAACCTTAATGCAAACATGTGAAGTCAGTCTTCTTCTTCCTCATCCTCTTCCTCTTCCTCTTCTTCTCAACAACCACATTGCATGTTAAGGAATAGTGAAGGAGATTTGATGGGTCTCTCCACTGTTCTACATGCATTATCACATATTTCGGCAGCATAATTTAGTTAAATATAGTAATCCACATGTGTCTGAAAATGTATTTTCAGAGATTACTGAACCATAAAAATCTCCCTCTTCCCCATTGCCATCTCTGACTTGACCATGATATGCAACATTAAATGATAATCCTGAGTTGTTTGCTCCATATACCTTCTTAGCTGCTAAAATATAATGCTTATAATCACAGGATTAGGACCTAATAGGAGGATCGGGCGACAGGCAGTGCCGCAGAGAGCATGCAAGAGGGTACTTTTAAAAGGTTCTCCAATCAAGAGATGGCTGAGAAAGGTCATGGAAATCAATGTTTTCAGCTCATCAGAATTTTAGTTTGCAACCACTAACGGATGGAGGCTTTAGGGTAACCGCCACAAGCTTAATGGTTTAGGGAACATGCATAGTTATAAATTTAAAAAAATCAGATCTCATCTTTCTCCCTGAAGCAAACATTGACACAAAAATGCAGCTTAATATTGAATTAGCAACTGGTCAGAACTGCTGTTTCTTGCTGACCATGTTAAGCTGAATTTGTGGGTTTACATCAAATGGCCACTATGTGTTAGATATCTCATGGGAATCGTGAGCAAAAGCAAACCTCAAGTGGGCAGAATTATCCCCCAGATGACCTTGTGCTGCGGTTGTATTCTGGCATGGCTGATCCATTTATGGCATTGGTTTTTATTCTTAATCTTAAAAGAAGTACTGTTATCACTGAAATATAAATGCAAATATTATGAAACATATAAAGCACAGGACTAAAATATCACATATTCCCCATGCAATAGCAATTGGACAGACTACCATCTTCCAAAAGAACAAGAAAGGTATGCCCTTCCTGGGTGTTTCATGGCCAGCTGCTACACCTGAGGCTAATGAATGGTATTAATGCTACTACATCTTCAATGACATAAGGACGGTTTGTGCATTTTGAATGGGTTTTTAATGTAACACTGAGCTTTTATTCAGCTGAGAAGCAACTAGTAAATTTCTTTAACCAAATAAACAACTCTTCCAGTGACAGGCCACAAGCTTCTTCCTTTTGGAAGGGGGAACCTGCTATTGGTCATGGAGCACGCTGAGCATCTTCTCTTGTGAGCACAGCATGGTGCCAGCTATGGGAGTTTCCCATTGGGCAATAATCACAGAGGGTCCCATGACTGCTGCTGGGGGTGAAGGCTGTGAAGGAGGGGCTCATGCATTTCCAGCAGTGTGGAAGCTGCTTCAGCATATGGAACCAGGGGGGGCAGCACTGATCATGTATGTCTTTCTCATTGATAAATTCTGAGAGCCCTGCCCACACAGTCACATCCGTTGTGTGCACAGCCCTGCGGTGTAGAATCACACCGTGAGGCAGCACTCCCTGCATATGAATCAAACCCTTGCTGGTTCTTCAAGAACTATAACGCAGGTACAGACTACAATTAGAAAGCTCTTACAAAGCTTCTGAAAGCTACACCGGCCTTGTTTAGACTTAACACTAAACTATGGTTAATGTTAGTAAACCATAGCTGAGGTATCTGACAAACAATCACTTGATTCTTGGATTATTATGTTGTAGAAGACTTAAAGGCATCAGCAAGAACTGCTAAGACCGCACACTTTTAATCTTCATGTGCCTGGAAAGGGCTTCTGTTCCCCCTGGATCTGTGGACATTGATGGTAAAATGGGTACCAGGAGTGGTGATTCTGATTAGGGAGTTAATGGCATGGGACGTGTGGCAAACCATCATGGGAAAAGAAGGGTTTGGAATAAGGGATTTGCTCTCTTTCTATTGTCTCTCCAAACAACAACTCCTGAGGAGTCAAGGGCATCCACAAAATAGGCAGTTAAATGCAGAAATAACTGACATACTCTCAGGCCTACTCAGTCAGGTAGGGATGTCCCAGTTCCCTTCTCAGTTACTGACAGCTTTTTTGTGACCCATTTCCAGGCTCATTGAAGACAGATGAGTAGGTTTCTGTTGCTTGCCTTCAGCAATTCTGGCCTTTGCAGTGTTGCTGACTTGCTGGTTTTGCTACCAAATGTAGTGGATTTTCAAAAGTGCATTCAGTGGGGTAAATTTCTGCCCTGTGGTCAGTTGGAGATGCTGTGTGTCTTCTTCTTTTTTTCCCCTAGCAGAGGTCAGTGGTCTTTGTTTATTATTTTCAGTGACATTACTGAATTGAGTTGGAAGCTGGGGAAACGATGTTTGTCAAGAGACTACAAGACTTGTCTTATTCTGGCCAATAAAAGCCTAAGGAGGATTTGAATCAGTCAGAAGAGTTCATGGCCAAGTGGACGGTGGCATGGTCTCTCAGGCGCCCAGGCCACCGTTTGCTCCCGCTAGATGTCTGTGGTCTTCAGAGAAGATCAGACCAAGAAGAGGGGGCTGTGGCCTTCAAGTCCCGCAGGTAGGCTTCCTACCTTTGTTGGCCACTGTGAGAACAAGGTGGTGGAGAACTAGACGGGCTTTTGCTCTCATCCAACAAGGCTCTTCTTAGATTCTTGCTTTTATTACTAAGGTGAGGACAATAGCTGGTTTGGGTTCCAACCACCAGCCAAGGTAAAAATAACAAATACTTTTGTAGCACCTTAAAGACTCACACACCTCCTCCACCTCCTCCTCCTCCTCTTCCTCTTCTTCTTCTTCTTCCTCCACCCTTCATCCAAAGAACTAATAACTCCCCGCCCTCGACACCCAAGCATATGTATTGAAAAAAAATCTGAATGCCTGGTTGAAGAGAATCATTTGTGTTTCTTACAGCATAAGCTTTTGCAGGCTACTACCTATGTCATCAGATATGTGATTATCTTGAGCTGCAGGCATATATAGAGATGGGTGAGGATTGTGAACAGAGAAGCCAGAAGGAAATTAAAAGAAATTCATTCCTATTCTGACCATGGTGATTATATATTTAACAGTGGCCATTCATAAAAAAGCCCCAGTGGCGTTGATAAGACGGGCCCCTTGGCCTCCATAAGCTACCCATACCCGTAGAATTTCTGACTGGACCTTTAACATTTCCCCTTCCTCCATGCCTCTCTACCATTTTACTCACCCTCTGTAATTCCTTGAGCTATGACATTCATTCCTCTCTCTCCAGCTCTCTCTGGGCAACACAGGCCCCAACTGCTCATGTGTGACAGCTTACCCAGTGCTTTCTTCTGGGGCTACGCAGGGCTATGCACACCCCTAAACATTTTGTGAATCTTTGTACTTTTGTTCATTTACTGTATTTACTTTTCCCAATTTGAACTATAAAATGGTGGTTTTCTTGAGTCAAAATGAGAAGACCCCTAAACATTTTTTAAGAAAAAAAGCACTGGGCTTACCTATGAACGTCACAAGCTAACATTGGCTGGGAAATGCCTTTTATTAAGAATTGCAAATAGGTAAAGGCCAGTGCTTGGAATGAACTGGTTTGGTTGAACAAAGTTCACTAAATGGCACAAAAAACACCACGAACAACACCTGAAAGTAGTTGCCACACAGGCTTTTCAGGAGGTGACACGTCCGAGTGACAAGGCCTCACCTGGGCCCCAAAAAATGTGAAGGTTTTACAGATGAAGCATGGAAGCCAGGAGGCTCAAGGCCTCCAGACAAATTGAAATACAGTCCAGTATTTTGATATTACTAAGTTTGTGTCCATGACCTTATTCCAGACAGTGCCGTAAATCAGTAAAGTTTAAACAGAACTTTAAAATGGATGATAATTTTGTCACAGAGGTCAGATCCTAGTTACCTCTGTTTTAATGGTGGCAGCGTTGGAAGGGAGAATTCAAAAGCAGCAGAAGACATCTGGGGCTTATTCATGGAAAAAGTGAACTCCCTTTTGGCATCTGTATCCGATTATTTTATTTTATTTACTCTTTATTTTTCACTTAACCAATTACCCACTTGGCAGGCATAAGATACGTTATCTATGACTTTCACCTTCTAGATGGTGTGTGATTTATTATTAATCATTACTATTTCTTCTTTTCTCATTTAGTTTCTTATTTTAAATTTAGTTTTTACCTGATCAGATAATTGTAGGCATTGCCTTCTCAAAATGAAATCAAATTCAATTAGCCAATAAGTCATTGCATTAATGTCCATTCAAGCTCCGGAATGCTGGGAAACTGCAGCTGTTAAATCATACTATTTGGGCAATATCGATATGGTCTGATGGTTGAGATTAGCTCTTGCTTCTCCACTACCATGCAGGTGGATGGCTGTCAGTGGCAGAATAATGTGACCTGAAGAACCCATTGAATTTTGAATTGGCATATGAGTTTTCCACTGAAATCACCTACTTAAGATGGGGAAATGGGCTAGCAAGACAGAATTCTTCTAGCAGGTGATGTATGTGTCAGTGTAGTGCTACCGCTTTAGAGCAATGAGATTTGGTTGCTGAACCAGATCCTAAGCTGGCAGGAAATTCCCATTGGAGTGAATGGGACCTACAGCCAGATTCTAAAATATTTATCCGTATGTAAGAGGCAAGCACGGGGGACGTTGGTGGTGCTGTGGGTTAAACCACAGAGCCTAGAACTTGCCGATCAGAAGGTCGGCGGTTCGAATCCCCGCAACGGGGTGAGCTCCCATTGCTCGGTCCCTGCTCCTGCCAACCTAGCAGTTCAAAAGCATGTCAAAGTGCAAGTAGATAAATAGGTACCGTTTCAGCAGGAAGGTAAACGGCTTTTCCGTGCGCTGCTCTGGTTCGCCAGAAGTGGCTTAGTCATGCTGGCCACATGACCTGGAAGCTGTAAGCCGGCTCCCTCGGCCAATAAAGCGAGATGAGCGCCGCAACCCCAGAGTCGGCCACGACTGGACCTAATGGTCAGGGGTCCCTTTACCTTTAAGAGGCAAGCACAGGTGAGCAAACTGCATATGGTCTTCCCCTAACGTGGTGCATTTACTGGCTTGCACATAACAGAACTTTCAAAGTCCCTAAATGGAATCATAGAAAGCTATGTCATGACTTCTTTTAAAATAAGCAGAAGACAAAAGAATCAACGAAGAAGAAGAGCTTTAGAAAGCTGGCTTAGAGCAGAAAATAAAAGCTATTATTGTGACGCTTTTGAACAGCATGTTTGTAAAACATGTTTTTTGGCTTTTGTCTACATCTCTGTCTGCAGGGAATTGTCAATATGTTGAAGAGCACATGAATTCAAAGTAAAAAAAAGCCTTTTCTATATAGTGACCCATGTTTTCATTCAGCTCCTGAATTCAGAGACAAAATGCATACCTTTCACCAGTATGATTAAGAAAAGGCTAATGGAGCTTTCCTACACACTGAAGCATGAAGCATGTATAATTTAATAACGCTGATAAATCTTAAAGCCAGGAGCATTTGGCGAACACATGACCCACTTTTTCAATCTATTGGAAACATTTACATAACAGCCTGATTCTCAGGCTTTTCGTTTTCTAGATAGAGGAAGAAGAGACAGAAGCACATTTGAACACCTTAAACTCGACATGCCTCAAATAAATTCTGCCATTAAAGACTTAATAGAGCATTCTTGCAAGCCTTTCCTCTTTCTCTTTGCACCAGGATCACTCACTGGGGGCAAAATGGACCCACTGGAAAATAGGAATAACTACTGGTAGATCTCTGGATTGCAAACTCTTGCCCAGTCGCTGTATGAAGAATCAGTACAGCATATACCACACATAGAGAAACAAAATGGTTTGTAAATAATAGACAGCACTTGTCCCCTGTCCTCACTACAATTCCTTTGGGGATTAGAGTGACACAGTCCTTCTGTCCTTGAGTAACTTTGCAATTTGACAATCATCACACTATATTAAAATGCTTGTGGCTTCCAAACATCGCAGGCCTCTAATCTCCAGTGTTGCTGTTATGTCCACCTACAAGGGTGGTCTTGATGCTGATGTTACCTGACCATGCTTAGATTCACTTCCCCTTTTGCAGTTCATAAGGAGGTGCCTAACAGCACAGTCCATCTAGCTGCAGCTGGTAGCTGTTCTCCAAGGGTTGGGAAAGGGGGAAAAAACCCTAGTCCTGCTGTATAGTCCTTTTAACTGGTGATGCAAGCTATTGAATCTGGGACTTAGATGCAAAGCATATGCTCTAGCACTGAGCTGTGACGGGCTTATAGGGTATGTGCTTAAGGCTGTGCATGTGTTGCCCACAGCAGCAAAAATTCAGTGTGCAATGCTGTCACTGTGACAGCATTGCACACTGAATTTTTGCTGCTGTGGGCAACACATGTACCACCATCACAAATGTCAAAATTTCAAGCAAGTAAGCATAAAGGTCAGATCCAATGTCTAGTGTTGGTATTATTGAGCACCTGCTGAGGCCAGTATCCGAACTGGGGAGGCACTCCCCCCCCCCCAGTGGTGCTTCTCCTCTTCCTCCTTGATGTCTCCATCTGTTCTGCTGCCCTCTATAGCCTGTGGGCAGTGATAAGGGCAAGGGAGCTTCAGCCTTCACTCGCTTGGATCTCTCTTAGGCAGTGATGGAGACTAGGGGAGGGGCATGGTGGCCGTGGCAAGGAGAAGGGGGACCACGGAGGATGCCATGTTGCTGAAGGGCTGTGCAAAATCTTGGGTTATTTAACATGGTTCCACTTGATGTGAGAGGGGAAATAAAGTTCCACTTGAACACTCCTCAGAATCGTACATTTGGGCAAACTACTTAGAGATTGTCACACAAGCATGCAGTACTGTATATAATATATATATATATATTTAAGCATAAAAACTTGTCATTATTGAATGGCTTGCAGAAGATAAGTAAGACCAACACCTAGCTAGGAAATTTCATGGCATCTAGTTTTGATGGGAATATGGGGAAATAGTTTTGCATTTTGGTAAAAGACTAGTAAAAGGAAATTGGAATCACTGTAATATAAATTTACAATCTGTGAGATGTTAAAGGGAACAAGATGTATTGTGGCTATTTAAGTGCTATTGTTTCTTTATGCAGAATTCTCCAGGATACCCATCTTAGTAAAATCATACGTATCCCAAATTATTCACAACTTGAGAGAAAAGAAGGAGGCAAATGGAAAATACAAAATATAGAGACACATCAAAGGAAAATTTGTTCTTTAGAATAACTAACAGCAGGGGCATAGAGTGGGGGTGCCAGGGGGCCGTGGACAGAGGTGCACAATTTTTGAGGGGGTGCAACCCAAGTGCCCCCATGCAGACACCCCCAGCGTGCCACGGCCTGATGTTCCTCTATGGCCACCAAGGGCTGCGTCGACCGGCCAGACTCCCCCTTGCGCAGGCGGGCAGGTGGCTCAGCGAGGCCCCGCTTTGTTCCGGCGGGAGTGGGGTTACTCCAGCAGCGGCAGCGAGGGCAGGGCTTGTGCCCACCCACCAGCCCTGGGCACTGGTAACGGATGCTATGCCACCAACTAGGCCTGGAACATTCAGAGAAAGCTCTTCCCGTAGATCACTATCAGTTTTCCAGGTTGTCAAATGCTGTTAAGTGTCCAAGACTGAAAACATCTTAAATCTTATACAGCAATAAACAAAAGTAGCACTTACTTGTTCTCTTTACAGGTGGTTTTCTCCTGTGAAGTCACTTTTTCCTTGGGTCTCCTAATATCAGACTGTTTCCCATACCACCATAGAAGATGGAATCTAAAGTTTCTGAAGGTGGCCTGAATGTGACTCTCACCATCCGACTGCTGATGCACGGGAAGGTGAGCGGTGACCATGTGCTTCCTTAAAACAACGTCCAGCAGCCAGTGATGATTTACTTGTCTAGATGCAAATGCTAAGATTGTGTGTCCATGTCACATATATTAGTTTAGTTCTCTGACAAATATGTGATTCATAACACAACAAACCTGGAAAACTGTTTAATTGGGGAAGTTATTGTTGTCCACCACTATCGGCTGAAGATCATGATCGCTGGCTTTTTTTGAGAGAGAGGCTCCCAACCAAAGTCTCCCAGAGTTCAGACTTTATAGCGTTCTTGAAATAGTGCCCCAACCCTTCTATATCATCCAGTTCCCCATGGCCAAGGTCCTTCTGTAATGCCTACTCGCAAGCAAAGTTTCTTTCTAATGCTAATTGAAAGTTTCAGGGGACTAGTGGTGAAAAGTCTCTGATTTTGTCCTTCAACATCCTCACTGAAGGGTCCCAAAGCCACTTTCTCTGCTCAGGTGGTGATGGTGAGGCTTTACTTACTGATTCCCTTTCAGTTTGTTTTCTTTCAGTAGCAGCATTTCTCCAACAAGAGCCAAAAAGAAAAAGATATGCAGGGGGAACAGTATTTAAAACTGCCCCCGCGGTCCACATTGGAAGAAGATGCTGGCCTTGAGGCAATTGTGTGGGGGGGGGGTTAATCTGGATTTTCTATATAGTTCAGATATCAGCATAGAACACAAAATATGCACTGTACAAATGTTATGAAATTTAATAATGAACTGTGATCAAAGCATCATTAAAGGTATTAAATATACATGTAATGAAATATCAAAGAGTGGGGTCAGACCCAAAAATGATTTTTAAAAAGCTTTTGGGGAAAATCAGTCATGTTTCTGTTCTATTCACAGAGCTTGTGGGAGCACTCAATGCATGTTGTTTGCCTGATAGTCTTGTCTATTTCTTGAGTTTCAGTTATCCAGTTACTATAATTTTTATAAATTCCAAATAAAGGTTTATTTGGCTGGTACTCTAGTCTAGCAATGTTCTTATTATTTACAAAAGAAAGCATATGGGCAATTTTACCAGAGGCTGAATATGCCAGTGGTTCCCAACCTTTTTTTGGCCATGCCCCACCTAAGCATCTCTAAAATCCTGATCTCCACCACCACCACCACCGGGGCCATATAATTCTTAATTTTCAAAAAGTGAACTAGTCACATGGAGAAAGCCTAAAAGGCCATTAACTGTTAACAACTCATTCTCAAATTGTCACCCCCTTAAAAATCAAATTGCCCCCCCCCCGTGGGGTGTGTGCACCACGTTGGGAACCACAAGTCTATGTTAAGCTTCCAGCCTGAATCAATGGGCTGAAATGTTCAGCCTGAAGCTTTTGAAGCCCTAAAGAGCTCTTTGCGCATCCCACCAGAGAGACCCCTACGCATCCACTTCTGTGTGCTCCTCACCTGAGTGCAACTGCGCCATTTTGTATTTGGTGGACAGTCAATACAAACAGCCCTGTTCAGAGTACCTGTTTCCCTGCAGAGCGTGTGAGGGATTGCCTCAGATACTGTAATGGCAGTACTTACATTGGGCTTCAAAACAAACAAAAACTTAATAGAGAGATCTGTTTTTCCCTCTTCTGCAAACCAACCCTGCAATTTTATGATCTTATGATTGTCCTCCACTAGAAATGGTCATAGGCTGGATGCACATCCTGTGCTAGGAAAAAAGAAAGTAACACAAAAACACTTTTTGCTTAATATTGTGCTTAATATCGCTTTTTAATATTGCACTTAATATTGCTTTTTTAAAAGCCCTGAAGTAACTGATTTTTAAAAGATGGTGGAAATTATTTTAAAAACTGCCATTCAGGTGAATTAGACATTTTCTTTCCGCATCCACAGATCTAAGCCACTCCAACTGGAAAGAATATAGCAGCATAATAAATACAATATCCCAAATAGGGTGCAAAGTCTATTGCGTTCTTCAGAAGAAGAGCAGTGACTGGGTTGTACGAAGAGCTCTCCGTCGGGAAGATACCCTCTGTGGCCCATATCATTTAATTAATTTCAGTCTCAGCCAAGTATGTTTATTAATGAACGTTCTTGAATTCTTACTTTGTTGCAATTTTTCTTTTAAAACAGGAAGTTGGAAGCATCATTGGGAAGGTAATTTCTTCAAACTATGCATCTTAATGCTTCAGTATTGCCTGTGTTTACAAACTGCACATGTGGGAGGGAAATGGCCCTTTCCCAGCTGATTTTTTAGTACAAACAAGCTGTAGTGTGTGGTTTGGTGGAATGAGATGTGTTTACTCACTTTAGATTTCTAGGTATGCCTCCAGAATTTACTACCAGTAAATTCTTTAATAGGACCGCAAATAATAATCTCCATTTATGTGAAAGAGGCCAGATGGCATTTGTACCCATACCCTGCCATTTGTACAGTTCACCTACAATCAGATTCTTCTGTTAATTTAATAATTTGCTAGAAGGTCAATCAGGTAATTTCAAAATGGCTGATGCAGACAAGTTTGTTACCTATAAGGTAGCTTTAGATGTCCTAGCAGTGAGAAAGCTGCAGGCTTCTTTTTTGATCCCCCAAAGTATTGACTGCCAAGGGAATTAAAAAACATGATTTACTGTTTCAAGTTTTGACAACTTGTATATGTTTAGCTTACTTTTCAGTTGTTTGTTTTTATGAGTTACATTGCAATGGCCACTGACTGCAAATAATAAAAATCTGACTGGCTGACTAAAATGGGACAAGCGTTTCAGCTGCCCTGAACTTTCTTAAGATGCACCTTCTATATTATTATTATTTATTGAATGTATATACCTCACCATACCCAGGGGTCTCAACCATCTACCTCAACCACAGCCTAGATATCCTTAGGTACAAGGCAGATAGGGTGTGCCTTATGTAATGGGGGAAATCACGTCTTTCATTTTATGATTATTAAACATAAACATTTATTTCAAAAATCAAAACAACTGCCTATTCTTCCCCTGAAAATGGTGCTATACTGTTGTCACTCTCACTTGTTAAAGGATGCTTCCACACTAGCCAGATATTCTCTTTTAGCCAGAGCTTGATCTACAGTACCAAATAGAAAAGATTTAAAAAGGGGCAAAAGAAAAGACAGAAACAATTATTAGTAGTATTCTATATTTATTTATTTATGCCCTTCCCTTTTCTCTGATGGGACTCAAGGCAACTTACAGCTAAAAACAAGAACCACTAAAAACATAGGAAAAACCAATAATTAAAATACAATTAAACATTAATAGAATTAAAACGATATACATATATAAAATCTGTTTAAAACATACCAATAATTACAAAAAAAAAACCAGCTCAGGACCAGTCCTTTCATTAAAAGCCTGTTGGAACAAGAAAGTCTTTGCCTGCTGGCGGAGATCTCTGAATGAGGAGGGGCCATATAAAAATTTAATAAAAATACATACATAAAATAAAATAAAATAATTCCCCATCTGGAAGCCCCCATGCACAAATGCCAATTGTTGCTACAACCACATCTGGAATATATTTAGAAGAGATTTCAAAATGGGCTTCAAACATCGCAGGAGGTGGGGCTATATTCTCTCCTCCATGTGCCACAGTGGTAACCTCTGAAGGTGTGCATGTACCAAGATGTGGGACGGGGTGTTTCTGTTTCTTTGTGAGCACCTCAAGGGGAAGGTGTGATTACAAGAGCTATGGGAGAGGTGGAGAGAGACAGACCCAGCTTAAAAGAAGCTGTGATTACTTTCTACAAATCTATCTGGGTCCTTAATAGAGTGGGGTCAGGGAAGAGCTGTCAAGTGCCTTAGGCCAAAAACAGCTGAGCTGTCCATTAATAAATGTAGCGGCATATTGGGCAAAGGATTTGTCTTTAACAGAGCCGAATTCTAAAATTTTCCTCAGTCTACAGGGCAAACAGGTTCACTAGATTTTTGATATAGGATGGTTATGTGCATCAACAGTGTGTTTTCCCAGTGTTGTTCCCTGGATACAGGGGGAGGAATTCACCGTTCCACCAGGGCAAGCATTTTGGCTTGCCAGATGGAAGGCTCTCCCTCTCCTTCTTCCCCCGCAGGCTGTTCCAGGAGTTCTCCCAGCCTCCTGAGCCAATTTTGAATGGAGGGGAAATCCTGTTACACAAGCAGCCGTCCTTGTGCAGGGCTTCCGCCGATAGGACTCGTTAGTTAAATCCCTCCAATAATAAGGCAGACATGTTAAAATCCTTTATGGCATGTCTGTTAAATTTGTCTCAAAAGTGTTGATATGATTATAGCAGTTATTTTGCATCTTTTTCAGAAAGGAGAAACAGTGAAAAAGATGCGCGAGGAGGTAAGTGTCCAGTCCTTCATGGTGATGTTGCAGCTTAATATGTAAACTAGTATGATGATTTCAGAATGCAAGATCACAGGTGAAAAGGGCCGTATGTTTTTGTGTGGTTGAGGGGGTTAAGTTTCTTTTCATTAGTAATGTGTTGGAACATTCTGGAACAGAATGTAGGAACATTCTGCATAACTCTCACAGATGACAGCTGAAGGAGGGATCATGCTTTCCTGTGACATATGCCCAGTGCAGACAACTGTAACCCAGAGATACACAACAATCTTGTAGGGCAGAGCTTTCCAAACTTTTCATTTTGATGACACACTTTTTAGACATGCATCTTTTCATGACATGGCAATTCAGTTTTACTAGCAAACCGAAGTTAAACTAACCCCTTTTCAGCTCCAGGAGGAATGCAGGGAGCATTCATGCAACACACCTACACACTAACATGTCACAGCACACAGTTTGGAAAGCTCTGCTATAGGGCATGTATTGCTTGTAAGATGTTCTGTTTGGGGGGTTTTTCCACACATGGTTTTACAGATATTTTTCTTATATCCAAGGTAAGATATGAGTAGACATTACATGAGTAAATATAACTAAGCAGATTATCTGAAGAAATATAACTAAGCAGGTATCTGAAGAAGTGTGCATGCACACGAAAGCTTCTACCCAGAACAAACTTAGTTGGTCTCTAGGGTGCTACTGGACAATTTTTTAATTTTTTAATTTATTTAAGCAGATTAGCTTTGACATCATGTGTACTTCACATGTGTTGATTTTATAAATATGTGGTGCAAATAATATATCATATGTAATTACGATATGTATGACAAAGTGTGGTCCTTCCATTCTAGAGTGGTGCACGAATCAATATTTCTGAGGGAAATTGTCCAGAGAGAATTGTCACCATAACAGGCCCCACTGATGCCATCTTCAAGGCTTTCGCCATGATTGCTTACAAATTTGAGGAGGTAAGCAAATTATTTAATAATGTTACAAGAAGTTAATAGATAGGCACCTTATTGATGAAATGTCTTCACAAAACTGCCCATCAGCCCAGGAGCGAATGCAGACCTTCTAGCTGGAAAAGATGCCCCACTCTCACCTGACAGGACAGAGGCTGCCGCCTTGGGCGGTAGAATCCAAGGGGCACCAACGCAGGTGCCGCTGACAAAGCAACTGCGGTGAAGGCTTCCAGGTTTCAGGAAGGTCTTGTGAAAGCCCTGTGAAATCTCATGCAACCTCACAAGATTTCACAGGGCTCTTTCAAGATCCTGCCAGAACCCAGAAGCTGCCACTATGTGACCCCCTGGTAAGCAAGGCTTGGTGGGGGTGGCAAGTGGCAGGCACACAGGGCAGCAGGGGGGCACAGGGAACATGTGGAACCTGCTTACAGGCATCCCTGACAAGGTATGTTGTGCTTCTCAATCCAGTTTGCAAACAGTATGGACTGATTTCTTTAGGAGGCTGGCTATACAAAATATAGTTGAGTTGAAGGGAGGTGACATTTTGTTTAGTTCTCTAATCTTCTAGTTCTATGATATTGTGCTAAATGTATAGCAGTTACAATCTACGATAACAATAAACTTATTCTTAAATCAGGAGATTCAAGCAATTATCTCGTAAGCTTTTGAGAGATTCACTTCTTCCTTGTGCGCAGGCATGCTTTCTTGCCTTCTCAACTTAGCAGGAATAGAACAATTCTGTTTATTCACTCACAGGCTCATCAAAATGTCCGCCTCATTTTAAATAAGGTAGCATTGTCATCTGCATCATAAGGCATTTTCTTTCTTTCTGTTCAAAGGATATAATCAACTCAATGAGCAACAGTACAGCTACCAGTAAGCCACCCGTAACGTTAAGGTTGGTTGTGCCAGCAAGCCAGTGTGGGTCACTGATTGGAAAAGGAGGCTCCAAGATTAAGGAAATCAGGGAGGTAAGCAGAGACAGGCTTTGTAGGGTGGCTGGTGGAAAGTCTGGTTATGCAGATTCTCTCATTTAATTCAGCTTTGGGGATTTGTTGTTGTTGTTTTTGCATGGGGGGATGGGAAGGTAAAAATACTCCCTGATCTTTGGGATTAGGACAATCTTTTAAAAAGAAAAAGGGGAAAAAATAGTGGGGTGGGACTTACCATAAGAGATTTGAGGCAGCAAATTTGTTTTCCGCTTTTTCTTTTTTTAAACAACAACATTTCCATTGGGCCATTTTTAATATCAGAGATCTAATATTGTTCCTTATTTTTTTCTCTTGCCTGTGCAGGCAGAAAACAATGAGGGGATAATTAGCAAAGCGAATGGGGAATTGGATTTCACTTCTTGATCCACACATGAATTCCCTGCCAAATTTTAGGTGCTTGCACAAGACTAACAAGCTGTCTGCCTATATTTACTTGTTTCTTCTTCTTCTTCTTCTTCTCTCCCTACCTTCCTGCTCTTCTCCAGTCTACAGGTGCTCAGGTTCAAGTGGCGGGGGACATGCTGCCCAACTCTACAGAAAGGGCAGTGACCATTTCAGGGACCCCCGATGCTATTATCCAATGTGTCAAACAGATCTGTGTGGTGATGCTGGAGGTACAGTCTGTAACAATGGGGGTAAAGTATACAGAAAAAAGCCAACAACTGAAAACTTGGACAATATACCTTTCTTGTAATTCAGTTACTCTTTGGTATTGTTATGGCTTCTTGCTTGCTAAAGCATTCAACTAATTATGGTTTCAAGGCATCTGCAGATTACATGAATGATTTCAAAAAGACTTGAAGCAAAATAACCAGCCTCCTATAAAGACATTTTCCATAAAGCAAACAAAGTAGCCAGTCTAGTTTCTTGCAATGACCCACATGCCTGTTCGTTGGATACAAAGTGGATCATATCATGAGGAATGTATAAAAGATGGAATGGAACACTCCAATGGTACTTTAATTAAATAATAATAATTCTCCAGAAAGCCAAAAGTAACAGAGGAGCAAGCAGAGAAATAGTAGATTAATAAGGTCATCACTGCTATTCTTCTAATTCAGGGTGGTCCAACTTTTCATACCAAGTGGGTCGCAAGAGTACTTCAACATGGAACCTGCAGGCTGCACATTCCCATATCGTGGGGGGGGGTGGAAGAGAGTGAGCCCAAAATGTGATGCTCCCCCAGCCCTTATTCTGCCTTCCGAAAGGTGGATAAATGAGGCATCAGGCTTTGGGAAGGAGGCACAAGGCTCTGGCAGGGTCCTAGAGCCCTCCTACAATCTTCCCAAAGCTGGGAAAGCACTAGCTAGGATTTGCGATGGAGCTGGACAGGCCTGCAGGAATTCTAGGCATGTATGGAACACAGGTATACCACCTAAAACTCCTCGAAATCACAATGGTCTTCTGTCATATTCTAGTACAGCCTAACACCTTTACCTTACACCCTAACACACAAAAGTTAGTTCAAACAGTGGAATAGGGTTGTGAAATGTAGAATAGGCATAGATTACATTGCAGTAGTCCTCAAATTTTGAGGTAGTGAAGGCATGCAAATTCCCATCTTATATTAGACAGAGTGCAGCTCTTCCAGGTGGACCTGCCATGGATGTGAAAGAGCTGTGAAAATGAATCAACCTGAAATACATTCAAAATAAAAGCTTTAGGAAATTTAATTTCTAAGAACAGGTGTAGAAGCCAAGCCCGTGAACCAGAATTCCCTGGTTCAAATCTTACCTCAGTTTTGAATTCACTGGATAGGTTTAAAAGTGATGATTTTGTAGGTTTGTTGGAAGGATTCCTAATACGAGGTATGTGAGATACTTTGAACACTCTAAAGCAATGTATAAATTCTAAATATTATTTATGGTAGAACCATTTTTTCTGTTAAGTGATTATTTAGCTCCTCTGTTGTCTGGAAATTGGGCACGGTAGATTCATACCTGACATCGTAGATCCATGTGCAGATCATGGTCTGATCTTTATGTGTTTGGTTGCTCTCTAACATTCTTTTTACTAACATTTCAGGAAATCTGGTCTAATGTTCTCTCTCCCTCTCCTTGTCCCTTTTCCTAGTCCCCACCGAAAGGTGCCACCATTCCCTATCGCCCAAAGCCCGCCTCCACCCCTGTCATTTTTGCAGGTGGTCAGGTAAGAGCCGACCCGCTTGCGGCCTCCACTGCCAACCTCAGCCTTTTACTGCAGCACCAGCCGCTGCCCGTTAGTGCTCTCAGGTTTTCTTGTCTTTTCACTTGCATGATGTCATCCCACTCATGTTGCACCAAAGCACTTGGACTCAAAGCTCTTTATTGAACACAGGGTGTAGCTGCTTCGTCCTCCAGATAAGAGGCATGAAAGCCATTTAGCACAGCTAAAGCTAATAGATAGTGGCTTCTGGTTCAAACAATACTCTCTACTGATCTCCTCCTTAAGCACAACATTGGAAAAGAGAATGAAGCTTCCTCTCCTGCTCTGTAGCCACTCTTGAGTGGGATGTTTGAATAGGGTGTATGTGTCCATTAACACGAATGGGACAGCAGGAATGATAGCTCATTAGGAGTGGGGTAGTTAGACAGTTACTGAATCTCTAAGCCACCCTATAACAAAAGTTATAAGGTAAAATCATGGGCATCACATTTGATTTTGTTCATTAATGTCACACCCCAATGTGAGTGTCTAGTGGCTTGAGACAAGCATGTTAGGTGCATGGGAAGGCATGTTTTTGCTGACATGAACAGGAGAACAAACCCTAGAGGACAAGATCCTCAATAAGGACGCAATTTAAGGTGCTTTGCGGGGTGTGCTTGCAAGTGCTTTGACTTGCATAGTAGTTCATTTTGTCCTGCAATTTTTGAGCGTATGCTTATTTTAAGAATTTCAGTGCTCACAAAATCACAAAGATTACACAGAAGTGCATTAAAGAGTTCAAAAAGCAGATTTAAAAATAAGAGAAATGAGATCAAACATAAAGCATATCTCAACAGAACTCTAAATGTTTCTGTGCTAAATAGTATTGAATAGCCATGTTTGAGCAATAAATGCAAATTTGATAAGCTTCAAAAGACATTCCAAGTGCACAGGGGTCTGTTTGAAATTTTTGTCTCTTCATTATTTAACTAATTTCAGTACAATTACTCAGTTTTCTCCAGGGCCATTTTACATTAGCATCTAATTGAAATATTTTTTCTCATTGTGACAGAGTCCAAAAATGGTACTCACAATGAAAAAGCAGTGCAGTAGATTAAAATAAACTAATCATGTGTTTGAGTCTCCAAATCTTGACATTAAACTCAGGCTGTAAATTAATGGAACCAAATAACACATTACGCTGGACTTCCTTCTGCAAAAAGCTTTCACAAGGGAGACTGATTTGAGAGATTCAGCTCACAAAAAATGTGCCAGGTTGTTTTTCCTTGCACTTTGAGAGGTGGGATTTAAGTTGGGTGGTTAGCAAAGGCACTTCCCTGTGCCATGAACCCAGTCCAAATCACACCACCACCTCTGGGCTACTTTTTGAAGAAGAAAATTATGTGGGAAATTCCAGATACAGAATTCCAACATACCATGCAGTTTGGCTCTGTAAAAGAACCAGTTCATTTTTGTATCATACTTGATATTTTAGCAGACAAAATAAAAATCATAAGTGTATGCTTATTTAATGGATAAGAGTCCACCAAAATCATAACCAGTGCTATTGATTGCAAGAAAAGTATGGAACCACATGATGCAAACACATAAATTCACAGCAAGATTAGAAATAATTAAATGTTTTATAAGCATATTCTTGCAAGTTGCCAAGTAGTAAAACTGGAAAATTCATGTTGTTCCTCCCATTTGAGTTAATGAACAGCATTTGCATACTCATACCTCACCAACTAAATAAATCTCTGCAGATTTTATCTACCTAGATATTGTGCCTGACCACAAATGTTACCTCTGTTCTGTGCATTCATGCTGATTTTTGGGAGGATAAAAATGCCATAATGGCCCCTAACACTTCTTTATCACTCTTTACCCAGTATTTGATCCATGATGCCTTTTCTCTAAAATAGCAACCTAATGAAAGAGCTTTGGGTCCAGCTTATGCTTCTCAAAAGGGAGAGTAAGACAGAAGGAACACTGCCAAATCATACTAAGAAATAAAGTGTTTGGGATCCTCATCTGTTGATCTGTTATGAAGGCTAGGGAGGCCCAAGCAATAGCAGCCTGCTTCTTTGTCAGGGCTACCAAGACAGTTAACAATACAATTCAGTACAAAATAGAATAAAAAACAATGCACTAAGGTATAGGATGGAACCAAATGGGTGTTGGGATCCACCCAGCAAAGAAAAAGGAGGTGATTTTTAATTGCAGTCCCATCTCCTAATTCTCCTAATACTTCTGCAGGACTCCTAATTGGGTGTGTGTGTGTTGCAGGGTGCTATGAGGGGACTAGAAATTGCTGAGAATTGCTTCCCTCCTCCCCTGTTCCGCTGACAGATGCCCGCAGACACTCATAGCTCACATCACAATTCAACATCTGGCAAAACAAAAGCATGGCAAAAACAAAATCCATTTCAGCTGTCAGTGAATACAGTGTTTGGCACATGAGAACAGTAGCTCCTAACATAGAAAGGTAGGTGCCTTGTGCAACCCTTTCCCGATGTCTTCTGAGGAAATTATTGCTAAATCCTCAGATCTCGCAAATTACCTTTTTGGTGTCATCCAAATTGAACAGCAACCCATTTTAGAAGGCATTCTATGTTTCCTTATATACACAAAAATGGCATATGCATTTGGGTGCGTATAGGGGATTGATTGTTTTAGTATAGCATACTTTGATCTGAACTGCAGAACAACCAGCATTGGAGCTACGGTGGTAAAAGCTGGCTTCTCCTTTCAGTCAAGCTTCCAGGAGATTTGATTTCCAAGTCAGGCTTAGGCAAACTTTGCCAGTATCACTAACAAATATTTGGGAATGTGTACATTTAAGGGTGTATTAAAATGAGGGAAAACGTTTAAATTGAAAAGGGGCGAAACCAGTTGATTTGGAAATCAATATCTGGCAGCGTTTCCAACCCAAGTCTCAAGCACTGCTCAGTTCTTTTCAGCCTCCATTTCTGACTCTAATTTGAGGATTTCCCCTTTCTCAAACTTTTACTTCTTAAATCCAGTTCCTTTTTTTCAAAGAGCTAAATATCTATTTTCCTTTGCTGTTATTACTCTCCCTTTGCAAGTGGTTGTCCATTTTTATCCCATTTATACTGGAATTGTCTTTAAATCACTTTAACTTATAAGAAATGCCTTCCTGAACAATAAGCTTCTTTGGCAGAAAGGCATCTTTAGTTGTAGTTATTTATACAGTGTGTTGTTCATTTCCATTATATTCAAGAAACAGAAAAGGGTTTATTTTAGGGCAACTGCAAAACTTTATTTAGAAATTCTTGATATAAAACAAGGCAGACTCTTAAGGTTGTATCCAGTGAAATTATTCCGTTAGCTCAGGCACTTCTGCCTGTGGATCAGGACTTCCTCTCCCTGTGTGCCCTCAACCCTCTAAAGCAGATTTGGGGAAACACATGGGGAGAGAAGAGTGAGGGATGCCAACATTAGCCCTAGTGCTAATAGGAAGATTTTGTTGGAGACAGCCCTCAGATTAAGAGATTAATATACACTTCTGAACCAAGAGCCTGGCTCACTCATAAAAAGTACAGCTGTGCATTTGTGTTGTCTCTAGTTTAGGATCATGTAAAATACATGTGTGTAGAAAATGGGCTAATATTGCATATTTATAAACCAACTACGTGGAAGAGGAACTGTTCTTCTCCAGGATGTGAGACTGGGATTTTGCATCATCTGTGCACTAATGCTAACTGTATAGCATTAGAGACTCCTTAGCAGCTGACATGTCCCATTCTAGGCTATGGTCTTATGGAATTCTAGTGGAGTAGCTGTGACAAATTAATGTGAATTTTAGACTGGGTGCTTTGCTTTGATGTGGCACATTTTGGTGCGTTCTCCTATCAGCATTCATGTCTGAGCAAGCTTCAGAAGGTGAATATTTGAGATCTAAGATCATGGCTTTTGAGAGAAGCTACTGGAAAATGTTGGACATGGGGATATTTAGCCCAGCCATAAACTCATGGGGGGGGGTTGCTCCTGTCTCTAACAACTAACAAGGGCAAAGTGCTTTTATATGACTTGAAGTGGGCCATTAATACAACAAGGGGCTTGTAGTCCAACTTCAAAAATTCCATTCATGCAGTAAACACAGCGTGTAACAGAAATGCACAAGAAATATTAGAGCTGTTGTAAACTACTTGCAAACTACGTGGCCAAGCTACGTTGTCCACAAGAATGTATGGCAGTCTGCATACATGAAGTAACCCTAATATTGCCAAACCAGGGGATTGTGCAACTGAAAGGCCACACTACAAAGCTTGGGGGCTTCTCCAGCTTGGGGGGTCAGAAGTTCTGTTTGACAGGACTAGGCACAGGTCACTGCTCAGAACTCCTGCTCCGCTTGATCCATTCTGAAGTGATCTTAGCAATGCAATTTTTTTATTTTGGGTAGGAATGAATGTGGGGGAGGATGATTGAGGTCACAGTCATTAGTTCTGCCCCAATACTTCTTGCATTTGCACAGAAGTCTCTGCATGTACACCTGAATGTGTGTACGCTTTCTACATGTGAACCCTGGGGAAAAATAAGGGCTTGGACCACCTGCAAAAGACACTCTGATGGACCTATGGGTATAGAGTGGTTAATAATAATAATAATAATAATAATAATAATAATAGTCATTTCTACCCAGAATAAATACTTGAACAGGATGTCAATTCACAGAAGCAATTCCTCTGATGATCTGCTGTGTCTTATCATTGGTGTCTTGAGGCAGTAATATTGGATGGACCTCTAAGAATGAAGAGATGAAATATGCACTGAATCTGTGCAATATAATTGTCATACCAAACAGCAGCTTACTGGGGGTAGAGTGGATATGGGGGTAGAGTGGATTAGAGACAAAAGAGAGAGAGATAGTAAAGATGTCACCAAGTGATTTTTCTTATTATGCAATGATCACTGGAACATGTTGAGATGCCACAGACAAATGAGAAGACTGAAACTCACCATGTGCTGGCCCAATTCACATTTCCTCAGTTGAGACATTCTGTAGTAGCTCTCAATCTTCTCGCACATCTGTGTTGTTTCAGAGCATTCAAAACTGACAGAAGTGGACTCACCTGTAGTGGCCTTTGTGTATCAGCATATGTGTGTCAAACTCTGAATTAATTGTTCAGTCTCCTTAACCACAGCTTAATCTTTGTCCGTATGTGGTCCGCTCCCTGGTACACATTTGGTCTGAGTAAACCAGTTCCACAGATATTATACCATGCAGAATGCCAGTTCTGCAGTTATAAATAAGGCTGAATTTGACATTCCATATTGAACACTAGTGGAAGTTTTAAGTTTTATGACATTCTTTGATAATGAAGGCTCAAGAGCCCTTACAGTGGGCAACTGGCTCTCAGTTTTATTAAATGTTTCATTAGGTACATACATTTTGTCACTGTATATGACAGTGTATTTGATATGAATGTCTAAATCTGTCTAGAAGAACAGATGAGCTTAAGATTCTTGGTGTATTACCATAGGGATGAGAGAAAATTATAAAACCAATTAATTCCCTCCAACTGTGGTGTAAGTAGTCACTAGAAACTACTGACAAATTCTTACACTGTGTGTTGTTTCTCTCTTGCAGGCCTATACAATTCAGGGACAATACGCTATTCCACACCCAGATGTGAGTTTTACCTTCATTGTTTGTATAAGAAGTTTGCTTTCTTATGTCATCTGCATGCTACTGCCAAATGCAACAAATATTAATATTAGAAATTAATATTAATACAACTTTTCTCAATGTAAATGGCCGTGTGTAGTATTGGTATTAGCCTTTAACCTATTAGCACTCAACTATACTTCTGCTGAGGACTTGGCCTGTTGTGAAATTATTGAAATTATTCTGTGCTATCCCTTTGCTACATTGTGCGTGTGTAAGTGTGTGTACAACACACAAACACACACACACAAATATGCATTTTGTGCCTCAAATATTGGCCATTCAAAACCTTTCCCTCTGCTTCTCCTTCCTCATAAATTGCCCACAAACAGATGCACCATTCTAAGTTATACATTTGCTTATTTGATAATATAGAGAATATACCCGGAATTGTTAAACATTGTGTGCTTCTCTCAGACTTCACTTCCTGAGTGATTCTACAATCTGTCATTGTAGATATCCTCAGTTATAATGGAAAAGATGTCTGAATACCTGATGATGCTGAAACCCTTCCTCCCAAACCTAGGGGAAAGAAATCATGTGTAAAGTTGGTCATTGTTATTCATGTTCTGGCACCCTGTCCATGGAGGAAAGTGAACAGATATATACTTAGCAAAGGTTTGATTTGTTTCTTATGCATCATCATCTCTGAAAAGAAATATAAGCCACACCTAGACATAATCTTCTAATGTTATTTGGAAATGTTTCTTTGGTGAGGTTAGAGATTGGCGGAGAGAATAAATTTGAATTGGGTGGCACCATTCCAGCCTACAGGAGGGAGCTCAGTTTTACTTCTTCTTCTTCTTAAACAACTCTTGTGTTTAGCATAACATGAAGAAGCATTCCAGCTTTGCCTTCTTCTGGAAATGAGAAGGCATCTTTTCGTATGGAGATATGTGGGCCTTCACCTGTTATCTGAAGTGGTATAACCAGGTCTGAGCCAAAACATCTAAATAGACAATATTTTTTTTAAAATTTCCTTTTGGGGGGCTTACTGCCAATGATGGAGAATTTCAGGCAGAGGGGAGACTAAACAGTGGGAAACCTCTCCCACTTCTCCACCCACATATAAGGTGGGAAAATTTGCTTGCAACAGTCAATCCAACCCAATATTAGTATTATGAATATTGTTGAAAGTAGCCATGGCCTCCACCCCTTCCAGTCTCACACCTTTAGCTCATTGCACACTTCATCTATCAATAGGAACAAACTATAGAGTTTCATTCAACAAATGAAACTGTTGAATGGTGCAAAATGGTGAAATGTCTATCACAGCCTTACAGCCCAGAAACAGCATGGAGAGGTACTTTTTGCTCAGTTTTGGGGGCAACCCAGACTCTGGCCTAGAGAGAACGCGGCCTCAAGTTTTGCATTGGTCTGAGGATATGGGTTTGCAGTAGCAGCAGCAGCAGTAGGAGGAAGTTATTTTGGACAGTTTTCTTTTTGCATTCAGCTGGGTTGTATGGCTCACAGTGGCACAGTGCCGTGTCTTCTGTCAGGTAAGCCAAGTGGCAGGAAAAATTTGGAAAGGAACTGAAGATAATAATAAGGAACCTACCACTGTGCCCAGTGTATAGCAGGGGCATGAATATTGTGAACAGGAATCTTCACCTCACCAAATACATCTCTAATCAGAAATGGTACAGAAAACACCAAAAATTAGAAACACTTTTCAGATGATGAAAAGTTAACTCTTTAGGTTAAAAAGTAGGAGGCTCATACCCTACAGATCCTATGTGGCTACAGTTGGGTCTATTGACTTGTTGTGAGGAGGACCTTGTTGAGAGGACCTGAAGTGTCTGTTAGACAAGGCAGTGGGGATAATCGTGGTGGGAATAGCCACGAAATAAGGCTGGCACTGCTGTTGGCTTTCATCTCAAGCCACCCTCTCATCCTCAGACAGGAATGTACAAGTCCTCTTCCTGCTACAACATAAAATATTCCAGTTAAGCTACTAACCAAAGGGGAACTTCCTAATAATAGATTTACACAGCAACCAGAAAGCCAGGATTACACTGCTTGCTTCATTAATTCAAGTGGTTGAAATAGCAGGGCATCATGTGAAGGGCAAAATTCTGCTACATTAAAAAAAGAGAGACTTCCTTAGTGGTCCTGTAATAGATTTGCATCAGAAGGCAGTTCATAACCTCTAAAAGTCAGAAATGGCAAGAGCATAGGGACTACGGCAAAGGATGTCACAGGCATTAGCCAAAAGGTACTTGTGACATTTGTACAATTTTTTTAAAAAATGACCAGAGCTTTGGAAAGTAGCACATTTTCCTAGAAACAAAATATTGCAGTTTGAAAGCTGGAAAAGTCAGATATCTCTACAAGACAAACATTACTCCCAGGGGAAACATCTCTATCTTACGCAACTGACAAATGACAACTTGTGCACTCAATGCACAAAACAAAATAAGTAATTTAGGTTGCCATAGGCTTGCAGTGCAGAGAAAATTAGACTCACTTAATTCCCATTTCAGGAGGGCTTAATATAGAACTTGTCTTTCTGCAGATTGCTTCTCTGGCAGTCCTTTTTCTGAATACTGTATTTGTGCATATATTTATATGATTGTATTTGACTGGAAAAGGACACGGTTCTCTTGCTGCACCAGGACAGTTTCAACTAACTAATGAGGAAAATCCCAATGCTTTTTCCTGCTATGTACCGTATTTTTTGCTCTATAAGACTCACTTTTTCCCTCCTAAAATGTAAGGGGAAATGTGTGTGCGTCTTATGGAGCGAATGCAGGCTGCGCAGCTATCCCAGAAGCCAGAACAGCAAGAGGGATTGCTGCTTTCACTGCGCAGCGATCCCTCTTCCTGTTCTGGCTTCTGAGATTCAGAAATTATTTTTTTTTCTTGATTTCCTCCTCCAAAAACTAGGTGCGTCTTGTGGTCTGGTGCGTCTTATAGAGTGAAAAATACGGTAATTCTTTGTTCTGCTGAACTTGTAGGCCAGGCCAGCCATAAATAAAGATTCTCCCTGCACATTGCTGTGACCCTAAGTGAACTCGAGGATCACACCCAGAGCCTTGCCATTTTCATTTATTCTTGCTGGAATGTTTAGATTCTTGAGCAGTTTCTATTAATCTGTCTATGGTGTAGTTAAATAAATACCAATGCATTGTGGTGGTGGGGGGACTTATAAATTTATGTTAGAAAACACATTTGCCAAAAGGTTCTTATTACCTTTTTCTGTTTTGTGAGCATTGCATACATTGATTTCCTAATCTTCCACTGACAGTGTTCAACTTAACCATTTTTTCCAGTTAAGGTTTACTTTATAGCCCCAAGGTTATAAAATAGCCTAGTGTGTTATATCAATTGTTTGATTTATCACAGAAGCATCAACATCATGAGATGGCGCACTGAGATTTTATACACCAACCCTTCTTTCAAAATTGTTTTGCCTTCGAATTAAAGGAGTTTAGCTGATTAGTTATCCGGTGCTTTAAAAAATCTGTCTTATAACTGTTCTTCTTGGAGAAGGAGCCTCCCCACCCCCCACCCTGCCATTTTGGCACGGGGTCCATCTCCCCCCTCAGACCTTATGCTATAGCTGCTCCATTCCTCTCAACTCTTGGTGGAGCATTTTCAAGGGGCTGTTAAGGGAAGTCCAGTTTTCACCATATTTAATTCTGGATTGAACCCATTATGTTAAAAAGTATTTTGGATTTACTAATGAAAAGAATGACCCTATTTTCTTTCAAAATTATTTCCACTGCACTGAATAAAAGCCACATCTGGTGAAGTGGCTAGAAAATGTAGAAGAATATGCCACCCAGTGGGTTGAGCAAGACGAAGAAATTACACTGATCAGGAAATGCTGTGTCTCTCCTAGGAGACAGAAAGAGGACTTTCAAAGGAAACTCTCTATAGCTTTGAAATCTCTATAATTTCCTTTTTTATATATTCCCACAGACCTTTTTATTAAATCTACTGCTCTTACTACCAGAATTAGTGTGGCTGCATGTGGTGTTGTTGTTGTTGTTTGGTCGTTTAGTCGTGTCCGACTCTTCGTGACCCCATGGACCAGAGCACGCCAGGCACTCCTGTCTTCCACTGCCACCCGCAGTTTGGTCAAACTCATGTTTGTAGCTTCGAAGACACTATCCAACCACCTCGTCCTCTGTCGTCCCCTTCTCCTTGTGCCCTCCATCTTTCCCAACATCAGGGTCTCTTCCAGGGAGTCTTCTCTTCTCACCGCATGTGGTATAGGATAAGCCTAAATGAAGAAAGGTAGTGGAAATGGACAAGAAATCAAACTGTTATGAGCAGAAACCATGCAAACTGGACAAGGAGGGTACAACAGGAAAAATGGTTCATTGCCTCCTTTCAGTACAACTGTGTGGGAATCAGGCTGCCTCTGACCTCAGGAACATAGATAATTTGCTCTGAAAGATGCATTTCTTAAGGGTAAATTTCAATACATGCCAGACTTTTGAGGGTGATATTTGCTTTGAGTTTCATTTGAAAAGTATTATTATTGGAGTATTATTATTGGAGAGCCAGTGTGGTGTAGTGGTTAAGAGTGGTAGTCTCGTAATCTGGGAAACTGGGTTCGTGTCTCCGCTCCTCCACATGCAGCTGCTGGGTGACCTTGGGCCAGTCACACTTCTCTGAAGTCTCTCAGCCCCACTCACCTCACAGAGTGTTTGTTGTGGGGGAGGAAAGGAAAGGAGAATGTTAGCCGCTTTGAGACTCCTTAAAGGGAGTGAAAGGCGGGATATCAAATCCAAAACTCTTCTTCTTATTATTAGTTACTTTAGGTTCTGATTTCTATCTGTGAGCTTCTTTAAAAGTGGAGATAATTTGCATGCCATTTTCTTCTGGTGTTTTGCTTGCCAACTCTGACAATGGATTGAAAGCTCTATTTTTCAAACTCCCCTTTACCTTCCTACCTGTCTTCTTGAATAGCCTCCCAGGTGTTCTGCCTTCAGTGCTTCACCCTGACTATTACCAAACCAATGTCAGACTTCCCTGCATCCCTTCCCTCCAATATGCTGCAGGAGCAAGAGTTTTCCAGTTATTTTTGCCCAGAATTGAAAGTATAAGCTTCCCATGCCTTGCATTTCAGGGGGCTGGCCTGACTGGCTTGGTAGTATGTTCCTATGGCTGATTTGTTGTTCCCATGCCATCTAAAGCAGGGGTGGCCAATGGGGTGCCCTTGAGATGTTGCTGGACTTAAGTTCCTGTCATCCCTGAGCATTGACCGTGTTGGCTGATGGGAGTTGGGAGTCCAACAACGCCTGGAGTGCACCACATTGCCTACCCCTGAGGAATCGTATTACTCCCCGAGCCTGCACAGCAAAATTTTGAAAGTGGACATGCTTTGCCATTATTTTCCTTCTTGGGTAATAGCAGAGATGCCGCGCAAAATGTATTCCAGATGCACTCCTCTTTATGAGCTCTTTGTTAAGGGGCTCTTAGAAGTCTCTGAGCACAACAAGGGATGAACGGGGTCTGAAATACATACCTATTTTGGCCAAACCCACACACATTGGACTTTTCACCTGGCCTACATACGTCCTAAACCCGCACTATTGCTTTGGTCCCTAGAACGTTTCCTGCCTTGGGTACAAATCCCAGCTCCAGTTCAGGAGCAGTTAGCTCCTCTGCTAAGGTGCCCAACTTGCTGCTGAAAGTGCTTTATGTGTGCACTCTTGGTGGTCCAGATGTTTCCCAGTTTTGTTCCAGAAGATGCAAGGCAGAATTTTATTTAGTTGTTTTAGCTACAGGGATAAAAACACCAAAACTAGGCTGCTGTATTTCAGACCCTGATCGAGCACAACTGCCACAGATTTGGGCATTACTGTATTTACCCAGGCCAAGTCCTTCTGTTAAAGCTGTGTTTGCCATGTTTCCACATGGCTTCCTGGTGTTTTTTTTCCTTTTAATTATAATTTTGTTCTTAGTTTTTGGTGTGACTTGTATTCTATAACAATAACCTTCTTAGTTCTAATGTCCCTCCTACCCCTCAGCAGTTGACCAAGCTCCACCAGTTGGCTATGCAGCAAACCCCCTTTACTCCCCTTGGACAGACCACCCCCGCTTTCCCTGGTACGTACCCAAATACCCTTTACAGATTTCCTTCTCTTCTTACCTATGCAGTTTCTCTTTCTTTCTAAGTTCAATTTGTTTAACGGTTTTTTAAAAAATAGGATCTGTAACCAAAGTTGCAAGTATCAGTTTGAGATATGTTAAAGCACTAGAATAATAATCCAGTTTTTTCTTCATTGTGGGTATGAGTTCAATCCACTCATGGGCATTTTTATCTACTTTGCTCTTTACCTTGCTGAGAAATAGACAGGTTATGCGTCTGCAAGTCACCTGCTCATTTTGTCTGCTGCAAGACATCCATGTGGCCAACAACACTTTGTTCATGGGGGCATCGAAAGTGTCAGTTGAGAGGATGCAAATTCCTTCTAGTTCTCTGTCATGGTTTTGGTCACTGTTTGGTCACTGTTTCATTCATGTATTCAAAGACATGAATTCATTGTTAATTAATGTTTAGCAGGTGAAGCTCATGCTTTCATGAGAAATACTGAGAGGGAGCCGTTACTCTAGTGGATAAGCCCTTTATTCGAAGCATGGCGAAGACTTTAAGGGCTTCTGACAGAAACTTAGTAGGTGCTATTGTGCCTCACAAATGTTAGTAAATTATTAAGTAAAGTGAAATCATTTCAACAGAACACTCAATTAGTAGATACTACATTCCATGTGTTACGTGTATCTATTTAATATATCTTCATGTCATTTGGGCGATCACAAAATGCGTGTTCTGCCATTTTGTTCATCATATTTTGAGCTTCCTAGATGAAGTGACATTGCTTATCTCCTTGAAGGCAAAAAACATTAAATCTGTTTCTTCTTTGCTCTTCAGGAGAAAAGCTGCCCTTACATTCCTCCGAAGAAGCTCAAAATCTGATGGGCCAATCATCAGGTAAAACAAAGGCTATAGGCAAATACACAGGGTACTATTTGCATTTATAAATATTTTTTCAATTGGATTCTGCCACTTTTGTAGCCACTTACAAATTGACTGCTCAAGTTATGCTGATGAGATAGTTTGACTCTCAGTGGGCATTAATATGTTAGTATAACATAATATGAACTGCTTAAGCTATAATGGTATACAGTGAATCCTTTTTCTTTTTAGAAAAACACTGGGATAAAATGAAATTGCAGAACTGAAATGTCTCCTCTTTTACAGAATAATTGCTCTGTATAAGAACAGGATTTTGGCTCCTCCTGCTTTCTGTTTTCAGTCAACCTGTGAAACTACTCTCCTCTAAGCCTCTCCAGCGTCCTATCAGTGGGTTTTTATAAGCACTGGCCAGGATCCAAAACTCATGCAACTAGTTCTGTGCGCCTTAGTGAGCTTTGGGTTTTTGTACATTGAACAGCAACCCTCCACTTGACACACTGCTTTCAAACCTGATATAATAATAAGAAGAAAAATGTATTATTTATACCCCACCCATCTGGCTGGGTTTCCCCAGCCACTCTGGGCAGCTTCCAACAAAAAATTAAAATACAATAATTAATCAAATATTAAATCTTCCCTAAAGGGGGCTGTCTTCAGATGTCTTCTAAAAGTCCAATAGTTGTTTATTTCTTTGACATCTGACGGGAGGGTGTTCCACAAGGCGGGTGCCACTACCGAGAAGGCCCTCTGCCTGGTTCCCTGTAACTTCGCTTCTTACAATGAGGGAACTGCCAGAAGGCCTTCGCCGCTGGACCTCAGTGTCTGGGCAGAACAATGGGAGTGGAGACACTCTTTCAGGTATACTGGGCCGAGGCCATTTAGGGCTTTAAAGGTTAGCATCAACACTTTGAATTGTTCTCGGAAACGTACTGGGAGCCAATGTAGGTCTTTCAAGACCGGGGTTATGTGGTCTCGGCAGCCGCTCCCAGATGCCAGTCTAGCTGCCGCGTTCTGGATTAGTTGTAGGTTTTGGGTCACCTTCAAAGGTAGCCCCACATAGAGCACATTGTAGTATCTATTATTATTATTATTATTATTATTATTATCTACCAAGCGGTAGATAATCAAAGCATGCGCCACTCTGGCAAGACAGTCCACGGGCAGGGTCTCAGTCTGCGTACGAGATGGAGCTGGTAGACAGCTGCCCTGGACACAGAATTGACCTGCTCCTCTATGGACAGCTGTGAGTCCAAAATGACTCTCAGTCTGTGCACCTGGTCCTTCAGAGGGACAGTTACCCCATTCAGGACCAGGGAGTCCTCCACACCTGCCCGCCACCTGTCCCCCCCAAAACAGTACTTCTGTCTTGTCAGGATTCAACCTCAATCTGTTAGCCGCCATCCATCCTCCAACCGCCTCCATACACTCACACAGGACCTTCACTTCCTTCACTGGTTCTGATTTGAAAGAGAGGTAGAGCTGGGTATCATTTGCATATTGATGAACACCCAGCCAAAACTCCCTGATGGTCTCTCCCAGCGGCTTCATGTAGATGTTAAAAAGCATGGGGGAGAGGATGGAACCCTGAGGCACCCCACTAGTGAGAGCCCAGGGGTCTGAACACTCATCCCCCAACACCACTTTCTGGACACGGCCTAGGAGAAAGGAGTGGAACCACTGTATGGCAGTGCCCCCAGCTCCTAGCCCCTCTAGATGGTCCAGAAGGATGTCGTGGTCGATGGTGTCAAAGGCGGCTGAGAGATGCAGCAGAACTAGGAAACAGCTCTCACCTTTGTCCCTAGCCCGCCGGAGATCAGCGACCATTGCGACCAAGGCAGTTTCAGTCCCATGGTTGAATCCTGACTGGAAGGGATCCAAATGGTCTGCATCCTGCAGGCGTGCCTGGAGTTGTTCAGCAACCACCCACTCAATCACCTTGCCCAAGAATGGAAGATTTGAGACTGGGCAATAGTTGGCCATAAAGTTTGTTTTTTTAAGAAGCGGTTTAATTACTGCCTCTTTCAGTGGGTCTGGGAAGGCTCCCTCACAGAGAGAAGCATTCACCACCCCGCGGAGCTCATCGCCCAGCCCTTCCCAGCTCGCTTTTATGAGCCAGGATGGGCAAGGATCAAGGAGGCAGGTGGTTGGTTTCACTCGTCCAAGCAGTCTGGCCACATCCTCGGAGGTAACAGACTGGAATTGATCCCACGCAAGTTGACTAGACAGGACTCTAGCACTGTCCCGCCCTAGCCCTGCTCCCATGGTGGCATCTACCTCCTTCTGAATCTGAGAGACTATATCTGCAAAAAAAACCTGCAAAATCATTGCAGCAGATCTTGGGGCCTTTACCGGTCTCCTGCTGCTGTTTCCTGCAGATGCAATAGAGGCGGTGAAGAAGGTCCTCTTCGTCGTCGCTATTGCCACTTGGTAGGCTCAATGTTGAGCTCTAACCTGTGTCCGGTCAGATTCAGAATGAGTTTTCCGCCACTGGCGCTCTAGCCATCTCAGTGATTGTTTCATCACCCTCAGCTCCGAGGAAAACCACGAGGCTGTCTGGGCTCCATGCAATCAGAGATGGCGCTTCAGAGCCAGACAGTCAATAGGCCTGGTTAGCTCCACCAGGGACACCAGGGAATCAGCTGAAAGGCCATCAACATCCCCTACCACTCTCTGGAAACCATTTGGATCCATTAAGTGGCGGGGGCAGACCATCCGAATCAGTCCCACCTCCCTGCAGAGGGGAAGGGTCGCGGAGAAGTCCAGTTGCACCAGGAAGTGATCTGACCATGGCACTTCTTTTGTTTCGCTTTTACTTAGTGTCAGATCACCCACATCCATAGAGGTGAACACCAGGTCTAAGGCATGTCCGTGACTATGAGTTGTGCCAAACTTATTCAGGGACAGCCCCATGGAGGCCATGCTTTCCACAAAGTCCCGAGCGGCCCCTTGTAAGGTTGTGTCGGTGTGGATGTTAAAATCCCCCAGGACAACCAAACTAGGTGTCTCCAGGAGAACATCCGCCACAACCTGAAGCAGCTCGGACAGGGAATCCTTGGTGCAGCGGGGAGGTCGGTACACCAAAAGGAATCCTGTACTGCCCCTATTGCCCAACTTCCACTCAGAGAACTGGGTCTTCCCAATAGGACGCCTGGTGCAAACTAATGACTTCCTAAAAATCACTGCAACCCCCCCTCCCCGCCCACATGACCTGGGTTGCTGTGTGTAAGAGAAACCTGGTGCACAAGCAGCGGCAAGGACAGGCCCATCTGCTTCATCCAACCAAGTATCTGTTACACATGCCAGGTCAAATCCTCCATCCATGATCAAGTCATGGATGGCAGTGGTTTTATGAATCATTGACCTGGCATTGCACAGCAGCACCTTCAGGTCATGTGGGTATCCCACGACCTGAAGCAGCTCGGGCAAGGAATCCTTGGTGCAGCGGGGAGATCGGTACACCAAAAGGAATCCTGTACTGCCGTATTGCCCACTTCCAGAACATGCACTCAGAAAACTGGGTCTTCCCAATAGGACACCTGGTGCAAACTAATGACTTCCTAAAAATCACTGCAACCCCACCACCACCACCATATGACCTGGGTAAAATCCCCCCACCAAGCGTCTATTTGGTGTGAAAAGTCACAAGAGCCATATGAATACTTTCATGTTTTGCAGCACAACTTGTGTTAGAGAGGGATTCTGATAAAGAATAGCATTACAGGAGAATATGGTTAAAGCCCCCTCCTGAGCACCAGGTTTCCAATATAAATTGGGATTTAGTTTACTTTTTAAAATGGTGTCTCAGCTCCAGAGGCAGCCAAATGTTGCTGCTTACCTGTGTTTTTTTCATCTGGGTCCTGAACCTAGTTTTGGGACTATTGGTGAACAATCTGTGCTATAAGCTGGTCACGGGGAGTGTGCCTGGATGTTGTTCTGTGAGATGAAGCCTGGAATGCCTTGGGACCATGGGGCTTGGGAGGAAGAGTTTGACTTTCTTCCCCTACCATGATCCCAGGAAAAAGCACCTCTCCGAAGTTGTTTCTTGCATTTCAAGGGAAGCTCTCATTGGTGCTATCAGAAGCTTCCCTTGAAAGGCAGAGAGCAGCTTCAGAGGAGGAGAGTGGGCCTGTCAGGGACAGAGGTTCCTCCTTCCTCTCAGTCCTATGCCTGTTCAGGTTTCCCCATGTCTGCTGTTCACTTGTTGAAAATGTACATGCTAATTGCATTCAGGCAATAAATGTCACATCTGGTTAAAATTAACAATGGCAAATATTCACATGTAATTTTCCTTGCTTATTTTCAAAAACAGCAAAATAAAACTTAAGAATTGAGTAATTATCTGTGAGCATTACGTAGACCAGATCTAAGATTTGCCCCTGATCTAACACTGCATGAACACAGGCTTCAGTGCTGGGAAGGCAAAGATACCGGTAGCTCTTTCAAGGAAGCCGGACTTCTGCTAATCAGCTCTGCTGGAAGGGAGGGAGGAGTCTGAGTTCAGTTCTCCACCAGATTGCTTGTTGGATGTTAGCAAATGGGCAAATAAGAAGTTGTTTCATTACAAGATCATGGAGAGGCAAATTGCCATATTAAAACTGGAAGCCTAAGGGATCACAGAAGTGAGTGATGAACTAGAGAATAAGCACGCTAACTTCATTTTCTTTAAATGTTGAAATTATAAGTCTTGCTTTTATTTCGCATTATATTGCTTGTAATTTGCAGCAGATCTGCTTCCAGGCACAGTCAAAGGGAGCAGCCTAAAAGGAAAGTTGTAGTTGAGCGTGCAGCCTTGAATCTTTGTGCAGTCCAGGGAATCTTTCCTTTCAATCTTATAATTATTATTAATAATAATAATAATACCCCGCCCATCTGGCTGGGTTTCCCCAGCCACTTATCTGAGGCCATTGTGGATAGGACATTAACTAATGCAAAACCTGGGCTGAAATAAATTGGATGAAAACCTCCAGACTGCGTCTTTTGCTGCAACATTTTATAAATCACACAGAGTGATACAGATACAGACCTCTTATTACTGCCTCTTCTTTGCAACCAGCCCCAAAAGAAACAAGGAAAGCTTCCCTGTCAGTGGGTGGGTCTCCAAATTTACACTTATTCTTTCAAATGAGTATCTGGAGCAAGAATGGGATATCTGGCCTTCCAGATGTTGTGAAACTCCCTCATCTCTGACCATTGTCCCTGTGGACTCAGGCCAATGGGAGTTGGAGTCTGGCAACATCTGGTGGGCCGACTACAGGTTCAGAATAATTATGTGAGAACTGTTAAGTTCCATGGAAAATCATATTTTTGCAGGCAAATATCCATCTTCTTTTGGGAGAAATTAATTATACATTCCTTGCTTTTTCAACATGGTGTTGAAATTGCATAAAGTAAATTTGGCACTGGAAATGTGCTGTATAAAGAGCGAATCATTATGACTGAGGTGGTCAGGGACATGTTTTCATTCTTCAAGTCATTGGGTTGGATACTAAGAACTTTGAGTGAAAGGAAAACATTAGTTAGCATTGTTCTGCAAATACTTGCTCAAAAGACCAAGAATTCACACCAGGCTTTATAGAACTTCTCACGCATTCACTTGTGCTACAGATTGTGCAAGGGGAACAACACGTCTGGATTTAGTTTCACTTTTCTTGCTGTAGTGTGAGGTGGAAAACAGCTGTTCTGTGACAGGTAGGTAGCCGTGTTGGTCTGCCATAGTCAAAGCAAAATACAAAAATTCATTCCAGTAGCACTTTAGAGACCAACTAAGTTTGTTATTGGTATGAGCTTTCGTGTATCTGAAGAAGTGTGCATGCACACAAAAGCTCATACCAAAAACAAACTTAGTTGGTCTCTAAGGTGCTAAAGAAGGATTTTTTTTAAGCTGTTCTGTGAGTGAGAGGCAGTTTTGCATATGGGGCAATTTGAGATGGAGCAAGTTACTTTGTGAAAGTTTTCACAGTTCTTTGAATTTTCTAAAAAAGAATACTGTGGTTTCAAATTGGGCACAACTTATTCAATATATATAGCATTACATATAAGGGTAGGTAGACTGTTTTTTGAGATGACAGCGTATAAATTAAAGGAGCAGATCAATATATATTTTAGTCATTGATTTCAAAGCAGAAATCTCTTGTCTTGCGACCTATTCCTACAAGAAATAAATGCAATAATAAAGACTAATAGATGTGGCAAAATACAGTAGCTACAGTGGGAAAGAGCTTGACCACAATCCCAGGGTCTGATGATAAGCTACAACAAACTTTAGCTTTGGGCCGGGGGTGGGGAGCAAAGCTGGACAGTCAACACATTTGCACAGTCTGGGTAAGCCAAAATTTCACTGACTGTGTTGCCTGAACTGCGCCAATTAATGAACACTCCCTGATTCAGTGAGCGGTCATCTTGTCAGCTCAAAAAATATTTCCTGTTTGTACTGCTTAAACCTGATTAATGCCATCATCAGGCTAAAGCGTTCATCTACTGTGGAATTGATGATGATGGACCTTGGACATTTGATTAGAAATTGAAACAATATAAGCTATTACAGCCGGAAGCATCAATGCTTCTGAATACCATTTGCTGGGAACCACAGGAGGGAAGAGGGCTCTTGTTCTGGAACCCTGCTTCCTGGTTCTCCATAATGGGCATCTGGTTGGCCACTGTGAGAACAGGATGCTGGACTAGATGGGTCATTGGCCTGATCCAGCAGGCTCTTCTTACATTCTTACTTGCTCATAGCGGCCAATATGACAGGAAATTTTGCTTCCCCCCTCCCCAGTTTATACCTTTGACCTTCACACCACTTACCTCTGGAGGACATTTGCAGTAGAACTCTATCCTTATATTGAGTTTGGTGTCAAGATATGTTCCATACTTGTCAGGGGCATCAGCATAATGCAAAGTGAGTAGCAATGTGGGAACCAATTTGTTTATGTTTGGCAACCAAAACAGCCTGGGTGGAGAGACTGAATACGATGTGCTTCACAAAATGGACTTCTGTGGCAGACATTGCATCGTGGTCTGGACGTGGTCTCCCCAACACTAACCCCAAGGTACCACAAGGTCCTGGCTGTGTTTTTGCTCCGTTGATTAACAGCAACTTTTTGAGCCAACTGTTAAGGAATGGTTTTATCTTTGATCCCGAAACGGAAGCAAGGTGAGGTGAGGATACGGTACCTATGGAGTTTGTAATGATTTGTATTAGAACCAAATGGGCAGGTTAAGAGAGAATTGATTCTAGGAGCTCTAGGTTAGTAATATTAGTGCTTTCCTTGTTACTTTGCCAAAACATGTTCCTTCCTTACCCTCTGGCCCTGGTGCAGTCTGAGAAATTCACAAGGTCTGCTATTTTGGTGGAATACCAGACGCTGTGCAGTGCTATGTCTTCAAGCTATAACCATTTTCCCTTGCATATGCTCAGGTTTGGATGCCAGTCCCCCGGCCAGTACTCATGAACTCACCATTCCCAATGATGTGAGTATCGCATCTCAATGCTCTCCATACCATTTTTAAAACATGTTTCTCTACAAATGACATCTAGGACATTTAGCAAAGCCCATGCATTAATTCCAGGCATATCATTTCAAAGTCTTTTAACAAAGTACAGTTACTAAACCGAAAGGGGTGGAATAAAGAATTGGGGAGGGGGATTGCCTTGGCAACCTTTCTTCAGTAGTCTAGTCCTTAGGAAATGGACTGACATCTCTAGAGAACAACACCATTTTCTGACCCTTTCTAGTCCTACAGCATTAGAGGTTTGCCAGCTGCAGACAGGTGCTGCCTCAGTAATTTCACAAGTTGCCTTATGGGATGAAAAGGGAGTTGTTTTCCTTGCCCATTCTGATCCTGACCTCCGTGCTGGGTGGTAATCAAAGCAGTTCAATTGGAGCTGAGCTGGAAAATGGTGGGACTTACTTTGTGCATAGCTGCCAACTTTTCCCTTTTCTTGCGAGTAATCCTATTCAGAATAAGGGAATTTCCCTTAAAAAAGGGAAAACGTTGACAGCTATGACTTTGTGGTGGGAGAGAAGTGGGAAGTGGGAGGAGTCGTGGCTCCGTTTCTTATTATCTGGGTACTGTATTCTAACAGGATAGGTTGTGCTTCGTTGACTACTTGTTCATGCAAATATTCCATTTGTTTCTAGATAAAAAGCAAGTAATTCCTCCCCTATTTTTAAAAACCAGTTTGACAGTTTATGAGAAACAGAACAGAACACATATAGTACTCCTTTTCAAATAGCCCCTGCAGAAATTCTACATTTGATGTCGTTTAGAAAGGTTTTCATGCTGGCTATTTATTTATTGTGACTTATTTCAGAGCACAGAAATGTAAATTGACCTCTCTTCCAGTCCACTCCAGCTGTGCTCATTTCACACATTATGAGTATGGTTTAGAACAGGAGTTCCCAAATGTTTTGGACCCAGGACAGCAGCACATTTGAAAATCTAAAAAACTGTCATGAGCACCACAAAACACTAATTTCACAGAAGAAAAAAGAGTTATAATAGCCCCCTGTCCCAAGCAGACAAAATACCTCCACCTTAAAAAAAATCAAATAAAACACAGAGGAGGGAAGTACACTCCCCATAACAAGCTGTCTGTCTGTCTGGAGGGACTAAGGGCCTTGGTGGACACCAAGGGTGGTTTCTGGGGGTACAGTGGCCCTGCCGTATGCACCACGTTGGAGACCCCAGGTCTGGAAACAGTTGAGAGCTAAGCAAGACAAAAACCACGGTGGAGTGCATTTTAGAAAAAGACAGTGAAAAGGGTCTGACTGAAGTTTCTGGACATGCGTTTCCAGCTCCATGAAATTGTGGTTTTGTATCTATTGGCTTGGAGAAAAGGTGCAATATAAATGTTATAATAAACAACGTAGAATATAGCTCTATCTTATTTGCAATTGTGAGCTTCCTGTCAATTTATTCTGGCTCATTAGAGGACCCTGCAAAGATTAAAAAGTTCCTATTTCAAACAGGCATAGGTCCTTCAGAGTCTCCCCTTCTCTGTACTTTTCTTATGAAATTTCCAGAGCCCAAATGTACTGTTAGTGTTGGTTGAATTGAAATACATAATTGTTTCTGGTATGCTTTTAATTTGTGAGGGCAATTTGCTTAGCAACAAACATTAATTCTCCCCCATTGAGCATGCAAATTTTGGCATGAACATACTCTTAAAAATTAATCTCAGTTATATTTAATTTGTTTGAATTCATCTTCCCTGAATATGGGAACCAAAACTCTTTCCCAGGTTTGTTCATTCATTCCCCGGGGCAAGCCATGACAGTCATCCCCTACAGAGACAGCATGACCACCATTAAAACCTCATGTATAGATGGTTTGCATTGTTTATCCATTATGCAAATGAAAGCAAACTGAGCTCTGGTTTCAGTTAATGTATGTGCAGGGACACTGTCTATCACAATTACATCAACACTCTTCTGTTCGGCATTCAATAAAACCTTAACAAAAATATTTAAGCAGGTTTCTAAAAATGCATACCTGCATCTGAAGGTGAACAAATAATGTGGCTGAGGAGGAAAAGGTGATGGAGGAATTCTGACTTGAGTGTTTCAGTTTAGTTTAGTTTAGTTTAGTTTAGTTTATGCCATTGATTTTTGAGCTTGGCATGCAACCTGAAATTTAGAGGCCGCCATAGTATATTTGAATGAGACAAAGACTTTTGGCTTTTTGAACAGCAAGTCATTATTAATTCTGGTGTCTTAAAGTGGTGTTATCCTCAACAACAATAAATGGGATGTTCTCTCTAGGACTAGGAGCTTCTTCTGAATCTGTAATCCAGTCTGGCTCCCTGGCCCATTATAAATGATCTGCCTCTGATCCTACAGAACAATTCTTCAGGAAATCTACCATTTAAAAGACCTATTTTTCTTTCTACTAACCTAAATTATATAGAAAGCAATACACTGTGGGCCGTTTCCAGAATGGCTTGTGTTATGTGTTTTGATTACAGCTGCTATTATAGCATATTCTCCAACACTTCACAGGTGAAAACCAGGGTGCTTATGAGTGTTACCCCATTTGCATGTTGAGTATACTGTGACTTCATGTTCTGGACAGATATAGGCATGAATATGCATTATTTTCAATATGCAAGCCATGCTCACTCAGTAAGATTCCATAGAAATACATCCATAGAGTTATGGAAGCAATTTATTTTTGGAGTATGAAAGGGACAATATTCTCTTCACCATTTGCTTCCGAGGTCCTATCATTGTTAGATTTCTCCCCAATACCTTGTTGCTTTCTGGTTGATAGGGCACAAGCTTGCACATCTTTCTATATTCTTACATGGTTCATAGAACCATAGAATAGTAGAGTTGGAGAGGGGCCCATGGACCAAGCTTCCACTTGAATCAGAAAATCCAGATGTGGTGTATTCCCAACAGATGACTGTCAAACCTCTGTATGAAGACCTCTAGCACACACACATACACATGCCAGCAATTGGTTCCATTGTCAAGTGGTCCTTACCAATAAGACGTTGTTCCTATCTTCTGTGATAGAAGCCCATTAGATCTAGCTTTGCCCTCCTAGGCAGAAGAAACCAAGTCAACACCCTCCTCTGTGTGGCAGCCGCTTTGGGTATTTGAAGTGTGCTTTCCTGTCCCTTCTCACCTTTTTTATTCATGTTACAAATGCCCAGTTCCTTCCACCTTTGCTGTCCATATCCCTGCATCTTCACTGCCATCTTTGGAACCAATTTTTCTACATCCTTCTTGTCATGTCTGACAAGTGCAGAACCAAGTGGAACCATTATTTTTCATAATGCAGCCTAAACTTACATCAGCTTTTTTTACACCCATATTCAGTTGCTGTTTGTAAAAACATTGTTGGATTTATTTGTATATTATTTAGATTTATGCCCCACCCTTCAGATACATTGCCAGGTTTGGTTAAATTCTTGCTCTCTGGCTCCAGTTTCTTAGGATGCTCTGTGATGAGTTTGATAGATAGTTGGTCCTGCCTTTGAGCTAGATCACTACAAAAAGCTTTTTTAAAAAATTACATTGCACTTGTAATAGAAGAAAATCAAAATCTGGTAGTACTGGGGAAAGCACTAACAGGCTCTTGCAGGCAACACTTTGCACATGTAGAAGCAACACTGCAAGTTGTCATGATATAGACAGCTGCTTCATTCCTCCAGAAACAGGGTGTATCTTGGAGTCCAGCAGACCTTTATGTCTCAAGGCAACTGAAAATGTGGGCCCTCCAGCTCCACAGCATTCGATGGCAGAAAGTGAGAGATGAAAGAGATACAGCTTCACAACATTCAACTCTGCTTGAATCATGTGGAATGTGGTATATTGCACTGTGTATAGGGATAAACAAAGCTGTCATGTTGAGTTATCTAAGTTTCTCATGTTTCCAGTCTTAAATTCAGTTCTTCACATTTCTACAACAATTTGCAATTTGATATTTAAAAAAATCCTCATGAAAATTTGTCAGCCTTTTTTGTGCAAACTTCTCCTGCTTGTATGTAGGTTTTCAGTAACTAGCACATTTTTCAAGCAGTTTCCCCTAATAAATGCATTTTTGTGCACATTTTCCCTTAAAATATTCATTTTGTACATATTGCTTAGGCGGAGGATGGAAACGCAAAATTCAGAGAAGGACAAGCTCTAAAGGAAAGCTGTGTTTTGGTTCACATATTGTTTCAGAAAGTGCAAAATAACTAAACTAAAATGTTCTAACTAAAACATGAGCAAGATTGAGTATTTCCTCAATCCCTAGCTCCGTATGACAATTTCAGTTCCATGGATGTTCAAGGCAGCTACTTAATTAGATTTACTTTATCATATATTGTTTGGGATGATTTCTTACCTGCTCCTCCACCACAGTCCCATGGCAGGTCACAGCAATGCAAAAATTGTTTTTACTGGAGGGGTGGTCCTCCTAGGAATTTTCCTCGCGGGTTTCCCAAAGGACAGCCAAAAATGAGCAGCAGCAGCATTTAGCAGACCTACTTAGGTGTAAATTTAGCAGCAAGTAAATTCAAAAATACTGTGGACAGGAAACATCAAGATAGATTTTGGAGGCCTAACATTAAAAGTGACAAAGGTGCTCACAGAAACAGCAACGCAGGTGTGGCTGAGTGCCCCATTGTGGACACAGCTGTAGTGAATCTTTCTTAACACCTGGTGGCTAAAATTCCTGTGTTTATAGCTGAAATAACATTTCAATTAACACTCATGTGTTTGAAGACTACTTTTATTTTGATGATGGTTCTTCTTGCTCAGAAGCGTCTTTTGCTTGAGCTTGTTTGACCATTCTTAAGATTTTGCCTTGGGGTTTTGGTTTCCAGCTGCCTCTTCTCTGCTTCTCTTTTTCACACTTGAAATGTTTAAGTCATGGCTGTGCTTAGAAGGTTTGCATGCTCACTTTAGTTCACTGACAGCTACTGGTATTACTGAAGATTCGTTCTTGTTAGTGGCTTTGATTGGAGGAGCTAATGAGTTAGTGGGCACAAAAAATCAGTTACCTTCTCACCCCTGCTTATGTGCCCCCCCCCCCGTCCAGCTCTGCCACTACGGAAGTGGGGCACCAGGCTGTGTGTTGACCTGGCTGATCACAGACCTTTCTGTGCCCCTTCCTTTCCCCTGGTGCTCAACTCAGAGCACAAGCCCTTGCTCCATTCTGAGCACACCTGGGAGGAGAGAAAAGGCAGAAGGGCTGAGGCTGAGGAAGAACGCCACACCTGCAGCTCACAGCCCTCTTGGAGAGAAGGGTGAGGGGACAGAGAGCCCTTTCGGCCCTTATTCAAGGCACTGCCACCAACACCATCTTATAGTATAGGGAGAAGGGGACATGGAGCTGACTGGGTCCACCACATCTCTCTTTTCACACCATCTGCCACCACAACATGAAGGGAGCTGGAGGGGTTGGGACTGGGGCGAGGACGCAGGCCTCTAAAGTCTCCTCAGCCATTTCGTTAGCCATGATTTGTGGCAAGACAAAGTGCCATGCAGGTCATAAACAGGCCTGGTGGTGACTGTTTATAACCTGAATAGTTTGGAAGAGATTGCCAAGACACAAGAACAGTTCAGCAGGGAAGTGATATAGCAGAGCTCTTTTGAATATTACATTTCCAGAGTATTCAAAACAGAAACACGTGCCCTGACATATCTCACAAGCCCTACGATACTACTCACAATCTTTAACACCAGTGGACCAAATTAAGAAATGCCCCTGTGCCTTTTTTTCTAGCTAATAGGCTGCATAATCGGACGCCAAGGGACCAAAATCAATGAAATTAGACAGATGTCTGGAGCACAGATCAAAATCGCCAATGCCACAGAAGGTTCATCAGAACGCCAAATTACCATCACAGGAACCCCAGCTAACATCAGCCTTGCTCAGTACCTCATCAATGCCAGGTGAGAGCTGCTTACTAAGGTTTCCTAAGTACCTCCCTCACCCCACTTTCATAACCCAAGATATAAATAAAGTGGCCAATTAGACCACAATACAAACGTCTCTGATGCCAACATGTACTCTTTGCTCCACATGGCAGCAAGAAGTGAGATCATCCATCAATCTAGTTTTGGGGAATTCGGTGAACAGTTATGTTGATGGTTCCCCTTATTCTATTAATCTGGTAATGATAGCTGTAAACGATTAAAAAAATCCAACTATTTTCTCAGTACATATATCTCTTTTCATAACTTTCAAATTAGTTTGGCTATGTCAGAATCTCTCTTAACTCATTCAAAGGGTGTAATTCAATGTCACAATTCTTCCGTCTGGAAAAGCATTTCCGCTTGCCAGAAGGAAGAACCCCACCTTTCCTCCCCCTGCATGCTGTTCTGGGGTTTCCTAATTCCCAAGCCAATTTGGGGGGTGCAGCGGGAAGCCCCATTGCACAAGTGAAAGTCCTTTCACAGGGCTTATGCTGAAAGGGTTCATTAGGTGAATCCCACCCACAGAGATGCATAATTTATTTTGCAATATTATCGCTTGTTTTGATCCTAAAAAATGAATTGCATTTGCATTTCCTGTATATATTTTTATCTTATCAGGCACTTTTCTGAATAAGGGCAAATAAGGAGAATGATAATAGGTTGGTCATTCCATCTTAATCAGACTTTTAAAAATTATCCTATCTGCTATTTGAAATAATAGGATGTGTTTTAATAGCAGCCAAACTGGTATGGATGAAACAGGAAATGTGTGGGTGGCACAGCTGCACAGGAAGGATCATAGAGTTGGAAGGGACACTGATGGTCATCTCTTCCAACTCCCTGCAATGCAGGAATCTCAGCTAGATCATACATTCCTCCTCTGCTTAAAAGCTTCCAGTGAAGTTGAGTCCACCATCTTATGAGGGAGTCTATTCCAATGTTGAACAGCTGTTTCCGTCAGAAAGTTATTCCTGAAGTTCACTCAGAATCTCCTTTTTTGTAACTTTAAGTTCTGGGTTGTACCTTCTGGAGCAAGAGAAAACAAGCTGGCTCCTTCTTCCACGTGACAGCCTTTGAAATTTTTGAAGATGGCTATCCTATCTCCTCTCAGTCACTTTTCCAGGCTAAACATACCCAGCTCTTTCAAGTGCTCCTCGTAAGGCTTAGTTTCCAGACCCTTGATCATCTTGGTTGCCCTCCCCTGCACTCGCTCCAGCTTGTCAACATCCTTCTTAAATTGTGGTGCCCAGAATTGGACACAGTATTCCAGGCGTGGTCTGATGTGGCAGAATAGAGTGGGACTATTACTTCCCTTGATTGGGACACTAGACTTCTGTTGATGCAGCCGAGAATAACATTAGTGATTTTTGCTTCTGCATCACACTGTCAGCTCATGTTAGATCCTTTTCACATGTTCTGCTAGTAAGCCAGGTGTCTTATATTTGTGCATCTGGTTCTTCCTGCCTAAGTGCAGAACCTTATATTTGTCCCTATTGAAATTCACTTTCTTAGTTTGGACTTATTTCTCCAATCTGTTAAGGTCATCTTGCATCCCAATTCTATCTTCTGCGGCATTGGCCTCCCCTCCCAGGGTTGGTGTCATCTGAAAATTTGCTGAGAATCCCCTCAATTCCTCCAACCATGTCATTTATAAAGACGTCATACATGCCTACCTGCTCACTATCCTACCAGGCAAATTGAAACCAAGTTCACCACAAGAAACATATGTACTCTTGTAGACAATCAAATGTCACTTGGGTGAGGAGAACTGACTTGTCTCCTCTTGGGTCAGGGTTGCTGACCAACTCAGGAGCAGGGGGCAAGGGTGGAGTATTCTGGGAAAGGGCCTGGCTGGCTGACTGGAGCGCTGAAGGTGAGCCCTCCATACAGCAACGCTTCATTTGTTATAATTTCCTTCTTTTTGTCTTCTTTTAAATATACTAACTGTAATTGTGTTTAAATTAGATCAGATGCTATTTTTTAGGAGAAAAGGATGAGTGTGACAAAATCCATGGTATTGCAGGCAACGTGAATGTAAATTAGCTTGTCAGAATCATTAGCAAGCTCTTTTCCATGTTTGAATTAATGTGAACAGGGGCCCAAGGAGTATGGAGTGAAGTCCTCAGTGTCTATGTTTGTCATAAACTTTAAGCGATTCCCCACTTTTCCTCCCATTTATTTTTTACAATTATTTATTCTAGGCTGACGTCTGAGGTCACTGGAATGGGCGCACTCTAATTTCTGCCAATCACACATCATTCTGCATCACATGACCCTCTCTAGCCAATGACGCTTCTTCACCCAGCTTCTACAATGCGTATACTTACGGCTTCACACACCCCTCTTCTCCTTGGAAACTTTTCTTTAATAACAAATATATGTATATAAATATATATATATATCTATATATATATGTATGTATGTATGTGTGCACATACTAATAAGTTGCTTTATAAGTTGCATTTTGTGATTTTGATTTTGTTCCTGAATTTTAAATTTATGCTCCAGGCCAGTCTGTGTTTCAGCTGTACAGTGCTAACTATTTTATATAGGTTTTGCCTGGGATTTCCCTTGGTAAGACTTTGGAAGAAGGTTGGTCTCGCTAGTCTTTATTTAGCTCAGTTTAGCTAAGATGGTTTTTTTTAATTTTACCTTTTTTTGCAGCACCTGTAGTAGGACTGAGATCTGGCCTAATCTAGAGCAGTGGTTGCTTTGAAATAGCTGTTTCTTTTAATTATTCAATTGTTCCTTCCATCTTTGAACCCTGATTGTCCTTGGCTCATCCTTAAAATGTTTGGATCTCTGTCCTAAGAATGTGGCATGACTTTCTCCCATTTCATGTTGGAAGTGGAACAGGCAGGAGCCCAGGAGTATCAACCGGGTTCTCATGGGTTCCTGCAAGGACTGGGCTGCTTCCAGTGAGGCACAGCCAAAGCAAAGCAAGCCATTTTCGTTACCAAGCAGAGAACAAGGTGAGGAAAATATTCCTTTAAATATAGAATTATTTCATAGAAATGGAGACAAATAAAAAAATTAATGCGGCAGGAACTGCTGAAAATATCCTTAAGAGAATCACCCACAGACTTTTGGACTTAGCTCAGGAAGCTCCAGCCTCTGGGAGCCTGCTGTGTTTGCCATTGTTTGTATTTAATAAAAGTCTGTGCAGCTCTGCTAGTAACAAGCTCTGCCTTTGGTCTTTGTGTGCTCCTTCTTGGTTTTCCTTGACAGGCTCTTTGTCTCACCTGCCTCCACTGCCTCCTTCCTCTTCCATGCTTCTGTTTGATCAGATTGGATCCAATAAGCATATATTTAGTGTTGGTTGATTTTTTTTGTTTTGATCCTCCCTCGACATTCCTATTCACTTTTAAGCTCTGCTGGAAACTCTGAGACACAGGTGGCACTGTGGGTTAAACCACAAAGCCTAGGACTTGCTGATCAGAAGGTTGGCGGTTCGAATCCCCGCGACAGGGTGAGCTCCCGTTGCTCGGTCCCTGCTCCTGCCAACCTAGCAGTTTGAAAGCACATCAAAGTGCAAGTAGATAAATAGGTACCGCTCCAGCGGGAAGGTAAACAGTGTTTCCGTGCACTGCTCTGGTTCGCCAGAAGTGGCTTAGTTATGCTGGCCACATGACCCGGAAGCTGTTCGCCGGCTCCCTCGGCCAATAAAGCGAGATGAGCGCCACAACCCCAGAGCCGGCCATGACTGGACCTACCTTTACCTTTACCTTTAGAAACTCTGAGCATCTTGAAAGGCAAACCTCCGGGAACAAACCATTCTGAAAAACAGGAAGGCAATACATGAATGATGAGGATTTACCAGGTCCTCTGACGGTGATGACTCTACTGCCATCCCCTGAAGACTGGGGGAGGGGAGGAAAGGGGAGACGGGGAGGGGGCAGAGGAGAAAGAGGAGGGGAGCTTCAAGTGCAGGACTCAGGAAGCAGCATGCTCCTTGTGGGCCTGGATCTGCCACCCCTCCCAGCTTTTCTGAGCCCACTGCCTCAGTGCTTCATGGGCCCTGGAATTTACTAGAACAGGATATAGCACAATCAGTTCACACTCCTTTCTCAGCAAGGTGTACTTCTGCCAGCCCATAATCTCCTGAATTGCTCTCCTCCCATAATCCCAGTTGGATGCCTATAAGAAACCAAGTGGGAGGTTGGTGGCTTTTTAAAAAGAGCAGCAAATAGTTATCTCTGAAAATGCCAAAAACACCCCTCCACCCCCCAAAGCCATGGTATTTTCACATTCATAAAACTCTACAGATTGTAGTAAATTGCCAAATACCAGTTGATTACAAGTGCAATAAATGGTAGAGAGCAATTCAAACATCTCTTGTTACACAACAATAAGTAGTGATTCCTCACCAAGGGACAGCACAGCACATGCCTCGTTTATATTCTACGTTTGAATGTAATGTTTTCATTTATAGTATTTAAATGGGGTAAGGAATTTTCACTTGCAAAGAAAGCTGTCCAAATGTTGGAAAATTAAGGTCAATCTGCTCTTTTTCTAATAAACACTATAAAACCCTTTTATGACAAATAGTTATCAAGGTCTGTAGAGACAGATGATTTTTCCAGTGGTCTTAAACATCCTTATGGAGACAATGTCAAGTAGCAGAAGTCCACAATCACATATTGGATCTATTAGGACTTGTACAACATTATGGTTTTGGCAAATTTGAGAAAACTTGAGGTGGCTAAAATCCTTCGCGCTAGACCTTAAGTCTATGGTTCTATGCAGTTTTTACAACATGATGCCTGAAAAGGACATTTCCCAACAATAACTGAACAAAGCAAACTGCATGCTAAAAGACCACATCAAAGACACTGAAGAAACAAGAGTGAGTTTACTTCTACAATTTATTATGGGAATAAAATGAGGTAAAGAATCTAAGACAAGGTGACAGCATATCATGGGAGTGGAGGGTGGGAATCATGCATGGTACTAAGACTTGCTATTGGATTCAACTTGGGTAGAAATCCTGTGTCAGCAGAACAGACATACAGACAGACAGACAGACAGAATACCTTTAGCTGCAAGCATGATATGAGCAGAGAAAGGCAGCCCATTATACATTGTTGCACTTATAAGTGCATTTTTGTCTAGAGGGAAAAGGCTGTGAAGCAATGCTAGGAAGCAGTGTTATAACATTAGCAGGCATTGGCCAGCTAAAACAACCAGTACTTTGGGTCTCAGAACCGCATGTGAAGTTAGGTGTATAGACAGCAATTATTGCTCATCTGTCTGGCATCAGAAAACAGCCAGTTAATCTGATGTGCTGTTACTTCTGTAAATATATGCTAAAATGTTACCCATGGACTGCCAAATTGTTGGAAAACCGGGAAATACGTGCTGTAGAGTTTCTGATCTAGATTAAGTCCCCTTTGACATGTGTTACATTGTGCACAGGGAACCAGAAGGGATAAGAGTCCATATAAAGCAGAACTCGAATGCAGACAGAATGACACCGATTCTTTAATACCAGTAATTCTAGATGAATACCCTATGGAGATGGTTGTCTGCTATCCAGCTAGTTTTGTTTTGGAATCACTGTTGCAACGTAATACATATTAACTGACTGGAGGGGTGGGAAACATGATAAATACCTGGGAGGCTCTCTGCACATTGATTTATGCTACATCTTTCTCAATGCCAAAATCCTGTCTGCTGTTTGTGTGGGATGAGCATGGAATTTAACATGGAGCTATAAAAAAAGTAAACAGTATTTTGTGTAATGGATAATATGAAGCACACAGGCAGCATTTACTTCCCATAATTGCCAGGGGAACTAAAACAGAGTGAAGTTCATTTGGGGCAGAACTTTGAACGATTTCTAGCTCCTCTTCATGTTCATTCCCTCCCACACTCCCCCAGCAGGTGAACTGGACTCTTGCATTTTTTAAAAAAACAACAACACAGCAATAAGTCAATTGGACATCTATAATGAAAGTTAGAAAGCAAAACAGGGCAGCAACATTTTTAGGCATATTATGCAGACATGGAGGAACTGCTGTTTCTGTGGATGCTTTGTGACTTAATCACTGCTGCTAAGCAATCAGAAAGAAGGCAAGGAAGGCATTTCCTGTATCTTTGCTGCTGAAGAGACTCGCTCTCTTCTGAGAGGAGCAGCTTGGAGTAAGAAATATAGGAACAGGAACAAAGAGAAGGGTGCCTTGTGCCTTTAACCACTATGTGGCAAGCAGAAATTAAGCAGGGTAAGCCTTTTCTAGTAAGGAAATACATTAGGAAGAAAGCTTCACCTGTTGACACTTGTGGACCATTTACTTTTGGATCATATCCATCAGCATAGCAGCTTAAATTATAACATGCTAGATGCTGAAAGAAATCACAGAGGATGGGTTTTTTTATGAACAAAGAGTTCATTTGGATGAAATTGAACTAGAATGGGTTCCTTTTTAAAAAATAAACTTTCCAAGCACTGGTTATTTCCATATTTATTATTAAAATTTATTTCAGACCAGAATTTAACCTAAGAGCAACTGCCTACATGCTAGAACTCTGGAACAATTACAAAAGACAAATCCTCAGTTGTTTTCATCCCTGGCAGAAACCTGCCTGAGTAAAAACATATTTCATTGTGTCTGGAAAGCACACGGACCTGAACTGCAGCAGATTTTCTCTTTTGGAGGAGCACCCAGCAAGGATATCTCACTATGTGCCCTAACATTTTGTAAAGTGTAGAAACTTGGATGTTTCTACACCTGAACCAAACATAACATTGTTATTTCTGTCACTTCTGATTGTTTAAATGATGCATAAAGGTTATGGTGAGAGGGGAGTAAATACACTCATGATTAAAACTCAAGAGCCTATGATGATTACCAAGCCAGAAGAGGCTAGATTTATGGGTAGCTTGGTTTTTATGTAAGACTTGAATCTTAAAGTCAAAGTGAGTAGGTGTCTGATCTGTGCAAAGTTTATTGTAAATTTGTGTAAGGGTTTTAAGCAAGCCATTCTGGTCACCTCATACACCTCCCTATGTGGACTGCTGTGCGTCCTTTCTGGGTAAATAACGTAGGAAGCTCAGCACTGGCCTGGGAACATTAGTTCTGTTATTGGAATGCTCTGAAAATTAAAAGCAAGTGTCTGCTTCAGCATCTGCAAGTGGCAGGGTTCCTATGGCTTGTAAGTTTGCCAGAGGCCTGAAAGCCAGAGCAACTCTCTGTCCCCAGAATGATGCTCTTGCCAAATGTGCAGTTGCTTATACTGGACCCCTGAAGGTACCAATGCTGAGAATTCACACAAGGACAAATGTGCCCTATGAATACTTAGGACCATTCTCAACGGCTGCATGATTTATTTTCTAACTAGCATTTCCATCAAGCTGGAAATCCAGCCAGTCCACTAAGGTTTTGGTACATTTCCTAGGTTTAATTATGCAGAAATTAAAATATGCAAAAGCCCCAACCACCATAAGAAAAGTTGCCCTAATCTGAGGCTCTATTTGAGGCATGGTGGAAACCAGTGAAAACTTTGGGGCTAATTCTCACTAAGGTTGTAAAATTTGTGCTTGATCTGTACCGCATTAGACTGTACGGTGAACAGTGCATTCAATGCTTCTCCATGCAGAAACTTTCCTCTCATATATAAAACTAGCATACGATGCTAGGCCAGAACACATTCCCCTTAATACTTAGAATTTTTGTGCAGGGAAGTTTTTTGCTCATATAATAACCTGAAAACACAAAACCAGTCATGATTCCACCACACCAACAGCTCGGGACAGCGAAACATAGGCACAGGTTTACTATCTTGGGGCAAACTAGGACTTTGGGCTGGTATTGTAACCAGAGATGCATGAATCTGTCAATTTTTGTTCTCTCCATTTCTCATTTTTCCACTCTTAAATTCAGTTCTCTCCATTTCTACAGCAATTTTCAAATTTTAGTTTAATCCTCTTGAAATTTCTCCTTACACATATCACAGAATCACAGAATTGCAGGGCTGGAGTGGTCATGTAGTCCAACCCCTTGCAATTCAGGAATCTTTTGCCAAATGTGGGGCTTGAACCCATAACCCAGAGATTAAGAGTCTCATGCTCTACCAACAGAACTATCCCAGCAGTTTTCTGCCTGGACCAGGCTACTTTGTACCCATAATTTATTTTTAGATGGAGTCTAATTCTGAATATAGGCAACTAAGTCGACAAACAGGGAATGTCCTTAATACAAAGCACAACAAATTGGCTTCTCCACCCTCACCACAAGCCAGCATATTAGCCTAGAGGCCTTTACCTCTTTCAAGATGCTCAGTTTCCAGCTTATGTTTCAGGAGGGTGGAGTTTCTCTTAGAATTTACTTAGTAGTTGAACATTTTGGCTTTTGTTTACTTCTGACCAGATGTGGCAGAGGATTCCAGAGCAAAGCTGAGAGGCAGAACTTGTGCTCAGAAATTGGCCCACGGCCGTCCTCTCCACCGGTGCTCTGAAAGTAGGACTGTATGTACTTCATGGTCAGAGCCAAGTTTAATCCAAAATCTACATGGAAAACTCCCCTTAAAATGTTCTCACATCTGTCGCTCTTAGTACTGGCACTCATAGTGTAATGGGATTACCCTGGATCTCGTGTGTTCACTTTCTTCGGACAGGGTAGTTATATGCTCAGATGAGTGCGTCACACTCTAAGGCCTGCTGAGCCACAACATGTGATGATATTGCAGCATCACTGCTGTGAAAACCTCAAGCTGGTTTGGGGGTCCCATTTTGAGAGTAGTTATCATTTTGTGCCCAAATCGGTGTAGCTCATTTGGAGTGGACTGAGGACCATGGAGATACACAAATGCATCTCCACCAATTCAAGCTGCCTAAAGATTTGTATACTAATGGAGCAGACAGCAACTTCAGACAAGGCATTGCAAAAATGAAACAAGAGGAAAGAAAATGACTCCATATTGCCTGGACCACAGCCTTAGTCCTTATTGCCGCCCCTCCAGCTGCTTTTTGCAAAAACTTTGCAGAAAATAATTGTAGCCATTAATCTCAAGGGCTGAAATGTGTGATTTGACCTCTGGTGTTTACAGAGTTTGGGCCTTTCCACTCGATACTTCCTGCCACTTGTCCACTTCCTGGATGCTACCAGTAACAGCTAGGGTAGAGCGCAGCCCACGCTTTGTAGTCACTTAAGGACAGAGGCATAAGAAAGAGGGAGAATGTATTGGCCACATGCAAATGGCCACATGCAATTACAAAGAGCAGAGGCGGATCTGGGGAAGCGCAACTGGGACTGGGCACGGAGCCTCGGGGACACCACAGGGGGCGCCGCAACTATGCTGTAGAATGGAAAGTGAGAGGCAGGGGGTGCCACATTTTAACGTTGCAGAGGGTGCTGCTGAAATTTGAGAGCCCAAAGTCTGCAGTAGGAAGAGCAGGTAATGTGCTTTTTCGAATCCATATTTGAGCCCCCTCTCCATCTCCCAACTACAACCTGAATCACACATACATATTGCATTTGATTCATAGCAGTGTGTTTTGATGGCGGGCTTCTATGATTGACAATAAAACTGCAATGTGTAAAAGGTTTTTGAATAAAGAGCTTTTGCAAACTCCTACAGCTACCATGACTGGCAGTGATCAGACACAGATAAAGGAATAGAAAATTAATAGTGGTTAGGAAGGAAAAGTTCAGCTACTTTGTCAATGATGGTCTCTCCGTTATTTTCTGATTTAATACAAGCCTTTAATGGGTACCCAACCACAGACCATGATGTCTCTCAGGTTCCAGTTAAAATACTGTGATTATTTGATGTGGTCTCTAGGTTTTGGCTGCTGCACTTGCTGACTCCGCTGTGGTATGAGACAGAAAAATATTGCTCGTTACCCCTGATGGCCTAACTGTGAGCCAGCAGCAAATCACAACAAGCAAGTTGCAGTTTATTCTTTATTAGCAAAAGCAGGATCTGCACAGGAGTGTCAGGCCTAATGAGCACAGCAACTGGAGACTGTGCCTGCGTGTTGCTTATCTCCTCTGCCCTTTTCGTGATTCTTCTGGTTCTGGGAGACAAGGGTGGAGAGGAGCTTGTCACAGCAGCAGAGGAGACATGCGTGACTCTTCGCCAGCCTGACTCATCTCTGCCTCTTGGCCTCCCTCCTTCCACTCTCCTGCTTCAGCTTCTGCCTTTGATTCTGGACTTCTCTCTGCCGTAGACTCTCCCAGCTCACTAGACCCTGTTACCTCTTCCATTTCTGATACCCCCCTCTCCCAGTCTTCATTCTCCTTCTTCCCCTCTTCATTGTCCCGCCACCAATGTTTGGGCTCTGAACCTTCTTCCCTTGAGGGTTCCCCAGCTGGTTTCCGCCACCATTCCTCTGTGTCCAGAAGCGGCTTAGTCATGCTGGCCACATGATCTGGAAAAACTGTCTGCAGACAAACGCCGGCTCCCTCGGCCAATAAAGCAAGATGAGCATGCAACCCCAGAGTCGTCTGAGACTGGACCTAACAGTCAGGGATACCTTTACCTTTTAGAGTTCTGGCACTGGTTATTTCTAATGGTAAATTCTATCATTTCCATTTTATTGCATGTATAATTCCAGTCACGCTTTCAGTCTTGGGTGACAGACTAAGAGAAAGTGGCACCAGGGGGAGCCCTGGGGCTCAGGCTAGATCAGACTTCATTGTGCAACTAACTCCTTGGTTGGTTCCCTCGGCACCCATAAATTCTCCAAGCTTCTGCCATCCAAGCCCCGGTGTATTTCATTAGCCTTCTCTGTAAATATTCCTTAAGGAGCAAGCTAAGCAAGACAGGAGCAGTCATGGACTTGTCCAGCAGTCCAGCAGTCATGGGTATTATTCAGACAGCACCTGCTATTTGTTTAATGCAAAATAATTCATGTGCGCAACGCCCCTTGTTGCCGTGGCCCTCATCTGGCTGCCCTCTGATGTGTCCAGGGCTTGTGTCTCCCGTTTGCCTCAGGCTCAGTGCCAAATTTCAGCTTTTCTCTTCATGTGGCCCTGACACCTGGACTGAGCAAATGTTTGCAGCCTCTTCCAGTCCTGTAGATGCGCACAAGTCCAGATCAGTTATGAGGTTCTTTTGCAAAAAGCACCACCTAAGGCATCAGTGTCATTTGAAAGTGAATACCTGGGAAAAGATGTCACTGCAGCCGGGGGGCGGGGATGGAGGGTGAAACTAACCACTAGTCTGTCCAATTGAGCTAAGTTTCACTATTATTATCACTGTCAGACACATCTAAATGAAGCAAGCAAGCAATCCAGTCAGTTGTTGGAGTGGGGAGATTGAAGCTTTCTGTCTCCCCCCAGCTGCAAGAGTCGTGAAAATCATTTCTCTGCACTGGCAATTAACCTTAGGTGAAAAGCTCTCATTGGTGTCTGGTATATCATTTCTTTTTAAACCCACAAACTGTTTGCTAATCGCATCATTAGTGTAACATGTTGCATTAATAGGCACTACGAAAATTAGATACTGCATTTAGCAAGACTCCAGTCGCTTTTCACAGCAGGATCCGCACTGAGCACATTCCCATTGCTGTTAGCATGAATTAATGCAAGGAAAGGCTCTTCTCTGCACACCCACTTTCCTAGGCAGCTTTGCACAAAGGAATGTGGCCGTGCTAAACATTTTATCTGCAGGATAAGGGAAAGGGAAACTTGTTACTCAGTTTTGCTGTTTTGTTATGAAGTCAGAAATGTGGGCGGGGGGAGAACTGCTGGGTCCTTTGCTTTCTCCTCCCCGCTCTTTCTTCTCATTAGAACTCTTTTAGGTTTGGAGCTACATCCTCTGCTGCAAAAATTCCTTCTCCAAACGACACTTATTTTCTGGGAAATCAAGCCAAACTTTCCCACAAATGCAGACAGCTATTGAAGATATATTATTACCAGATGTTTGGGGGTTTGTCCCATATAACCAGGAGCCAACAGGAGTTAATTGGAAAAATATTAACCCTTCCAAAACCAGTAGTGCACTAAAGCACTCTATAGAGCTTGAACCGCTAGTTCCACAGATCACGTGGTATAACTGTTTGGTCATCTTCATAGTGGGTTCAAAATAAACCAAAGTCCTGCCCACTTGGCCAGGTGAGATTGGGTGGGGGCTGCAGGGGACTAGAAACAATAGAAATGTGAAATGTTTGGGAAGAGAATCAGGAAGGCCACTCTGAACTCCTTGAAGGAGGGCAAGATTCACATAAGATAAACATTTATTTTAAATTAGCAAGCAAGCAAGCAAACAAACAAACAAATGCTTTCCGTGGCCAGAAATTAGAATTAACTCAAACCCAAGATGATCGCTTACACCAGGGGTAACCAACCCTTTTGGACTAATGGGCACAGTTTGAATTTTGTGAGAGTCACAAAATGGCTGCCATAGAGGGAGGATGCCATAATGCAAAATGGCTTCTGTGGGTTGATTTAAATTGATAGCTAGCTGGGTACAGAACTGCTGAAACTGAAAAACAAAACAAAGCTAAGGGAAGGAGTTGAATGCCTACCCACAATAAAAAGTTGTTGGATTTAGCTCTTGAAGAGGGCAGGGGGCTGCTTTTTCAGGATAACCTAAGTAATTATAGGGTGGTTGTGTTCATGAAAAATCCAACCACCCTCAGGGAAAGGCTTGTGTGAGGAGACCTCTGGGCAGGGCTGGCCAGTCCATGAGGCAGATGGAGGCAGCTGCCTCAGGCGGCTGAATCCAAGTGGTGCTTCTGGAGAAGGGAGGAGAAATGGCTGCAGCTCCCAGGTTCTGGCGAGATCTCACAAGAGCCCCGAGCCTGGAAGGCGCAGGCGCAAGGCTTTGCCAGGGGAGCACATGGTGCACTGCCCATGCACACGGCGGCATCTTCCCATTTTTCCTCATGCAATGAAGCAGAAGCCCACCCCTGCACCTCGAAGGTCTCTTGTTGTGCACTCGCCCTGCCTTTGTCCCGGAAAAAGAAATTGCTCCTGTTCTTGAAACAAGTTGTCGTTCTTTGAATGAAGGTTGTCATTGTTATGTACTGAAGTTCTCACCCTGGGCCAGCAGGGGGATACTGTAGATAGTTTTCACTCAGGTCCACATATGCAAATAAGGGATTGAAAGTGACGTTCAGTGATTGGATAGTTACAGAAAGTGTTA